TTGAGGCCAGACGGGCGCGGGCGCGGTCGTGTCTAGTCACAAGTAGCTCGGAGGCTGAGCCGAGCCGGCATCGTGCAGAGGCGTGGTTCTCCAGATGGTGGCTTGATTAGATCAGCCTCATCTCGACGACACCCCCACGGTTCCATTGCCAGGGTCCGGGGTTTGATACTACGAGGAACGACCGAAAAATTACCAGCGCAAGCACGAACCGCTTATTGCAGGATCGTACCGTGTACATAGTAGAAGAGAGCTGTGACGTAACCAGCAGAGTGTGCAGCTCAGGAGTCTGGTGAAGTTTGTGTGCTGTCCAACTTGTGCACGCCACCGACTGACTCGAGGCAGTTCGAAGAGCTTGATCAGGTTGCTTCACGAATTTGCGCGGCATGGAACGAGAGACAGGAGTGGCTACTACGAGTCGTCCGATCTGGAACTCGGACGATCGCCGTCCCTGCAAGAGTCAACGAGACCGGCTGATTAAACTGGGGCTCAGAGAGATGTCGTTGCGTGGGGCCAAGCTGCCAAGTCACGAATGCCGAGGCGGCTCCCGCCAGCGTCCTGAAGATTACATCAGAGACGACCAGATGCCGTGTGGTAGTACCCACTTTGAGACCCGTCAAACGGCCCGTTTGGTCGGGAGAGTCGGATCTCGCTAGGGACCCATGAGGATCAAATTTTGAGCCGCAGAGCCTCCGAGATGGTACGTCCTTCGCCTGAGACTCGGAAGAGCGAGGGCGATGGCAGCGCCACGCCAGCAGGCACCTCCCTGGCTGGGCCTGTCAATACGATTGTGGCCCCGTGCCGGGAAACACGGCGGGCTGGATGTTTGCATCGTCACCAGGGATAAAGACCAAAAATGCCGCCTGTTTCCAAGAAACAGCCCAAGCCTGACTGACGTAGGATATTGATATTCCTTGGCCGCTTCTTTCCCACATGAATGCAACTCTAGGCATTTCAAATAAGCATTTATTCTGAAATCCCGCAATTCTGATGCAGCGAGGGTCACCGCGTGGATTACAGAGAAAACTGTTGGGAGACAGTGCATATTCCGCCGACGTCGTATCCCGCCGAGTGTCGCCGCGAGAAAATCGCCGGACCCCTAACCCCTTTCCACAGTGGACTGCCTGTATGGCCGACAACGGCATGACAGCGTTTGGCTGCACTTGCAGTGTATCCTATCTCATCAGAATCATCGTCAACCGTCACGATTGAGAGGCTCGACGAAGCAGCAAGTAAGCTGTCGCGGTTTCTGTCTCTTTGCTGGTGTTGCTTCCTCAACTGAACAGCGACCGCAAAGCAGCGGCGTTGGTCCTGAGGCGCGTCCTGCACAGTCTGCACGCTTTTGGCGGAGATTGCCCGACATTGTCTGGAAGTACCTGTACTTGCAGGGAGCGACAGCGACTACACGTCGGTGGGTTGGGCCGGACGAGGAGACCCGGAAGACTGACGGCGAGGCCGCGGGATGACTGACCCAGTCGTGACGGTAACAGGAACTGGACAGCTGGCTAGCATCCAATTCCCTAAGCTAGCGGTTCCCATTTTGCGCCCGAGGTTCGATCGTGTGGCTCGCCTGATCCCATCACACACTATCGCCAGCCAGATGCCACCATGTAATAACACCTGCCATTACCTATTCTGCCTCGGTCGTTCGATTCGAAGTGACCGTGAAATGCCGGATTTTCTTCGTCAGGACTCCATGGATTTTGTCCTCGAACGATGCTGGGAATGGTCGATCCAGTATTGGCCGTGTCGTAATTGGAATTCGATTCAGTGCTAGTGCTACCAGCAGTGTCCGTGCCGCTACGTGAAGGGTGAGTCGCACGTAGCCATCGCAACCCTTCGAGCAACGCGTGGGCTGGCACCCTCTTTATAGGCTTTTCGAATGAGTCAAATTGGTGAAGTCGACAGCGTGAGAACAGACGTGGAGACTTGATGCAGTGTTGTGGTGGGCAGAGTCTGCACATCACACATAGTGGAACGCCATCTGACACCATAGTTGGATGCTGAAGCTTATCTCTGAGTTTTCTCTGCCGTTGACGAAGGTTCTCGTTGCATTGCTCGGTTTATGCGGGTCTTGGTTGTGACCTTGTCGTCCTCGATTCCCAGATTTCGAACAACTCAGCCCCAGCGCGGTGAAGCCATGCCCATCCTGCATGCCATGTCAGCTGAGCAGCCCCTTCCTTGTCGGAAACTGCTTGATTCCCAGAAACAGCCATATTTTCGGACATTGGGACAGCACAGCAGGACAACATGGCAAGTACTGCTTGTCCACCGTGGCCATAAGATCTATAGTGTTGGTGATCCTGAGGTCGCAAGGATCTCGCCTCGATCCGTCGCTGCGACGCATGCTGCCAAAGTCAGCGGAAGATGGCCGCATTGCACAGGCAGCTCCACCATTGTCTTCGCCCCAATTTTGACCAGGGCACAGATGTGACCTTGCCGGGACAAGTTGGCCACAGTGGACAACATGGCCTGCCTGCAGATCGGCCAAGTTTGCTGATGAGATGTTGTGATCGACTGTGTCCTTTTCATCGCACGGTGTCGTCCCAAGCAGCAACTGCATTAGTTGACATAATACGTCCACCATTGGAGACTATGCTCTAGGTAGACTGTTGTGGCAGTAACTGTGGCATGTCTGCGTGATTCCGGCCTCCTAACACTCGGGCCACGTGTCGTCGGTGATCGGGCCAGGCGTAGTCAAATGGTATGGTCGCGTGATTTGTAAAGCTGGACACTTGGTGGACATGCCTTCAGTCGCCTCTCATCTCGAATGAAATGAGATGGAGGGCTGGGCTCGAAGGTGAAGATATCGATATTGGCGTGAATTCCACTGTTTCGCATCATACCGCCGTGGACGATCGACTCTCACATCCGTCTCGATGATTTATCTCGCAGCTGAGGTGGAGCACACTCGCCGATCGGTCTTCCGGGGATCTGGTTCAGTGCATCACTGCATGTTTCCATTAGCGGAGAAAACATTTCCCTGTATCAACCTCGCTATAGATTCGGACTATCCACCTATCAACAACACATGAGTTGAAGAGCGCAACGTCTGGGCTCAGTCAGCTAACTATTCTCTTGAGGATAAGGGAGGCTACCAGAAGGACGAAAACTTACCCTCGGAGGTTCAGCTTGAGAGGACTCATCCGTCCCAAAGCCCAGTTCCACTCTTTTTGATGTGAGTATGGCGGCAGTACAAGCTCTTCGCACAGTTGATATTGCCCTGAACGAGATCGGCCAAAGCTATTCCGGGCTTATGTCGCGTGAGGTAGGTAAAACGTGCGAAACGTTTCCCAGATCCGTCCATGCTACGCAGAGCTGTAGCTTGCCACCGCGCTGGGTTCCAGTGCTTCAGCATGACGATACTTGAACAGCCTCACAGTTGAGGCCTTCTTTTGGCATGAATTTCTCAACAGCATCATGGTCAACGGTTCCTGCTAAGGTATTCGAGGCCACAACGCGTCTTTCCCCTTTCAACTGCAACAGACGGGACCAAAACTGCTCATATCACGTTGGTCGTCTTTGAGGACATGACCAGGTGTCGAGTGTGCTGCATACGACATCCCTTGGAGCGATTGGGTTTGAAAAGGGTGGTGGTCCTCGGCGATTGCCGCATCAACATGGCTACTCAAGTGAGCGGCTGATCTGGTGGACAGAAGGCGCATTTTTGGTACCGGACGCCATGATATGGTATCACAGTGGTGACACACTGCCAGAGACGAAGATGTTGAGTACTTGGGAAAGAGGCACAGCTTACGCCTCGGGTTGCTGGCCTGCAGATGCCTGATTTGTGGCTGGAGGGTGGAAAGGTGACTTGGAATGGACGAAATGTCCTCTCAAGATTGTCCGCGAGACGATGATGATGCCGACGGGAGACAGACCATCATGGTACGCATTGGAGGGAGAAGACGGGTGTCAGGCTGAAAAGAAGGAGGAAGGAAGAAAGATAGTGAGAGGATGGAGGAGAGAGGAAGAGAAGACTACGGCACAACCGGCCAGGCAGAGCAGAGCACAACAGAGAAGAGCAGAGGTGGGTACCTGGACGGTCTCGTGGGCTTGAAGAAATCAGAGTCTAGTCGTGTCTGGGGCACAACCTCGGGAACCAGTCGTCGTGCTTGGAATTCTGGGGAAGTCGGCGGCGCCCCCAGGTCGAGAGTGAACCGAGAGCAAACCCCAGCCGGGGTGCTGGGCTCTTGAGCGTGGGGGCGGCCCCTTTCTATATTACATTAGGGAACGCCCTTTTCCTGGACCAGGACACTTCTACCTAGTTGTCCCGAGGTCGTCTGCAGAATGCAGGCGGACGGGCCGACCGACCAGGTAGGGAGGTCGGCCGTCCGTCGATGCTGCCGTGGGACTAACCAACCTGAGAGATTCTCCTGGTTCCTACCAGCGCTCGAGGTGATGTCGACATGGTCTGGGCCTGGGCCTTGAGCACAAGAATTACTGGCAGTAATTTTCCCGCCCATTCGCTTGTTTGTGCGTTGTCCACAGCACCAAAATCAATTCTAGGGAGGTCAATTGGGACACACAAAGTACCCGTGCGCTGCAGCCATTATTCAATTCCTCGGAATGTAGCTGCTCTGATCGTGACAGCAGGCTGTTGTGGGTTGCATCAAGGCGTATCTCAAAAATGCGGCAAGTGTCGCTGATGAATGTCGAACGAACTGGTGGGCGGACATCCCCAGGCAACCCCCCAACCCCCACACTCCCAAAGGTTGCTCAGCTGCATCCCCACATGGAGCAGCAGGGCACACGACAGGGGTCCTCACAGATTTTACAGCACCCGACTACTCCCGCGAGCACCACCCATCCCACAGCAGGCCATCCATGCTCCAACACCACCACCACCACCACCACCACCACCTACACGGTCCTACTGATCCCGCTGCATCTCGCATTGACCTCGTATACAATCCATGAGATCATCTATTGACATTTCCATTCCATTGCAAGTCGTAATCAGCCTCATCCATCCTCCCACAGCCCTCATCTAAACCACCAAAATGGTCACCACCCGCTCCGCAGCCGCAGCTCAGGCGCGCTCACGATCAGGCACACCAGTCACCCAGCCCACGCCACCTGCACCCGTCACCGCAACAGCCCCCAGCATCGACCCCGTCTCAAAAACTCGCACAATAACCCACATGAACAAGGACCACACCGACGACATGTCCGCCATCCTGCGGCACTTCTCCCACCTATCAGCCTCCCAGGCCGCCGACGCAGAGTTGCTCGACCTCGACCTCAAGGCCATGACCATCCGCTCCGCCTCGGGCGTGCACACCGTCCCCTTCGCCCCTCCCATGGACAGCTGGGACGACCGCAGGGCGAGGCTGGTGGCCATGACCGCAGACGCGAGGACGGCCCTGGGGCTCGACGTCGCCGAGGAGGCGAGCCACGCCCCCGCTCCAGCCCCGGGCTCCAGCTCCGGCTCCGGCGCACTGCCCGCGGCCCCGCGCTACGTGCCGCCGCAAGGCACGGACTGGATCAGCTTCGCGGGCGTGTCTTTCTACTTCCTGTGCGCCGGCCTGGTCTACGGCGGGCTCGTGACCCCCGGGTCGCCGCCCTGGCGCGCCCTGGAGGCCGTCCGCTTCCCCCAGGGCCCCGTGGGCTTTATCTGGATCGTCGAGTCGATCTTCCTCCTCGTGCTGGGCATCCACGTTGCCGAGGCTTGGTGGATGGATCGCTCGCGTCTTGCCCCGGCCGGTGTGCCCCGCGGCTCCAAGGTGTGGTGCCTGTGGGTGGGAAACACGTTCCTGGAGGGCGTGCCTGCGTACCGGCGGTGGGATCGGGTTGTCAAGGCTAAGACTAACTAGGCGGCTCTTGTGGCGTTGATTCAGAACGCTGCAAGGCCTTGCGCTCTTGCGTGTTTAGAATGGAATTTTCCCTGGTTTCGTCGGTGCCAGAACCTGTTGGTCTCTGCAACACAATGCATGCTTTGTTCCTACTGATATATCATGTGCCGCTCATTTTAGTGCCTAATTTCGCAGTTCGTAGCACAAATGCTGTAGGTGAGAGTGACAACGCTCTCAAGTCCACAATTCCAGTAAGCAGCGATCTCGTGACGTCGAGCTGGGTAGGGCAAAGATATGAACCAAGTAAAAGTAAAATGGGGGCTTCAAATTGCGCCGGGCTTCGACTTGCGTAAAATAGCAGGCGATACACCACAAAGCATCGACCGTTAAGGCTGGCATGACATCGATGTTAGTTCAGAAGAAGGAAGTAAACTTACACGCATAGCTGTTATATGTGAATATAAATATTGATTATATTGACTATGATATAAATTTTCAACTGAAAAGAATGTCAACATATCTAAAATCAAAATTTATTAACAACAAATCTGCTTATGTAAGGCCGTTACACTTTGTTGGTTGATACATGCCTCGGAAACTATTGTCTCTATCTTCCAGTTTTGAGCTCGTAAAAGTCTCCTTTCGTAATTGTCAAGGCTATGTACGCCACTGACAGCCGGAAATGATATCCTAGCGCTTTCAATCGCGTTCTCGCGCCAAATTGCAAAAAGCTCACGTCTTTCTGAGTTGATTGATTGATCCGACACACGTTATCAACTTCAGAATCGACTGTCAGTTCTATCGCCTATGTTTGCCTCAAGTCGCGCAACCTTCCCTGGAAACAACAAGGATGCCACGAGAAAGCCAAGATGGACTAGAGTGGGAAGAGACTTTGTTCAATCTCATACCGCGTTGGACACGAGACCCTTCGGTGGAGGCGATTGAAAGCGTTTGTCGCCAGCAGCTAGAGCTCCCTGCCGGATGTCCCTGCACCGCCTCCTTCTACGCAGCCGGTGCATTCAATAAGCTCTATTCAATCGTCTGCGCCGATCAGTCTTTGCTGATGAGGGTAACGCTGCCAGTAAGCCCTCACTACAAGACACGTGGCGAGGTAGCCACCCTGCGTTGGGTCCGCGAGCATACCGACATTCCAGTTCCCAGAGTCATCGCGTTTGAGGCCAGCAACGACAATAGCATTGGGTTCGAGTGGATTTTGATGGAACTTATGCCGGGAGCTACGGCGTACCGACGATGGCGAACGATGTCTTTACAGCAGAAGTCAGCAATTACGAAGCGTGTGGCAGAATTTCAAGTACAACTATCTTGCTACGGCGTACCCGGTTCTCCCTTCAAGAATATAGGGACGCTTGACCTGGAAAATGGGTCAAGAGGGATTGAGGCACCAACAGGAGTCACCCCTGGGAAGCTTATATCCCATGAATTTTTCATGGGGAATCGCCAGAACTACGATGTTCCACGAGGGCCTTTCCGCTCCAGCTTCGACTGGTTAAGCTCGGAAATACGCTTGATCATACTCGAGCAGACAGAAGCTCTCGAGAAGGCAGAAGATTACGATGACAGGGAAGATGCCGAGGAAATACTGGGCTCAGCTCGAAGGCTTCTTTCCCTACTTCCCAAGGTGTTTCCTGATGACCAGCAAGACGAAATTGCGACCGCGCTCTACCACGACGATCTAAGCCTCCACAATATCCTTGTCAACGATGACGGCGAAATTACGGCTATCGTGGACTGGGAATGCGTCTCGGCAATGCCGATTTGGTTGACTACCAAGATGCCCAAGTTTCTTATTGGGGAGAACCGGGAAGAGGAGCCAATTCGGGAGATTTATGCCGATGAGATACCTGCAGAGTCTGTAGGCCCACCAAATGACGGCGGCCCAGACGATCTGGATAATGAGGGCAAGAACCAGCTCTACTGGATTCATCTGATGGAGTACGAAACGACGCAACTGCGAGCAGTGTACGAAGCGAGATTGAGACAGCTCTGGCCGGCTTGGCCTCTACAGGAAAGCCAGATAAAGGTTGACTTTTTCGATGCGGTCTTGCAATGCAGTGCTGGAGTTTTTGTGAAGCAGGCGGATAGATGGGTCGACAGCATAGAACGAGGGGACTTGATAAGATGGGCAGATGCTTAGAAGCCCGTTGTGAAACACAAGGGTCGCCATTGTAGCCAAAGGTCTGGTATTCAATATTATATCTACTTTTCAGGGAAAAGAGCCAACCCACCAACATGTCCGATTCGAATTCCACAATCACAAGACTTCCACTAGTATGACACCTCCGGCTATTCAGCTAAGCTGTGGCCTAACATGAGCAGGACTTAGCACCCACAGGCCAGACAACGAAACTGGCAAGGGCGCATTGAAATGAGCGATGACTGCGGCTGGACATCACGTTTCTGCCATTGATGCAAATGCGATAAGCTGTGCAGTTAGGGAAACACAACTGATACTTTGGGCGGATTGCCGCAGCAGCAGACTGGCTTATGAATCCCTGTGTCCTTGAAGTCCGGACTTATACGCTCTATTACATCAGTATTCGTAGAGTCTAGTAAAATACCGAGCGTCCAAGAGCGTAAGCAGCAAAACAAGCGGAAGCAAGAGATGTAAAGGGCATCGAAAGAACCTTATGAATAGCTTCGACATGTTGTCGGGCTAGAAGCTTAAGTATCATTCCTCACCACGAGCACTGAAAATCCTGTCCAACCACCAGCACTTAATATAGGTCGCAATATGTACTGATTGTGTGTCTACCTGAGGTCATCTAAGGACAAGCAACCTACGAACTCATAAACAAAAATCCAGAGGCAAGAAGGTGAAACCTTTGCAGTTTCCTAATGTGCAATGTACTGAGTGGACGAACTTGGTCCAGACAGTTGTCCTTGAAAGAATTGGTATAGTATAGACAAGCGTATCTTCATGCAGCGTACATTAATGATTACACGTCACCGCGACCAGGCGGACACCGCGTGTCCTGGTCACAACTGGTCCAGCACCCCCCAAGCTGGCGCAGACGGAGGAGCCCCGCCACTGGTGCATGACAGACGTCTATTTCACCTGCAGATGCCTAATCCCAAGCCCCAAGAGCTCATGCAGGGAAGGTATGCCCTCCACAGCGAGCCATGCGATGCCTGCAGATCACGATCGGTCAGTCTTCGTGCCTGAACGTAAAAGAGCCTGGGAAGTGCACAGTCATGTGAAAACTTACCTGTATAAACCACCAGCTTGGTAACAACCTCGACGTCATACTTGACTCTCGGCTTGACCAGCCGCGAGAACATCTCCTTCTCACCTAGCTCATCCTCCTCGTTCTGCTGCAGAAAGATAGTGTCCCCCTGCACCTCCTCCGGCTCCTCCCTCACCATAGGCGTGCTGGGGCTAGGCGACCTCCGCAGGTCCGTGCTCGGGCGTGTGATTACGACGCGCGCGGCACCGTGGCCCATCTGGTGCTCATAATCTGCCAGGGCGGTCGACCTCCCCGTGGGGTGATGGTCCTTGTCCTCACTGCCCACGGCGGAGAGCGCGGCCCCGTCCGCCTGGAACCTCTCGCGCAGGTCGCCGTGGCTCTTCATGCTCCCGTTGGACCCGATGCTCTCACGCCGCCTGCGCTCCCTGTACGCCAGAGCCTCATACGCGTCGGCCGCGCTTTGCGGTCCGATTGACACGCTCCGGCCCCTGATCGGCGCCCTCAGCGTCTTAACGAATCCCGGGAAATCTCTCATGGTGGGCAAGACGTTGTCTGTGCGTAGCCTGAGGAGGTTGGGGATATTCTTGTATTCGGAAGCGGGTACAAAGAAGCGTCGCGGAAGCGATACGCCTAGCCGCTCAACGAATCGGAACACATAGGGCAGAGACTTGAGCAGGAAGGGCTTCGTGGTCTCGCGCCATGCTATGATCGTCAGTACGCCGAAGACAATGCGCCCGATCGTCATGGGCCAGCTGAGGCCCGGGAAGGGGCCGTCCAGGTTCCCGGCCCCCAGGTGCCACAGGCCGGCCTCCAATCCTATCATGACACCAGCGAACGCGACCGAGTCATCGAAACACGGACAGTCATCCGCGGGCTCAGGGTGAACGCGCACGAGGATGATGATAGCCAGGGCGACAAGCAACGGCGCGGTCCAGCCACTAGCTTGGAGGTATGCGTCGAACGGCGGGCCGTAGTAGAACTCGATGAACGATATGACAGCCCCCATAGCAGAGCCAATAATGACATCGAGGAATCCATGCATGCCGCAGTAGAGACGACCGATAATGATAGACGCGGCATAGAAGTAACCTAATAGTTCAAGCAGTAATGCCGTCGTGGGAGAGAGAGTACTCTCGCCAGACCGCAGGCACAGCACAGCATACACAGCAACGGAGACGGCGTTTGCAGAATGTGTGGAAGGAAAGCCGTACTCAAGGGCTGCTGAGCCTGACATGGTAATGCGGTTCAGCGGAGGAGACAGAGGCCGGGGCAGCGAGAACATGTCCTTAATAAACCCCGTAAAGAACACCCCTTCGGCCAGGATATGTACGAGGCCCTTGCCGAACGCTGGAAACCCACACCAGAACAAGATAGGCAGGCCGATCATGAAGAAAGTATGGGTGCCGAGGTTGGCCGTGATTGCGAAATAGCTATCGAGGGCGGGCGTGCGCACGGCGTCCTGGAAGTATGCGAGGTAGGGCGTTTCCCAGCGGATTAGAGGGAGCATCGCTTGCCGGAGGTCGTAACGCCATGATGGCAGTGTTTGTCTGTCTGTTTGGCATGATAGTTAGCGAAATAACTCCAGACCAGACTGCTGGGCTGCTGGGCTATTTCCCAAGCCAAGGCGAAGTGCGCGGGAGCATGCGATAGCACGGGAGGCGCACGATGCGCCTGGCGAGGAGGAGCTTGCAGGCAAGCATGTCGGCAGCAGACAGGCGCGAAAGCCGCTCCCAGACGGACGAACGGACGGATGATTGGCGACATACAGTGGTCCAGGCTCCTCAGGCCAGCATCGATGACTTCCTTCTTGTCGTCGTGACCATTGGGCAGACCCGAGTCTGCGCTGTGCAGATTAGAGTTGGGCGGGGCATCGTGGAGCTCTGAGCCTGAGCCGGAGCCACGATGTGTTCGATTCATGGACCACGGATAAGTTCCACCTTCCTCCTCATGTGTTCAGTGTGCCTCTGTCCGTGATGCTGCGCTTTAGACACACAAGCGAAAGAGGCATTGACCGGGTCGAGAGGGATGACGTGAACTCGGTCGGGCGCGAAGGCTAGGCGTGCGGACCAGGAAAGATAGTGAGGGTTGATACGGGTATCGATAAGATCGCGAGGTCAGAATCGAGTCGAGTCAAGTGGGATGGAGTCGATTCGAGTCGAACCGTGCGGTGCAATGCAATGCAATGCTATGCCTATGCTATGCAGCGCCGGGCGGTGCGATCCCCACGGTGGAAACGAACGATGGGGACGTCAAATGAGGAGGGAAAACAGCTGTTGTCCAAGTCCACGACCCCAGTCCATAACTCCAGTGCTCGTGACGTGTGAGAACAGCGTGGTGGGCAAGGATGAGGAACAGCAATCTTCCCAGATCCTTTGTCTGTCACGTCAGGCAGGGCCCCGTTGGCATTTCGGGTTTTTGGGGGCAGGACCCCTGAAAAGAGCAAGCAAGCAAGCAAGCCATTGTTCCTGAGGTTGATGCGCTCCCCGCGGGTTTGCCTATCCTGGTGGGGCCTCCGCGACCTGCCCGCCAGTCCGCGGGGCCGAGACACAAGCGTACCTGAGATACAGTACAATGCGCTGCAGGTACAGAGAGCTCTGGGTAGTGCATTTAATACAGACACTGGCTTCACACACCGTAGACATATCCACTACATCATGGCGTCTTCAACGTCTCATACATGATGCCAATTAATACCCGAAAGCTCACGAAAAACTACACAGCTTCAGGCCTACATAAGCCATGATATCCCTCGCAGGGAAAGCCGCCCTCATCACCGGTGGGAGCCGCGGCATCGGCCTGGCAATAGCCACCCGCCTGGCCAACGAGGGCGTCTCATGCCTCCTGGTCGCCCGCAACGCCGACACCCTCAAGGCAGCATGCTCTCAGCTGCCCCAGAAGACAACAGGAACACGGCCACACGGCTTTTTTGCGGGCGAGGCTGGCGACACGGCCATTTGGGACTCCATCGGGCGACAGCTGGCAGCCGACAAGAACGAGGTCGACATCCTCGTCAACGCAGCCGGCGTCTCGCAGAACTCGCTGCTCGCGCGCACCACCGCGTCTGACATCTCCACCATCCTGGATACCAACCTGCGCGCCGCCGTGCTGGCGTCCAAGGTCGTCGGCAAGCAGATGATGCGCAGGGACGCCGCCGCCCGCCGGGGCTGCAGCATCATCAACGTCTCAAGTGTCATGGCTTCCAGGGGCGGCACAGGCGCGTCTGTCTACGCGGCGAGCAAGGCGGGCCTTCTCGGTGAGAGATGCTCTTTTTCCCCATCTTGCCATCATTATTGAATGACCTCCTGGGGAGGTTGAACAACACAATTGGACCTTCTTCTACCTGTCTGTGGTCTATTGCTAAACGGAAATCAAACACCCTCCCAGGCCTCACGTCTGCCCTCTCTCAAGAGCTAGGCCAGTTCCAAATCCGGGTCAATGCCCTAGTCCCAGGCTACATCCAGACCCAGATGATCGAGAGTAAGTGATTGACCTCAACCTTTCGAGGGAGGGCTTTTTCGTGTTCCTTTTGTTTGATCTCTGTTCTTTTGTTTCCAATGCTCTGCCTGTGTCCATCCTTGGCCGCCGGCCAAATCTGTACTCAAAGTAGCAATGGACAGCCCCCTCTAGGACAACCCAAGTGTCCCATAGCCCCATCCTCCGTGTCGAGGGCCCCCTAGCCTCACCATATCATTACAAGTTATCAAGAGCTAATGTACATGTCCTGTCAGACCTCAATGAAGAGAAGCTCAGCAGCCAGATTCCACTCGGAAGGGTAGGCAGAGCCGAAGAGGTCGCAGACGCCGCCTTTTTCTTGGCCACAAACTCGTATGCCAACAATTGCATCCTCAACATTGACGGTGGGTTGAGCGCGGCCAATCAAGGTTTCGTAAGCCGTGGGAGTTCGTGAGCGATGCCAGTCTCCAGTGGCACGTTGCGAGATGCGGAGTTCAATCGTCGTCGATCATGATGGCGCCACTGCCGCCGTCGTCATCCACGAGGACCGCGTCCTCGCCCTTGGCAGTCGAGTCCCCAGTTTTCCTGACTTTCTTGGGACCTGGCTCTTCAAGATCGTCCTCGTGTTCCCTCTTGTTCTTCCGGCTACTCTCATCAGGCTCATGCTTTCCATTAGATGAGGGCACAGCTGTCGAGGTTTCTGCGGCCTCCTGCTTGGGCTTTTTGGGTATGTCGGGCTTGTCGTCTGAGAGAGCCTTAACCGGCTTTTCAGGTTGCTTTTCCTTCCTACGAAGCTGTCAGTCAGCTAGCTATAGAGCATGTAGAGAGACGAGGAACTTACGCTTCCTGAATGTGAAGGACAAGGTTGACGAATGGCTCGGCGTCATCTTCATCGGTGACAGTCAAGAAGGTGTCAGGCTTGATACCTAGGATGGGTTAGTGAGCAGTTGAGAGAAAAGAGATCAGAAGAGGTGCGTACCCAGGTCGGTCAACTTCTTGGAGAGGTGCTCGGTCTCGTCAGGGTCATACAAGATGCCCGCGTCCGTGCTTACAGCTATCTCCTTCTCGCCATAGCCCAGTTGGAGTCTCAAAAAATCCTCAACCAGATCCTTCAGGGTCGCTTGAGCGAGGTCGACGTATGCGCTGGTCTGGAAGACACTGCAGACAGGACAATTTGGATTTGGCGCCTGTGGTCGGTCAGCCGAGATGAGCCGGGCTGGTAAGCCCGACGAGAATGGTGAGAGGAAGGCCTGGACGCGGTCAGCAATTGATGATCAGTACAAGCAAGGTGGCGGCGGTGACTTACCTCTTTGGCTTTGTTGTACTCTCCCTTCAGGACCTTGTAGGCCTGTAGCACACAGAGACCGGCAACGATAGCATTAGTGGTCGCAATGGCCGGTATGATATTTCCAGCCATCTGTTTGATATCGAAGCGAGACTTCCGCTCGATGCTGAAAATGGTGGATCGGATGTTCGCGCTGGCTGCAACGAAATCGAGCGTGTCCTCGTCATCCTTGTCGAACTCGATCATAGGTGTAGGTCCCGAGCCGTCATGTGATTTCTTCAGGTCGGCCATGCGCTTGCTCAGACGGTCCAAGCTGTCGTTGAAGACGACAAGGCTCTCTTCGAGACTCCAAACCTTTTGACCATCCTGCAGAATTGTGTCCTTGGCCGCTATGGCCTCGCCTGCCTGTTCAAGCAACGTTTTGTAGTCCAATGGCTGAGGTGCTTGCCTCGATTTCCACATGTCTTCCATTGAGCATAACCGCTCTATGTCTGTCTTGAACACCTTGTCGAACAGCAACTGAGGGAACTGACTCGAGCCAACAGACTCGCGAATCGACTTCAGAGCCTCAGATTCCTTCTTGAGCTCCTCGATCTCCTTCGCGTTGTCTTGGTCGTCTGTATGATCGAAGGCAGACTCATCCTCGCTAGCACCGAACATCTCGTTCAGCAAGTAGCTTTTGGCCCAGACTATGCAATGGATCGGCTGACTTGGCGTGCTTCGTATCGTACAAACAGGGAAAGACTTTGGCGCATCTTTGGGAGTGCAATCGTAGCAAGCGGTAACGCCCTTCTTGATGACCTGGACCTGGCCATTGAATCCCGTGGTTCCGCTCTCGATCAAGGGTACGTCCGCCGCCAAGCACATCTTGTTCACATGCCGTCTCGCTTCCATATTGTCAAGCGCATTGAAAATGATGTTGAAGCCTCGAAACCACTCGACGTTGAATTGTGACTCCTTGATGTTTGCATGATGTGCCTCGATCTTGACCTGGGGGTTGAAAGCCTGCGCGACATCTTTTGCAACTAGAGCCTTGGGCTTTCCGATATGGTCGGTGCGGAAGAGGAACTGTCGGTTGAGATTGCTTAGATCGATTGTGTCAAGGTCAACAACATGTATTTCGCCAAAGCCTTGGAGGACTAGGTTCTTGAGGAGTTCGCAGCCGATGCCACCAGCACCAACCAAGAGGGCTCGAGACTGCAAGCAAGTTAGTTTGATGACATTCGGGGACTGCGCATCGACTTGAACCATTGTGATGGGAAGCGCATGAAAGGGTGTTGAAGAAAGCGAAGGCGAGGAAGAGTCAGTCCTGGTCCAGGCTTCGCTATGTTGCATGCGCAAGGTAGCGCTCAATGTACGGGAGTACGGGAGGAAGGGCAGTGAAAGTCATGTGCGAGAGGGAGGCAATTGCAGAGGGGTCCACGCACGGCTTTGACCTGAGAATTTAGCGCTTTCCCAAGCGATCGTTGGTTGAAGACGTCGCGGGTCATTACTGCAGGCTGCCGTGCCACGCCGGCCTGAGGGGGTTGTTGGCCTTGGGTTACCGGGACGGTGTGAGTCGTGGCAGGGCGAGGGACATTCGGAGCAGCTGCTGGAGGCTGGGCAGCGGGTTGAGCACCAGAAGGAGGTGCTGGTTGTTGTTCTGTAGAAGCAGCCGAAGCTGGAGGAGCTTCACCCGTAGGAGCGCTCATTGTGTCGCAAAGGGCGCCTCAAACGCGCATGCAGTCGATGGTGGTACGGTTCAGTGGAGGGAGTCGAAGGAAGATGGATAGATGTAGGTCTTGCAACTGGCACTGCGCTAGACGGAAACGATGTCGTGTGCCGGGTAACGAGACAAGGATCGAGTCGATTCGTCGCAAGTCGGGGGTCTCAGATAAAGTCAATCGGAAGAAAAGCTGTCAGCAGAGGTCGTCTATGCAGTGTGTTGATTCGCATCACGCTTTGTACTGTTGATCCCTCTGCCCCAACCTCGAGAGGCCAAAGCCCGACGTCTGCAGATTCCAACCAAGGTTGGTCGTTGGTCTGGAGCTCTCAGGCAGGAGCTAGCTAGCCCTCTTACCCGACAGGGGTCTGACACGCTGGGGGCCTGACGTATGTGCCCACCCACAGCAGGTGTACAGTACCCTGCACCGCAGTTCGTAAAAGCGCCCCGAGAGCCCCTGCCGTTCACCCAGCGCTTCTTCTAGGGTGCGGTCAAAAAGCGGCAGCTGATGAACGCTTCGGTAGGGCTGAGGCGACAGTTTCGTTTCTGCAAATGTTTTTCTGGTTCTTGAGACTGAGGGGCACTTGAATTGGTCTGAATTTTGTCTTGTAGCGAGCATAGAACAGGATCGAAAGAGGAAATGACAAAGTCCATCACTACACTCAAAAAACTATGAAGCCTATCAATACCAACTCAGATGGCCAATGCGACCAAAGGCTCATTATCACCATTCCCGGTTTCTCCTTAACAAATCTCTCAAGCGAACAAACTTATCTTCATCAAAGGGCTTTCAACGTCCCTCCCACTTCCAATCACCCCATCTCAGACCTCCGTCTTGTTTAACGCACTTTCTGAACACCACAAAGCCTCAACTTGTACCCTGCGCAGCCAGCAGAGCCATGTCTGACGACGAAGCTGATCCCGAGCTCTTGGAGCTGCTTCGTGCCCATATCCTAGGGAAGCCCAGCGCAGACGCTGACCCTGAGACAGGCGTGCTCGAAGGCGCCGAGTATGTCTACGACAATTCCATCGACGTGGCGCTGGACATGTGGTCATGCAAGACGGCCGCCAATGCAATCTACAAGCAGATGCAGGAGAAGAGCTACTCCACGGCCACATGGTCCGAGCATGAGCTTCACCCCAAGGCCAAGGACGAGGCCACCGTTGACTTCATCTTCACAATGGACCTGCTGAACTTCTCATTCTGGTCGGAACTTTCCGATGACAAGCGGTTCGCTGTATCCTACAAGGACAGGACCTGGACCGGGTACTGGAGCTTGGTAGCGGCCCTGCAGCGGGCTCTCGACGAAGGTTGGTTTGGCGGCTTCGTGACCGCTCTTTTCTGGACCTGGCGGTTGACACTAAGATTCTTCCAGACATTCCCATAACCAGTTCCGACTTCTGGCAGAGCGAGGACGAATGCACGTTGGACCTCCTGAGACATGTCTTTCGGTCCACGACAGACGAGGAGATACCCCTGCTTGAAGAGCGCCTCGCCTGTCTGCGTGAGGCTGGGCAGGTCCTTTACGAGGTAATTCTCACCCATCTCCTATGTATGCACGGTATTCAGCCTAAAAGGATGTTGGCCTGTGGTAATTGGGCTGCATGTCTTGATCCAGTTTCTGGAAGCCTCCTTCTTGAGCCCACCAATATGGTAAAGGCCCAGGCCAGAGTGGCCACAGTGGGGGTGATATTGCTTTTTGATACCCATCAAAGCTGTACCCAAGCTGTTTCGGAAAATGCAGGCCTGACACGATACTGACGGCGGCCTACAGAAATATTCATGCAGCTTCACCAACTGCATTAAAGCCGCGAACGGCTCTGCGGCTGGCCTCGTGAACCTACTGGCCGATGACTTCGCCTGCTTCCGAGATGAGACCAAATTTGAAGGGCGGCGGAAACCCGTCCGCTTCCTCAAGCGGCCGCAGATATTGGTCGCTGACATCTGGGCTTGTTTCCAAGGGGAAGGCTACGGTGCATTCAGAGATATTGACAAGATAACAATGTTTGCGGACTACCGAGTCCCACAGATCTTGAACACCATGGGGTGTATCTTTTACAGCCCCACCCTCAATGAGGTTGTGAAGGAGAAGAAGCTCATCGAAAGCGGGAGCAGCTGGGAGGTTCAGCTGAGAGGTAAGATAGCCCTCTTCAACCTTTCACCGGGCATTCTAGGGCTGACAGACGGTGAAGCTTGCAGCATTTGGTGTGTGGAGCTCATTCGAAGGGATATTAAACGGACCCATCCAGAAGTCGAGATCAACGCCATCTTGATAGACTTCTTCTTGTACGACCTCATGAAGGACCTCGAGGCTAGGGGCCAAGAATCGATCCCGCACCACCGAACAAGGAGTATCTGGTACTAAGCGAGGGAGAAATGTCTTCGATTTAATAGCATGATGCGCTCGTATTGTGCGCATGTCGTGGTGAACTTGCTGCAGAACTTCAAGTTTTTGGGATACCCAGCCAGATTGGCTCCGTTTGTTTTTGCAAAAAAAAACCCTAGCCAGGCCATAGACTCATTACCTGACAGTAAACGCCCTTCGCTCCAACTATTTCGCCCATCTGTGATCCCTTTGGCCCAGACCCAGACCATGACTCGTCGCCGCCTAGAGCTCACATTTCCGTCGTGCCTTATAACTCCAAAACCCAAAACACAGTGGCGAACCTTCTCCCAGGGCCTCCTAGAGACTACCTATAGCCGTTGACTCCATGAGCCGGTCCATGGCGGCCCTCTCAATCTCCTTGTTCCCCCGCTCCTCCTCCCTCAACAGCACGGCCAGGACCTCTATCGGGGGGTTCAGACCCAGCTTCTCAGCGCGGTGCCACCGCTTTGCGCGGGGGATACCGATGCACGGTCCGTACTGTGAGCTGACGTCGAAGTATCGCAGCACCTTCTCCGCCTGGCTCAGATCATCCTGGTGCACTCGCTTCGCAATGCGCGTGGCCTCGACCCCCTTCCAGTAGCGCTTGATTTGTGCATCGGTGACCTTCTCTGCGCTCAGCTCCGCCTCGCTCTTCTCGAGCTCGGGCACCGGCTGTGTTGGCAGCACTTCCTCTAGCTTCTCGACCTGAAAGTCCTCCACATCCTCCTGCGTAGGGGATTGGGCTTGGGGTTGCTGCTCGACTTTTGCGGGCGTGGGAGTAGAGAGCTTATCCTTCTTGCCTGATTTGGCGGTGCCAGTCTTGGTGACTTTGTGGTTGAAGCTGAGAGTGGATTGCTGCTTGCTTGCCGCAGCTCGGGCGGCGGCGCCGCGGGTGGACGACTTGCGGGTTGCTGGCATCGTGAAATGAGCTGCGATGACGTCGACGTGGGGTTTGAAAGGTCGAAGTAAGTTCGTATCTGAGAAAGAGCGGTATGTAAAAGGTGATGGGGTTGTGTTTGGGTCAAGAGCCGTAAAGACAATTTCAGGTCTTTGTTCGATTGTATGATGGTTGGAAATGACTGGAAATTGAGAGGTTGGCGCTGATGCTGGTGTAGGGAAATCCGGGGTAAATGATGCAGGCACTTTACGCCCTCCGCCTACTGCTGGCAGGGCAACTCGAACCTGTCGCGAAAGCATCTGACCTCGAAACCTGGACCCTTGTTAGCCCGCCGGAGGGAGCCCCCCACCCCGAGCTCGCGGGGAGGAAGGGGGGGGGGGGCAGGGACCTAGTATCCATTCCATGGCATTCATAGTCTACACTATTCCGTTCTCCAGCCAATGCGTGGGATTTATTGCTGACTTCTGAATCTTGCACATCGCCGTGATTGAGAACAAGTTGGCATTTCTAATGCATCTTGCCTGACACAAGGTAGTCACGAGTTGATCAACTTGGTCAGCAGGAGAGAGGAGCAGATGCGCCCATCATATTGGTATGTGAGCTACCGTTGAATCCTGCTATCAGTGATCAAGACTCAGCAACACCAAGTAGCATATGCCATGTCTTCCGGGCTTTTGGCCCTTAATTTGTCTATGGTCCGCGTCCTGCAACATCGTCTAATCGTTGCTTCCTCCCAGACCTCAAGGTCTCAGAGTTACGGCTTTCATTCACAAGAAAGCTGCCTTCCAGATGATGGATGCGTGACCAAGTCACGGTCAGCCAGCTATACACTCAAACTTTTCCACCCTCGCGGTAGAACGTCAGGCTCCGGTTCGCACCAGCCGTGCAGAACATCTCCCCACGATGCGCCGCCGCCTTTGGCAACCATCGCACGCTCCAAAGAATCTTATCCGTCTCGCTGTGTGTCGCGACACAGGCACCCCGATCTATCGACCACACCTTGACCTTGCCATCTGTGGATCCAGAGAGCAGATACTCACCCGTATCCGACCAGTCCAGGGAGGTAATCCATGCCGAGGATGTGCCGCCGCTGTTCAAGATGCCCACATGCTCTCCGGTCGTGACATCGTAGATGGCGATAATGCCTGCGTCGCCAGCCGCCGCGAGGCGAGTATTTCCTGGTGAGAATGCGACTGCTCTCACAGGTTTTGCAAGACCTGCGTGAACGTTTAGTTTGGAACTCATTTCCTTGACACAAAGAGGGGACTTACCAGACAGCGAGTACTTGAGATGTCCTGCGTCGTTGTTGAACACGTAGACCGACCCGTTCTGGTGCCCACTCGCTGTCAAGCGCCCGTCGGAGCTCAACGCCACGGACAGGCCAAAACTACCGTTCCCACTGCCTCCCGTCTCGTAAGTCTGCACGACGCTCTTTGACTGCAGGTCCCACACGTGTATTCTTCCATCATGGGTTGTGCAGGCCAAGTAATTCTCGTCACAGCTGAGTGCCACTGCCCAGGTGTCGGCCACACCTTTGGTCTTGGCCTCGGATGGAGTAATATCATAGTCGAGCGAGAAGTCGCCGCTGTCCGGGTTCGACCGCCATACTTTTATGTCACCACCGAAGCCGACAGACGCGGCTACGGTGCCGTTTGAGCCGCGGGGAGCAGTTGCGACATGGTGGCAGCCGAGCTTGTGTGCCGATAGAGATTGGGAGATGGAGAAGGTTCCTGAGGCGTCATTGATTCGATGAACATTGATCGTAGAGGAACCGCTGGCAGAGAAGAGCACGTTTGGAGTTGCCGCTAGGGAGAAGATGTCGGTGGTGTGGGCTGCAAGGGTGGTGTCAGCATCGAAGTGCAGCTCGGAGGGGACAGTTGGTGGATTCTCAGGGCCTGGGACGCACCATTGTCCACCGTATGGGTGGTGAGGTACTGCTTCGACTGGAAACAATGTCAGTCTATATGTAGCGGTGAAGGAATTTGCTAGAGATCGAGAGCCTCACCATCGCTACCGTTCCATGTGCGCGTCGTTGTCGCGAAGTGTGAAGCTTGGAGAAGCGGGAAGTTTTGGTAGGGTCCAGGTGATGTCACCAAGGAAGCTCCCAAGCGAATGCACAACAGTGGGCGGTACAAAGCGATCGAATTAATTATTGCCGAAAGACCTGATTTTGAAGTTTTGCATGGTAATATCTTTCAAATTTTGATTTTTCATTTTTCATTTTACATCGAGGTTTGTCTTCGACATAACCTTCGAAAGCAGTCCTATGCCTCAGCAGGACTGCCCCGCGGCCTTCCCAACGTCCGATGATGGGCGAGCCGACTATCCACTGCGGCCTGCCAGCCACAAGCACAATGCTTAGACCTCGAGGTCATGTTCTATATCGCGCTGGACGTGATTACGCTGCTGGTATCAGAACACCATCATCTCCTCCTAGCCCGGGCCGAGACTCATATACGACATAGCCTCCTATGGTCCACTTCAGGCCGGACTCAGCTTCAGCCTTCGCGACAGCCGGTATTGACCCCTCAAAATCTGGCTAAGCATGATCCATTTATACACATGGGCTTCAATCAAATACCCGTGACTCCAATACCATATTGAGTGCTTTGTTGTTCATTCCACATCGATCGTCTTTTCTATAGTCGTCTCTGCTTTCTTCTCCTGGCTTTTCTTGTCCATCATGTTCTTCATTTCTACACATGTCCGTTAGTTGTGACTCTGTGCTCTGATCCACGAAGTAGGTTGATCTTACTGTTCATACACGTCTCGCACAGATGGTGCATTCTCTTCGTTCCTCCGCAGACGGGGCATTTGCACAAGTTGTTGACGTCCTTGAGCGCTTTCCCTGCCATTTGCCTATGCCTCTTTTTGGAATGTGATGTCTTCTTCTTGGGCACAGCCTTCAAGATGCCTTCCCAAATTCCTTCCAGTATGTCTGGGATGGATGGGAGATTCAGAGAGATGGCAGGTATGGCGAGCGAGTATCTCGGCAGAAAAGGCAGCGATATTTGTCTCATGTAAAGCGATGTGAATCTGTATGGCGAAAATAATGTTGGAGATGACAGTCGAGGGAGGAAGGAGGAAGCCGCCCTCGTGGGCAACATTGCGCCAGCCATGCTGCCAGTTCGAGATCGAGACGCTCGGTGTCTGCAGGAAGGGAAGTCTTCGACGCCACGTCTGAGGATTTGTGGATTTGATATGCCCCCCAGGCAATACTGGGTAGATCGACTTCAATGCGTCTGGCGCAAGGTAGAAAAGAGTCGTCACTGGGCCGCGAGATGGAGCGCAAGATGTGGTACTGTCGCGATGTCTCGTTAGGCCATCGTCCAGAAAAATTGCTAGCGCGACAGTCAGTCAGAGAGCTGCTTCCCCAGCCGAAAACTGACAGGGGGTGAGGTGCTGTGGAAGCTCAGGTCACCCGCAAAGCTCCAGTTATGGCGCTTGGACGTTTTCGAGCCAATTGAAGGCAGGGTCGGTTCTTAGCCCCTTTCCTGTGAGATGCGACCCCTTTCTGGCTCGACTGGGCAGAGGCGGAAATTATTGTTTGGCAGCAATTCCTCCCAACCCGACTTGACTGGCTGAATCTCATCTCCACGGATTGCACACAGTCGGGAGGGATCACCATCACCATCAACCATCATCAATCGACCAATCCACCTTCACTCGTTCCTTAACTTTTTCTTACCTTTCTCTTGTGGCTTGACGAACCATCCCACGATACCCTCTACATTCGGTTACACCGTCTCAATTCTTCTTCTTACCCGACTTAACTACAACGTCTCCCTTTGACTCGGCCTCGTCCATCTAATCTAAACCCCATCCCTTTTGCGAAAATGGCGTCCATGCCTGCGGCTTCCATCTTCCCCCAGAGCCACGTCGGTTTCGACAGCATCACCAGCCAGATTGAGCGCAAGCTCTTGAAGCGTGGTTTCCAGTTCAACGTCATCTGCGTCGGTAAGCTCGCGCTATTTCCATCAATTGACGCCCTCGATAATGAGCAAACAGTGTGGCTAACGTGTCTCGTGTTCCTTGGTCGCAGGCCAAACTGGTCTCGGAAAGTCCACCCTCATCAACACCATCTTCGCTTCCCATCTTATCGAGTCTAAGGGTCGTCTTGTCCCCGACGAAGTCATTCGATCCACCACCGAGATTCACCCTGTGTCACACATCATCGAGGAGAATGGCGTCCGTCTTAGGCTCAACATTGTCGACACCCCTGGCTACGGTGATTTGATCAACAACGACCGCTGCTGGGACCCCATCGTCAAGTACATCAAGGACCAGCACTCTGCCTACCTGCGAAAGGAGCTTACCGCCCAGCGTGAGCGCTACATCCAGGACACCCGCATTCACTGCTGCCTGTTCTTCATCCAGCCAACTGGCCACTCCCTCAAGCCTATCGATATCGTCGTGCTGAAGAAGCTGTCCGATGTTGTCAACGTCGTTCCCGTCATTGCCAAGGCCGACACCATGACTTTGGAGGAGCGCCAGGCGTTCAAGGAGCGCATCAAGGAGGAATTTGCTTTCCACAACCTGAAGATGTACCCCTACGACAACGACGAGTTTGACGACGAGGAGCGTGCTGTCAACACTCAGATCAAGGTACGAAGCTGCGTGGCAACGGAACAGATAATTTGCAGGTGCTAACATCCAGTTACAGAATTTGATCCCCTTCGCCGTCGTTGGTTCCGAGAAGTCCATTATTGTCAACGGTAACCAGGTTCGAGGTCGTCAGAACCGTTGGGGTGTCATCAACGTTGAGGATGAGAACCACTGCGAATTCATCTACCTGCGAAACTTCCTCCTGCGAACACACCTCCAGGACCTTATCGAAACGACGTCCCAGATCCACTACGAGACTTTCCGTGCTAAGCAGCTGCTGGCACTGAAGGAGGGAAGCGCACAAGGTCACAGCAGCAGCAGACCAATCAGCCCGGCCGCGGACCGGGAGCTTAGCCGCAGCTCTCAACGCATGACCATGAACGGCTACTAGGAGGAGCCGCTCCGGAAGCGAACGATCGATGAGAGCGTCAAGTCCGGCTATGTCGGCGTATGAAGGAGCAAGCGGCGCGTTTGGCTGCCAGGATCACGGCTGTTGATGGCGCAACCGCAATATTGCTGGTCATCTGCCCCTCGACCCGATGCTTTTGTGTTTGCTGCGAGCGGTTGTTGGGCGCATGAGGGACGAACCTATTTCCCACCGGACTGGACTATTACGCTTTATTTCCTTTTAGTACTCCAGAACTTCCATCCAGAACTTTTTTTCTCTCTTTTTTTCTATTTCTTAATCCAGCCCCCATTTTGTACTCTAATTAGAGTCTAGTCTTGATACCTGATGGAAATACATATTGAGATGTTGAACAGACACTGCTATTTTTTTATTGGTGACTGTTCTTTGCAAGATTCTATGTGAGGTATCATCGAGTGACTGCGATGCTGTAGGGTATCTTTGTGGTTCAGAAGTCCCGGGCAGGCCCATTTACGCGTCTAGAGGCTTGTAGACAAAGTCTTCCAGCTCTTTGTATGCTTTGTCGAGGTCATCATTGACAATCTATGAGGCCCAGGCATAAGTATTTAGATCTTCTACATTGATAGACGGAGCATTGAACTGAGGCGGCGCAGGTCGGCCCGCTACACCACGGGTTTCTTTGGCAGCACCAGGAAATATTGGACGCGAAGGACTTACAATTATGTCGTGGACTCCGGGAGTCTTGGAGTACTCGAGCTCCAGCCTGTGTGCCAGTGTCAGTACAGTTACCTAGCGAGCGAGAAAGCAGGCACGAAAGGGCTCCTGGCCCTAAGGATGACGTACTTGGCCTGTGTAAGCCTCTTCTGTATGCTCTCCTCCTTCTCGGTGCCCCTGCCCCTGAGGCGCTTCTCCAGCTCCTCCTCGCTGGGCGGGGCGACGAAGACGAACCGCGCGGGGATGTCGCTCTTCTTGATCTGCTTGACGCCCTCCATCTCGATGTCCAGCACCACGACCTTGCCCTTCTCGCCCTGCTCGCGGATGGTCGACTTGGAGGTGCCGTAGCGGTTGCCGCCGAACTTGGCGTGCTCGACGAAGCCGTCCGCGGCGATCAGCTCCTCGAACTCCGGGTGGCTGACGAAGTGGTAGTCGACGGCGTGCTGCTCCCCCTCGCGCGGGGACCGCGTCGTGTGGCTGACGGAGAGCGTGAAGGTGTCCGGGTGCTGCGCGAAGAGCATCTTGAACAGCGTGCCCTTGCCGACGCCTGAGGGGCCGGAGATGACGATCGGGCGGCGGTCGGGTGGGAGGTCGGGGGCCATGGTGTGAGCTTTTGTGTTGTGGGGGCAGATGAGAGATGGGAAGAATGTTTTGGTTGCGCTCAGGCAGCTTCGAGGAAACAAAGGATGTTGAGTTGAGCTGGCAATTGTACGCACAACACGGGGAAACATGAACAGAGCTGGGTCAGGGTGTTAGCTGGCTGACTTATGCAGTACTCGCCTCTCAATGCACGCATGAGGCCCAGGAGACTGTGACTGTTTCGGGGGGACCCTGATGGAGTGGGACACTGGGCAGTACTGCGAAATTCTGAACATGGTAGGCGGTCAAGACAGGTGTGCACTTCGCTCTCAGGGTCCGGGTCAGAGGCACGACGCGTCTTCTGCCTCCCAAAGCTAAGAGAGACGCGCTCGGCTCCGAGTGAACGGTTCCTGGAAGCTGTCGTGGCGGCTATATAGCTTTGCTACGTCTCCTCTCAACTTAAATAGTTGTTTTATTTCTCCTCAAGTTTGACCGACCTCAGTAAAGCCTGAGTTTGCAGTCATGTTTCCTCGATCAATGGGCCGTCTTGACTATGTCAGTCTCCAACCCGCCTCCTGAGACCGCGGTGGTGGCGGCCGATCCCACGAAGCCATTCGAACCTCGTTCCTTGATATCTGAGATTCTCCGCACTCGCCACTGCATCCCAGGCTCCATATTGCTCGTGGAGGGCATTGAAGCGCATGTTCCTGTTTCAAAGCGCTATCGCACAGTCCGCCTGCTTCTAGGCGACGGGGACCTATGTATCCAGACACTGCTCCGGACAGAAATGCACCGATTTGTAGACACTGGTCGGATATTTGTGGGATGCTACGTACGACTGAGCAGATTTGATGTACAGTCCGTCGAGTTGAAACCAGATGATGGTGATGGCACGAATGGCCCGGGGGAAATGGTTTATCTAGTCGTGAAGGACATGGTTACTGTAGGATGGAACACAGCATATATGCAGATGGCTGGTACGACAGGACAAGAGCGATCGCATGCCTCTGAAGCCGCATCGACAGGCGACAAAACCAGCTTGGGAATTGGTCGACCAAATCACGGTGTGCCAGCCACTTATCCACGCGTCGATGCACCGAAGCCATCAATTGCAAAGCAGACCGAGGACCCCGGCTCCGACGAGGAAGACGCCTTTGAGAGCCGTCAGGTATCTGAGCAAACAGTCAAAGAGCGCCGCCAGGAAGCAGAGCTCCTCCGCCAGCAGCCCAGCTATAGCAGCGCGCTCCCCTGGGCTTCTGGCAACCTCAGCAAGCCCTTGAAACTCACACCACTAAAGTCCATCCCTCATCTGCCCTACAAGCAGAACTGGGCCGTCAACATTCTGGCCGTGGTCACGTGGCTGTCGGACGTGGAACCGGCACTCCTGCCGGGCTACGTGGGTAAACAGCGGACGGCGAGGCTAGCCGATCCGTCGACAGACAAGCAGGTACTGCTAACCGTGTTCCTGGACCCGGACGAGTTCGCTCCAGCCGTCGGCGGTGTGGTGCTGCTGCTCGGTGTCAAGAACCATAGATTTGATGGCGGCAGCCTAAAGAAGTACGGAAACGAGAGGCTGAGGGCGGGGATGAGCTGGTGGTTTGAGGACCCGGCCGATATCGATTGGTGTGATGTGGAGGGCTTGAAGAATTGGTGGAGTGGGAAACAGGTAAATGCCTCCTGACAGATATATGACAACGCTTCTGCATCTTTTGTTCACCGCGCCATCTCTGTGGCAGACGGCTGTTGGCGATGTTTCTGGCATTGTCCGCGTATATTCTGTGGGTTCATTGAGCTCCAGTACTTTTCCTCCAAAGCTGGGCCCCTATTCACATCCAAGGCAAAGCCCCGCGAGACCCCGTTCGTTATGTGACTTTTGTACATTAGACAGCATGTCTTGTCGCCCGCAACGCCTGTAACACGCTCCAACACCTGTAATACCGGTTCAGATACAATCATCTGTACAAATATCCTACAGCCAGCACCGGCCCCCAGACATCTCTCTTCTCTAGGTTTTCCAGCACGCGAGACCCTCTTCGACCCAGTATTGGCATCACTCATGTAGAGTCCGTGCAATGGACATATATTCGTATAGTCTACGCACCATCGTCGACCGAAATTACGTGCAGAACGGAATCGATGTAGAGCCGATTTTGCGCCCACGCCTTCACGCCAGGCTTGATCTTGAAGACTCCATGAGGCCCAATGACGAATTTTGGCTGGCCTGCGATCGAGACATGTAGCTTGCCACTGGCGACAGAGCAGTAGCGGGCTTTGGATGACGTAGCCTCAAATTCGAGTTTGTGGCCCGACTTGATGGTGTCTACACGAAATGAGACGTCGGCAGACACCGGGACCATCTGATTGTTTTCCAGGTATGACTTCGAAAATGCGATATCTAACCCCACATGGTCAGTGAATTTGTGATGGCTAGAAAGGCTGGGAAGAAACAGCAGTCAAACGAGACAGGCTCATGCACGGTGCGAGTTGAGTGCATTTGGTCGAGTGGTGTTTGCAGGGTCGAACGAGACATATCGATGAGAGTTTTGACTTACTATTGAGCTGGTCCATGCCATCTTCGCGAATGCGACCGGGTGCAATCTCCCAATCCTCCATCTCAAGCAGCTCATCTGAAGTTGGCTGGCCAGCCATGACTACCGCCGATGAAGGCATCGAGGAAAACGACGTACTGTGCTGAATTAGCTGTGCAGGCGACGGATTTCTTCTTGTTGAGCGGTCGGTGGCAGGAGGGGGTTTCTTCGATAAGAGCGGAGGCAAATCGACCTCGTCTTCCACGCCTTGATTTCGCCCAGTTCGTTGACGATGCGCCAGAGATTCTTCTTGATCATCGGATGAAGACAATCGGCGTTTCTTGTTTTGAGAACCAGCGCCGGCTTTCGCTGCAGATACAGCCCATTCAAACACAGGTGGAGGGGCCCCAAGGAATACTTTTTCGCCGGGTTTGGAATCACACCTTCCTTCCCAAGCAGATTTCACACTGCACTCGTGCCTCTTGTGGTTGAATAGGCAATTAGCACAGCACATCGCATACTTGTGAGATTCCCATGCAGCATTTCTCGGCAGGATCCAACAGCCTTCGAAGGGGCCCTCGCCTCTTGCGCAGAGAGAGCATGGCTTTTTGCCGCTCCCACCATTTCGACCAACACCGAGAACATGCACAAGCATTCCGAATACCTGGGAATAGTCATTGTCCAGCCTGCGCCTCATCCATGTCCTCCTCCACTGAACACTTTGAAGCAGTGGTAGAGCGAAAAGCCTGACAAGCTCTGCATCAAAAATATTGGGATCCATAGACGGAGGCAGGAAGGGCAGTATGTAATTCCAAATTCGTTTTGCCTGGCTGTGAGTGCCGACATCTGGAGTCTTCACTGCAGCAAGCTGTCGGACTTTTGCTGGTTCTGGATGATCCAGAGCCGTGTGCTTCAGCGATTGAGACTGGGGCTTCACACTCGTGTTGTCTACTCGTACATAGCCGGGAACTCTTGCTGCTGGCATGGGAGGTTCGTTTTGGTCCAGAGGGTTTTTCGATATGATCAGAGGCGCAAAGTAGTTATACCCCGGCGGTAGCTGGTTGTAAATTCCAACGATTGACAGCGTACCATTCTGGTTGTCATTCAACAAGGCTCCCCGATGCTTAGTCTGTGAGATGGGCTGTGAGCGAAGTGGCGTAGCGCATGCTTCATTGGGAAAGACTTACACAGAAATGAGATCCCAAGCCCGCAATCTTCTTAAATACGTTTCGGCAGGAACGGATGGGACATACCCAAGGACGGCCGGCAACGGATCGATCCAGATCATAGCCCTCTGGAATCAGGGCTCCACACATAGATATAAGCTCACGGTCCTTACCCTTGATCACCTTGTATGCGCGATCCTTACTCGCCATCTCAAGAGGGTGGATTTCAGACGCCTGAAAGATCCTCATGTTTAGTTGAAGAGCTTCTTCCCACTGATTTGCCGCCGTCATCCGAGAGGCCTGTTGCTGCTCAAGTGTCTTAGGCGCTTTACCACGCGCCCTGTCTGACAGGGCTTTGACATTGTAAGTCTTGCGCTTTGTAAGCCGATCTCGTTTGTCTCTGCGAGACACAACATCAGTGCAGTGACTACAGAAAGATTGCCCAGAGTGATAGTAGCAATTCGCACAAGCCAAAACGTGGTCTCGTGATTCTTGGCTTGCCTGCGCCGAGATCATCACGCATCCGTCGAACGGCCCCTTGCCTTACGCACAAGATGTACATGGCATGGAGGCCTCCACGCCCGTGAGCTGAACGATGAGTGCCGTTACATCTCGTGGGTGAGAATCCCGGTAGGGTCGGTCCCTCGTCCTGGGTTCATTCCATTTGATATCACGTACACGTGGGAGATGGATGACATGTCCGACCCAATTCGTGACCGGAATCGACTCATGCTTTCTGAGGAAGGGGCGGATGTATTGCCACATTTCATCAGCATTACCTGCTTGTGTGACTTCTGAGGGCACTGAAGGTAAAATTGGAGCGTTGACATCCCCCTTCACAAGGTCGTAACTTTCGGAATCCTTAGTCTCAGATTCTGCCTTGGTCTGTGATATTCTTGGGATGAATTTCCCTTTCCGTGTCGGCTCGGTAGGCTCCACCATCGGCGGCTCGTTCGGGTCCAGAGGTCGTCGACTGACGACGATAGGGGTGCAATTTCCAGGTTGGCTCCTCTTGCTGTACGAGCCAACTACTGACAGAGTGCCGTCCATATTGTCGTTGAACATAGATCTCTTGTGTGTGAACTTGAAATGGTTACCAAGACCGAAATGGGTTTTGTATACTTGTCTACAGGAGCGCACTGCACAGATCCAAGGGTAGCCCTCGATCTCGGTGCATCTCGTGTACCCATCCGGAAAGAGTGCGCCACCGCATTTTTCGAACGAAATACTCTCATCTGTGCAAGCAAATCAGTCAGAACTGTTGCAATGTAGAACATTTCAATCATAGCGGCCGGATGATGCGTACCAAACCAAGCGAGGTAGGGACGGCCAGAGTTGGCCATCTCCAAGATTTGCTTAGGGTAATCTTGTTCGTGTTGAATGTTGGCAGATGGCAGCGCGACCATCGGCTCTGCATCTGCAGCCGGTGAGGACTCTGATGACGATGACGAAGATACCGTACCGTCGTCATCGGTCTCATCCCCATAGTCGGACTCTTCGGGTGGGTGGAATAGTTGCCGAGCCGATTCATCTGCACCACGAGAAGAAGTTGACCCCATTGCCTCGTCGTCGTCAACGCCAGACCCAGTGTCATCGTCAGAAGAGTCGTCCTCCACGTCACCCTCGAGTACATCGTCTGGAATTGCTGACTTGGTAGCGGTCTCGTATTTGATCTCATCGTCCGAGGCTACTTCGGCATCATGAGTTGAATGAGCCACAACTTCAACAGGCTGCCCGTTGGGCAGACTTTCCACGTGCATGACCCCAGTTTTGCCATGGATCGGGGTTGGTGCTGGTTTGGGCGGTCCACCGATAGGACTATGAGATTTTGCAATGTTACCATTCGTGGAGCTCCCATACATCGAATCTCTACTTGCTACATCGCGTGTCAGCATTTTTGTACAGGCGATGCAAGGAGTATGCCATACAATCGGTCGAAAATTGGACGGAGGGGTTTGACCCTATTTTCTGCCCAGTGGTCGGCCCGTTTGATGTCGCCGGAAAGACAGGCCCACGGCTCTTAGGAGGACTTTCAGGTGCCTTCCACGAGCTGCTGCTGCTCTGGGGTATAGAACCCGTCTTCCTATTTGGTGAGGAGGCATTCTTCTGATGCAACGATGTAGGCGTTCGTAAAGGAGAAGCGGATCTGGTGGACGATATTGGAAAGTTCTGGCCGGTCCTCTTCATCTTCAAGATGGGCTTGATGACGGGAGGATGTCCATTATCCGCGGGTGACTGGCCGGGTGTTGAGCCACGATCATCGCCTGATGAGCCGTGCTGGCGGCTAGTGTCGCTGCTCACCCTGCCATTGAGAGCTGAAACAGACGTTGTGAGACTAGGCAGAGATTTAAAAGCCTCCGCAGATGAAGCATTTTGTGACAAGGCTTTTGCAACATGCTGCAAAGCCTGGGGTGCAGATGTGCTATTATGCGTGTTCGCGGCGGGAATCTGAGGCTCAGAAGCCTCATATGAAATGACGGACTGTGGCTGGGCAGCGCTTACAGGCGCCACGCCCGTCTGGGTATGAGAAAGACCGGCAATAGAGGGCTTCTGCTGCTTTGGCGGCGCGGGAGCAAGCTGCTTTCCATGATTGGGAGTGGTCGGAACGCCTTTGAGTGGCTGGGCACTCTTTATCACCTGTGGAACGAATTTGAAGGGGTGGGGTTGAGCGCCATAGGTGTCGCCAGACGCGTGCAACGCGTGCGACGCGGCCGAAACGGGAATCGCGCCGCCAGCCGAATCGAAGCTCGAGGGAGTCTGCCATGTCGATTGCGCACCGAGGGATGCAGCATTAAGGCGACTGGAATCGTCGTGGCCCGGCTTTCGAAGCTCTTGAAGGTCTGATTGATGTCTGTCCTCCTCACGCCTCGCGGTCGAGTGCGGTTTCGAGACAAATAACGGCCCTTGAGGGCCCCGAGGCCATTGAGGAGCTCCAGGCGCTCCTTCTCGTGGTTGCTCCATCTGCTGCCGCCTCCGGAGCACCTCAAACAGCGACGAAAATGTTAAATGCTCTGGATTTCCTCATAATAGTTTGTTGCTCTGGGATGTATCAAGTTTCATAGGAGTGGTTTTGTCGCCTAAGAATGCTATCGAAAGGGGTTAATACAGAAGAAAACTGTCTTTAGCGCTTCTTAAAGATGGATCCATGCTAGTGGGACTTTAAAAACGCTAAAACCGTTATAACTAATACATTTTAAATTTAAAAAAAATATAAAAATTAGAAAATAATACTTAATTAAAAAGCTTATAGTTATTTTTAAAATATAATTAAAGTAATAAATATCTTAAAGAATAAGTAAATATAGTATTTTTTTAAGGGGGAATAAAAGCTTTACAAGCCTGTCTATGAGAATCGAGTTAAATCCTATTTCCTGCAGCTTATAAAAGTACACCTGGTGCCGAAAGTGTCTCGATGGAGCCGACTCTTGCTCCTTCGAAGCATGAGAAGGAGGTCATTTGAGCCTTGATCACCAATGCCTTGATCAACTAGGGACCGGCATGATCCAGAGGTCGGTATGACCAAGAGGCCGGTATGACTCTTAGGTTGTAGCCCCCGAGGTCCCCAAGTGCGGTAGTTATAGTTTGGAGGAGCCAATCGCTGCACGCCCGGCCGCATCTTTCGAAAGTTGATTCAAGTCCAGCTGCTGTCAACCTGCTCGTCTCCAACATGACAAACGCGAGCTTTGCAACCCCCCTCTCCCAATCCACGCATTCGGAAATCCTCGAATGGCGATTTCCTGGTAAATACAAGCAATATGTTCTCACGGGCAAATCTCGAGCGGCATGGCATACCTCCTTTGTCATCCCGCAGCTCAATCTGCTCCTTGATGCAGGCATAATCATCAACAGACTGCGGCCCAAGCATATTTTCTTGACGCATGGCCACAGCGACCACACCCTCCTAACGCCAGCCTTCATCAAGCGCGATGATCCGCCCGACATATTTTGCCCCGTCGAGATGAAGAACGCCCTCGACGATTTCCTTAGATCAAAGACAATACTCAACAAAGGCGGCCTCGTGACGGCAGACGATACCGAGCAAGCCGGCTCCAGCGCGGCCGATGAAGATGAAGATGAAGATGCTCCCGAGGAGGGGTCTTTGCACGCGACCACCCAGAAGCGGCACTGGCTACAGACGCACGAAACACACGGCATTCGAGCCGGCGACACAGTCCCGCTGAGGCGAACAGTCGATTTTACAGCCGAAGCCTTCCACTGCGACCATCAAGTTCCTTGTCTCGGCTATGTCTTCAAGGTCCACTCCAAGAAGCTGAAGCAAGAATACGTGGGCAGAAAGGGTGTCGAGCTCAAGCAGCTCCGGGAGTCAGGTGTTGAGATCACCGCGCCACACTCTGCACCTGTCTTTGCTTTCCTCGGTGACACAACAGCAGCCACGCTTGCCTCGGAGCCTCAATGGCTTAAAGACGGCATCCCTGTCGTCATCACCGAATGCAGTTTCCTGTATGAGGAACACAGGCAGCAGTCCATCAAGACAAAGCACACCATTTGGCAAGATCTCGAGAAGATCATACGCAAGTGGCCGAAAACCACCTTTGTGCTAACGCACTTCAGTCTGCGTTACAGTGACAAGGATATTCGACAGTTCTTCGCCGAGATGCCCAGCCCGCCTCCTAATATCGTCGTATGGGTTGATGGATATCCTGAGGCAAAAGGCTGAATGCCATGTGCTTTCGTCTCTCAAGTTGTTTTCCCTCCATAGAAACACCATCAAGCTCCCTTCGCCGTTGATAGAGGCTCGAAGGAAGCACATCCAACTGTCATAGAGTTCCGCTAGGCGACAAAGCCTCCGAGATCTTTTAACCAGGGATCGTCGGCCCTGCGCGTTTACTGTTGCAATGGAAGTGAGTGATAAGTTTGCATGACGTAAGCTAAGCACGTTCACGGAGAGTCTTTCCCCAAGCTCGCGCTACGGAGACGTGCCGTCGGGGCTCGAAGGCTTATTCACAACTGCCACCTCCCCCCCCCCCCCGGGCCAAGTCAGGGATGGACAGCTTCGTCAGGAGACAGAATTCTTGGCTTGCCACAGGTAAAGTACCCTTCTCAAATGCCCTCCTCGATGCAGCTCTGTACCTGCAGCTGCTCCGCCGGGATGGCGGAAATTTAGCTCCTTTCTCGCTGTCCATCGGCCCTCGTCTGCAGATTCTTTATGCTCGCCAGTCCCTGCACTAACCCGGAGGCAACTGCTCCATGTTACCCAATTTGAGCCTCCCGGTGCTATGGCCGTCCTCAATACGTCCATCGCCCCGTCCCATGTCTGCCCACAATACGGCGGATCGGCCACGGTTACGCTCTCCCACCCATGACAAGTGCCGTCACTGCAGTAATGGACTCCCCGGCTGAACGGGTGCCCTGTTGACCACCTCCCCGGGCGCATCGCATTCTAGATCCGTGAAGGAGATTGCACCTCCGCCCGTATTCCCCGCCTACTTGTGATTGCGTGGTGCGTATATAATGTATATCTCACGGATGCCCTCCGCGTGCTGTGACGACGTGGTGCCCATTGTGTTCCATACCCACACCGATCGTTATTTTGATTGAGCATAATGAAGTCGTTCCTTACCCTCGCGTCGTCCCTCGTAGGGGCACAAGCCACTATTTATTATGCCGGTGTAGCTGAGTCCGGTGGTGAATTTGGAGTCTATGGGACGAAGGGTCAGGGTCTTCCAGGCACGTTCGGCGTGGATTATGCCTTTATCAATGAGGCGGCTATCGACACATACGTGGACGAGAACAAGGTTCGTGCCCACATACCGAGATTTGATAGGACGGCCAAGCTGATGATTTTGTAGGTCAACTTGTTCCGTGTTGCGTTTCTGCTAGAACGGATGGCTCCAGTGGAGTATGGCCTGGGCTCCAAGTTTAATGAAACGGTAAGACGAACTCTTGAGCATTTCACTTGTCTCTTTGACAGTCACTCATGGATGATGTGCAGCACTTCGGTTACTACAAGCAAGCTATTGATTATATCACTCTAACCAAGAATGCCTGTAAGTGAATACCAAGAGCCCCTCTAAATCAGTAGCTCACAATCAACCAGACGCCATCCTTGACCCGCACAACTACATGAGATATAACGATCCTAGTGCCCAGCCCTATTCTGGCAGCGTTATTGGAAACACGACCGACCCCAATGCCTCTACGACCGAGGACTTCGCGGCCTTCTGGGGTGAATTGGCCTCACGATTTGCCAACAACTCTCGTGTCATCTTCGGTCTGATGAACGAGCCCCATGACATGCCGACGACCCTGGTTCTGCAGAATGACCAAGCTGCTGTGGATGCCATCCGCAAAGCCGGGGCGACGAATCTCATCCTTGTACCAGGCAACGCCTGGACCGGAGTTAGTATAATCCTTTTCTTGCTACGGTTGACTTTCCGAGATCCATCCAAAACGTATCGTTTCGGGCTACGTAGCAGGTGACTAATGTATAGCAGGGCCACTCATGGACGCAGAACTACGGCGGCGACAACTTGCCCAGCTCCGACTACATCTACCAGATCAATGACACTGCAAACAACTGGGCCGTGGATATCCACGAATACCTTGATGTCGACTTCAGCGGGAGCCATATCGAGTGCACGCAACCCTTCGACACTAACCTCGCCCCACTAACAGCGTGGCTGAAGGAACATAGTCTCAAGGCCATGATTACGGAGTTTGGAGGCTCAAACACCACAGGTTGCGCGGACATGCTTCAGGATGCTCTGGCGTACATGCAAGACAACGAGGAGTACATCGGATGGACGGCATGGGCTGCGGGACCATTCTGGGGCACCTACGCACCATGCTGCGCAAACTCCACGCAGATCGGTAGTCTGGAGCCTGGCAGCTTGGCTGCGGATGGCTCACCGGGCTTGTATGAGACTGTTTGGAAGGCTGTCATTGAGCCTCTGCTGCCAACGACTCTGCAAACCGCCGGTGCGGCAAATATCAATGGCACGGCGGGCAGTGTGAAGAGATCGAACAGGTGGTTCAGGAAGGTCAACTAAAGATCATCATAGAGAGAAATCCCCAATGAGAAGGACTTTTGCATCAGCGTATCTCTGAGTCTTGGCTCTAATGTATCATTTCTCTCAACGACTTTCGCTGTCAAAACCCAGCCTTGTGGTCCCGTCCAAAAGTAGTCCTGCCATGGCCCTGGGTTTGGAGATTGACCTCTAAGAAGGGCACTTGTCGATCGGACTCGTTACGCCGTCCTTAGTGCATCCCTGATACTTCGCAATGGTGTCTCCGTTGGGCGCGGGGCAGACCAACAGGTTGTTCTGGTGCTCCGGGGACCAAGTAACGCCAATGTAGTCTCCTGTAATAAGTCAGCCTCGGAAACTCAGACCTCACTACCATGTGGACAGAACCGACCAAGGTCAAATATGCTGACAGTGATCGTATCCGGGGTTCCGTTGTGGCATTCGCACCGCATCCATGTGTTTGGACAGCCGCCAGGTAGATCGGGGCAGGCTGAAAGGTCAATTTTGCAGGTGCAGGTCTTCATGGCATCACCACTAGAACAAGAACATCCCCTCATTAGTATGGCCTTAATTATTTTATGGATGTTCCTCAGTAAATTGGCGGATACTTACCCCTTCCAGGGCATCATAATTCCACCCTTGTTGACGAAACACTCGTTGAAGTCGAGCTGGGAGTTTGCCAGTTGGGCACTGAAGCCAGCTCCGCCCTTTGTGGAAGAACAGTCGGCATCGAAGGTCACCGTAGGATTGCTAGGGTTATCGATGTACATCGGCCACATGCAGTAGTCAGAGAACTTGCCGTAGTTGCCGATATCACGGGTAGTCGGTGCGGCGCCAACGGTAAGGGCAAAATAGGAAAGAATGAGGAGGTTGATAAAAGATGCCATCTTGTTTAGTCAGGTCTGGTGATGGTGGTTGAGAGCAGATATGTTCTTGGTTTGCACAGAGGCAACATGTAGATCATCGTACGTTGTTGCGCAAGATATAGCTTAGCCCGGGGTGAAGAGTAGAGCAGAAGAGTTTCGAAGAGCAAGAATACAGAGCTGCCGTGAGATTTTGTAGTGGCAGAGGATGAACTGAATTGAGTCCAGTTATCGTCACTCATCGGTCTCAACCAGTGAATCGACGCCCACCTCCTCCCCCTTTTCTCACATTCAATCATAAGCAAAGACGTAGCAAGCCCTTGGATGAAATGTTCAGCTTTGTCAGTCATTAACTACCGGATCTCTTGCGGCCGGATATCTTTTGCAAACATAATATTCAAAGTCCAAGCTGAGTCACTAAAGCAAGCATAGTTCAGACAACAAACTCTACCACAAAACCAACGATGCCTGAAAATCAATCAATAGCACCATTCATTATCATGTGTTCTTGTTGTTTTCTTTTCCCTCCCAGTCTGAATATGTGGGATGTTTGTATAAGTATATATTGGCTGCCGTCAACTTTCTCTTGCACACCTGCTTCGGTAGTCCGAGTAGACCCTATGGGTAACGCTTTCATCAAGAGGTTAGATACAGTATATTTCTGTATTGATATTCAACTGACTCTGAAGGTCTTTATGCTCTTCCGCTTAGAAAGTGAGCTTGGGAACCAGGACTGCCTTCTAGATATTGCGTTCTATAAACCTTATCACATTGGACTGTACATCACTGGAACTTGCGGCAAGATTCAAATCCCATCTCAATCGTTCTATTGTAACGCCATGGATAAGACATACCCCGGGTTGAAAAGACCCTATTGCCTATACTCCAGCGCCAGTACCGAAACGCCTGTGCTCCAACACTGTCGACATGAAAGTAAAAGCCAGGCCCAGCCATAGTCCTTCCCATCCAATTCACATCGCTATCCCAGTTCCATAATCCGAGGATGACAGGGACGCACGCTTGTGGCTCGCGTGTAGGAAATATGTATCTGTCCATGGCATTTCGAAAGGAGGGCTCGACTCGAATCCCGAGTGACTGTTCGTTTCGTCCATTTCATTGACGCCAACTCGTTCTGCTGTCGACTTAGAAGGTAAGACGCCCATAGCGTATGCTTCCCTCCTCGCGACGGAAGACTTGACGGTAGTATGACCGCTTGAGTTGAAGAGGCCTGGAAGGCACTTCGCGAAGATTGGTCGGAGCGAAGGTAAGGACACGCAGACGACACCGATTGTACACTCTGTTATGGTCAGCAAGACAGAGGTGACTAGATTGTCTGTATATGAACATTAGCATCATAATTGAACTGTGTGAATTTCAAGGAGATGGAAATAGAACGCAGGAAGAACTCACACAGTACATCCACTGGTTTGCGCAATTGAGACAAGAAGGCCAGCCTGACAATGCTCGCGACGCATGCCCTGAGAAAAGTCAATCCAGCTTTCCTTTTCCCGCTGATCTCAGGTGATACGTACATTCCACCTATGAAGAACAAAAAGGACACAATTATCTTCTGCTTTTTGGGTATTTTGAGAGACCAGAGGTATCGGATAGGGACAGTGCATAATATGAGATCTGTCGCCGTGCTAATAGCGGTGCTCGCATAGAGGAAATCGACGAAGTCGTAGCACTGTAGCACTTGTTATTAATAAGAGCTCTCGACGTAAAGAACAATCTCAATGCCTTGGATAACGTTTATGGGAGATGAAGAATACGAGGTTCACAAGATGCTTCCTTGGCAAGCATAAAAGCTCTTGAGGCAGGGAGAGGAAGTAATCCACGATATGAGTCCTACTTACCCGTCCATCAGTAATAGTAAAATCCCATGCTGCTCGTACTGGGTCACATTGAAAGACGGTAACCGGTATTGAGGCTAGCATCAACCCGATCGTAATGGCCATTGTGAAATACATCGTGATGCGCAAACTCTGGTGTGGGAATACGCGCAAGTATGAACTGATGATTGATAATTTCGTGAAGGCGACAGCGCAGGCCGAAAGAGAGTTTCCGATGAACATGAAGAGGATACAGTGTTTGACTGTAGGAAGTATTGTTGCGAAGTTGAGATTCCAAACGTGTTGTCCGAGACCAAATTGCGTCGCTATTGCCCAATGTCAAGGCCAGATCGAGAGTCATCGGGACGGAGATGGCGGAGGGAAACATCATACCAGCAAGAATTATTCCGCCAAATACCAATGTAAATAAGCTGGCGGTGACTATCAGAGCTGTGTTTCGGTGCGACGGAGTCAGTCTTCAACAAGAAGATCATGCTGGGGAGGGTTTAATGGTGCCATACCATCGTCCATGAAAAGCCGGCCTATGACAACACGACGAACTATGAGGCGTGCTACAACCACAACGGTAATTACTACCGCCTCAAGCAACACGATAGCCCATATCACAGGAACAAGTGTCGTTTTATCAGTGAAATCCAATTGAGCTATCACATCGGGAGAGACGTTGCCAGGAAGCTGTCGGGGAAGCCGTTGATGAGTCGACCAGGGGCTGAGCTTCATCTTGGTTTTGAAAAACCAAATAGAGCCACACGAAGAGAAACAGACATCAGAGAATATTACAAGGAAGAAAACGTCAATAGAGACACATGGCGGAGCCCAGTGCGACGCTGAAGGGGGTGCATACGCTTTATCGGCAAATAGACAGTAGTGCTGCTGCTCGACATCGCAGATCGATCTCATCGGCTCGGTCGGCTCACCACGCTAATATCTGTCCGATGTCTCAACTTCAAGACGCCGCCCGAGTATTCTACCGCGGAATACAAATGAGAGGATGCAAAAGGCTCCACGGGAGCCATGGATCACTGTCCCGGTAGGACGGGACGAGAACTGCAAGGGCAGGGGTGATGGTGGCACGTCAGATCCCAAGATCAGGCCTTGCATTAGATGCAGTAGTTAGAACCGTCTGGTGAAGAGTTTACCAGGATGGGGTCTTGTCAAAGCGATGAATGTGAGCCTAAAGACTTCCGCACAGACAGATGGTCCGGCTAGGAACGACGCCTCCCAATCTATGTCTCCCGTATTTGGAGCTTGCCAAAGACAACCCCCTTGACCTGGTCACTCCGTCATTCAGGGAATGCCCTTCCTAGAATGTTCAGTATATGCGGTTCGGATCATCGCCCGAGCTGAAATCTGATCCTTTGGTGTGCTCTGTGCATGTGCTCTATGCAGGTGCTGTGACTGTGGCCGTGAACCAGACTTGCGCCGCAGAAATGCACAACACGCTCAGCTTGATAAGGGATGGCCCAATACCTCGGTACGCTAAGAGCGCTCGACAATTCAACAGTTCGGCACAACTTTTGGTAGCCGGGTCTCAAATGATTGTGATGTCAGCTCTGTGAGGGGGGGACTCAACTGTCTCGCTGTAGCGTGTATAGGTAAGGTACGTGGGCCACTGCCTGCAATATCGAAATGTCTAATCGGCAGTAACAAAGCGAAAGGGCCAAGCAAATGAGATATGATTAATCTCTGTGGGGAGACTGTGAGTTTCCGGAGCCTGTAACGGGGACTGACCACGCCTGATGCTGCCTGACGAGACCGTCTCATGCAGACCAAACCTCGAATCCAGGAAGATTCAGGAAGGATGCAAGCAAATTTTGAGGAGGGAAAAATTGATACCGAAAAACCTGGCTCTATGCCATTGGTATGATGCATTACAACGAGGCCATGCTCACTTGTGGACGATCAAAATCGGCATAGTAATGTTGCTGGAAGCTTACAATTTTTGGATGTTCACTTCAATTCAATTCGAACACACAGGGTTCTCTCTTGAACTCACAATTATGGGATGCCCTGTCCTGGCGTCGTCCGTTCCTGGGAAGAGCTGACTATGGACATCCGAGACCCGTGATCGCCCAACGATGCGCGGTCCGGAACGCTAATGGGGGCCTTGCCTAGCGCACCACCCTAGATCAACTCACCGATTTGAGCAGTGCATAGACAAAGCTAGATTGATAATAGCGCTCGCAAGTGGTGCGGCCGGGTAACAGCCTGAGGCGCACTAAACCGACCCGCTACATAACAGGCGCGCAGAACCAAAAGAAAACCCAGGAACCAGGAGGCGAGCGAGATCTGAGGCTGATCAGGTCGATTTTATGGGGTTCGCCACCAAATGTGCGGATGAGATCTGGTTGTTGGATACCGGTTCTCTCGTGAAGAGCTGATTTCCCCTGGCTTGCTCGTGACCATGGAGCTTGGTTATTTATGCCGCCTGCGTCCCAACCATCTTGGAAGAGTACACAAATTTCAATATCACTAAGTAAGTAGAAAAGATCGCCACGAATTCTGACCATTGAACTGTTGTTGGCTCCGACCAGTTGTGCCCGATGCCAGTCCTTGGTGCGAAACGAGTAAAGAAAGGCCGAGTTGGGACCGCTCGAGTCTTGCGCCTCGGACTTTTAACTACAGTCCGTTTGCTTGTGCATGGGCAATGCTATTTGGAATGTTCAGTTTGACCCACCGCAGACGACCGCGTGTACATGTTCGGCACGCCATCTGCTAGTAAGTACGGGAGGCTAGGACGGGAACCGGGGAGGAGACACAAGGTTCGGATCCAGACTTTCTTACGGCGCTCAAAATGTCTAACATGCCCTGTTTACGAAAGTAGTGTAATATACATCATCAAAATCGGGATTTCCTACCCTGTACTATCGATCCTAGAGCCATTCAAAGATTTCTTAAGCAATGGCTTGCTCCGAATCCTCGTTTCTAAAATTGTAGATGCTCCCTCGGTCAGAATTCAAGTACTGCATGGAGATCACATAAATAATCAGTTATTAGTTTAGTCGATATCGATGGAATTGGTCGAAGCAGCGCTCTCCCGAGCCATCACCCCCCATCTTCAGCCAGTGGTTTCTATGAGCCTTGAGTCAGCAGTTGAAGCTTCCAAATTGTGTTTGAAAAGTCATTTGGCGAATTTGAAAGTTCAAGTTTTTCCAGAATTCCTTTCGAGGTGCATTCTATTCAGATTCCTAAGACTGTTGATTTCGCATCACAAGCAAGCCAACCTCTAACCCCTTTTAGGCCGCCCTCTGTTGACCTTCAACGTCTATATCCAATGCTCAAGATTCATACACCAGAGAGGCCGCCATATGTCGAATCTACCTCTTCTTATTTTCTAGTGTGGAGATAAAGGAAACTCATAAATGGGGAGACCTCCATGGGTTTCACATGCGTTGTTTGCACATAGCGCACCGGGCCGGTGCCCACCCTCTGCGCAGGATATCTTAGGTACATCGTGTCCGACTGGCAGCTTGTTCCGTTGTAGAGAGTAAAGAACCCTCCCTTTTTGTGTGGATGTGACAGACCGTACATCCTCGCGGGATCACCGGTTGTTGAGTTCATTGCATGGACGCAGGTATCACCACAGAGACCTTCTACCTTATCTGCGCATTCCGTGCATGGTTCGAGGGTGTGTTTGCCGCACCTGCCTGAAGGATTGCTGATTATATAGACCTCATCTGACAGCAACCCGTTGTCGCAGAAAGGGGGTATCGTAGAAGGTGGTGGGACCGGCGTCTCGGCGTGTACTGTCACTGTGCGGTCTTGCGTCTGGGTTTGGTAGAATCGGCCCAACGTCGGCGCCGCGGTAGCGAAGCCCACAAAGAATGCAAATGACAGGAAGAAGCGCATCTTGAGATGGATCGATAAGCCAGATTAATTAGACTTATGTCTTCAAATTCTGATATAATAGGGGTGGTATTAATTTGGACTCGACAATCTTTGTGAGGAGGTTGCAGGTTTACGAGGAAGACTATGAGACGATACAGAAAGCCGGCGACTGTAGGGGGATAAGTACTGGGGAGATACATGTGCGCCTCGAAATCCGTCAACTTCTAATTGAACGTCTAACTTCTTACTTGCATTTTAGTTGAGAACCTTTCCGACCAGGGCCAAAACGAATACAATCTTTTGTGCGCTTGTATCATTTTGTAGCTCGCTAGTGTGCCTAGTTGTCCCTATCGGCGGCCTAACTGCTCAACGACGAAATGAATCGAACCCAATCGTAAGTTTGCCTACCTATAGGACCGTCCCACTATTCATGTGCAAATTATGTGATGATTTTGACCCTGTCGAATTATGTGATTTCGTGAGAGTACGGTGGTGGAAGGACTAGGTAATGTGGTTACCCAGAACACATAATTATGCCAGGCAAGACACATACAATCCGGAGCAAATCTTAGTAACTACATATTCGGGTGTAATATTTCAGCCATGAAATGCGAAAAGAACCGATATCACTCCGAGCCCTTCTTTCTTTAGATTTCTTGCTGACATACACTTTTGGGGTGTTGGTGTAGGGGGTCTGTCAGGAGTTGCCTGTGACGCCCCGCACGTCCTCGTCCCTGGACAATGCACTTCAGGAAGAATTCCAACGACGTGCTTCAGTATCTGCATTTCTGCTACTGAGAATACTGCGATAATGGATTGATTTGTTTTCCTTCTCAAGACATGCCTAAATAAGGTCGAGCTGCTGTGTGCCATCTAGGCAGGGAAAATGACGCTATCGGGTGCGAGCTGTGTGCTTATAAATCCACCGCATTACCAAGCCATCAAGGAAGGATCATTGGCATCCATATAAACATCCCTGATGGACAATAATTCGGGGATATTTCTATGTCATCTGGACTGAGTCACCTGTTCACTCTTCCGGTGATACATCATACCTAGATAATTCTTGCATACAATGGCGCCCATCCGTCTGGCCATCATCGGCCTATCCTCTTCAGCAGTGACCTCTTGGGCCAGCAGTGCTCATTTGCCTTATCTCCTCTCAGCACGCGGCCGCGCCAAGTACAACATCGTTGCTTTGTGTAACTCTAGCACTGACGCAGCCAGAAGGGCTATCAAGACCTACGGCCTCGATCCCGAAAAGACTCGAGCATATGGCAACCCGACAGCGCTCGCAGCTGATCCCGAGGTCGATCTTGTGCTTTGCTGCACACGAGTTGACACGCATTACAGTCTCATCAAGCCAAGCGTCGAGGCTGGCAAGGCAGTCTTTGTGGAATGGCCATTGACACATGATGTAGAGCGTTCACGGGAGCTGGCCAACTTGGCAGCCGAGAGAGGCACCCGCACAATGGTAGGGCTGCAGGGGCGGCTGGCGCCTGTTGTGTTGAAGTTGAAGGAACTACTGCACGACGCAAGCTTGGGCAAGATGCTGAGTAGTGAAGTAAGGGCTCATGGAGGCACCAATGATCGCGAGATGGTCGCCGAGGGGCTGGGATATTTCGCCGAGAAGAAGATAGGCGGCAACATCTTCATGATAGGCTTCGCACACAGTGAGTTATCCGCCTCGCACGAAACTATGCTATTGAGAAGGGAGGCTCACCGTGATCAAAGTGTTCGATTACGTCCAATCTGTCATAGGAGAAGCGGCCGATGTTCATTCTCACCTCCAGCTCCAACGACCAGAAATGAAACTCCGTGATCCAGCTACAAACACTATTGTTAAAACAGTCACCTCTGACGTCCCGGATCTTATCACAGTCACCGCGTCCATGAGTGGCTCCGCAGTTGCGCAAAAGGGTGCGAGTTTGCTAGTCCGCTTTCGCCGTGGACAGCAATTCAAGGGGGAGCCGGCCCTGACATGGCACATCAACTGCGAGAAGGGCGAGATCCGGCTTACAGCGCCCAGCGGAACTTCTTTGCACGCAAACTCGTATTCTGAACCAGTGACAATCGAGGTGCACGATTTTCAGACGGAAGAGATCCGCAATGTGCAATGGGAATGGCCTGAGTGGGAGGAAGAATTAGACCTGCCGATTGTAGGTCGCAGCGTTGCTAAACTATATGATTTGTTTCACGCAGAGGCAGTCGAAGGATTTCCACGGACATATCCGAATTTCTCAGATGCATTCAAGCGTCATGAACAGTTGGACACGCTTTTGGCAAGCTGGAAACCCGCCTGAAACGAATAGCGGAAACGGCTATTTGTTTTGATTGGTTCTCATTCCAGACACTCTCAAGATGCCGGATTCATTGGTCCCATGATCTGCCAAGAAGTCTTTGTTGGTAGTATTGGGCAGTCGGGTCGATTTCACCTATATTTCTTTTTCTTTCACGTCTATTGCAGCTATCATTCAAAACCTTTTCAATTAATGAAGGTCTTTGTCCGGATCCTCTACATACTCGTGGTTGGAAAGAGATGGGAGAGTGTCTGAACACTGTAGACGTCACGCTTGAAAATGCGAGTATCATCAGCTGCTGTAGTCGCACTGGCGCTGCATCTTGGTAAGAAAAATACTAGCATAACTAATGTCATAAATGGTGTAAGTAGCTCACCGAACCCTATAGTACTCGCCAGCGAGAATTGGAATGAAGTTGTTAGTGTCGAAATCGAGCCTCTGTCGACAGCCGTCACGGTACCACAACAACATGCACACGCGGTAGATAGCGAAGAAGCAACAAAAGAACTCCAAGAATCAAATAATTCAATAGAAGGTATTCCAAGTCTACCAGATTCAATTCGGAGCGGGGCCATTCAAACAGCCCATGCTTGCTTGATGGCCGGTGCATACACAATAGTATTCCCGCTCGGCGCTATCGCGACACATATTGGACCATCTGGACGTGGACGGACAAACATTCATATGTACTGCCAGCTTACAGGGATTCTTATGATTATAATAGGGTTTGGGATTGGTTGCTGGATGGCAGTCCAAACTGGAATTGTAAAGCCACAGTCTCAAGGGCGCCTGAACTCCGATCAAGCTAACTTAGGATCACAGGATTGGAACGCTGCGCACCCTCAGCTAGGTACAGCGTTGATTGCCCTCACAATTTTTCAGCCTTTCATTGGATTTATTCACCAGCGCTTCGCTATTAGCCATAAAGAGTACTTGCTCATGTGGAATATTCACGCGTGGTACGGTCGGTGCTTGATGGCCGTTGCTATTATACAAGGAGGCATTGGCTTGCAGCTGGCGAACAAGTACAGTCCGCATCCCTCGGGGGCTCTTGCGGCATTTCTTACAATATCTCTACTCATGCTCTTGATTTACAGCATCATAATGTTCAGAAACAGGGGTCGTAGGAAGAGAAGAATCGACAGGCGGATGGTCATGCAAAAGCAAATGCTGCTCCAAAAGCAGAAGCAGTCTCAACCTCAAAGACATACACCAAACAAGGCTGATAGATTGCAAGAACTTAATTCGCCACTACAGAGCCCTATCTCTGCCCTCTACCATCAGACTCCTCAGAGTCCAGCCATGAGCAATTTCTCACGGCCCATGACACCAAGACCAAGAACACCAAAAACATCAACTATCGTCTCCGGTGGCACCAACAAATCAGGGGCATGAAGGCAGACGTACTAAACAAAAATTCCCGACAGTTTCAGAACTTTGAGCACTAGCTTGCGTCCGCTCGAATGGAACTGAGGCTCAATATAGAAGGGTTTTGGGGTTCTCCTGAATGCTAGACGCATCGCGGTCATTGTTGAACTAAAGCTATTGCCATATCATACTCATACAGATTTTGTCTTTTATAAGCCTTGATTCGATCGATCGAGCCGGAGCTTTCAAATTGAGATACCAATGAACCATACTACAGCAGCCATCTAAAATAGTTTCAATAGCAGAGAGCAACACGACTTGGCCGGCAGACTAGGCCTGGAATAACTTTGACGTCGTTGCTCAACGATTTACTTGGCTATGCTCCATCCGCAGGTGGCCACATGAAGAAATGGAGGTCTTGTGCTTGGAATCAGGGCTTTCACCGCTCCCAACATGTGTCTCGCACAAGTGATCCAGCGTCCCGTCTCTCCACCAAGGCAAAGCCATCCTTCGAAGTGACCCCCAAAGGTGAGGCTTGAACAGCGAGGCTATGTTCACGGCTCGGAGCACCTTTAATCTCACATCCGAACTTTCTTTTGTGCTCATCTTGAACGGTCTTGGCTCCCCGCCCCATCTTTGTCTGTGTGACGAGAGCCATCAAAGGACTTACTTTCACGCGCGGCTTCCGAATATTTTGAGTGACCATGTTGAGGGCACAATTGAGTTTGAGTCGGAACTCGGCATCGACAAAACTGCAAGATTCGCAGAACCAGCCCGCCTTCTTCATCGCGCCGAGCCTCTCGCCCGCAGCTCAGACGGGGATTTCCTTTACCCCTTGGACAGATCGACAACCTCCGCGGCATTGGCATTTTCCCGTCTCAGGTCTTTGTTCCATCACATCGTGAACCTACAAATTCCTTAAACCTGCTCACTGAGACCCAGACTTGATCGTATGAGCATTTCTTGAGCAAACTCAGAATCTTCGAAAGTAGCCAATCCAAAAGAAAATCAGAGTTATTCATTCATTTGACTAGCACTTGTACTCCTAAGACTTAGTCTCCTTGGTGTTCTGCACAAACTTCAGAAATACTACTTGTTCAGATTTCCTGAAGATTCCCATTACCATCTTCTTTGAAATATTACTTCATCCATTCTTGAAGATGCCAACCTTAGCTGCGATTGCGCGCGCAACCACGGCAGCTGTTGCCGCTTTCAATGGCACCATGCAACCAGGCTATACTTTCCGTGGCTACGAATACAGTAAGCAAATCTTCTATCAGTCTCGCCACGTCCACTTTGCACGAGAATGATCTCAGACACCGGCGACTTCTATAATATCTGCGGGAAATTTTGGAGAAGGGCTGTCTATTCAACCACTTCTAACACCATGTTATTAATATTCCTTCATCCTTTCTTCTGAAATCACGGAGGAAATCCATGGGAAAAGGTTTTGTTGACAAAAGCATAGTTGGCTGCGCTGCGGAAGGCAAAACCGGACATGCACTTCAAAGCGGATGGCTTGGTGATGATCAAGGAATGACTATCGAGAAATGCCTTCAATATTGTGGCACAAAGAATATGCCTCTTTCCGGTTTGGAATTTGGGAAAGATTGCTACTGCGGAAAAATTCTTCTTGAGAGCTCGACACTCTATCCAAACCAGGCAAAATGCGACATGAACTGCCCGGGAAACTCTCTGCAGAACTGTGGGGGGAGCCTTTCTCTTTCAATTTTCAACAATACAAAACTTCTTGCTCCAAAACCACCATCCAAGGTCGGTACATGGGCCTTCGAGAGCTGTTATATGGAATTACAGGGCGCTCGAGTGCTTCCGGATGTTCTCTGGGTGAAGAACGGCATGACTCTGGATATGTGTACAAGCTATTGCGCCACCAACGGCAAGTACAAGTACGGTGGTGTAGAAAACGGCAATGAGTGCTTCTGCGGCAACAACATGACCCCAGGTGCTAAAAACGCATATGATCTGGATTGCCCAATGACATGTGATATCCCATGTGGTGGCAATGACAAGCAGATCTGCGGCGGAAACGGCGTCATCACGGTTTACAGAAACACTGTTTAATGGTCCACTCTGTATCATGGCATTTCTTTGTCTTCTTTCGCGTATATAATATTGTACAGTCGGATTCTGCAATGCATGCCAACGATGTCGAAAGACTAGTTGAGTATTTTAAGTTTTAGATGACTAGGAAACAAGGGTGTCAGCAACGGAATCCTCCCAAATGTCATATCATGTATTCTAAATGAGATGGTGTTCGGGAAGCCTCTCTTCTTTAAATGACTTGAATCAGACAATTCAAATACATGTGAAATATTTGATCACGGCAAAGTATCAATGAATGGTAATTTGTCTCTGTGCAAGCATAAAAGCCATTGGTTAGCCTCTGGCTAATACACTTGAACCTAGCTACTCAATCTTTCCCATCAGAGAATCGTCATCCACTAAGCCCCCAAACATAGCTGCCTCCATCAAATAGTTGACTTGCCATGCGTGATGATGTGCATGTGCAACTAACCACTGCTCCTCGAGGACCAGGCCATCATGGTATACCTGAGCTAATGTTGTTGCCAGGGACTGTATAATGGCCTCCTCTCGAGTCGCATCCACGACACCGCCTTTTGCGTAGCTCAAGGGCCAACCAGCAAGGCACATCCACAGCTTGCGAAGTAGTTCCCTGTTTCTTGTTCCCGCTGTTTCCAGCAGTTTCTCAACACCATCACACACATCAGCGCCATTACAAGCAAATTTCAAACGCCGGCTATATCCTGTTGTATGATAGTCCACATCGAATGCCTCATCGAAGTCTGTCTCCCACTGTTCGCGTTTGATATCGCCCCTGCGGATTTTGCTCCAGCCTAAGACCGCCTTTCGCAGGAAACAACTCCGGTCATTCAAGATACACCACACATATATCATACCATTCATTCCACCGCCCGGCTCAGCCCACCGCTCGGTCAAACACCGCGCGCCAATAGCGGCGAAGGCATCATACACTTTGTGTAAGGCGTCTTCGGTTACGACCCCAGCATTTGTAATGTCAGCTGAGTTCAGACACGAATTGATAATTTCATTGCTGCCCATGTCCGACCGAATGCTTATGATGTCAGTCGCCGCACTACTGAACACCATGTCGTCGTATATCGCAGCTGCATCGAAGCATCTCCCCATGGCCTCGCTCGCCATCCCTGCTCTGTTAGCCTCACAGAAGTAGATCGTATGAGCTACTTCACGGTTCATCTTTGCCGTTTTGTCTCCCAACCGTGAAGCATATCGAGCCTCCAATTCCGCCTTGCCGTGGATGTATGAAAGTCCCGACTCGACAGCTTTGCGACGCTCGGCACCGAGGGGCACCTTTCGAGACCTGGGGTACGCGGCGAATATTGAACTTGGTCTGTCAAGCACAGAGGATGATCTCTCGGAGCTAGGCTCGTAGAAGGAATCTGTGTCAACGCAGTAATTGCTATATAGAACACGGGCATCGTAGGCGCCCATGAGCATATTCATGAGGCCTGTGCCGAACAGCACATCCGTGGTCAGAAGAGGTGCAGGCCAGTCCTCCGCACCAAGAAGCTGGATGACCTCGTCTGAAGCGCGACGCAGCCCGCGACGATTAGCTGAGGTTATTCGTCCTAGGCCATGGTGTTCCCTTGTCCAAGCGAGAAGATCATCAGAAAGGCACACGTCAACGATGTTGAGACTCTCGAGGTGCTGGTGTTTGGAATCGTCGGATTCGGACCAATTTGATTTGGACTCTGCCTCAAAATGGCCGGCTTCCAATAGGGCAAATGTCACAGTGACCGCCTTTAGGCCTTTCCTAATATTCCGTTCGATATCCCTTTGAGAACCGCGATCGATGAGTATGCGTGCTTCTTCATACCCACTGTGTTTCACATGCTGCTTGAATCTTCGATCTTGATTCCACTCCTCGCCCCAGAAATATGGTGGTGTCTGCCTGCTGTCTGGCATAAAGTCGGCCATGGCATCAGAGACATCAGCGGCTGGTTTAATGCTTTGTCTTTTGAGGACGCGGCGCAACTTGGCACCGAAGCAAATTGAAACACTGTTCCCCATTATGCTCAAGTGGCTTTTAGGGGACTGCAATTGAGGAAAATAATTATTGCTACTCTCAGGAACATTGGTGGCCCTACAACACGACAGAGGTCTTGTCATTCTTATGCATTAGCCAGACAGCTGAACAGCGAAAGGCCATGGGAAGTGTATTGGGGTGGTACCATGCAAGCCTCAATAGTGCCATGCATTTTCTTTTCTACGTTTTCGTGTCACACTGGCGGTGAAGAACCATGTACGCAATTTGATTCGTAGGCTACCTCCGTGGGAGCACAACAATTCAGCAGAATGAGTTTCATCATTAGCTGTCCAACCAGCCTCTGGATCGTCGATTCCAATCAGCATTTCGGATCGTGCAAACTTGTTTGGTATCCTCAGCTTCCTGCAATTGGCTCCATCCGAACTCAGCATTGCCGAATACCGCGAAGTGAGACCAAGCCTCTGTTCATGACAATGCGTTCTAGACTTGACCTCTTGGCTTTCTACTATGCACGGAAACCTCGCTCCGCCACGAGAAAGCTTATCATCGTTCAGACCCTGGTCTTGGTGGGTTGAATGACTGCTCCTTGCAGCAGGAGCAGACGCTTTGCTGGCCACTTAACTGCGGCCTCCCTGTGCATGCGGTAACCCTGCAGACCACCTGATATAAAAGACTTGAGATATATCGATGATGGGCACTGACCCCTGCGGATGATATTGTCCATTGCCACTTTGCTCAAATTGACGTTCATCGGAAATCCGGAGTCCGGCGATTTGCCGGCTCATGGTACTTATATTTCCAAAGTCCGCACAACTTCCGTAGCGGCCTCTTCAAGAGGGCTGGCTGTCTGGAAACTGGTGTGCCTGGACCCACATAAAGCCAACGGTGCCACAGGCGCCTTTACTGCAGGCGGTCGGAATCTAGGAAGTGGCTGAATGCTTGGGAAGTCATGTATGTATTGCATCAACACTTTCACAATACAAACAATTCGGGAGGGCGCTCCCGCATTTTGCTTTGAATGGCTCCCCTTCCAACGTGCACAACGTTCAGGCACCCCGTGAAAGCTGATGGGCTTCAATCCCACGTTCTCCAGTGGTAAGTACAGGTGATTGGTCAAAGCACTGGAGAGCAACTGAAGGATTGGGGCGCCTTGGCCTCAAACTAACTATTTTGATCACGCCGCAGGCTACTCCTTCCACACAGCCTCCATTTGGCCTCACGGGGGATGATTGCAAACAAGCATAAATATGTTATTCTTCAACAGATACATGAGACCTGTGAGCTCGGTAGACACCATTCAAAGTTTACATCAATTGCCGATACCAAGCTCGAGTTCGATCCACCCGCGGCTCCGGCGCGAATCACCGTCCAGCACCAGTTAGTTGCATTGCCCAGAAGTCGACTGTCTTGCATATACGAACATGGACTCGTTCCTCTCACTCTCGGCACTTGGTGACAAGCTGTCTGAGATGCCAGGGCATGCAAGTCTGCCTGGCACAGAGCACTACATCAAGACAAGAGCACGGCTTGCAATTGAAAAAGCCATGACAGACAACCCCGACAATGAGCCGGCACAAATAGACGCGATAGCCGAAATTCGTCGATATTTCAGGGGCTACGGCCCAGTGGTGGAAATCGTCAATACATACATTGACGGCAAGATTGACGTAACGGAAACGGTCCGTCAAATAGCTGAGCCCATAGAGCATGCATACACCACCGCCGACGGTGGCCGCTTGTTCGTATCTGAAGAGGCAACGGCTCGCCATCAACGCAAATTTTGGAGGTCGGACAAGGCGCTCGAGATGTGGGGTCCTGAAGAGAATATTGAGGAGCTTCAGGCTCGTGTGACCGATCCGATCGATGCGCCGTCCGTAGAGGGTCAACTTTGGGACCTCTATTACACTATTCTACATGCCTCGAAGAAGATCCCATGGAGCGACAACGACGCTCAGCAGGAACTTGTCGATCTAATAGCCGCGCTGAAGGCACGGCCAAACCCACCGAGGCCGGCGAACATGACCACAGCTTTGAAACACCACTGGATTTACTTTTATGGGGAGCTTTGGAGCGATTTGGTCCTTCTAGGTCCCTCGGCCCGGGAGACGTGGAACGATCTTCCTGGATGTGGTGCCGGGTGGGAAAGACCTGAAGTCAGCGCGTGGGTGAACGTAAACGCGTTTGTAGCGCGCTTGACTATACAGAAAGTCCGGAATTTTGCCCTCTATGGCAGCTGGGCGCTTCGAGAGGCACTGGACGAGAAGATTGAGATTTATCCTGACAGTCACTTTTCTGCTCCTTCAAAGGCCTACAAAGCTGAAGTCCTCTTCAAGGTGGCGGCCGTCTGGATACGTGTGGCAGGGCGGTACATGTTTGATCACCTTCAACCGGATTCCGAAGGTGATAAGGAGTCAAATCCGGAGTTTTGGACTCATTCACAGTGGGACAGATGGCGGAGAAGGTTCGAGGAGGAGGCACAAAAGGTGCAATATAACCATGAGGTTACCGTGATCGCAAAAGAATGCGCCGCGACTATGGCCGAAATTTCAGCCACTCCCATAATGGATTGAATCGTTTAATATATATAATCCATTAGAATCATGCACAACACATACCCATCAATAATTGCTAATTTGGCAATTGCAAAACAATTTGACGTCTTAAGTCACGACCTCTCCCGACACAATCAATCGTGAAAACACCCATCTTGCGGCAAGTTTTATCCTAAGATTGGCTGGTAGAGGATACCATCCAGAGCGCAACCGAGCAATTGTCGACAGCTTGCGGCTGACGGCCAGGGTGTCTAGTCTACCGATGAAGCCCGCCAAGAGGAGCTGAAATAACTTCTTGCACTCTAGCGCAGATGTCGGCTCAGAAGCCACATGCAGCTCCCAAACTCCACTTCAGCTCTCCACGCGAAGCAGCTGTCATAGAACACGTCTCTCGTGTTCCAACATCTTATTCACACTTTCAATTTGATTCATACTAGCGCCAGCATCCATTTATTCATACGCCCGGGCAAACAAAAGTTCGATTGTAGCTACAGTTCCTCGGCCAAGATGGACCATCAGCCTCTGTATAGTCCACTGGACCCATCGACCCGTCAGATCAGACTGCTGCAAGTATCATGTACCGAGGTTGATGAAGACTTCGCGCCCGTCATTTGCAGGCTGGTGACCGCCTCCCTGGACGATCCTTCAATCAGATATATAGCACTGTCTTACGTCTGGGGATTCGAAACAAGCCAGACTCCACTCGTTGTCGATGGCAAGGAATGCAACATCACTGCAAATTTGTTCGAATTCTTGGTTCGATATCGGAAAATCAGCTACGTCGTGCCACAGTGGGAGCTCGCAAATTTTCCTGTGTGGATTGACGCAGTGTGCATAAATCAAGAGGACATTCCTGAGAGGAATAGCCAGGTCCAGATGATGGGGTCCATATACCGATCCGCGACACGAACCATCTCCTGGTTAGGCCCTGACAGTGTCGGCAGTGAATCCGCCATGAAAGTCATGAGGCGTATCTGGCCCAAGGTCAACGACTCCATGCGCAAACAAGATTTGCTCGCATGGCTGAGTTCTGAGGATATGAGTCTCTGGCAGAAAGATACACAAAGCGCTAATAGAACGGGATTCAGTACTGGTAACGAATTTTGGGACAGCTGGAAAGACATATTTTCCAGAGCTTATTTCAGTCGTTCGTGGATCACACAAGAGCTTGTGCTATCAAGGAACGTCGTGGTGCTCTGTGGCCAACAGACTCTTCCCCTTGCCGCTTTCCTGGTCATCTGGGAATGGCTCCTTCGCATCGAAGGCACGTCTTGTCCAGAACAGGTGGATTCTAATATCTGGTCATTTCTGTCGTCCAGAGAGGGGCGCAGGCTGCTAGGATGGGGAGCGATGAATAAATGGCCGAACTTAAGGGAGCTCATGACCAGATCGAAGGATGCGAGAGAGGAACACCTTCTTCTCATTTGGCATGAACTTGTGCTCCATACGCGTATCCTCCAGGCCACGGACCCTCGGGATAAGCTTTACAGCGTGCTGGGTATGGTCGATCGGAAATTCAAGCCAGACTACTCTGCTTCCATTGAGGATGTCTTCTACGACTTTGCCAAAGAGTATATCTACGCTGAGAAACGGTTATCGGTCCTGCGCGAGGCTGGGCATGGTACATTTTTCGGTACGCCAGAGCACCCTCGACACAGACTGTTTGTTCCATCTTGGGTTCCAAATTGGGATGCGCTATCCAAAGAGCTTACCTGGGGCCAGTTCTATCATGGTAGTTATCGGCTTTCTGCGGATTTGAATCTCCAACAAGCCATTGGTCCACAGTTCAGTGAGTTGTTGGAGCACGAAGGTAGAGGTTACTGGAAGATTGTTGGAAGAACCTTGACGGCTCTTGGCTTGGTATGTGACAGCACTGTCGCTGTCCATCGTCTGGGAGTCGATCATGAGTCCTGGGGTTCATTCTGCGAAAGCTACGTCTCAAACTGTGGAGAGCATAGTCAATATGTGACGGGCATCCCAGCACTACAGGCGCTCGCAAGATTGATCTTTCTTGACCAAGATCCAATTTCCAGAAACGACGTTGATGATTCGACACTGGCCAAAGACATGCTCAGAATTTGTATCCTTGGAATAATCCTCATGGGATCTCCGGCTCAAAGTATGGTCGAGAAATTCGGCCTGACATCTCAGCCAAGCCTAGTCAAGAAATTCCTGGGGTCTGGAGAACTAGCAAGTAATTTCCTCGAGTCCGGAGAACTTGCGAAAGATCTCGTGGACATCTCGGCCTTGCGCATCCACCTTCCCAAGCTCACATCGGATAGACTCTCATTAGTGCTGAATTACGTAGCATTCTGGACATCTGATGGTTATCTAGGCTGGGGCCCACCAGGGATGGTGGCAGGAGATGATGTCTGTGTCATGGTTGGTTGCGACGTACCAGTGGTGCTTAGACGTGTTGGGGATCACCACATCCACATTGGGCCATGCTGGGTATTGGGACTTATGAATGGAGAGGCTCTTGATAAGGCAATGAATAGCCAGGCGGGCCTTTCGAGCTTTGACATAGTTTGAGGAGCGTTGCGGATGTAGAAATAACTTGAAATGTCTTGCGGGGTTGAGTTGGGTATGAAGTGATTTGAGACTATCTACCAATATGGCCTGTGGGGTGACTATATTAGGCCTCACAATGGCTTCAGAAATTCTAATTTATGGTACTGGCTTTTCTTTTTTGCTTAACTGGTGGCATATTATTCGGAAATATCAACACGTGTTGCCTTTCACCTCAGAAGACATAATTCTTGTGTTCAGTATTTGCATCCTGGAATTTCAGCCACTTGACTGTATGCAGAATTAGTCTCCCAAGACTCGAAGATAGGACTCTTCTCAGATGACAGGATGATATGCCTGGGGAAAATTTCAGTTGAGGGCATCGAAACGAAGGGGATGGATTTTTGAATGATATCATCTTAGGGTTCAAGCATAGAACCATCCAGGTCCGCATAGCGTTAGTATTGTGTGCAATAAGTGTGCAAAGCTATTGACGAATATTCAAATATTGACCGAAATCTAGGACTTGGGGAAACTGGCCCCCTTTTATTTACGGACAAAGGGAACCATTTGTGGTCACTTCCACGTTTCTCGTCTTCTGAACAATTTATCTACAGAAGTCACACAACTTGATGAGCTCTGTTGTGAGGATCGAGCAACAACAATATCGTCTCAAACCCCTGATACTCCCGAAAACCTGGTCTAAATTAGCAAAACATGGCAGATGCTACCGCTACACTTATTACCCAGGGGGTCACTGATTTCGGCGACCTATCACAAGCGGTCATCATGTCAACATGCGATGTCAGTGCTGAAGACATCAAATCGAACATCGACCTCCTCCTCTCCGAACTCTATAAGACTGCATCAAGCGGTCTTGTCTTACAAGCCGGCCTGAAGGCGTTGCATGAAGTGAGAAGTACATGGAGGTTCATGCAAAAGAACACTGACGAGCTCACACGGACCGGGTTCTATATGCAGCTCGTCGACCGCATTTTGCATGATGCATCCATTTACGGTCCGAGACAACAACATCAAGCCCTGGCGCTGCAGGAGTTGGTTTTCAACCTGAATTTGGCTTTTACCCAGGACGAACCTACACCACTGAATCTGAGGGTAAGCGGAAAGATTCGTCCATGTGAGTGTAGGGACAGACATTGACCTGGTCACTTCATAGTTCCTTCGCCGAAGACTCGTCTGCCTCCTGGATCAATTTGACTCAGAAATGCGAGGCAGAAGCACTGGTAAGTGCCGCGTTAACACTTTGCAACCGCACATATCTAACGATTGTTCTTCAGATGGGCTCTCAGAATCTAAGTCTCGCTACGCAAATCTTTGTGCTTTCGCTAGCGCCCTGGTTCGCGAAGACGTGCATATATTTGCATGGGAAGACATCATGAGAACTGCTTTTCGCCGCGCCCAGCAAAATGAGCCCTCAGAAGCATCCACACAGAACGGAGGTGGAACGTCGCTAGAGACTTGGAAGGCATACCTGAGCGGAGCTCAAGCCTGGGCCAATTGCGACATTTTACGCAAAAGTTTGCGAGATGGGAGTAGTTCACGCGTAGAATGGCAGCGGTGGCAACGTTTATTCATGGAAGCCGACAGCATAACCACCGATGGGGACCCGTCTAGGCAGTCGTTTTCGAAACCTTTAAGAGAGATTCAGATGGCATTGGATGAGGCACGAGGGCATAAGAAGGACCGGCATACCCGCGCAGCGTACGTGCCAAAAGCCCGATTGCTCAGAATTCCAGCAAGGACTTGAGCTGTTATCTTCAATAAACTGCGATCGATGGAGTGATTGCTAAACGAGAAAGGTAATAAGCTCAGAGTGAAGGTCTGACCGTTATAGGATATCTGGGGACTGGGCACAACTGTGAGCTGTTGGTGTGTGCACCAGGATTTCGACTATCTGGGCGGTTCAACTTGGAATGTTTTTAGATGATCACATAGTAAATACAAGAACAAGCCCCAGTATTTTTGTTTCTTTTCTGACTGACCGTACTCAAGGCCCTATGTGTGACCTGGTCTTCACATATCATTTACGCAAGGACAAGCCTATGTGAGAGGAATAGTTTCAGCTACTTGCACAAGTGGAGGAGCAGACATGACAGGGACTGCTAAATATGTAAAAGAGAGAAATCAAGTGAGTAATTGGTGTAAACGACGACTGCTTCTCGGAAGAGCTGTGAAATTTGAGCCCTGGAGTCATAGTCGACCAACACGAACCAGCTCGAAAATTCGTTCATTTGGCGTGACAAAAATTGACGACTGAATCACTGGTTTCCGCGCCCTGTGGTGTTAAAAGCAAATAAATACAAGGCTCTGGCATCTGTCCTGTTCAATCTTGCCCCATTAGAGAACTAGACTCGGAACAAGAGAAACCATTGAGAAATCAGACCATTAACACCTGAGCCACAAAAGACGAGAGCACAAGACAGGAAGAAGAAGACAAGCTCAACAGACGAAAAGCTTGAGGTAGGTACTACCAACTTGAACAAAATGTCTGATCAAGCAGAACTCGGGCGCCACCAGCGGGCACTCTGGAATCTTCTCTGTTGGAACTACCCAGCCGACATCTGCAAGACTCTGGAGAACACGGATCACATCCACAACGACTTCCTCCACTATCTTTACAGTATTCTGCAAAATGCCAGGGCAAAGCCGGCGTCGTACCTCACCGCGAGGCTCGCAAGCCTCCCAGACACCACAGCGAATGAAATGATTGCGGCTCTGGACGCTTTGGACATCCGCGGGCCAGAGCCCACAGATTCGGAATCAAGTGAGGGGTCAAACAAGGGAGAGAAGCCGCAGAGGCCTGAGCTGGAGAGCAAGCCGTACTTCCACAGCTGCGAGCGCGAGTGCTTCTGGCTTATTGTCTTGGAGCTGTTCAAGGCAGGCTGCGTGGGCCATAAGACCGACGGGTCTGCGCGGGAGGAGATATCAGACTTTCATGCTCTGCACTACTTGTACAGGCTCGACGTTGAGGATAGTCGATGTCGGCGATATGAGGAAGTGGAACTGAGAAGCCCTACGCACTCATGGTACCACGAGACGTCCGATAAACAGGTTCTGTGGTGCGTGAGGCGGTTGTGGCCGCTTGTGGAAGACAAGCTCAAGAGCAACGGGGATCAAATCCAGGCCGCAGAAGATGTAGACATGGCACACAGTGAAGGGTCTTAGCTGGACGAGCGAAAAGGATGCAGGCTCTGGTGTTTGCCTGATGAAGCTGAGCAAGTATCTAGACCAAGTCAGCAATCAATTATCTCGGGTAGTCATTGAAGTTTCCATATCCCCAACTCCTTAGCATGCAATCCTTTTGTGCCCCAAATAATACATCTGACTTGTGATCCCCTTCTATCCCCTGCCCGCTTAGCCCATGAGCTCCACACCGTTCCGTATGGCGCCGACGACCGCGCCAGTTTGGACAGCCTCTGAGCCGCCTCCAGCCATCCGGTGCTCGATCTGGGAGAGAGCATCTAACCAAGTAATCATGACCTCCGGTTTGACCTGTAGTTTAGTGACCTCTTCTGCCAGCGCAGTAATGATGTCAGCGAGCGCGAGACCCCTTGCGGCTTTCAGAGTGTTGACCGTTGTCAGGCAAGAAGTCACGTCGCTAGTGCTCAGCAAGGTCTGCAATATGTCCTGAATGGCGTCTGGAGGTGGCGCTGCGATACAGTTGTAAATGGTCTCGAGAGTGATGGTCTCCCTGACAATATCCGCCTCCGCTATCTTCGGGCCGTCGCGTGGTTGCAACGGGGTGCCTTTGGCCTCATTAGTCTCTCCGTACAAGTTGTAGAGGAACGGCTGGTCTTACTGGATGCGTGGCATGCTTGCAGCACATTAAGTGCTCTTCGCATATCACCTCTGCTGAGCCTCACCAGAGAATCCGTCGCGTCAGAGTCGATATTGACGTGTTCCTCCTCGATGACCTTGTCAACAAGCACCCGGATGTCCGCCTCTTTCAGCGGGCTGAACCTGAATCTCGTGCATCGCGATAGCAACGCAGGCGAAAGCTTGTGCGAGTAGTTGGCGATGATACAGAATCTAGTGTTGGCGGTGTACTTTTCCATAATACGACGCAGCGCCATCTGTGCTGTATTGGTCATGGCGTCGGCTTCATCCAAGATGATCAGCTTGTAGGCAGCCAAGCTGTTTCCGCCGCTCCGTCCTGACCCTCCCATGGTAAATATTTGCTTGGTTGATGCGAATGTCTTGATTTGCTCGCGCACGACATCAATGCCGCGATCGTCTGACGCGTTCAGCTCGAGAACCATCTGGCGCATGTTTTCGACGCCGTAAATGCGGCGGGCCAGGGCGAGAATCGTTGAGGTCTTTCCTGTACCCGGAGGACCGTAGAGGAGGAGGTGAGGAAGACGATTCGAGTCGACGAACTTGTTGATTGTAGCAAGGATGTCTTGGTGGCCAGACACGTCGGCAAGCGTTGCTGGACGATATTTCTCGACCCTGATAAGGTGGGCGTGGATGTCAGCGCAAGAAACTGCACGCAGCTTCGAGTATTTCGGTAGGGACACTCACCATGGCAAGCTGTCTTCAGCCTCGACGGGCAGGTTGGCGGCGCTTCTTTTGCCCTTTGCGGTGTTGTCAGACGAGAAGGTGATGTCCTTAGATGGCGCAGGGACATCAATGTCCATCTCGTCCTCAAAGTCCGACATGTTGTTGGTCTAGTGGTTTCTTCTGCGAATCTCACCAACAGAGTACTACGACTGGGTACTTAGGTTGATATTCGGATCGAGTTATTGTGCTGGCGGCGGAATTGGTTCTTCAGTTTGCTTGATGGTGGTTGTTTGCAGCTTCAAGGAAAGGTTGGTGGGGGCTTCCAGGCTCAACGCGTCGCGTCACGTCTGTAAAGCACCTAAGGTAGCTTAAGCAAGGCCAACCCTTCCACGGTAGAGCGCGTGAGCACTGGCCACTTGTTAATTGAACCGCCCGCTACTATCTAGAATATGCTTACATCAGCTACATCAGTCAACTCGAGCTGTAAGTCCGTCACTGGCCCCCACTGCTGGTCTCCTCTGCTACTGGGATGTCATGCACTCTCTCTTCCTTGATACTCGTCATGGACTTCCCCTTGCCCATTTTGTACTTCCTGAAAGCCAGGGCGATAGGGCGAATGGTTACTCAATGCATCCTCAGCTCTTTAGCGCGATGCACCCCGCCCAGGTGCAACATCGCGGCGCAAGGATGGAATCTTATCCAGCAGCGAACTCCCAACCAGACCCTGCTGAAAAGGAGCACTAAGTGATTCTTATCAGCGATGGTGATGTAAGTGGAAATGGAGGCAGATGCTGCTTGGCAAGATATGATATTGCCTGGATCTAATCGAGGTTCAAGATGCGGCCTACAGCAGCATTCCTTGCTTTTTTAAGCCGAGCATGCTCTTCTAATTTGATGTTTGACGGTGCAACCTGTCTCTCTTGCCATTTCCCCCTTGTTGCAACAATGCGTGTGAGCACAATATTCACATTGTTGCAAGTGACTTCGTCTACTGGCGCCGCTGCGTCAGTAGTCGAGGATCTCTTTCGCCAACGTGCTCAGCTACCCCATTCAGGAGGGTTGACCGCACGGCAAGCCGCCAGCATCAACGGCTCTGACTATCCGCCATCATGGATGACAATACCAGTCGACCATTTCAACCAGTCTGACTCTCGCACGTTCCAGAATCGCTACTGGTTCAACGCGACCTTCTATCAACAGGGCGGGCCAGTTTTTTGGTTCGACTCTGGAGAGCAGAATGCTCAGCCATTGGTTCCTTATTTCCTGAATGAGGTGGCGGGGCCCTCCGCAGTTATGTCACTTGCTCGACGATTCAATGGCCTTGCGTTGCTTGTCGAGCACAGGTACTACGGCGGTGTGGAAGAAGGCAGCTATCCACACCCAATCAATAGCACGACAGGGGAGCTTCTTGATCCCAGTGGGTATAGATACCTGAGCACTGAGCAAGCTCTTGAGGATACGGTCTACTTCGCGAACCACTTTGAGGCCTCCTCAGGCGTGAATGGAACCTTCTCCCCAGACAAAACGCCATGGGTCTGGCTCGGTGGCAGCTATCCCGGGATTCGCGGTGCTCAGCTGAGAGTTCGAAACCCCGAGACTTTCTACGCGACCTGGGCGTCCAGTCCGCCCACCGAGGCAGCTGTGGATATGTGGACATATTACGCACAAGCTGAGAGAAGCATGACAAGAAATTGCTCCGCAGACTTCACTGCAGTCACGCGATACGTCGACAACGTCCTCGCTAATGGCACCCAGTCTGAGGTAACTTCTTTGAAACGACAGCTGTTGACAGCTGTCCAGGCGTCCCCCTCGAATCTGAATCCAGCTGTGAGCGCTGGAGATGTGGAGGGACTTGACAACGCAAGCGTCGGCTCACTATTATTGACGCCACTAAATTTCTATCAGTACTTCGGATTTCAGCGATCGGTGCTACCATTCTGCGATGTATTGGAGACACAAAACCGGACCAATGTTTCTACCACGGACAACGGCGGCACGGCCAGATCTATTGCTCCCGCATCAGGCCTTGCCCTAGAATACAACATCAGCACAGCATGGAATGCCTTTCTCGTCGCTCTCGTGGAGCTCAACTATGACAATATTGATTCAGTGAGCCCTCAAGACCCTGTACAGGGATACAGTTGGGCGTATCAGTACTGTTCTGAGTATGGGTACTATCAGCGTGGAAATCCGGACAATGAACATACCATTGAGTCGCAGTTCATCAGCCTCGATTACTTCCAGGACAACTGCAACTCTGTCTTCCCCGGTCTGCTACCACCTAGTCCGAATGTCGAGGCGTCCAATAAATATGGCGGTTGGCTCATGCAGCCGTCTAACACGATGATGACAGGGGGTCAATACGATCCCTGGCGGGCTCTGTCGCCTGCCTCGACAGAGATGGGATCCCCAGGGAGGAAGACAACACAAATCATTCCGGGTTGTAATCAACCGCCTGAGGACAATGACATCTTTGGTTTGATATACGATGGCATGGTGCATGTCAGTGACATGAGGGCGTTGCTGAACTTAAGTGATCCCTACCACCAAAACTTCTCCACGATCGGCTTCAGCAGTTTCATTAGTACGGAGCCTTTCTTTGCAGGGACAGCCTTATTCGAGAGGGCATTGGAGACGTGGTTGCCTTGCTTCGGAAGTAATGTATCCAGCGTGATCAACATGTGATTATAGAATCAATCGTAATTACCATATTCATCTCGATTAACGTGGCCATCCAATTTTGGATCCAGAAGGTAGATGTTGCATAATCTGACGGCAGAGGCGGCTGGAGCGCCAGAAGTTATGTCGAATAGCCTTGCGTAAGCGATTTAGCCAGTGTCAAGGCAGGACACATTCAAAAACTACATATCCAGGTATTGATAAGCATTAGATGCCTCTCTAGGTACAGATGACCAGCCTCGTGGAATAAGGTGGAGGGAGTTTGATTCTCCTTTTTCTGGCTTTTTTCTGGAAAAAAAAATACCTCACAACCTGCAGCCGGCCGCGGCTTTTATGAAGTTGTCCGCCATTGACTGGTTGAAGCCCCTGTCTGAGAACACTGAGGCTTTTCATCGGAGCGGCAATTCAAAGACCTAAGATATGATGCCATCAAGCCGCTTTTGATACAATCGCGCCATAGCCGCCGCGGCCTTGGCTAGCGGTAGCAGCATCGTCCGCGTAGGCGTTCTAGACTCTCGGGTGCAGTCCACACATCGGATGCTACCGAATGGTGAGGCAGTGAGGCAGAACTCATGAGGCTACTTCGGCTACGATGCGACCGAGGGGCGAAAAAAAGCCACGTGGTGGTGATGGTCTACTTGCATATGTTCAGCTTCGCTCAACTAGGCGCGCCACCAAAAATGAAGAAAGAATGGAGCTAACAATACAAATATTGATGCTTGATGGGTCGACAGGCTTGGTCGGTGGGAATTGAAATGATGAGGAGCATGTTTTCTAGACCAATCAGCCGTGAGTGCATGTAGCCCTCGTCGTTCTTTGTCCGGTGAGACATCTGGCCAATGTTTCGAGCTAAGGACGCCGTAGTATATATGCTGTCAATTGTCGATCTCACGTGTTTCATCAGCCCTGTAGTCCTCAACAATGCAGGACAGCCCCAAGTCTGGTGTCCCAGGAGGGCGGTAAGCCGAGCTGAATGATACCGGTGAGTGAGCTAACCAGGTATTCCAGCCTTGACAGGGACAGCCAACCATCCTGCCAGTGGGGGTCTGCCACTCCGAAGAATATTCTTTACGTCGAAAGTGCGTAGCACACGAGATGCGAATAATAGCACGCCAGTGATGGCGCCAAGCTGAATCGCTGTCTTCTTTTACGCGCAAGCCTAGTACTTCAGCCGCATTGTGATCACATGCCAATCGCACTCTCCTAGTGGCTGTACTGTACAGCATTGGCATTATTGGTTGTTTTACACTCCTGGCAAAAGCTCCAGGACCGGCAAAGCCAGCATCACTTTTGCCTGATGCATGAAATGGCCGTAGATTATGAAGGTTAGGGGATGCAGAAAATCAATCCTTCGAAGCAAGAAGAGTCGACCTTTCTGTTACCGCAAAGCTTGATATCTGAAGGCTATTGTTCTGCGTGTCGTTTACACTGCGCTCAATGAACTCAAAATTTACAAAGTCTGCGAATGCGACTTCGACTGTATTCTGTTGCTAATAATTACCCGCCCTTTGATTTGACGACGTTGCCCCTCATCACACTGAGGCGTATCATGTTCTCTTTGGATTGCTGACCGCGGACTCTATCGGCATTGGCTACTATATGAAGCTTCCGAAGATGAAGCTGAAGGAGGCTTGATCAAGCTTGATCAGGCTTGAACGAAGCTACCGTACTAAGCGAATCGCTCAGTCCAGATGTCTGACAGCGGAGATACCGAATCTCTGGGTTCACAAGGTTGAGCCCACCACTTGGCAAACTGACTAGTGGTAACAGCCGGATGGGCAGTGGCGTAATAACAATAGCTCAAACCCCCATGCGGTGCGCCGTGGTCGGCAGCTCCAATTTGACTTTGTTAATGATTTAACGTTTCTGTTTCTCCGGTGCAGGGGGCGACAGGGCGAGAAAATAGTTTCACAAGCTGAAGAAAAGTAATGTGTCACACTGCTCCGCAGCTAAGGTTCTCGCGTGGCTTTAGCAGTATTGGCGCCGCGGCATGGCCTCTTGGCTATGGGTCAGATCAAGCTCTACCAAGACACCAAGTCTGAACTCGTTCGGTTCCAAGACTTTCCAAGATCCCTATCGCAGAGATCATAGAATCAATTGAGGGTAGCTGCTCATTGCGTGCTCAGCCTTGGGCATTTCACCATCATGAACAAATTGTAATGTAGCAGACGGGTGTTTGCCGACGGTTTTCATATATATGGAAGAGTGTACATGTATGGAGACAATGACAGCGATGACTCGTGAAAGAATCCTGGCTTACAGAACAGGCCACACACCGGTGAGCTCTGTGTATTTGTCGAATTGAGCTGCATACTACACAGCCATCGCAAATTGTGTTACTCTGAAAGCAACCATGTCGCTACCTGACAGGAAAGAAGTCCTGCCAGGGCAGGATCCTATTCACCCGGCCGACGATGAGCAATCCCTCCACTACGAGGTGAACTGGACGAAGGAGGAAGAAAGCAAAGCCAAGCGGAAGTAAGAATTCAGCACAAATTAGCTAAATATTACTTGAGCACATGCTGATATCATTGACCTCAGGCTGGATCTAATTATAATGCCAATACTCACCCTCGGGTTCTTCTGCTTGCAACTCGATAGAGGCAATATCGCCAACGCCATTACGGACAAATTCATGGAGAATATCGGAATCAACCAGGACCAGTTCAATGTCGGCCAACAGATGCTTTCCCTGGGAATCGTGCTCTTCGAGATTCCATCAAACATGATCTTGTACCGGGTTGGGCCAGGCAAGTGGCTGACCCTTCAATTGTTCCTCTTCGGCTTTGTGAGCCTCTTTCAGGCCTTTCAGCACGGCTACGGCGCCTTCATCGCCACCCGCTTCCTCCTGGGCGTGACGGAGTCCGGGTTCATCCCAGGCGGTCTCTGGACACTGTCGACGTGGTACACCAGAAAAGAGACCGCAAAGAGAGTCATGTTCTTCTACTTCGGCAACCAGTTCGGCCAGGCCTCCTCGAAGCTCCTCGCGTACGGCATCCTGCACATGCGCGGCGTGGGCGGCAAGCCCGGCTGGTTCTGGCTCTTCGCTATCATGGGGGCCTTCACCGTGTTCTGCGGTTTCATCTACGGCTTCTTCCTCCCGGACTCGTTCAGGAATCCCCATAGTACTTTCCTCCCTTTCGTTCCGATCTTCAGTGAGCGGGAGGTTCACATCTTGCGCACACGTGTCCTGCTTGATGACCCGGCGAAGGGCAGGAAGAAGAAGCGCATCGGATTGCCTGCGTTCAAGAAGGCTGTAAGCTACAGGACCACAACCTGACCTGTCTTTGAACCTGCCCCGACTAACTGCCTGGCTCCTTAGTTCTCCAACTGGCGTCTCTGGGTTCACTTCCTCATCACGCTTTGTAATAACGGACCGCAGCGTGCCTTCGACACCTACTCGCCATCCATTGTCAGCAGCTTTGGCTTTCCTGCTCTCACCAGCAATGCCCTGGCATCAGTCGGTCTCTTCCTGCAGATCCCAGTGTCCTTCAGCTTCAGCGTTATATCAGATCGTTTGTAAGTCAAATTACCAGTCCCGCGAGCCGGATGTACGGACACAAAACTGACGGTAAATGTGAACGTGAACAGCAACAAGCGTGGTGAAACTGTAATGGCAGGCTTGAGCCTGCACCTTCTTGGATACGTCTTCAACCGCATCTTCACAGAGTTGCGTGGTCTTCGAGGCGTTCGCTATTTTGGTGTCGTGTGGACGCAGACGTTCGGCACATTCCCGCATCCACTGAACATTGCCTGGATGTCTCTGACCTGCACGGACTCGGAGGAGCGAGCTCTGGCGATGGCAATGTAAGCTCACCCACCACAGATTGTGGCATACATATCTTGAGCACCCCAGGGCTGACGTCGATGCTTCAATCAGGGTTATCATGGGCGCCAATATCGCGGGTATCTACGGTGCCCAGATATTCCGCGCGGACGACAAGCCGCTATACCGTCGCGGATTCGGCATCGACATCGCTGTTCTGACCGTTGGCGTGACTCTTGCGGTGGTTCGATACTCGGACGGCTGGATCCAAAAGCGCCGAGGGCAAAGGCAAGGGGCACTCGCGGCCGTAGACTCAGGAAGCGAGCACAACTCACAGGAAGACGAGAAGAGTGGGATCCCGGGCGTACAGCCAGGCCATGGGCATGCGCAGCTCACGCCGGCTGGCTATGACACCAAGGCTGCCCCGAATGCCACGACATACTAATCTACCAGGCTGACCACCTGGGTTGGGGACACCTGTCTCTTCCAATTTCTGTGCTGAAGCGTTGCGCCTACTATTGATACCAGAGCGTTAGCCATTGAGTCGAGATAGCGTTGAGATTGAAATTGATGTTAAAAGCGAATGAATTTCTCGATCACATGAACCTCCACGATGGGTGATTCTGAGTGTGATTTGCGTAGGTGGTCAAATCAAGGGACTGACATTCCTGTTCGCCATATACATGTTGCCTCTTGGCAGCCGCGCATAGTGTGCGCTCTGGACTTCCTTAAGTCAGAGCTCAGTTAAGATTAAGTTCACCTGCGCTCTCACGCTTCACAGAATTTATTGAGACCTTGGTCCGTTTGTGCAGCAACGGGAGTTGAAGAGTGAAGGTGTGAGCCAATGTGGACCCAAGAGCTACATACTAGGAGCGGCTGTAACGGCAGATCAGGGACGCATCGTCCTATACCATGCTCTCGGGGTTCGAATTCCGAGACTCTGGGAAGCCAATGATGCTAGATTTACCAGCCTGCTCCACGTGCCAGAAGCCGTTGCGCGCCACACGGACCCATCTCATAGCGAGCACAACACAGCCTTGCTCCAAGGAGCAATCAAGTTAGCGAGCATTTCTTTCTACTTCTTTTATGTGTCACTTTCCATTCTGACAGCTGAATGCCAAATGTCATTCGCAGAAATGTATAGGCGCCCTGATATTAATGATTGTGGTGTTGAAGACATAACTCAGGCGTAACCCCATTGCACAAAAGCCCAAGGTCACATCGAGGCATGACCGAGGGCCGCAATGTGTAAGCTGATAGCGTGGATGTAGACTCGAATACTGTCCCTGCAATCCTCATCTTGTTTTCCGCGGACTAGGAAGGATTCATGTCCTTGAGTATGTCGCTGCCGGGCGGACATCCGCTGAGCCGAGCCTGTCTGAATTCCAGAGGTGTGCGTGCACATAGAACTCGGACAAAAGCTTTCTCTTCACTTTCCAGATGACGACAGTCTAACAATCGTGTTGTATTTGGTCACTGTTTTGTTGCGAGTCCTAAAACAGTCGATATACACTCGCTCCGACTGTGTGGTGCCACTCGCAGTGCTGTTGATGAGTTGTGGGGGGGGGGGGGCGACTCGGGATATAGGTGGGTCAGCATCCCCTGGGGCTAAAATTTCCAGGTCCATCCACCGAAGCCTCTGTAGGGCCAATCCCCAGACGCCAAGGCCACACGTGTGTTAGGCTATTCAAGCCTTCAACTCCGTCGGCCACCTTCCAATCATGGAAAGGCTATTTGCGAACAAATCTCGACAGGCAGCACTGTGGAAGCCCACCATCGTTTGCACTGCCGTATTGGCGTCCACTGACCTGTCAGTGTTGCATTCCCAGGCCGTGTTCCCACCAGCAGGCCGATGAGTTGGTGTCTTCCGTGAAGCTTGTATTGGCCGGACGGACTGCTTGACATGCAGGACATTGCAGAACATGCTGCCAGGGTCGTAATCCGTGCCCCTTGGGCGAATCAGATGGCCTCGTGGCCCTCATCTAAGTCACTCACATGAACCCCACGCCGGTCGGTGATGGTACGGAAGTTCAGATGGCCCCAATGCAGCTCGGTCAAGCGCAATCACACCCTGCTCGGCCGCCACTGCGACCTACAAATGGCTCGCGCCGTCCTCCCACGCCGACCTTTGGCTCGGCTCCCGGCGTCTTTGCTCTGTGGTGTCGGTCGAGAGCCTCTCTTCTCTTAAGGAGCCAGCATGAGATCTCAGATCGCCCACGTTTTGGCTGTCGCCGTTGGGTGTGTCGTTGCGCAGCAGTCTGCCAGCGACACACTCAGCCCTGTCAGCTATGTCAAGGGCAAGGCTTTTGACCGTCTTGCTATTATCTGGCTTGAGAACACTGACTACGACCTGGCCGTTGGCGACCGTGAGAGCCTCCTCTCTTTTCTGCAGACGTTTTCCCTTTGTCCATCAAGTAAATGCTGACATCTTCACAGCCAACCTGGCTTGGCTAGCCAGCAAGGGTATTACGCTGAGCAACTACTTCGGCGTGACCCATCCATCCGAGCCCAACTATATCGCTTCTCATGGAGGTGACTACTTCGGCATGAACAACGATGATCTCACTACCGTCGATTCCAACGTCTCCACAATTGTCGACTTGTTGGAGGACAAGGGCATCGCCTGGGGTGAATACCAGGAGGATATGCCGTATACCGGATTTGAGGGGAAGGCCTGGGTCAACCAGGTCACTGGGGCAAACGACTACGTGCGCAAGCACAATCCCGCCGTCATCTACGGGGCCAACTCGGAACGTGCCGACCGGCTGGCCGTCATGAAGAACCTGACACTGTTCTACGATGATCTGGAAAACGAAACGCTGCCACAGTGGATGTTCATCACGCCCAATATGACCTCTGATGGGCACGACTCGTCAGTCACCGTCGCTGGCAAGTGGACTCGCAGTTTTCTCGAGCCTCTCCTCACTGACTCACGTTTTATGAACAACACGGTGAGTTTTTGCGGTCGCCGCGTACCTAGATGCCCATGCTTGCTCGGAGGAGCTTTGCTGATAGCTATGTCAATAGCTGGTTCTTATTACCTTTGATGAGAACTCATCATATGCGCTCACAAACCGCGTTCTAGCTATCTTACTGGGCGATGCCATACCGTCCGACCTGGTCGGCTCCACCGACAGCAGCTTCTACAACCACTACTCGGAAATCGCCACCGTCTCGGCTAACTGGGACCTGCACACCCTCGGGCGGTGGGATGTCGGCGCCAACGTATTCTCCTGGGTCGCCGACAAGACCGGCGACGTCGTGAGGGAGTGGAGCGAGGCGTCCGCGCCGGCCCTCAGCTCCATGTTCTTCAACCAGAGCTACGACGGGGTCTTCAACGACAAGGCCTCGTTCCCCGTCTACCCCTCGCCAAACGTGGAGATTGAGAGCCCCAGCGGCAGGACGGTTTTACCAACTATCGAAGAGAAGTGGACGGGCAGCTCCAACCCTGATTATTACTCGAGCGTCATCGAGGTGCCAGACGGGCTGCACCCTCCTGCCGGATACGGCTTCGCTGCTTGAAAAGGCGGCTGAGGCCAATTATGGCGGGGTCCATATAGAACAGCAATGTAGATGAATTTCCACTATATAATCATCGACTTTCTGAGGTACAGAACCCTCCAAGTACACCAGTAGTGCCAGCTTTTGTTCCACAAGTTTTATGTTACGAGAAGGAAAGGGAAGGCACTGGTACCTATGGCTGGGACGGGCTTGTCACTTTCCTGTGGGCCAAGAAGACCCAAGAGCAGTTTGCCGTGTTTTTGTGCCCTACGCTGACTTGCCAGAGGCCCCCGACTAGGCTACGACCGCGGAAATATGGACATGGCCTCGGCAGTACAGGCTGCTTGATCCCAATGGATACCGCGACGATATCCTCCATCGCTCCGAGCGAGGCGCCGCCGCGGCGCATGCTTTCTTCTATCAAGCTGGGTCTCCACGATGAGAAGCACAACGCATGCCTTTCAGAGACTCTCGACTCAAAAGCCTGCGGCCCAGCCACGCTGGAGTCGACCAAGAGAGTGGCAACGGTAGTGTGCTGTCACTGGCTTGTCTAAAAATTAGCGTGGTGTTGTACAACGGGACAGAGCGGCAGCTTGGCCGGGGCATGTCACGGCGATCTAGACCGGCCTGGCCATGGAGTCATCGATTCTAATTCCTTTTTGAAAGATTTGTTTCCGTTGTGATCGACTCGAGCTTTGTTCGTGATCCCTCCGGTGTTATTGGCTTGTGTAGCCATGGCACATCATGACTTCGGCTGGGTTGCTCACCACCGTCTAGGATAAGTAGAGGTTGGAAATGCTGGAATTTTCAATATCAGTCTGGAACCCAGTGTTGAAGGACAATGGTTCCAAGCGACCTGATCGAATGCCGGACAGAGAGAGGGCCAGAGACAGCGACTTGACGGGCGGCAGGCCCTGGATTCTGGACAACTTCTTGACCTAATGGTCCAGTTCTTCTATTCTCGCTTTCTATTCTGTCTCGCCATTAAGCCGCACCGATGTCGGGCTGTCAGGGAGTCAAGTGAGATGCCGACACTGAGAATTCTTCCCGGGACCTTGACCCTTGCAGAACTGAGAGAAGATCATACCCATTGACCAATTGGTAGGAGGGCTAAGGAGGATAGTCACGAGATCAACATGCGTTCAATTCATTGCCGCAGTACTCGCTGCATGTCACATAGTCTAGCACGAACCGGAGGCGAACTCCCTGCCTAGCCTGGTAGGGAACATTGAGAAGTGCTTGTCCAACACGTCGACGGCTCGGCTGCCAGCCCCCTCTTCCGCGATGATCCATGGGTGGGAGGCGTCGAAACGGGCAGCCCACCCATGCAATTACCCCGTCCCCGAAGTTTTTCTCGTGCATGAGACGTCACTAACAACTGAGAGGTTGCATCTTGACCAGAATTCTGGTCGCCGTGCATGAAGGCGTGCCGGTGGTGGTAATGGTGGTGGTGTGGGGCGGGGGCTGGATTACAAGCTGTTGATGGGAGAGTGACGTCGCGGTGTTTCCCGTCGAGTGCAGCCGCGATATTGTATAAGACGGATGCATCGCTTCGAGGGGGCTCTCCAGAGATGGAGGAATAGGAAGATTCACCTGGTTGCTGGTTAATAGCCTGTTTCGCTAACTCTAATTGTTTCCGGTCTTGGGCGTGTCCAGGCCTGACCATTGCGCATCATCTCAACTCAACCCATTGCCGCAGGGCAGCAAAAAGGCACCAGCAACAACTGCAACAACTGCAACAACTACCCTCTCGAGTCGATACACCCAGAAACTTTGACAGAGCGATTCTCACCCCAAGGCTCAACAACCCTAGGAACAAGAGCATCGCAATTTTGAAAATGCCACCACCAACCTCAACCTGGGTGGACGCAGCCACGCGGGTGCTGCACGCGCGCCAGTCCACCGTCACAGTCACCCCGGCCGACAGCTCGGACAACTCGTCGTCGGGCACGAACCTCAGCGGCGGGGCGATCGCGGGGATCGTGATTGGGTCCATCGCGGGGTTCCTGCTGCTGCTGTGGATCTTCAAGTCGTGCTCGAACATGGGGGCGCCGCCGCAGGAGAAGCGGGAGCCGGCCTGGTACGACGACGTCGGCGCCGGCAGGAGCAGGCGGAGGGGCCGCTCGAGGCACAGCAGCCGGCGCGGGTCGTACTACGTGCAGGAGGCGCACGCGCCGCGCCGGTCGCGCAGCAGGGAGGTCCGGACGGTCCAGCCGGTCGTGTACACCAGCGAGCCGAGGCGGCCGAGCCGGGCGCACGAGAAGCACAGGAGGCGGTCCAGGAGCGAGGGGAGGGGCTACTACGTGTAATGGCCCCCGACTCTAAAGTGAAAATAAGAGGCGGCCCGTGGGCCAGAGGTTCCATTGAGGCGGTAAATCTTCGATCTGATGGGGTTAGCTTTCGGGAACCGGTGGGACGCGGAGTGCCACGGCACATGCAGGGGTTTGGCTGCCCGTCACCACACACACACACACACGCATACACAATACTGTATGTACAGAAGGGCGCATGCATGGAGTCGCTCAAGGGATAGGTGTGTGGGACAGCGGCCCGATGCGTGGGATTTCACGATTATGGAACGAGCAATGACTGGATGACGATACAACAACCCCAATGCTGATAACGCAAATGAATTGAAATGAAATGAAAAGAAATGAATACGAGGGCCGTGTCTTCTTTGTGGGGAATGCTGCCTGGATGAGCACACGCGGGCCAAGAATCACTATGTCACCAACGTCTTGTCCCGGTCTGCCTGTTTCAAGCCACTCCAACGGTTCCCTTACCGTTGTTGGAAACGTCTGGGGGCCGTTGGACTGTTTGGTTCATCGGCTCGATGCTGATGCTATTGTTTCTAGGCACAACATATCCAATGGTGAGTAGAGAGAACTGGCGTGGCCATGTCTGTGTGTCTCGCTCACCCTTTTCCTGCATGCTTTTTCCGTCAGCTGCAGGCCAAGAACGCACAGATACGAGCGCCTCCCAACCATTTGGGACAAGCAGATTCTCCAATCTGGCAGTCTGCCTGTCTCGTTCAGCCGCTCTAGGTCAAACCATGCAACATGCAGCTAGCATTTGGCATCTAGCTAGCATCTAGCTCCCCCTGCTCCGGGCCCTCTCTTACCCCTTTATGAGTCTCGTGCCCAAGTTTCCCATGCTGATTTCTCAGTGGATCAATTAACTTTCCCTCCATCTAGGTGAGGTCGGCTTCAACCTCTGCCCATCCATCTATTCCTTGTCTGTCGGATTCCACTTCCTTTTTCACCCAAAGTCGACTCTACTTCAACGCTGCACTGCGCATCTTCGCCAGGCAGACGGCCCGTGGTGTTTCGTTTCGGCTTGGCCATTCCGAGACGGGCGTCGGAGTTTTGTTCTTGGTTCATCGCGCCCGGGCCCGAACAGCCAACCCGGCCCGACTGCAGACCCGGTCATCAATCAGATCACGAGAGCCAACACCGTCAAGTTGCTCAGAAATATGCGTGCTGGTCGTCTATCATCTTAACCCACATCGCCACGAGCCCTCCAGGGGGCTGTCTTCCGCGGCATGAGGTCCCTTCTCGGCCTCGCAGCACTCGCTGCGATAGCATTGGCCAGGACCGATGTCATGGTGCCTCTGTATGTCTATCCTGGAAACACGACCTGGACAAACCCAAACTGGGAGGCTGCGGTGGACGCAATAAAGGGGAACCCACACTTGCACTTTTACGTTGTCATAAATCCAAACAGCGGGCCTCTTAACACGAGTGATCCCTCCGGATACAACGGTGGTTACTGCAATGTCGACAATGAGGACTACATCCCTCATGGGTGCAACCGCGACTGGACTACGCACCTAGCCGCTATTAGCAAACTCTCAAATGCCCAAACTGTTGGGTATGTGTACACGAGATATGGGCAACGGCCGGCCGACGAGGTGAAGGCCGACATATTAGAGTGGTCCAAATGGGACAAGGAGGGGACCTGGGACGCCAACAAGGAGGCCGACATCTCCATCCACGGGCTCTGGTTCGACGAGATCGGCGCGTCCTCCGTGAACGCCTCGCTGTACCAGGATCTGGTCACGTACGCCAACGAGACCTTCGAGGCCAAGGGCAAAAGCAAGGGCAAATACACCGTCATCCTGAACGCGGGTGACGTCCCGGACGACCCGGACTACGAGGCCCAGCTGTTCAACATGGCCTCGGCCGTCGTCACCAAGGAGACGTGCTACACGACCGACCCGGACGCCGACGGCGTGTCCTGGGACTGCCCCATGCCCTACGCCCCCTTCGAGGTGTCCAACCTCACCTCGGGCAACGGCCTGCCGCACAACAGCGCCTTCCTGCCGCAGACGGTCGTCATCGTGCACCAGTTCCGCGGACCAACCAACGCTTCGATGCAGATGCTGACGGAGCAGATTGAGGGCTTGGTGGACCTAGGCATCCACAGCACTTACTTCACGAGTGGTAGCTGGCACAACACTACCGAGATGCCTGCGACGATTGAAAATGTAGCCAAGATAATGAGCACGGCTAATGATGCGGCGAGGTCAGCTGGCGGGTCCATTTGGGGATTGTGGGCGTCGTGCATGTGTGCCTTCTTGGTATATAGCCTTTTTAATATATAATTTCAGTTGAAATCGTCATTTGTTCTTCCCAGACTAGGTGATCCCGCTTGAAACTGCCATTTACTGCATAGTTGGCGTGCCCATGTGGTGGCTAGAGTTCGACTAATTCAGACGCAAAAGCTGGATAGGATGTTACAAACAAGGTGCCTTGAAGCAGAGCAACGAGGGGGTGGGAATGTGCTGACACAATTAATGTTGTCTGGATAATTTTCAGGCCTCACACTAGATTGCCTCTGGGCATCCTAGGACCATATGGTCAGATTAGCACGATACAGGGAAACGCTCAAACCTTTTCGATCAACAAAGGCGCCAGGTTCAATCACGTTCACATACTAGATTTTTTATCTTATTATTTCTCATGTTTTCTTCTCTCCTGAACAAGCTCTACCCTTCGACATGTCGCTGGCCCCCACAACCTCAACGCTCCGCTCCGTTGCTGTCTCAACTGCACACCTCACTCAACCATCTCGACACCGAGAACTTTGATCGCAAGAAAGCATGAATCGTCTGCTATTCCGCCCCAAGCCACTGCTCTGCTGGCTCGACCGCCTTGTGACCTGTAAAGCCCCACTACCTGACAAGTCCACTGCTCAGATGACTGCTGCGCCAGAGTGCGACAAGCTTTGCGCAAAACCAGGCCGATGCTGCGCTTACTCTGGTCTTGTTCACTACACACCTGATAATTCAACACTCTCTTGGTCCCCTGGGCTCACAATCTCCCACATCATCACCCCTCAGTATTTTGAAGTCTTCATTATCTGAGACATCGACAGAGCGGACGACGAGCTCGCAGAGAAGTGGCGCATGACTTGGGATCCTCGAGAGAACATCGTCGTGCTTCTCGGCCACTACCTCGCTTACGCCTCGGTTTCATCAGCTTCAGAAGGGAGCTGCGAGATTCTTACCACATCCGAACAGATCAAGCATGTCCTGCTCTAGTCTCGGGCCTGAGTGGCTCTTTCAAAGGCCGGTCTTCCTCCGCAAATAATCAGGAAGAGACCAAGCGTACCATTGAGGTCCTTCGAGTTTGCGGCGTAACGTTCCGAGAGCCCCTGGTAGAAGCTGATCTCCGTTGGAATCAGGAGGCGCGGCGGGTCATGGTAGTAAACTCCGCGGGTGCCAAAATCAAAGATACCTGGGGCATAAAAGTCTTTATCCAGAATTTCACAATCAAGGGTTGACCAATTCGCAAGCACCGCGGTCGACCAGAGAAATAGAAATTATGTGCCGATCTTTCGGGAACAGGTATGGAAACGAGATTCCAGTCTAGTCCGGAGTGGCAGACTTGATACAAATGTTTTACCAATTTTCTACCTTCCCTCTCACCATCGGCGGTGCACGCTTTTCCTTGGGCCGGTGAGCTTTGGGAGAGCTCGATGATGCCGGGATGTAATTGTGGAGGAGAGCAGCCTCACAAGGCACTCATCGACAGTCCGAGCACACAGAAGCGCGGACAGAGTCACAAGTAAGGTGAAGAGCACGAGGAAAGCGGTTGTCATCATGACTGGCACCGAGACCGAGTCTTGTTTTGCTTGAAAGTCCAAATTCCAAAAGGGTCGCGAGCAGCTTAGACCCACGACTTGAATATTTATTGTGCACGAGCAAGTGAAACAGGCTCTCCGTACTATGGCCACCTGCATCGCTCAGCTGATCCTTAACCTCAATAGCGAGGTTGACAAAAACAAAAGTCATCAGCTGTTGTCGCATCGGGAGAGTGAAGTGAAGGTAATTCTTTTGGCCGCAAAATACACAGGCGCAGTGGTAGCTGTGCCGACTTTGTCGTTGGCATATAGTCATGAATTTTTCAGGACGAAAAAGGGCACCAGACACAGATGTACTCCAAGATGCAGAAGACATCAGGTTCCGAAGTAATCGTGCCGTCATGGAGGACTCGCCCACGTAAATCGGAAGACTGAGGGCGTATTTCTAAACCATTCCACATACAAATCGGTGATGCTTTCAGTAAGAGGTGGTGGTACCGTCGGAAATCTGACATCAATAGTGGTAGATACCAAATTGGCATTGAAAAATTGGACTTCAGGTCCATTACACAGGTAACCTTCGTCTCGGCTACCCTGGAAATAAAGACAGTGCAAATGCTACCCCACGAGATGCTTCCATCTGGTAATGGCCGACTACGCCACAGACTGGCTTCGGGAGACCGTCCCTCGCACCCATGCCCTCCAACGGAACTCCCGGGTTCTTGACGGCCAGCAAGTCCTCCTCTCTCGACCTCTTCCTCATTCCTTCCGACTGCCCTCTGTGCTCACAATGCGGTCAGAGGACCCACTTGGATGAGCAAGCACAGGATGACCACGACGGCAATGATCGGCCCGTTAACCACCGAGGCTGGGTTTCCTGTGAAGGTGAACTGGGCCACGATACCCTTCGTGAAGTTGGTCGCCGCCTCCTGGATCGCGATAGCCGTCAGGTTGCCGCAGGCCTGGTTGAGCTCGGCGTCGGCGGTCAGGTTCGGGGCGACGAGGATGGCCTTGTTGAGCATGGCCGAGTTAGCGAGGGTGCCGACGGGGCTCTGCTCGAGGAAGGTGGTGCGGTAGCTGCTGTTGCCCCCGATGACGGACATGTTGGCTATCTGGCTGTACTGGAGGCATGCTGCCTGTGTCGAGAGGATTGTGCCGGTAAACTGGCGGACGACCTTGACGCTTCCCTCGGCGTCGGTGATGCCGGACGCGGGCGAGGCGAACACTGCAGCCGACAGTGTGGCCAGAAGGAGGATGGCGGTGGTGAGTGGACTTTGCATCTTGCCGATTATTTTTGCTTTTGGTTTTGCTTCCTTTGCTCTTCTTTTTTCGTTCTACCAAAATTTCCAACGAACCCGAGGTGCGGCTCAACCGTCACGATATCGCAAGCTTGGACCAAGAATGACCGACAGAAAAGACCGTATTACAAAGAATAAAGAGAGGCACAGCCTTCGCGCGAATTGAAACTTATCGAGCTCGGTCACAAGCTCAAGAGATTGGCAGGTTTCCGGGTGAAAGTCAAAATCGAATCGAAGAGAAGAAACGGGAAAGAAGGAGGGTAGATTAGGATAGAAGTGGGTGTGCAAAAGTCAAAGTTGGACGGAATACGGACGAGACGAACGAGACATTGGCGCCGCCATCCGCCATCATCCGCACGTTAGCCAGCCGTGGAGCTGTAACGGCGGGACTGCTCGAGGTGATGCATGAACGTGTTGCACGAACATGTCGCAGCTGGGACCGCAGCCTGGAGCCGGGGTTGAGACGAGACGAATCGGGTCGACATGAGACGGCGCCGAAGGGACGAGGCGGTACCAAGAGCACAAATAGAGGAGCCCCTGATGCTCGAGACGAAACCGCCATGGTTTCCCTGCCCAGCCCGCTGGCCCGTGCACCACGTCTCACCTCTGACGTTTTCTGTGGTGCGGTACGCCCCATCTGGCCGCCTTTTTCAACCCTCACTCTCACTCTCAAATCCCTTCATCTCTCAAAATCCAGAATCCTTGCATGCTACCGTCTGGTCTACCTGCTACACTGACAGGTAATGCAGAGCACCTGGGCAGAGGTGTGGTTTCACTCCTCATTAGATCTTGCCGGCCCGGTTAAGCTTCGATCTCAAAAGTCAATCACGCCCATGGTAAAGACAAGCTTTTAAGCGTTTGAGAAAGGCGGCTAACGGTGCATGCCAAGTCATCTCGACCCTTGCCCTCGATCCCACTTTACCTTGATCAACCGTACAAATCTTCATCCATGGGTCCATGATTGTCTTTCGTGGGCTGTTTTGCCCCGAGAAACGTGCCACCGTCATACGCATCGATAGAGTTTACCCCCGCCTGCATCCCTGGGCATCGTCTGTCAGATCAGCCCTGGGCGAGCTTATTGGCTACCGTCTCAGACCGTCCAGCCGGCCAACGACGTCTCTCGTATTTGACTTCTTAACAAGTATAACTAATGCTATACACTTTGCCTTCCAGTGGAGTGTGCATCCAGTCTTCCTCAACAGTATGGTCAAGTGTCTTGAAGCTATATCCTAACGACCACATAGACTAAAGGGTCAGTGTCATATGGTCATGACGTTGAAACCAGGTATCTATGTAAACTTGTCTTTGTAGATCTCGATGTACATGTCAGAAAATCTGACGATTGAGCAGACAATCCAAGCATTGTAAGCACTTCAATTATGCAGAATCAGACCACCTGTTGGCCCTTGAATATCAATTATTTCAAGTGATGTCCTGCCCCGCCTCCACCCGCTTGGTAACCCAGAGCACAGGCCTAGGACTGCTAAGCGTCTACGATACAACTCGCCGAGTATCTCTACTATTCTTCGAAGCAAATCTTAGTGGTTGAGTATGGAACTTTTGGTGAGCAAAAGTGTTTTACTTATTTTTGTTATTCAAACAGCAGCTAATATCACTTCCCATGTGTAAGAACGATGGGCCGTGCTCATTCTGGTACTTGGCTGAATATTTGACCTTGGTCGAATTACATTCTGCAATAGCATTCAAGCCATGAAGTCGGCGCAAATTTGCCTTTACATGCATACAGTAGAGAATAACCTGGCTTCGAGGACTACGAAGCTCACTGTGGTACTGACAGATTTTAAAGATGTAGGAATACCACAGTCGCTGGAACGGAGATTTGTGGAGCGCACCCGATGAAGTAAACAATCCCAAATATTTGGGACCCACTCCACTGTCTTAAGCACACACTCAATATCCTCGCCACAGCCACATCACCTACAGTCATCTTCGGGAAGATCCCATCATTGCAAGCATACTTTTCATATAAAGTAGAATAATCCTACTATTGACAATGCCGGGTGAAAGCTTGTTTCTAAAAGACCCTGAGACTCAAACCTGCTCTCCTCCCTCCCTACTCGGCTCAAATCAAGTCAAATCTTTACACCGATTGGTAAAACAAAATTGTTGTCTACAAGTCTTCGAAAATTTTCACTTTCAGCTGTATGTGTCATACGGCAAGTCGCGCCCTTGGGCTGACAGTTGATGCCTGCGCCAAGCGGGGCTCCGAGGCTAGTAGTCTACTCGCTTAATCGGAGCCAAGCGCCCACGGTGCTCGGTGCTCGGCCCTCAGCTGCCTGCTATCCATAGGATGGGCGCGCCCAGCCTTTTCCATCATCGGCGTGCAAAGGGCTAGAGCAGAGCTGACGAAGAGGTATATGCCAAGCGTACTACTCACCTGTAGTGCCGTGGGTAACTATCTCGGACTTGTAGAACGGCGTTCGATGACTCGATTAGGTCCACGAGCATGGTTGAAAGACCGAAACTTTTCACATCTGCGTAGGTATATATTCTCCGGTTCCCATTCAAGATCCCAAGATGTCCCGTTACTCTGCAGAACACAGGGCCTAGTCCTCAGTAAAAATTATTGAATTTATTTTCCGACTCAATCACGACGTAGCTCTCTCAAAATGGTCAATGCTAGCATGGAAATTGGCTTCATCATGGCTGCCATGAAGGATGACAAACCAACGACCGCATTCCTCTTTCCAGTCTCGGCTTCAAACAAAAAGAAGGCTGCGCCAGCGAAGGAAACGCCTCTCGACATAGAAGAAGAACACAGATATAGCACAGACTCCGAGTCTTGCTTGAAAGGTATGTGTGTCCTCTTCCCATCTTCATGTCCGCGTTCGGCTCGTTGCTGGCGGTGGGCAGGACGGTTCATATTAAGATAATCAACACGTTTAAGAACTGACAAAGGTTTTAAAATCTAGAACTCGTTACAACAAATCAAAAGCCACGGCAATCAAGTCTTTTCAAACGATTAGTGTCAAAAACAGCTCCACAGAAATAACGCAGCTGGTTATGACTCAATGGAACGTCGAGTCCGCCATAGATGGATCTAGGAGCCAGGAAAGAGAATCATCCACTCAGACTCTTCCGTGGTGATCATTATGACACGACAACTTTTTTTTTTTTTTTTTAATTCGAGCGATGGATACAAGGGTCGAATGAATTGCATTGGCAGTTTACTGGATGTGGACAGGAGAACTGATTCCACCTATACTTGGGACGCACTGTTTTTGCTCGGGGAATGTATACTAGTTCAATGATTGACCGACTAGTGTGTAATTTCGTACAAGGTTAAATTTTAGTGTTGAAGATTTGCTAGTAAAATTGAGGGTATACCTACGTAACATACGAAGGCGACGTAAAAAGCCTGCCTGATCTTTTGTGGCCGATTGCGGAAACTAACACAGAAATGATACACCGATAGCGCTTCCCCAGCTTTCGACTTTCAGGTTTAATTCTCGACTAGGACCTCGTCAGTAGCTGAGGGGCATCAGCAGCGTTTTCATCAACCTTTTCCACCAATGCAGCGGTTCCGTACGCGCAGACTTGAGCGAATCCAGCAAGATCAGCAGCATCAAAACGCATAGCGATGATAGCATTGCCCTGCCGCTTCTGGCACTCGTCGACGAGGCGAGAGACCGCTTCATTACGAGCAGAATACATCTGAGCACGTAAGTGTCAGTTCGATCTGTTATGAATGTTGACCACGCAAGTTCTGGGCTGAGAAGGCACACACCATGTTCGTGAACCACTTCAGCTCGCCACCCACCGCGCTTTTCAGTCCCATGCCGATGCTCGCTGCCCAGTTCCTGGTCCGCACTGTCATCCCGTAAACAGTTCCTAGGACTCTCACAACGCGGTACTGTGATAGCTCATATTAATTTTCTATGTTTTTGTTAAAAGGAGGCATGGCTGACGCAGAAGCATCCCAGGAGAGGATGTAATAGCTATGGAAGGTTGCTTACACCGGGAACGTCAAACATGGTAGTTGTGATGACCCCATTGGTCTCCGTATCTACGACATGTTAACTTTCCTGGAACCCGAATTGGCCTAGAAGGGTTCCGATAGCACGTTAAGGCTAGTATCTAATACGGAACACCTATACATACAACATTCTAGATCTGCCGAATCATATTTGGGCTTTTTGGCAGACACTGATTGCTGGTTGGAGCTCGAGGCATAGGCCATTGTTGACGAGGATTATAGTTCTTTGAAGGACTTCAATAGCAGTCACGGCACATGAATGAAGTCCAAGATTGATGAGTGTAAGGGTACAAGTAGATACGTGAAGGTTCTAAGCTGGCGGTGGCCAAACGCCTGCATGCACGCCGTCTTTTATAGTCAACCGAGCTCCATGTGACGACGCCCGTCAATAGGCGAAATCCGGGGGAGTCGCGAGACTATTATGATCGGTTCCCAAAAGACGCCAATCTCGAGACAGCTTCGCTGCATGTCGGCTGAATTAGGCCGCGGCAGGTGGTTTCTGATAGGCTGTCGTATTTCGTATCGCGCTACTGCCAAAGCCACACTTGGTATTCCGTCCAGTCTAGTGGACCGATCCATTCAGGCGGGCTGGCGAAAACAAAGGCGCTGATCAATGTGCGATTATCATTAGCTATCTAGCCAAGTATGAAACAAGCAATTCATGATTATGTGCCAGCAATTAAGCTCTAGCTTGCCATTGAACGTAAAGGTCAATGCTGAGCTTTGTGAACGTCTTGTATCTACGGGTCGCCATTCATATTCGAAGCAAACCCATAACTCCTACCAACTCTGAAATCTCAAGTATCACTTCCTGCTTGTTGATGCCAACAGAGAATTACAGACTAAAAACTCAAAAAAATGGAGATCAGCGATGCGTCGAGTGTCTGCCTCCTCTTTGAGAAACTGGCTACAGACTGAGTTGGGATATCTTAGCAAATATAAACCTACGAATGCCATCAAAGCCCTCATACGCCTTAGATGAGCCCGTTTATCCTTGATTTCTGCTCTACAGCAGCCGCTGGCTAATAAGTACAATCTTCGGGTAAATCAGATTATGTTGATGAAGTTTCATTATATTATTAAGCAAAATTAATCCCAGCCATCGCGAAAGAGTTTGGTATGATGTGAAGTTTAATTTGGCGTGAATTTCAGATTTAACCCCAAAGTTAAGGGACGCCCGGATAGAGCGAAAATCTTCCCCGTACGGTCAAGTCCGGACCTACGTTGTCATTTGAAATGTTGCTCGGCTACTTGTTGAGCTCAATATTTGTGATTTCGCATGCCGTCTGTCCTACGTGCCCAAAGCCCTAAGAATATTTACCAAAAGCCTCCACGGACAACGTGAGGATTTAGGCTTATGCTGAGGTCTACAGACTATATACCATGCTTGAGTGGTCACGAGTGTGTTGCAAAGAATCATGATCAGTCGAGTAGACCACAGTTCAGACTCGAGGACGTGATTGTGAGGTGTGAACTCACTACCTTCGACTCTGAGGAGACCTATCCGTGTGTCTTGAACATCGGCAGTGCGGATGCGAAGGACACCATCGAAGGATTCGCTCAGGCTTTTGACATCGAGAAGCAATCTCTGTCGTTGCGTATTCCCGGCAAGGTTGTATCAGGAGTGACTCATTGTATAGCGGAGACTATCTCCGGCAGCGCTGACATGCGGCACCATTCGAGGGTCTAGACCAACAATACCAGCCGCCATGCGATCGTCATAAAAGGCCGTCCCCTCGAAGTCCACTATGACAACCGGGGCGAGCCTCCAAAGCCAAGAAAATTGATCATGTCTTCTCGCACCTCAGCATACGGACCCGGTCAGGACCAGGGTCCAGCCTCGTCCGACCCAACTTTCCGATCCTACAGCGCTGCACAAGCTGCCACTTACGCTGCACAGAGGGGTGGCTACAAAAACAAATTGATCGACCAAGTGCTCTGTCTACATCAAGCAGCAGGGGGTGATCTTGATATTGTCCTTGACGTTGGCACGGGCACCGGACAGGCCATCCGCGATGTGGCACCCTTTTTCACGACGGCGTTTGGAGTCGATCCCGGCGCCGAGATGGTTGCTAAAGCCAGGGAGATAGGAGGTACGACGAAAATTGGGAAGGGCATCGAGTTCTTAACCTGTGCAGCAGAGGATCTCGATAAGTTGAGCCAAGTTGAGCATGGATCCGTAAATCTGATTACCGCAGGGATGGCCGTAAGTAGTCTGCTTGTATAGAAAAGTTCTTCTGAATGGCGGAAGAAATCTACTAAAAGCTCCAAGGCACACTGGTTCGAGATGCCAAAATTCTGGACAGCAGCGGCTAAGGTTCTCAGTCCAGGAGGGTCTGTAGCTCTTTGGACAAAGTCGTCTTATTATTGTAGTGAGTCTTTAGAGACGGAACATCATCGCTTGAGTCTGGCATCAAGATACTGATCCCACGCCCGTCAGATCCTATGGTGACTCCAAATGCCGTCAAAGTTCAAGCTATACTCTCAGAATTTGAAGATTTGATTCTGGGTCCTTACGCTTTGCCACCGAATAAATTGTCGCAACACAATTATAGAGACCTTGTTCTTCCCTGGGAAAGGGAGTACACAGCATCTTTGTTCGATGAAAAGTCATTTAAGCGATTGGAGTGGGATGTTGGCGGCCATCTGACTGATGGCGCGGATTTCTTTGGTGGTAGTGAGGAGACAACCCTGGCTGAAATAAGGGACGGCATGAGTACGGCTAGCATGGTAACGCGATGGCGTGATGCCCATCCTGAACTGGTAGGAACAGACCAAGACTGCGTAAATGTTCTGGTAGAGAAGCTCAAGGCAGCCTTGGCAGTGGAAGATGGGAAGGAAGCAGAGACAATATTGAGAATGGGTATGGGGACTGCTATCTTGTTCGTCAATCGAGCGAAATGATCCTTCCGTGGCTTGAACCAAATTTATTATGACGAATAATTCAGAATCTCTCTCTTTCGGAATAATCATGGGCGTGTAGTCTATGCCATCTCCAACTTCGTCAAAGAGTACAAATGCAGGGTGTAATCTCCTTTGCTCTACTTACTCAACTCTCCTTATGGTTTGCTAAAGTCAATGCATTCGACGGCTGGATATGATTGCCATTATTAGTGTGCGTGTGTGTGTGTGTGCATCTTCGGGCGTTAACGATTAGAAAATTGATTTTTTGAATTTTAATAATCTCTTCCCTTGGTATACCGGCCCTTGGTCATGGAAAATCGTGCTTCCAACTTAAGAGGTAACGTTGGAGAGCTGCTCATCATTGACCTTCCTAGCCTGAGTTGAGATTGATTACCTAGCTGAATTAGAGCTGGTAATCGATGAGCCTCGTAAAAGTATTTTTTTGAGAAGTAGCTCAAATCCGAACATGAAATGCGTGAATCTCACGTAGCCCGTCTCCTTCATGAACCATACCATGCCCGTAACCTGCGTAATCTGTTGTGTGAAAGCCTCGCCTGAGAGAGCCCCATGTGGAATCTTCCGTCTTAGAAATCACGACACAGATCCTCTCGTGCATAGCTTGAGACTTACTTCAATGACTTTGCAAAGTCCCGGACGAAGTCCTCCATGGCATCCGCCAAGTCCTTTCTTCCCGTCTCGAATTGACCATCAGAGAGTTTGAGGAGGGCTCGGAGGCCACCCTTTCGTGCGCGCAGGATGCTGACGAGCTCCTCTGCCACGTATTCCTTTGCCCAGTCAAATCTTCGGATAATGTCTGAAGGTTTTACGCGGTCCTTGGCGGGCACTCGGGTGCCGTCCAGAGGATCGAGCACAGTGACATTCTCTATGTGGTGAATGCGGCAGCGGGCGTACTCAGCCCACGGCGCGAGGCAATCTTTCCAGCCGAATTGGGCGGCGCTCGGGTCGAAGGCGTACTGCGCTCCCGAAGGCAATGTCAAGCGAGCTGCAAGATGAAGACGGAGGGTGTTGTACCGGAGATGGTGTGAGGACCCTATCTGGAATTCATTTGCCACAGCGATATCTGCATTCTTGACGCTGAAATTGACGAACTCGACAGAAGTGCAGCAAGCTAGTCAAATCAGGAAAATTAATTTTCGGCCTCTGAGGAGATTGGTACTATAACTTTTAACTTGGAAGAACTTACGTTGAATCAGGAATTCGAGAATCGGTCTCGCCCAGGCGATTATATCGCCACACGTGAAACTGGTCATGGCAGCATCTGCTTGCGACTGAGAGTCTGCTAGGTGCCGAAGGGAGGGTACGGTATTCGAAGTTCCGGTACACTGCTTGAAGATGATGCCTTGCTCTTGTTTGATGGCAGAGAAAGGCATTATACCACCAGCAATCTGAATGTACCGATAGAATGCTTCCTTGAACAGAACTGCACTGCGGGCCAGTTTGCGTATCTCTCTGCAAGCACCCTTGTTTGCCTCGAAGTGGGCGTTTCGACAGCTCTCGTTACAGTAGGTAGTAGCTGACACGGTTTGCTCAGAAACATAACCGTCCAAGGTAATCAAGCAAAGCTTGCATTGGTGGGCGGCATCTTGGGAGCCACAGTTGGTGCAAGGTCCGGATACCTGGCCGTTGGAGAGTGTGCTGAGGTTTTCATAACCACCTGAACACAAGATCGTGTCTTTGCTGGGACTCTGTGATGCGAAAGGAGAACCCACAGTCTTCCGACCCTGAACAACCCAGCGTAGGTACGAGAGAAACTTGTGCTTCTGCGTGTCTCCCACTTCTTCTTGCGGGTGGCTCAAGGCCAAACGAGCGAGACCGGCCTCCAAGTCTGCAACTCCCTCCAGTTCCATTTGTTCTTCCACAGGCGTACCCCGAGTTCCCATCTTCTCCGCCGACTTGACGACTATGTCCACCATTATGGGAGCATCGGCATCGGAAGATCTGAATGGGTCGCGATCCAGACGGGACCTCGCTGCCAGAATCTCAGCAGGTAGGCGATACCATCCAGCCAGCTCAGAGTAGTTCTTGCATTCATCGTGTAGTTTGGGAGCAGGGAGCATGCCAAAGAAAACCTCGATTGGGTCCAAGCCATATACCATGAAAGCGGCGATCTTGTCTTTGAGTTCATCTGCTATGGCCATCTCATCCAGCTCTTGAACAGCTGACAAGCAACGAGTGGCGTTCAGGAAAGCCCCTGTGCCTTTTTGAAGGTGCAATTCGAATGCCTTCCCGACGTAGCTGAGAACTTTATTAGCCAGGCCCGGTGTCTTCAAATTTCCAAATTGGCGGTCAAGCATTGCAAGGAAATGCTCTGGACGAGGGTGCGTATCTGGATCGTGGGGTTCCATGGCTTTTCGTGGCGCCTAGCTCAAATTCCCCTTGTGTTGACCTGATGCCCGAGAAGCTTGCAGTAGCTTCCCTTTCGTAAATCTAGGGTAGAACCTTGACCGTCGTGGTTCCTCATGTGTTGAAAGACGAGCAGCGGAGATTATGAATCTTTTCGACTGTTGTGCGAAGTCGAAACAGCTGGAGGCTCGAAGAGCAGGTGTATTTTGGGTTTAATAGGCCGCTGGCGATGGCTAGCCAAGCAAGATCAGAGTTGAATGTATGCAAAGTGGGGCTGTAAAGCAAACGAAAGAAATGCTTGTCCCGAAGAAGCCCAGATCGGATGAAAATTGGAAAAGCCGCTCATAAGTCACTGTGTCCTACAGAGTCCCAAAGAGCGAATTCTCCAGAGAGAAAATGCATCAGTCTCTTGAGGTTCCTGGAGAATGAGCTCGTGAATAGCACCCCACAGGAAGATTGCTCTGGGCTTGTTAAATGTCACGGAGGAGAGAAAATATAGCCTCACAACTTGCCTTCAAAGAAACTGCCTCTGATGCTAAACCCTACGCTAGACCCTCTGCCCCAAACATATACCCCCGTTTTGTTCTTCGAAAGTGTAGCAATATAGATTATGAAAGCTTCGTGACACAAGAAAATGATCGAGTGCACCGCATCTGCGGCAAAGTGGATTCGTCGATTGGGCATATCTCTGAGCGAGGTTTAAAGACCTAGTACGTGAGGGTGGCAAGGTCGAGGGAGGAGACCATTCAAACGCTGGCCATATCGTAATAGAATAAATTCGCATAGGAATCAGCGATCTTGTATTGAAGAATGAAGGTAAATGCCAGTGTAACGAATAGATGCCTTACTGGTACAAGGCCGCAATAAAGCTGTCTCATCCTTCTGCATAGCACAAACCAGGTGTACACTCTACCAGTTCTCTCACTTCTCTGATCGTCCAATGGCACGTAATTCGCAATCCTCCAAAAGACATTTTGATGGAGCGTCAATGATCAAATTAGGCCACGTGAGTTTTTCAAAAGACGTCGTTCACAGTACCGTTCCTATCCTCCAACAACGCGTCTCTGTCCACGTTCGACAATAAATCCGATGCCATTCGACATTGCCGACTGAAAATAATGATGAGTTGTCCAAAGCACTCGAGTGGGCAGTAGCCTCCCGAGAGTAGGATGTCGAGTGATTTGTAAAGTAGCTGCTGAAGATGATGTTCGTAAAAGAATCGTCAAATGACGCGGGCCGCCTTCTCGTAGGAACCGATCGAAGAAATTGACTGTTTTGAGACAAAGGAAAGTACTGTAGAAACAGCGCGACAGTTTCCTCTTGCCGCCGTTTCGGAATGAATAAAGTAATTCAGTTCAGAATTACTGCTGCAGCAGGTCTTGGGTTGTCAGAGCCTTTCAGCGGTAGGCACCACCGTAACGAGGTCCTGGAGCCATGCGACTACCCACCACAGGCCCAACGCCGGGGCCGGGGCGCGTCGCGACCGCTGGATTAGTACAAAGCATGCCGACGCGCGATCCAAACTTGGATCCACGGAGTGAAACCATGTGCTTGCGGATATGAGCAGCGACAATGTCGCGGTGCTGGGAATTGGCATGAGTCAGAATGTATTGGATGAGATAATTGCCATACTGATCGCTGGCAATGTCGATCAAAGGGATGCGTGGGCGGTCGAGACGACCCTCAGAGACTCGATCAAGGTAGCGGCTGAGGAACTCGGGACCTCCAATCTTGAGGCACTTCTCAACGACCTTGGAAGCGAATTGATCCATGGAATACTCCGCAGCGTACCGAATGACATGATCAATGGCACGACTGCGGTCTGCAGGGGCACCATGCTCGCAAATATGCTGGATGCACCAGTTACCGAACTGGCCATGTGCCACAATGTCGATGTTGGCAAGGACTTCCTCAATGCATGGGCGCTGGACCACAATGTCAATATTCAATATTGAAAACTTAAATACCGGATGGCATCACTCACCTTGTCATCCTCCAGGCAGTTCTCAAAGATGTTTTGAACAACCAGACTACCCGTCTCTCCCAGCGCGACTTCGTGCCACATACCGCGCAGTGACTCATTGACGAACTTCATGATTTGAGGAGGGCTCTCAGTCCATCTCAATTCAAACAGCTTCTGCCAGACGTGACAGGCATAGCGATGAATGACTGTCTCGGGAATGCGACGAAGCAGCTCATGAACCATAATGGCCTTGTAATCCTCCGGGACAGAATCAAATGCCTTTTGCACGACGTGGCATCCGAATGGGTCCATCGAGAGGTTGAGTGTGTTGCCACGAATAGCTTCGGCGATCTTGATGACCTGCTCGGGAGTGCCGTGTTCAAAGCAGCGTTGGACCAGGAAGTTTCCAAAGCGATTGACCATGAGAGGGTATGCCTGAGCAACAATGGCTTCGACAATCTCATACTTCTGCTCTGGAGTTCCGACCTTGAGCTTCTGTTGGAGGAAAATAGAAGCTTGTTGGTCATTGTTGCAGACGATCTTGTCGACAATGTACTTCCAGTTGCAGTTGACGTTGCGATCCAGGAGACGACGGTAGTTAAGGGGCTCAGTGGTGGGCAGATACGTCTGTCCCTCAGTCGCAATTGCCTAAGACAATGTAGGTTAGTGAGGGAATGAAACAAGATTATTACTAGGCAAGAAATTGTGCAAGAGGTCGTAGACGTACATCAGGCTTCCAGGAAGAGCCTGTGGTGGATGTGAACTCGGTCGCATGTGGAGACAGGGGTGTTCCGATAGGCGACGGTCCATACTGAGGGAACATTCCCATGCCATTCCCAGCCATGTTTCCAGGGCCTCCAGGATAGCCAGAACCACCATCGTATTGGGAAGGGCCCATGTTTCCCATGCCATAGCCACCGTAGTTGCTGCCATAAGAGCTGGGGGTTCCGAATCGGTTATCATAACGGTTGCTGCGACGACCGCTACCGGAACGCATCAAGTCAGGCTGTTGACCAAAGCGATCTCCTCGGAAGCCATCCATGGTATGCTCACTGTACGCTGGGACAGACTGGTCAATGAAACCTTGATCACGAGGGTTGGACCAGCCCGTCGAGTGGGGACCCTCCTGCACGGGCATGGGGGGCGGCATGAAGGAGGGTTGATAGCCTGGCTTGTTGCCATTGTTCCAGATTCCTCGAGACCGATTGTAGCCAGTGGCCGATATGGCGTCACTAATTTCAGAGCGGCAGTCGTCAGAGACAGGTCCCTGCCAAGCGTTGTCTCGAGGGAGCTGGGCCTTGGGGAGGCCTGACAGGGCTGGGTAAGCCGAGGGCTTCGTCCCAATAGGCTCAACGAGAGGGGCACCCCCCGCGTAGTCAGAGTCAGACGACAGTATGGGCGTTGCACGGCCACTGCTCTGGTCACGACGTGACTGTGCCAGCTCATTGTTGAGGTTGCTGATGTGATTCTGGGCCTTGGCCAGCTCCAGCTTCAGGCGGAGAACCTCCTCCGTAGCGGTGGTGCTGTCGTTTGGGGCTGCACTGGCAGGTCGAGTTGTCGGAGCGGTGCCTCCAAAAGCGTCGGTAGCAGGCGTGATTGGCAGAGAACTGCAAGAGGAAGGATGGTCCGCTTCGGCGCTCTCGTTCTGGCGAGGCTGATCATGGCTCTCGCACAGCTTCGCAAGCAGTTTGTCCATTGGATTGGACTCGTCGTAGTTAGCCTGAAAACTCTCGTCAGAAACTTCTGTGTAATTGATTTGAGCATGTTGAGCCTTACCTTGGCAGAGCCTTGGTTGAGGAGCTTGGAGGTTGTCAATGGTGTGGCCGACTTTCTAAGGGCCAGAGGGGCACCCGAGCTGTCCTCATACGGCGCGTTCTCGTCATGGGCCATCGTGGGGAGAGACGATTGCCAAGGAAAATTGCTCAAGAGGCAGCGAAGATGCTAATCCAAAGGTGGTTGTTTCCTGATGAGCAGGCTACGTAGCTGGGGGCAGAGATGGATGAAAAATAGCTGAGATCGGGTAGATCCTTTCGACCACGTTTGTGTGTGGTAGAGGGGCGGAAAGGTGGAGGGCAAGGTGGATGAAGTGGGAAGTGTAGGTGAAGTGGGTGAGGGGTGTTGGGGTTTGGAAATGTTTTCGAGGTCAAAGTATTCTGGACTAGGATGGGCGGGCACTTTGTTTGAACACTGCAAGTGGGAGGGAACGCGGGACAGGGACACTCTGGAAGCTGCCACCACCTCCCAGTTTTTACGCAGGCTGCAGTTGAGCTGGCAACACGTCCGAGACCAAGGAGTTCTTGCCCCGTTTCAAAGGACGACAGCTTGCTTCACAGCCTGCAAGCAAGTGCTAGACGTGCTGCGCTTTCCCTAGCGATGAGCTCTCTTTCTTCGGCCACGGAGAACCAGATAGAGCCAAGACTCGAGGACTGGAGACAAAGTACTGCTCCGGTCCAGAAGGCTCGAAGGCCGAGGCGCACACCTAGGTATGTTTACTTGCTCGATATCCACAAGGCCTCGGGCACTTGCCTCATCGTCATACCACATTGAGCTATGGGTCCACAAGCTGTTACTTAGCCCAGATGGCAGTCAGGCTGGAAACGTCCCCAGGCACGTATGTATGTATGCACGAGTGGACTATGAGTAGAACAGCATCTCTTGGCAGTGTGTTACGAATATGTCGCATGTTATTCAAAACCAGAGCACTTTCGCTCGGCTTTGCCCAGTGAGTAATAAATTGGGTGAACTCACCTTCATACAGCTCGTATTATCAGTCCCCAGGGTAACAGCAGAGCCTTTCATACTCTTGTAGGATGGGAGTCGAGGACACAAGCTCCTCGAATTCACTCCTGCCTGAGGACCCCCAAGCCTGGATCAAGAACGATCGAGCATCTCCTGGTTGGATCCACATAGCAAGACCTTGCCTAAAGCAGTCTCGAGACGTCGGGAGCAAGGCCAAGTTCAAAGGCATTCGCATATACATTCGCATATACCGCAAAGATATCCGCGTGATAGTAGCCCGTCGTCTTGTCTCGGCTGGAATAACGAGGCGCGGATTGTGTGGCAAACAGCATGTCACAATCAAGTCACAGCATCGTTTCAATTTCAACGTGTCTCCTTGATATGCTGCGGGTATATTCGTATAGTGTTTCGCCGAGGAAGTATTGTACATGTGTCAATGGGTCGCCAACTTCCCGCTCTATCTCTTCTTGGTTTTGGTATCTGTGCAGAACGATGTTAGCCTAATATATCGCTTATTCAGGCCTCGGAACGACTGACCTGGAGGGCCCTTCTTCTTCTTCGGGGCGCCTTTCCCACGAGCTTTCAAGCTACAGTCTGTCAGTAACAGTCGAACACTCCGCCTAGAACCCAGACTTACAAAGCAAGTGATTCTTGTCGGTCGTCTTCCTCCTCATCGACAAACTCCAGTGCCGGTCCAAACTCCTTCGTGAGGTCCTTAAGGTCGACCATCTTGCGCGGATAGTAGGCCGCCAGCGCCGGGCCCCGTAGCCTCTGTCGCAAGATCTTATTGCCCATGCGAACGCCGTCTGGATTGTAGGTCGTGGCGAAGATTCGACATCGCGTCTATGAGGTGTCAGCAATGAGACATAGGGGCGCATTTCCGAGTATCAAAAATTACCTGCAGGAGCTGCAGGAGCCGCTCACGAGGGACCGACATTATGGCATGGCTTGGTGTCAAGATTGAACGTTCAGAATGTCGTGGACGGGTAACGCATGAAGTCAAAAGCTATCCAGGCGCGAACCCTCTGATTGGACGATTACGCGAGTCCAGGTGGGGCTGCCAGCCCTGCGGGCTAGTGGGCCTGTACCTCCAGGCATCTTGTACCGCGGTACCTGCAGAACTCTCAGTCCCATCTACAACATTCTCATCCTCAGAGTTGCTACCTAATTTACCAGTTGTGACTGCATCCGCCAAATCATTCACAGGTGGGCAGTCCATCTGCTTTGAATGAAGGTGGCACTTACCCCAGCTCTTATACAGTGTCACACTTCCACAAAACCCCAGAGGCGGCTGCACAATCCCATTTGCACGCTTTGGCTCCCGCAAGATTTGTCGGATAATCGACCAACCCAACGGCCTACTGATCCTTATTTCAGTATGGGCAAACGCTCACGTTCAGATCTCGCTGGTGGCGATGTTCGTCATCAGCCAGCCCATAAAAAGATGAGGGTCCCGGATGCGCTGTCAAATCTTTCAGAGAACGCCGACGACCTGATCGAGTGCCTGCAAGCGCTCAAAACTCAGAGGGATGACCCAAATTTGATTCGGCGGCTGGCCACATTGAGCAACGACCTCATGCCGAGCTTCAAGGCCCTGGCAAAAGGACACGACGAGAATGCGGCCGAGGAGGAGACCAAGACCCCAGAACAGCCCAGAATAGAACCTGTTGGAGAACAACAGCCAGAAGTGCCCATACTCACCCCGTGGGGGCCATCAGAAGTCGCGGAGGACATCCCACCTCTCCCAGCTGTCTTGGATCCAGCTTTGGAGAAGGCATCATTCACCCACGCAGGGACCATCAAGACGCATGGCGAGCGTAGCTATGAGCAGTTGGAATGGCTTGGAGACGCATATCTGTACCTGATATCAACCGCATACATTTACATGACATTCCCGCATCTTCCGCATGGCGATATGTGCCACATTCGGGAGGTCCTGGTTCGGAACGCCACGCTGAAAGAATATTCAATCCACTATGGCTTTGAAAAGCGAGCTGTCTTCCCTCCGGAGTATGACCTTTCTGGTCGGCAAGGTGGTTCGAAGGCCACGGCGAAGGAGCGCGCAAAGGTCTTGGGCGACATATTCGAGGCTCACGTCGCTGCTATTATTCTGTCGGACCCAATAAGAGGTGTATCAAGAACGGCAGCCTGGCTCAAGGAACTTTGGAGTACTACGATTGCCAAGGAGATCAAGAAGCATGCTCAACCTCAGCCCTCCCTTGTTGCTCCTATGATGGGATCCGCGTCTGTGGCTGGTCCTAGACAACCAGTCAAATCAGCTAAAGACCAGCTGTCAGCAGAGCTGGCTCTGGCCAACCCTCGGGTGACTATCGTGTACCGAAGTATCGATGAAGGCAAGACCATCCGAGACCCGTTGACCAAACAGGTTTTGTTTGTGCAGGCGGCTATTCTGGAGGGCTATGGCGAGACAAAGCAACTGGGGACTGGAACGGCTAAGAAGAAGTCGGAGGCGAACAATATGGCTGCGCTGAATGCGCTGGAAAACAAGAAGCTGATGAATACGTACAGGGAAAAGAAGCGGTTGGCTCTGGAGAGCAAGGAGGCTCAAGAGAAGGCATCCAAGAGCCTAGGCTTCTAGCTGCGGGATAGCTGCTACCAGTGTGCCCCTAGAGCGTAATCTCGGCAGATGGGATTCTGAAAATATTCACCCTACAACCCGCTTCCTTCTGAGCTCTCTGTCAATTTTGATTCCGTTCCGGCCTGTCGTCGTACTCGCCGCGCCAGTTCTTCATCCAACTACCGTGCATCAATGCGGAGCGTTGTTTCTTGAATAGCACTGTTACCCGATACATTCTAATTTAATCACAATGTCCCTGAGAAACGAGAAATGGCGGATGGGGTAGCAATATCTTTTTTCGGTCAAATAATGTCCACAGGGGACATGTTTTCGCTGGATTTGCGATCCGGCTGTCGCGCTGGGGTTTTAAGGTTTAGCGGTCCACAGGCCCCCCATGTCCCGAAAGCTGCCGCCAGTTACCTCGGCCGAGGTCCAGAATGGCGGGCCCGCTGATTACACGCGCCTAGCCAACACGTCGGGTCATGGAGAGATGATGCGTTTACTCATTGGCAACCAAACCTTTCCCCGCCATTAATGATGAAGATATTGACTATAGAACAATTGGAACTTTGAACTCTCCACGCGCCTACAACTGCTGTTACCTCCCATCTCGCGTCCGAACCATAGACTCCAGTTGCGAGCTCACTTTCATCTGCTCCGATAACGGTTGTTGACTGACCTGACTGGTGACAAGACTCGAGTCACCACAAAGCGCTCCATTCCCGGAATAGCAGTCAACTACCCTGGTGCCGTCGCGGGCGGCAGAAAACATTCGCAGAAATGGCGGACTCAGTCGGTAGGGAACCAGCCCCTTTTCCAGCTCGCCGCAAGAGGCTTGATCTGACCCTCACATCCTCGTCTAGATCGGGTGTTCGTCCATGCCCTCAACACGGTCAAGAAAGTCCCCAAAACCGGGGCACTGCGGCCCCCGCCGTCCGATCGAATGCGACTCTACGGCCTCTACAAGCAGGCAATGGAGGGTGACGTCGATGGAGTCATGGATAGGCCGACTACCAAATCAGGCATATCAGGAGACGAACTGCAGCGGGAGCAAGATAAGTGGGACGCGTGGGACTCGCAGAGGGGTATCAGCCGTACGGAGGCAAAGAGGCGGTATATCGAGGCCTTGATCGAGACAATGCACAAATATGCTACAACACCGTGAGTAGCGACGCGCAGACCTTGGACAGCATTGCGGTGTGGATGTGCCGTCTCGCTAATGCGACGAACAGTGACGCAGCAGAGTTGGTGTCCGAACTGGAATTCGTATGGAATCAGATCAAGAACAACAGCCCGAGCTCATCGAATGAGTCTGCAAAGCAGCTTGGCATGAGCATGGACACAAGCCCGAAACGATTTGCCCAGCCCATGGCAGGAACTGACGGGCCTATGAAGATATTGAGCCCCATGAGCGAGGAGGACGAGGCGGAACTCGACTACCAGAGACGTATGGCAGCTGGTGATCCGGATGACGACGGCGAGTACGTCAAGAGAGGGGACAGGTGGTCGAAGAAGATGGAGAGAGCGATCGTGCGGCTGTCCGCGGAAATAGCGGCTCTCAGGGAACAAATCACGTCTGGCCGAGAATGGAGGTCCAGAAAAGAGAGGAGCTTTGGCGCCTGGATAAGATGGCTCCTGTGGGCGGTTATGAAACATGCTATTGCCGACACTTTGCTCATATTCCTTGTCCTAATATGGATGCGAAGGAGGAAAGACAGACGACTCGAGGACCACTTCCGGGCTGCCGTGAAAATCGGGAGAGAGTACGTGCGGAAGGTGCTACCGTCGAGATGACGAGAAGAGCGATGCGAGCAAGATTACTTCATAAAGATGGTCACATGGAGCAAAGGCTGCCTGGCTGGCATGGACTGCAGGAAAGAAAGCGACAGAAGGATCGCTGGGGCTGTTTAGTCGCGCATCACCACCAAGCCGATTGCGTCCAGACCATCAGCCGCAAGGCTTCATGCTTTGCCTCAGACACGCACGGCCCTGGGTGAAGAAGCCGCAGATATGCTCAGCTGCAGGTGCTTTCTCGGTTCATGGCGTATCGCCTGATGAGTGAGCCAGCCGTCCACGGCCAGAGTTCGAGGAGTCCTGTCCGACGGTCCTCCTATACGGCACACAACACGTCCCGCCATGAAAAGGTAGCAGATATTATGTCGATATACCATAGCCCCGAACTCATTCCCTGTAGCATAGGGGATACAGGAGTATCTAGGTATCCTACCTATGGCATTTCAAATGAGGAGCCACTTTTCCCATCGGGACCCGTATGCTCAACGCACTAGTCCACTGGTCTTGAATGTGACAGTAAAATAACTTATGGAAATAGTGAGATCAAAGTCTATGGCTGATTATGAGGGAGCTGTAAGTTATTGCAACACCCTTAAGTCTTGGCCTGGCTTGAGTTAATTCTGCTGGCTGCTCTGTGCTTTCAGTGTCCAGCTTTACGAATCGAGCCCCTCACCTCATCCAAACCCGCAACCCCAGCCTGTTTTTACAGCGCGACGCAAACGTTGCCATTGTTCTTCCATCTCATGTAAATTCCTTGTTGAGCCAACCTCACGTAACTTGCATTGGTTCCCCCAATTCTTGAATACGATCTGACAGCTCTCAGAAATTTGTGCCGCCACCTAGCTAAGCTTTGAGTACGGTTTCAAGGTGTCACTCGTGAAGGCGGCTTTGGGTGACAACTCAAAAGTCAAGCCTGGAGACAAGAGGCCTCCGCTAGAGCAGCTCAAAGGTTACAAGGGAATTCCTACAAACACAAGCAGAACCATCGCATGCCTAATCTCCTACTGGAGATATGGCCTCGTCACGCAAAGGCCAACCAAGCCCTCCACCACCTGCTCAAAGCGATGCGCTCATGATGGTGGACCAAACCGGGGGAGAGTCGCAGCATCTGGCTGAGGACGAAGTGCCTGCTCTCACTCATGTTATCCCCACCATCTTCGTTCCTCTCAAGGATGATCTCTTGGAGCCAATAGAACCGGCCAAAGACAGAGTTGAGCGCATGGAGCGCATGAAGGCAAGCCTCGACGCCAACGAGCTGAAAGTCCGGGACAACATCAACTGGATCTACGAGCGCGAGGCACGGCGACACATCATGGAGGCTCAGAAGACCGGAGCGTTCTCCCAACCACGTCAAACGACTCCTTTGACCTGGGAGGAGGCTGATCGACACCTCGCGAACATGGCAGTTCAGGCCAACCCTACAGCGTCTTATCATTTACCACCCGAGAAGCTCGCTGAGTTTCAGAATTACGACCGAGCAAATGCCGGTCAGCCGCCCCCAGACAGCATGTGTCCTCATGAGAGAACGGCTCGGGAGGTGCTCGCCATAGCCCAACGTGGAGTTCGAGATATGGAATCCTACAGCACGAACCACATCAAAGGTATCCGCGATCAACTCAACAAGAGTATCGAGAAGGAGAAGCGGGCGCATGCTTGATTTACATGGCTATTTTGGAGGAAGGTCAGTCATGACACTATGTTGTATCCAAGGTCTTGGTGCGCTCAGGAGGGTATCTACATGGCGTACGTGCTGAACTGGACGTCAGACGGGTACACTAGGCTCCAGATTCTGTTGCTGTCGCGAATCGAATTCACGGCTGCTGGTTAAGCTGCCTATGTTATCACCCCAAACGAAGCTACGAAGCTACGAAGCTGCCTCGGTGGGTTTGTGAATGGGAGCGTCCACAGCTATCTTGACGGACTTGAGACCCAAAAATTAAGAGCCCATTGCCCGACCTTCCCTACAATGACTAGATGTATTCATCATACTGTGGAAACTGAGAGGTTTGTACTGATCAAGCTCACGAGCGTGATTGGGATGTAACGACCGGCGGTAAGAGGCATTGCACATTGAGCCAAAATTGGCTCTCACATACTTCCAAATCGGCGTTGAATATTGATCTGGAACACAAGATAGAGGAGAACTCGACTGAAGCAACCGTCCTGCTTGCGCAAGACAGTGCTCAAGCTCACCTACAATAAAATGTGCCCGTGAATGAGTGAAGAAGAAAAGAGAATCCTAGTTGATTGCGGCGCAGAACAATTTGCGTTTTTAGGGTGCGAGCTCCAAGCCGTGCACGGGCCACACAGCGTGGCCCCACTACCTTGGAGCCATGAACCAATCGCCTTTTAGCCTTTCTAATGCGTCGGATATTCTGCCAGTGGCCAAAGATCCAGAGGAGCATAGCAGTAGCATCTTCGACGTCAACACTTCGACGACTTCCACTCAATCCGCGCCACCCTCCCTCCTGCCCGCCATTTTCTCCTCTCCTTTTGTGCCGTCGAGACGATACGATGCTGCGACAGACTCTGGCACGTTCGGCTTGGCGGAGTGGCAGGCGGACCGCCTCCAACGCCGCCAGAGCCTTTTCCGTGACAGCTCAACGGCCCGCCGAGGTTGAGCTCACAATTGGTACGTCGATGACGCCACGAGACAGCCCATGCCTACGGCCATGCTAACAGTTCTGAAGATGGCAAGAAGGTGTCTATAGAAGGTGAGATGGTCCAATGGTCTCAATTGGCTTGGGTTTCTCTGACACTCTCACAGCTGGCTCGGCTTTGATCCAAGCATGCGAGAAGGCCGGATCAACAGTTCCAAGGTATGGATTTCACAATCTGGGTTTCTCTTGGGACTCCTAAGCTAACATCATGTCTTAGATATTGCTACCATGAGTACGACGAAGCTACACCCCTTCCCCCTTTCCGCCGATACTGTACCCTCCGAGCCGCGGCTGATCGATTACACACAGGAAGTTGATGATTGCAGGAAACTGTCGTATGTGCCTGGTAGAGGTTGAGAGAGCACCAAAACCCGTCGCGTCATGCGCATGGCCAGTCGCACCAGGCATGGTCGTCAAGACCAACTCACCGCTGGCACACAAGGCACGAGAGGGTGTGATGGAATTCTTGCTGGCCAACCATCCCTTGGACTGTCCCATTTGCGACCAGGGTGGCGAGTGTGACCTCCAGGACCAATCCATGAGATACGGCGGAGACCGCGGCCGATTCCATGAGGTTGGGGGCAAGCGAGCTGTCGAAGACAAGAACATCGGGCCACTGATCAAGACATCCATGAACCGTTGCATCCACTGCACGCGTTGTATTCGATTCGCGAACGATATAGCCGGTGCCCCTGAACTCGGATCAGCGGGCCGTGGCAACGACATCCAAATCGGAACCTACCTGGAGCAGAACCTCGATTCGGAGATGTCCGGAAACGTTATAGACCTTTGCCCCGTCGGTGCTTTGACATCAAAACCCTACGCCTTCCGCGCTCGTCCATGGGAACTCAAGAAGACAGAGACTATCGACGTGTTGGACGGTCTTGGATCGAACGTTCGGGTTGATTCCCGAGGTCTCGAGGTCATGCGTGTCGTTCCTCGGCTGAACGACGACATCAACGAAGAGTGGATTAACGACAAGTCACGATTCGCCTGCGATGGTCTGAAGACGCAACGGCTTACCCTTCCTCTCGTGCGCCGGGAGGGCAAGTTTGAGCCTGCAGACTGGGAGCAAGCACTGACCGAGATTGCTCAGGCATGGCAGCAGAAGGCTCCCAAGGGCAACGAGTTCAAGGTCGTTGCTGGTGAGCTGACCGACGTAGAGTCTCTGGTTGCCATGAAGGAGCTCGCAAACAAGTTGGGCTCTGAGAATTTGGCCCTCGACACACCTACGGGCAGCCAGCCTGTTGCTCATGGTGTCGATGTGCGATCCAACTACCTCTTCAACTCAAAGATCTGGGGCATTGAGGAGGCCGACTCCATCCTTATTGTTGGTAGCAACCCAAGGCATGAGGCCGCTGTTCTCAACGCCCGAATCAGGAAGCAGTGGATGCGGTCAGACCTTGAGATCGGCGTGGTCGGCGAGACTTGGGACTCTACATTCGAGTTTGAGCACCTTGGAACAGACCTGGACGCTCTCAAAAAGGCACTCGCGGGACCTTTTGGCAAGAAGCTTTCAGCTGCCAAGCGACCTATGATCGTCGTGGGCTCTGGAGTCACGGATCACGCTGACGCCAAGGCGTTCTACGAGACCATCGGAGCATTTGTCGACAAGAACGCTGCCAGCTTCTTGACGGAGGAATGGAATGGTTACAATGTTCTCCAGAGGGCTGCTTCTCGTGCAGGTGCCTTCGAGGTCGGATTTGTCACACCCTCTGCTGAGGTCGCCGAGACGGCACCCAAATTCATCTGGCTGCTTGGAGCCGACGAGTTCAACGAAGCCGACATCCCCAAGGACGCCTTTGTAGTGTACCAGGGTCACCACGGTGATAAGGGCGCACAAATTGCGGACGTCGTTCTCCCCGGTGCTGCATACACAGAGAAGAACGCTACCTACGTCAACACGGAGGGTCGTGTACAGCTCACCAGAGCCGCAACATCACTACCTGGCGCTGCCCGTACTGACTGGAAGATCATTCGGGCAGTCAGCGAGTTCCTCGGAGCTCCTCTACCATACGATGACGTTGCTGCCCTGCGGGACAGAATGGTTGAGATCAGCCCTGCTCTGGCAGCATATGATATCGTTGAGCCCGTAGCATTGCAACAGCTGAGCAAAGTGCAACTGGTGGACCAGAACAAGGGCGCAAAGGCCTCTGGAACACCCCTTAAGCTTCCTATTGAGAACTTCTACTTCACAGATGTGATTTCTCGAAGGTATGATGAGTTCCAGATGACTTTGTTCTACACAATTACTAACAGATTTATTGCAGTTCACCAACAATGGCCCGTTGCTCCGCGGCCAAGGCGACTGGAGACCCACGCACGAACTTTATGGCACCGGGAATGGAGGAGGATAAGCCAATGGGACAGGTTGCTTATGGTGCATGAGATGTGGGTGTTCGTGAATAGAAAAATATTCGTGACTTCTGGAGGCGTCCTTTCCACTTTATGGCCTTGCTTTCACGTTTGTCGTTGTACATATACAGGAGTAATCGGCCACTGTGACCACATAAATCCCCATTGTGCATCGAGTCTTAGTATGTGTGCTCGTTGTGAATGTCAAAAGCTGGCACCTTTTGAACGCCTTTATTGGACTTCCCCTGTCGCTGCAGCGGTCACGATCGTCTGACGTACCTCTGTAATCGGTCTGCTGGTCTGACACGCTCTGGGTGTTTGCGTCATTGGGTAGCAGCTCATGAAAATGGTCATTTTCGCTGATACTGATATTGAATTCTCGGTAGTATTAAGAAACAGACATTATTCGTCAGGCCTGACCTCCAGGTGTCTCGACGTCATTGTCGGGAAATTTCTCATCAACCTGGGTTACGAGACCGAGCTCTCCTTCACCGTGAGGCTCACTGCCCGCAGCCGGCCGGGCCTTCTCCCAGGGCTTCAGTGGTCTGGCCATGGATCCAAATGGAGTAGTGGTCTGTACATGTCAGAATCGCCGTACATTTTCGTCACAGTGCGCCATGGGATCTGGGAAGGATGACTGACCGGATTCCTTGCCACGATGTCGGGGATCTCCACAATGCCCTCGACCGGCTCGCCCGTCTGCACAGCCTTGATGATCGCGGCGAACCGCTCCGGGTATGCTGGAGAGGACTCGTCGTCGTCGTCATCGTCCTTGTTAGCGGCCAGTGTGCGGTCGACGTACAGCTCGCTCTTCGGCGCAGCGGCCATCCACGACGGCGTGGACTCATCAGCGCCGCCAACAACAGCTTCTCGATCACTTCCAGAGGCGGTTGCGGACCGAGACTGGGGTGGCAGGTCGGCAGCGAGCAGGCCGCGGGACCACCGCGCCTTCTCGGCGGCAGCCTCCTCCCGCCTCGCCGCCAGCGACGCGGCGTCGACGGACATGAGCTTGTCGCGGTGGTTGCACAGCGCCTCCAGCAGGTCCCACTCCCAGAGGCGCGCGTGCTGGCCGGCCTGGTAGCTCGCGCGTAGCCAGTCCCTGTAGCCTGCGTACGGGATCGTGATACCGCTGATGCGGCCGTAGTAGAATATCCGCGAGTGCATGACGATGTCTGCCTGCGAGGCGGTCTGTGCCAGGGCGTGATAGCCACCCAGGGCGAGCACGAGGCCTCCCTAGTATCACATCAGACGGGTGCTGCTTTCTATCCAAAAAGGGGGTGGGAGGTGTGCGCGCTGGCTTACGAGGAAGTCCTTGTCTAGGTCCCATCTGTACTCGTGAAAAGACCGGTAGGCAGAGTCGTCTGGTGCTGCTGGAGCTGGAGCTGGAGCCTCTGCACCAGTGTAGTCGGTCATGACTCTCGCTGATAGCAATTTAACTTCTTTTTTCGCGTGTTAGGCGCAGCAGCGAACGCGTTCGTGAGATGGCGATCCGAGGTGATGAGCTCGACTGGGATATGCTGGTCGAGAGCACTCGCTTAGCCTCGGCGACTTGCGTGCTGTTAAGGGGTCTGATGGAGAATGCGTGAAGTCTACGATGGCCAAATTGGCGGTCACGCTTTATGCCTCATTGGTTGTATGCTTTATGACTCTGGAGAGACACTTATTGAACAAGTATTTGACGAGGTGAAGGCCGGGCCGATGCCGAGTGAGCTCCACTGGACGCCCCGGGTCGGCACGGAGATGTGGAGTCAAGGGCAGCCCGGCGGGTTTCCGGGGTCGATGAGGAACACTTTCAAGCTCCGACTGATACTAGTTGCGTACAGTGTCGCAGAGAAGTGAGTGTGAGAGTCTAGAGTATTGCCCATATTGCCATCTGAGCCATTTCACATGTCGCAACCTATCGTAGTTCTCCAGGGCTTTGATAGTGACCCATACGAGGCGCATCGTCACTTTCAATTTCATTTACAGCGTCTACAGTATTTGCGTCCTTAAAGAGAATCGTTTCCTTCTCGTAAAAAACAGTCCCCTTAGGAAACAGTTGCTAGCATACGCAACAGACGGTGGCTGCCATCATCCTTGGTTTAGACGATAGTTGGCATCTCAGAAGCTCGGACCACATGTTCCTATCTCGGACGCCCGAGCTGCCAAGGCATGTGTTGTGTCCCTGTCTGAACGACGCCGACTGCCTGGGTCTTCGGTCGTTTGGTCACCAGGCTACATAGCTTCACCAGGACAGCTGACAACCACTCTGCGACGCCCTGGGAGCCTTTTCAGACAACAAAGCAGCCGCCATGCGTCGTGCCGCTACGAGGGCGTTTCGGACATGTCAATGCACTGTTCGAGGCCACCGCAGTCTCTCGTACCGAGCTAATCGACGGGGCTCCTACGTCCACAGCTCTCTGCTGCAGAGTCAGATCCCTGCCCACAACCAACAGTCCCTCCGCTTCTCCTTCACCTCGCGAGCGCCCATCAAGCATGCCCACCCCGTAAGAGAGCCTCTCCAATCCTCGATGAATGCACGCAGGGCCACGGTCGCCCTGCTGTCCGGTATTGTCGGCTACGGTGCCTACTACTCCTACAACGGCAATTCGACCGACACCGCTGCCGCCCTCACCCGCGGCTTCTCGTCTTCCTCGTCGTCGCCAACCAACCCTGGCGATGCCATTCCCACCCGTTCCGTCCTCGTCATAGGAGCTGAGGAACTATCCACTGGCACATTTGTTGGGGAGGGTCCGATAAGCAAGACGACGGATGACGAGGGTCGGGCCATTGTCGAGATGCTGACGGCTGACCAGTCGTCGCAGAAGCTGAGGAAGATGGAGGAGTCCTTCCTGGTCAACAGGGGGAGGGGTGTTGTCAGGTACGACCAGGTACAATTGCCAAGCAATAATCCGATCGAGGACGACCATGCCGAGAAAATCGTCGAGGTCCCCGTCAGGGGCGCCTCCGAGTCTGGCAGCGACTGGATGTTTTGGGGAGTCTTCGACGGCCACTCGTAAGTTCATCACACGGATTCCCCTTCAAGTCACCGGCTCTAATCAAGGACACATAGCGGCTGGACAACCTCGGCGAAGCTGCGACAGGACCTCATCCGCTACGTCGCGCGTGAGCTCAACGAGACCTACAAGGCCGGCGGAAACTCCCCTACATCGGAGGCTGTCGACACGGCAATGAAGAAGGGTTTCACACGTCTGGATGACGAGATTGTTCACCATAGTGTGCAGGAAGTCTTGAAGTCAAACTCCCGCTCTGTCGCCGCAGAGCTGCTCGCGCCAGCGCTTTCCGGGTCTTGTGCACTGCTGTCGTTCTACGACAGCCAGTCGAACCTCCTTCGTGTCGCTTGTACTGGGGATTCCCGGGCCGTTCTGGGGCGTCGCTCCGAGAATGGAAAATGGACTGCAACTCCGCTCTCTGTCGATCAGACCGGCGGAAACCCAGATGAGGCCAACCGGTTGCGAAAGCAGCACCCTGGCGAGGAACATGTCGTTCGCAACGGCAGGATTCTAGGGGGGCTGGAGCCATCGCGTGCGTTTGGTGACGCTAGCTACAAGTGGAGCAAGGACATCGCGGAAAAGTTGCGGCAATCATTCTTTGGCCGCTCCCAGTCTCCCCTCCTCAAGACGCCCCCTTATGTGACGGCGGAGCCCATCGTCACGACTACCAAGGTCCAGCCTGAGAAGGGCGATTTCCTGGTGCTGGCTACTGACGGACTGTGGGAGATGCTCACCAATGAGGAGGTCGTCGGACTCGTGGGCAAGTGGCTCGAAACTCAGAGCAACGCGGCCCCAAAATCACAATTTGACTCGGTGTGGACCAAGATCTTCGGTGCATCACAGAAGAATGGCCTCCCAGTTGAGCAAGGCACAGCTGCAACTGGAGGCGACGGTCAGAAGACACCGATTCGTGTGCGACAGTGGGGCATCTCAAACGACGACGACAGGTTTGTCGTCAAAGACAGCAACGTTGCAACCCATCTCATTCGCAACGCTCTGGGCGGAAAGAATGAGGAGATGGTCTCGGCACTGCTGACGCTTCCCTCCCCTTATTCGCGACGATACAGGTGAGTTCACATCAGCATTTACCCGTTTAGCTACTCTATATTTGCTGACATCACACACGCAGAGATGATCTCACGGTCCAAGTCATCTTCTTTGGCAATGGCGAGAAGGCTCAGAACCAGAGCGAGGAGGTCGTCATCAACAAAGATGCCACAGCACCGCCCAAGCCTCTCAAGGCGAAGTTGTGATCACATAAGGTGATGACATACAGAGGCGGCACAACGATTCAGCTAAGTGTACAAGTACTGTTTTGGCGAGCGAGGCGTTGCATGGGCGGGCAGGCTGCGCAGTGGAAGTTGTCAGGACCAGGATAAACGACGCTACGGAGTCACGCAGTAGAACAAGAGTTGGGCGCGAATGACAAGCTGCCCTTCAGAGCTGGAGTGTCAGTCTTGGAAGGAACTGCAGAGCAAGATCTGCATGCTACATTTCGAGGTTGCAACGGGCACCGATTTAAAGCTTGAGTGACGAGTGACAAGGCCCTTGAATGAGTCGAGGAATGAACGATGGATAAACACAGCACTAGGCTTCAAGATGTAGACCAATACCAATTTCACAATGATGAGCGAGTCAGAAAAGGTGTGGCATTGTCGTGGTTTTGCATGAGCTTGGGTTCATATTTTATGATAGCGTATGAATGGACTCTGTGGGTTGGCTTCTCAATTCGACTGAGGTTGAGATGCTGGATGTTGCGGTGTATATCAAATGCAGCTGACGTTGTACCTATTTGGCACCAACTCGATCCATTCAATAACGTCGATGGACTAACGGCTGTCGAGTGAAACTCGAAACAAAGGCCTGCGTCTTTAGTTAGCTCCCCTCCATGGCTGATGACGTCACCCAAGCATGAGTGGAGTTCTTGTCTCTTATCGCGGCTGTTGTGGCAGAAGCTCGGTGGCTCCCATGCGACATTTGAAGCTTGAGAGCTCCCAGGCTCATTCCACTGAACTGAACTGAACTGAACCAGCTAAAGAGCCGACGTTGGTACTAGCAGAGATGCCGGTGCAGCCTTCAAGCAGGCAAGCAGCTGGCTGCCGACGTTGCATCCTTCCCGCGCAAATAGCTTGGTGAATTAATTGCTGGTTGGTTGGCCAGGCACAAGCCGCGGCCAAGGCCAGGTACAGGAACAGGAGCAGGGCCTCAGGGCCATCCCAGCTGTGTTTCCGAATTTATCTCAACCTGCCACAGAATTGCATCCTGCAGGGCCGAGCCCCATCTCCATACCCCAGTTCCTGGAGGGGTTCTGCGGCTCCAACTCACTCTGGCCAGCTCAGCTCCAAGAACTGCAGTGGCTCACAGCACCCAGGGTGCACCAGGGTGGATTACGGTTGCGGCTACTGCTACCCTGCGCTGGTCATCAAACCTCCTAACCAACCTGCCTGCGCTGCACATTACCTGACCGCTCCTGGACAGGTCAGCAAACAGTTCCATCGCAAGGCTAAGCAGGAGCAGTAGCTCCTTTGCTTGTACCATCCTAAACCCTTGGCGTGTTTTTTCTATGCACCTCTGTGGCGATTGAATTTTCTCTCGCCTTTTCTCTAGCCTGGCCTGGCTGAGAGCGGACCGTTGTGCACCCCACCAAAGCTTATCGTCGTCTACCACCCAGAGCTCCCCAGCTCAACCTTTTCCCTTCAACCTTGCTTTGTCTTCATACCTCAAATCTCTCGCCTAGCATTGGATAGCAGATATAGCCGCTACATCTTTGAGCCCATTGGCATTGCTAAGCTGTTTTGCCTGCTCCCATTGCCGAACCAACGCAATTGAGTTTATTCTCGTGTCCCGCGCATCACGATCTCCTTCTCGCTGCAGCTCACCTCGGTGAGCCTCGCTGACAACAATGGTCGTCTACGACAACCATGAGATTTTGGCTGCCGAGGAGAGGCGGTTGAAGGAAGACCGCCACCGCACCAAGTACTGGAAGAAGTGGGGCTCTTATCTGCCCGAGAGGCAATGGGCTACAGGTTCGTGGTACTCGGGTGCCGTTGTGCTCTGTGCCTGGTGCTGCTCCAGCACGTGGGGCTTTCGGGGAAGCTGTAGCTGACAAGAGTGCTCAATCGTAGTCCGAGAGGATTACAGCGCCGACGGTGACGCCTGGAGTCGTGAGTTGGACCCCTTTCCGCGTACCCAAAACTCCAAACTCCACCTCCACATCTTCGAAATCCGGGGATCCTGGAGGCACGATTCATAATCTGGGGTTCACATCGATACTGACAAGAACCCTCTCCACAAGATTTCCCCCACGATCACGCACGTTCCCGGGCCTACAGATGGGGCGAAGATGGCATCGCCGGAGTCTGCGACACACACGGCCTCCAGAATATTGCTTTTGCCTTTTGGAACGAGAAGGAGTGCGTCTGCACCCTGCCAATGTGCTCTGTCAGGTCCAACTGCTGACGTGACATAGTCCCTTCCTCAAGGAGAGACTCTTCGGCCTGTCCAACCCACAAGGAAACCATGGCGAGAGTGTCAAAGAGGCCCATTTTCACTTGGATAACACTCCTGTCAGTATCACTATGTGCCTTAGATTTGGAGATTGCTTGCTGACCATGTGAATTGATGCAGACTGTGGGTTTAACCATACTGACCCAGCTTGTTCCGTCTGACTAGAGCTTACACGATCCCAGCACTCCTACATGAAGTTTCTTTACAAGTATCCCCAATCCGAGTTTCCCTACGATGACCTACGAGAAGAAAATGCAAGGCGGGGCAAAGAGGACAAGGAGTACCAGATTCTCGACACTGGCTGTTTTAAGGACGACAAGTACTGGGATATCATCATCGAGACAGCCAAAGAGGACGATGACCCTGACGAGCTGCTCTTTCGAGTGACTGCTTGGAACCGTGGCAATGAGCCCAAGCCAATCCACATCGTGCCTCATGTGTGGTTCAGAAACACTTGGGCTTGGGGTCGCGAGCCCGAGGAGAATAAACCCTCGATCAAAATGCACTCTGAGAACATGGCCAAGTCGCAACACCACTCCCTGGGGGATAGGTACTTCTTGCTGTCTCCTTCCCCAGGCGTTGGCCCAAGTGGGGATGACGTGGACCCTCAGATGCTCTTCACCGAAAATGACACCAACTTCGAACTTCTCTATGACGGAGAGAACCCGCAACCCTATGTAAAGGACGCTTTCCATAGGTTCATTGTGGATGGTGAGAAGGACGCAGTGAATCCCGCCCAGCAGGGAACGAAATGCGCGGCTTGGTTTCCATTCAACGAGGCCGGTGGCGTCCCGCCCGGAGAGTGTGCTGGTATGTCGCAATCCTCCCCGAGAAGCAAGAGCTTCTACTGATGGCAGCAGTCGTCCGTTTCCGATTTAGCAAGAAGGAGAACACCTACCTCGACGAAGAGGACTTTGATGACATTATCGAGCGCCGCAAGGACGAAGCCGACGACTTCTACTACAAAATCAGCCCCTTGCCCATGTCAGATGATCTGCGCAACATCCAAAGACAAGCCTTCTCGGGCATGATGTGGTGCAAGCAACATTATCTGTTCATCTGGGATCATTGGGCTAATGGCGACCCAACCCAGCCACCACCTCCGCCAAATAGGAAAGCCATCAGAAATTCGCAATGGAGGCACATGCATTGCGATGACATCCTCTCAATGCCAGACTCGTGGGAATACCCTTTCTTCGCAGCTTGGGACAGCGCTTTTCACTGCATCCCCCTGGCCATGATCGACCCAGATTTCGCCAAGAAACAGCTCGACTTGTTCACTCGAGAGTGGTATTGTCATCCAAATGGGCAGCTTCCTGCCTATGAATGGAATTTTGGAGACGTCAATCCGCCAGTCCACGCCTGGGCGACGTTCCGCACATTCAAGATTGAGCGAAAACTGTACGGCCGGCAGGATCTGGATTTCCTGGAGCGTGTGTTCCAGAAGCTACTCCTCAACTTCACTTGGTGGGTGAACCGCAAGGATGTGGATGGCAAGAATGTGTTTGAAGGCGGGTTCCTCGGCCTGGACAACATCGGTCTGTTCAACCGGTCAGACCCGCTGCCAACAGGTGGTACTCTAGAGCAAGCGGACAGCACGGGTTGGATGGCGTTCTACTGCCTCTGCATGCTTAACATCAGTCTTGAGCTTGCTAAACATCGGCGCACCTATGAAGACATTGCCTCAAAGTTCTTTGAGCACTTTATCCTCATCAGCGACGCCATGACATTTAGAACCGGACAGAAAGATGAGAAATCGCTGTGGAACGACGACGACGGCTTCTACTACGATGCAATCTCATGGGGTGGGCCTTGGATTCAACAGTTGCCAGTCCGTTCTCTGGTCGGTTTGATCCCGATGTACGCCACTCTGACTCTCGAGCCAGAGCTGATCAACAAGCTTCCTTCTTTCAAGAGGAGGCTGGAATGGTTCATGGCCAACAAGTGCGATGTCGCGGAGCGAAACATGCACAGTATTCGCAAGCGCGGAAAAGGAAACCGTATTCTCTTGTCCATCGTGAGCAAGGACCGCCTAGAAAAGCTCTTGAAGCGTATGCTGGATGAGGACGAATTTTTGAGTCCCCATGGCATCCGATCCCTGTCCAAATATCACGAGAAGCACCCTTACTCCATGGATGTCAATGGGCAGCAATTCCGGGTTGGCTATGTCCCGGGAGATTCTGACAGTGGTCTGTTTGGAGGAAACAGTAACTGGCGGGGCCCAGTCTGGCTCTGCGTCAACTTCCTTCTCATTGAGTCACTTCAGCGATACTACCTGTTCTTTGGGCAGAGTCTGCAAGTCGAGTGTCCTGTTGGATCTGGAGACTATATGCATCTAGGCCATGTATCGGAAGAGCTTCAGCATCGGTTGCAGCATCTCTTCACGAGGGACAACGACGGCCGCCGAGCTATCAATGGCGGCGACGACACCCTCGATTTCGATCCTCTGTGGAAAGATAACATGTGGTTCCACGAATTTTTCGATGGAGACACGGGCCGTGGTCTAGGAGCCACGCACCAGTGCGGCTGGACGGGTTTGATTGCTAGACTGATCCACGACACAGGGTAAGAACTGGTCCTGCCCGTTATGTCCCATCAGATATCCTGACTAACTTTGCACAGTGTCACTTGCCGCCTTCCACAAACGCCACGCACACCCTCGGTCGGCATGGCCCACTACTTTGATGACGTGTTTAGCCGACAAGTCATGCCGCGGTCGCCATCGATGCCTCGGATCAGGCGGTCTTCAACAGCCCGGTCAATAGGTGCCCGGAGTGATTTCGATGCCAGCGAGGCTAACGGTTACGATGATGAGCACGATGGTCACAGTACTAGTGGTAGTGTTATCCTGAGTGATGATCCGCAGCAACTCCGGGAAAAGAAAGAGGCGGATGAGCACATGCACAACTACATCGCTGAGCAGCTCGAGAGGGTCAAGAGTGAGCAAACAAGTAACGGATATGACAAGGGCGACGAATTTGAGGCTCGAGCCTAAGAGATGTGTCACCAATGTCTGGTCGATCAGGCCAATCGACAGAGTCTTCTGACATGTACAATGGTAGATAGACATCTAAATAGACGGTCGAGCATAAGCGGGAGATTGCATAAACACGAGCATTCACGCCTTGGGATATAGGACAATAGAACTTGAGGGTATTGCTAGAAAGAATTGGATCGATGTTCGATTTGAACTGTGAAACTGGCAGAACGTGCCTGGTATCTATAGACAGACTAGCTAGCTACGTGCAAAGAACGCTGCTGATTCCAAACCAACTGCTCTATGAGCTGCAGCTACACTGCATTGCTCTCTGGAACCTGGGCACGTCACCCGTCCATCGGACTTCCTCTTCTCTTTCCCCCTTGTATACCGTCCCCTCAAAATCGTTACCGTCCCACTGTTCTTCAAATGGATGCAGAGCCATCTGCATAACCCGGCGCAGAACATCTCGCTCGCCGCCCTTCTCCGCCCTCTGGATAATTTCGTCTAGTATAAAACTCCGCGGGATGAAGCTCGGGTTGACCTTCTTCATCGCGCCCATCCTCTCCTCCTCCTTGGCCGAGTCGACCACGCGCTTCCCGTCCTCGCCCTCGACGCCCCAGTCCTCAACAACTCGTGCCCGCCACTTCTCCAGCCACGCAGCCACGCGCTGCCGGGCCTCAGCCTCCGTGACGCCGGTGGCGCTGATGCCCTCCTTGTGGAAGAACACGCCCGCCGTCTCCCGCCTCAGGTCCTCCGTGTCCAGGTCCGCGACCCTGACGTAGCTGAGCCGGCGGAAGGTGTGGTGGAAGTCCAGCTCCAGGGCCTCCATGGCGTCGAGAAGGCCGCTGAACAGCTCCTGGAAGTCGGACTCTTGGAACCGCCGCAGCCCCAGCCTCGTCGTCATGAGCCGCTTGTACTCGGCCAGGAACACCGCCTTGTACTCCTCGCCGGCCTGCTCGATGAGCTTCTCGGCGCGCGCGACCAGTTCGTCCGCCTCCGCGCCCTCGGACACGCCGTCCACGACGAATTTGTCCGAGTCGACGGTGTCGCCAGCGCCGAGCAGCTCGCCGACCGCCTCGCCGAAGCGCACGAGGTTCCACCAGATGATGGTCGGCTGGTTGCGGTAGCTGTACCGGAGCATGTGGTCGTCGTGGTTGGGCGTGTAGGCCGGGTCGAAGTTGTCCATGAAGGCGAATGGCCCAAAGTCGATAGAAAGCCCGTAGATGGAGGTGTTGTCCGTGTTCAGCACGCCGTTCATGAAGCCGTAGGCCTGCCACTTGGCGACAGTGAGCGCGTTGCGGCGGACGACCTCGCGGTACATCCTAGCGAAGCGATTCTCAGCCGCGTCCGCGGGGCCCTGCACCTCGTCTTTTCCGACGACGCCCCGGGGCGGGCGCTCCAGTTCCGGCGCGTCGGCCGGCTTGTCCGGGCTGCTGAGCCTGGAGGGCAGCCGGTCCCAGCCGCCGAGGACCTCCTCGGCGACGTAGGTGGCCAGCTTGCGGATCGAGTCCCGGTCGCCCCTGGCGCGGAGGATGTCGAAGTTGCCGAGGCGGACCCAGCTCTGGGCGAAGCGCACGACGATGGCGCCCGGCTCGACCGTCTCGCGCCGCACCCTGCTGTGCGGGAGCAGGGACAGCGCCAGGGCGCGCGTCGTCGGGATCCCCAGCGCGTGCAGCGCCTCGCTCACCACGAACTCGCGGATGCTGCTCCGCAGCACCGCCTTGCCGTCCGCGAAGCGGCTGTACGGCGTCATGCCCGCGCCCTTGAGCTGCACCTCGTACTTGGTCTCGTGCGCGCCGCCCGCCCACGGGTCCCTGGCCGTCGGCGACGTCGTCTCGAACAGGCTGATGGCGCGCCCGTCCCCTAGCTGCCCCGCCCACTGGCCGAACTGGAACCCGCCGTATAGCTGTGCCCAGGGGTAGCCGCCGGTAAGTCGCTCCTCGTCCCAGCCCAGGAGGACGTTGCCGGCCGCCCACTGGCGGAACCCCTCGGTGGTGGCCTCGCGGGGCTTGATGTTCAGGTCGCGCAGGGCGGCCGGGGAGACGGCGAGGAGCTCCGGATCGGTCTGGGTCTCGGGCCGGACCCATGTGAAGAGCCCGCCGCGGACCTGTCTTGGGGTGATGCTATCGCGGGGTGTCTTGTGGGAGTCGGCGGGCGTGGGGAAGAGGGGGTCGGGCGGGAGCTGCGAGGTGAAGCGCCATGACTTGGGGAGGCTCGCGAGGGTGTGGGCGCCCTCGCCGTTGCTGCCAGGTTGCTGCTGGGAGGCTTGCTTGTTCAGGCTCTCGCGGCGCTCTGCGTCGAGGGTTTCCTTCGTTGACGCCGTTGACGCCGAAGGCGACTGGATCGGGGCGGTGCCATTGCCGCTGTAGATGAGTTGTTCGGACATCGAGGATAGGCGCCTGGTGATGGTTGCTGGGGCCGTGGGAGGGATGCGCCGGAGCTGGATCGGGAGAATCGTGCGCAACGGCATTTACAAGATCTGAACCGGAGTCGTCACGCTTGTCGCATGTCGCAGTTCCGCAATGTCTGCTGCGAAATGGAGTATAGTTCCGGTGGTACCGAGGTGTTGTTGTATGTGTGTATTTCAAAACCACAAATAGCACCGGCGATTCAAGTATCTCAACTCAACGCCTTTTCCTCTGCCTGGCAAAGGTGGAAGATGTCATTCTGCAGTGGCCACAGCGCCACAGCGTGTCGAGACCCTCGGGGCGCATTAGTTTCCGCGAAGGGGCAAGTTCATGGTGATGTCAGATCCGCTAATCATTTGGAGTTGCGGCAACATTTCGTCACCCCTCTCGCCTTCAGACAAAGCCCCCCTCGCTCCTCCCCAAAACAACAACCAAAAAAAAAAAGAATACTTCAAAAGAGGATAAGTCTCAAAGTTGGCTGGTGGCCCTCGAACAGTATTCAGTGAGGTACATATGCAATTTTCTATTGCAGTCCATGCTCCATTTTGTGAATATTATTATATTATTACAAGTATATTAAATATTTGGTGCCAAGTTGCCAACACATGCGATACCGATGAGCACCTCTCGATGGGAGACCGTCTCTCCTGTAACCTGGCCCAAGACTATCAAGACAGTATCCTAAAGATGTGCGCTCAATTCCCTCACAGCTGTCCTGGAAGGAGAGCTCTCTTCTAGCAGCCTTTGCGATTGGCCTCAATATCCGTCCTCAGAAATTTCCGGTGGTGCCTCAACCATGCCTTCCGTCCACATCTCCTGATCCGGTCCCAAGGCGTATTGCTTTCCCCATCCCTCGTTCACAGGCTGCAAATTCGAGTTCCTCTCCTTATCAAGAAGCCTTCTCTCCAGTCGACTCAAATGCTGTGGGCTGTCGTCATGGGCGTTATGGCCGTTGACCTCTGCCTCTCCGGCAGTCAGGCCATTTCGCTCGCAGAACTGCATAAATGCTTTCCAGTTAGGATCTTCAATTAGAAGCTCCCGTCCACCAATGACAATCAGCCCGAACTTGGCTCTCGTCAGGGCTACGTTCATCTTGTTTGCTTCATCAATAACGCCCAATCCCATGCGTTGGTCTTGCTCCAGGAAATTTGCTCTCGACCTTGTCACGCAGAGGATCACCACTCCTCGTTCCAGCCCTTGGAATGCTTCCAGTGGGCCAATGTTCACATCCCACAGCCGGCGGTCCCGCATGCGCTTTCGCAATCGTTGAACTTGTGCTTTGAACGGTGACATGATGCAGACCTCCCTCTGCTCAACCAGGCCCGATGCCACGAGTGACGCGGCGTATTGACAGGCAAGCTCAGTCTCTCCGGCATTGAACCAGCCACCCGTGCCCTCCATCAACCCTGGAAGCTCGATTTCGTCTTGAGAGGCATTGTTGTGAAATAGCACCGGCCAACCCCGGCCACGCCACCCATCCCAGTCTGCCAGTCTGTTGATATCGCTAGCTTCTGGTTCCAGGTCGTCAGCATAGAAAAGACTGGATGGAATTGCGAGAATGGCTGGATGAGAGCGATAATTCCGCTTCAGGTTGGCAAAAGCAGGGCAGGGGATTGGTAGCAAAGACTGCGTCAATGTCTTTCCTCTTGCAAGGGGATGCTCTGCATAAACCGGACGCCTGAAAAGCCGGGCGAAAAGAGATGTCTTGAGAGGCGACGAAGGGAGTGACGTTCGTGGGCCTAGTTGATGCTCATCACCAGCCATGACAAAAAGCGGTGATAGGGTCTCGGGAGAATTCAGAGACGGCGCGACGACGGTCAAAGGTATCAAAGCCTCAGGCTCGGTGGCTTGCGCGGCCTCGTCAAGGAGGAGAGCAGACCAATGGAGTTTGGTGTTCTCGGGGGCAGATTCGAGCGGGTGGAAAGAGCTAAAACATAAGACAAATATTAGTATCATAAGTCGCGTGAAGCTGCATCCCAGAAGCGAAATTCGCTGTTAAGACGAGGAAGGTGGTTAGGTAACACGGGAAGAAGAAACCAGAGGGTGTCGTACCTAGTTAGGCGTTGTAGGGCATTCTCGACCGTGTAAAGGTCTGCATTAGTTGTCCTTGCTCGAGCAAGCAGAGAAGAGTCGCGGCAGGTCGTGACAATCACACGATACTTCATGAGTTCTTGGAGAGCTGGAAGTGTGAATGTGTCGTTCACAATATTGAAGTATGGCAACACGGCTCCATGCACCTCAGCGAATGTGCGACCAGGTCTGTTCAGCCGCAACATCTCGCTGGTATTCAGGTGCTGCTGTAGGCGATGAGCGAGCGTATCCGCCGCGGGATCTGAAGGTGCACACAGGAGGATGTGGCCATGTTCACTCGTATTCTTTAGCAACTGCAATGCAATCTCGATGATGGTTTTCGTCTTTCCCGTTCCCGGTGGCCCAGAGATCAGATACGGCAGCTTGCCGTACTTTCCTTCGCAAGCTGCCTCCACTGCCTTCTTTTGCTCCCAGTTGAGCACTTTATCGAAGAACTTCGGGCGGAACTGGCCTGCGTGGAGCCTTTCCTGCATCTTACAGTCTCGCAGAGTTGGGAAAAGCATTGACTGTATCCAGGGCACCGATTGTTCGGTTTGCGGGTCGAAGAGCCTGCTTGTGTTACCGTGCTCTTGCGCGCCCGAGTGTTGGAGATATTCTTGGAGCCGTGAAAGCCCTTGCCGTACATTGGGGAGCGCGTACTGCATCGGAAGATATCTCTCGACAGGATATGGGAATTGCACGTTGAACCTCTCTGTGTGCACTGTGTTGAATCCAGGCAGGCCGCTTACTCGAAGAATGAGCAACTCATTCGAGCGCGAGACACTGAGCACACGCGCTGCGAAGAGAATGTTTGTCCATCCGGGAGCATGGCCGTCCTTGTTGAACATTTGGCTCTGACCTGGCACAAGTCTCTGATCTGCAATCGCCTTCCTCCACTCTAGCCATTCCCGCATGCGCAGTGGGTTGCCGTCCTGGCCGTATACGAGCTGTCGAAGGTACACAATATCATCTTCTTCAACCAAGGGGCTATTCTCTCTTATTCCAGCAACCCGTAACGAGCAGATAGTCTCTCCTTGGTTTTGAAAAGACTGGAAATTTGGTGAGTAGGGCATGATCGTCACTTCCTGGCCGTACAGAGAGTACGCCTCGTTTTGTGTCTGCTGAGCTTGAATTTCCTCATGGAGGTGAAATTGGAAGAACTCCTCGTAGTCCTTCGCGTTGCTAATACTGCTGCTGCTGTTGGCCTCCGTGAGGAAAACTGGGGTGGGTGGAGGTACGACGGGTAGGAAACTTGCAACCGATCCGTAGGATCTGCTAACGTAGTCTGCGAAATTGATCGCTTTCTTTGGGACTGTGAACTTTGACCCGCGGGCAGGAAGAGTGTTGATGACCGTGAGAATCTCTGGGACGAATGGGCGGGCATATATGCTGAGCCCTACTTCTCCATAGTCTCTCCCACTGCTGGATCCTATCGAATGCTTCGCCTGAGCCTTGACTGCCTCTGCGGACTTGAACATGGTCTTTCTATCATTCAATGCAGCGTTTGCAGTAACTTGGATCGTTCTGTCGGCCTGGCGGGTGCCACCAGACCATGGAGAAGCCATCGTGGCTTCCGCTTCGCTCGTGTGTTCGTTTGCGGGAGGCAAGATGGGCGCCGATCAGGGCATCCTTTAGTTCTTGGCTTTAGGAGGATTCACAGTGACGAATGCTGCCGATTTACTTGGAATAAAGATGACCCAGCTGAGACTTGGTGTTTTCTTGCAGGAAGCGATGAGAATGCTGCCTGAGTGATGAGTGCTCGCTTGCTTGCCCAGGCCATGGCGCAGCAGGGTGGTTGGGCCTGAGGCGGCGAGGCCAGAAATTGTGAGGTGTCAGGTACAACGCAGCTGCCATTATGCAATCCCCATGTTCATGCTCATACTGCGCATCAACTAAATACTTAGCTGGCCGCCATCTTCGTGGCCTGCTGTTTAGTTTCCCAAGGTTGATGAGAGACGGACTTTATGAGTAACATTGTAAGAGAGGGTCAAAGAAGGAAACTGCCCTAACCCCGAGCTTGTGTGCCTGCCACCCCTGCCCCGTCCAGAGTCTATCGTTGACCAGGAATCGAGCTTGGATGGAAGCTCCGAGCCGAATGTTGACGAGCCGTACAGCTTTGATGGCGTCACCATTTGCCCCGCAGGAGCACATCTCCAGGGCATAACAGTGCTTTCTGTCAATGGGCGATTTCGATACTGCCATCAGCACAAGATCTTGGGGGCAGAGAACGCAGAGCGGCATTGGGAATTCAGTTGAGTTAGACATCATGGCTGCTCAGCTGCGGTTCAATCGTACGTAGCTCTAATACCGTAAATCGAACCCGACGGAAGCTTAAGCTGCCCTCCCTGGTTGCTATGTGAGCTTAAACCTGCTCCTTGTGCCGATCGCAGGATAAGAACAAGTCATTGGCGGCAGATCCCTAGATCCGAATACAAATCCGTTTCATCCCTACATGTGTCGACTATCCAAATCTATCATCTCTCGGCAGCTCCTAACATCCTCATCTTGTGCATTCCGTCCCACGTGCTTGTCGCTAAGCCCCAGATCGACCTTGCCAGCTCACCAGTACTCCAGGATGAACTCAGCTGGAGCCTCATTTAAGCCAGATGCCACGGGCGCAGACCCGAAGCAGCTGGAGTATATCCCGCACCTCAAGCTCAACGATGGCGAGGAGATTCCGATGGTGAGCCCCATCCAGGTTCCTTGTCTCGGACTTGGTGGTGACAAACGAATATGATAGATTGCCTACGGGCTCGGCACGGCCAACTTCAAGACGGGCGAAGCTCTTAAGTCCATCGATAAGAAAATTATCCAGGACACAGTGACGGCCATCAAGTCAGGCTACTTCCACCTTGATGGTGCAGACGGCTACGGCAATGAGGCCGAGCTCGGCCTCGCCATCAAAGAAGCCGGGGTGCCCCGAGAAAAGCTCTATGTGGTCACTAAGCTCAGCAAGCCCAGCGCCGACAAGACCATTGAGCAGGACTTCACGACCTCCTTGCAGAAACTCGGTCTGGATTATGTAGATCTCTACCTGATCCACTCGCCTTTCTTTGCAGACGGGAACCCGAAGCTGCTTCAAGAGAAGTGGGCAGAGATGGAGGCTATCAAGGCCTCGGGCCGGGCCAAATCGATTGGAGTCTCCAACTTCTTGCAGAAGCACCTCGAGATCGTGCTCGAAACCGCCAAAGTGCCGCCTGCTATCAACCAGATCGAATTCCACCCTTACCTGCAGCACGGCAGCTTACTCGACTTTCACCAGAAGAATTCCATAGCTGTTTCGGCATATGCTGGGCTAACGGCCGTTACAAAGGCAAAACCCGGCCCCTTGGACGATGTCTACCCACAGCTAGCAAAGAAGTACGGTGTTTCGGAAGGAGACATTGCGCTGAGATGGATCCTGGACCTAGGTGTAGTGGCCATCACAACCAGTTCCAAGGAAGAGAGACTGAAGAGCTTCTTGACGAAGCTACCTAGCTTCAAGTTGACTCCTGCTGAAGTCAAACTGATTGCGGACAAGGGCGACGAGAAGCACTTCAGAGGCTTTTGGAACCACAAGATCGCTGCTGATGATCGCTCATAGAATATAGCAGCGCCGTTTGCCTCAGAGCATGGGTGAGGGCTAGAGTACAGCAGCTAGAGTAATATCAAGTGGTGTCACGTCAAGATCCAGGCAAGGAGTGATCGACTCGGGCTACTGCATCTGTGTCATAATTCAGAACACAGGGAGAATCGTAGCCGGGAGTGTCGAGGTAATCAACAAGCTCGTACGACCGCGCGACAAGTATTCTCGCGTCGCGACTTCTCGGCATCCAAGCAGCCTACCCCTGAGGTCGCGGCGGCAACTACGAGCCCAAGTATATAAGCACTGGCACTTCCACCAGAAGAATTGTCTAGAATTGACTCAAGCAAATACTGTCACTCCTTTAACTTGTGGCCTCCAGGCTCGAAATCTTGGTGTGATAGTCCCCACTCACTCGCGTGCGCCTTACCTCTTGAGAGCTGCGGCTCAATACCGACATTCATCCGGTCCTTTCCGAGAGCGACCTCTCGCCCCCAGCAGCACGCATATATATACGTACCGATTCCTTGGCCATGGTGCTCGGGATTCGCGCTTCGTACCACCCTGCGCAAAGCGCGAGCCATAGCTCCTACCAGAGCCCACTCGTCTGCCCCTGTGCAGCATGCTTCGACAAGGAGGAGCACAGTCAGATAAGGGAGGCTTGTGATTCTCCCGCGGCAGAGATGAAGATAACTTGCGGTCGCCCTACGTCCAACCCGTCTCCTGTCTGGAAACGGACGGAGAGCGCTGTGCGGCAGAAATTTGGGTTTCCGTTGGGCCGGAGGCGGAGCGCCGAGTCGACGGCCTCGGCACGGCCGCTGCGGACGGCAGCGCAGGATGCCCCTCAGGTCAGCAATGTCGCGGAAGGCGCGGTGGACCCCTCTGCATAGACACTACGGATGCAACAAGCACGGATAAAAATTCCTTGGGAGTGAGATTGGGACGCAGCGAGGGCTGCCTGATGCTGGGAGTGGGACTGGAAGGGCATTCTGAAGATACGATACGCTCAGGTCTGAAACGATGCGAAAACGTATCTGGAATTGCACTATCTCAAAGATTTACTTGAATATTCGTACAAGTGTGGCTTTGGACATGATCAGACCGATGGCATGATAGTCATCCGCTTTTGGGCAGATGCTAGGCTTGGTAATAAGGTATCCAACAGGCGTACCACAGCCAGTTGGGCTTCAGCAAATTCTCTCAGTCGACACAGTGAAGCACTAATATTTGGAACTGATGTCAAGGACGCATGCGCTGCACGCTTGTGTTTTGTAAATCAATTTCCAGGTCGAGGCACCCGAGCTTGGTATGGGAGGGGACCCTCGTGCTACAAAACCCGCTCAGGGGTGACTTACACGTCTAGTTGCACTACCCGCGCTCGTCCAGCAATGCCAGCTACTTTAAGGACAATAGTACCACTTCAAACTTCGAATTATTCGCAGACTCTATCTTGCTTGGGACTATTCTTTTGACCATTTGTTTACTTAAAGGGGCCACGAGAAATCGTCATAGGTGGGTGACGTCACCGCCGACTCACCCAATTACTCTACCACCTGAGACCTCTGGCTCAACGACCACGTTCGATCATCGCACTGTCATCTTACAAAGCGCTCACGCCTTCCGCGGCCAAACCTAGAATAATCGAATCGCTGAATTCCTTTCATACATTACACCCGAGAAAGTCCACATCTTATCTGTGAAGCATGGCGCCAACCGTGGATTCCGCCATCCTCGCCGCCCTCGGCCTCGACCCCGACAACACAAAGCAAGCATCGCACGGCGGTTCCGGCTTCTCATCAACATTCAAACTCTCGGGCACCAAGGACGGGAAGGATGTGAACTACTTCGTCAAGACAGGGACAGGCAAGGACGCTAAGGTCATGTTCGCAGGAGAACACGAGTCCCTGAACGCGATTCACAATGCCGTCCCGAACTTCTGCCCCAAGTCCCATGCCAACGGCGAGCTGCAAGACTCGCCCGGGAAGTTCTTCCTCGCGACTGACTTCCTAGACCTTCGAGGGTCTGGCCCCCAGGGTTCTGGCCTGTCCCTGGCGGAGAAGCTGGCCAAGCTGCACACCACAGAGGCGCCCATACCGGAGGGCTATGACAAGCCTATGTTCGGGTTCCCGGTTCCGACCTGCTGCGGTTCCACAGAGCAGGACAACTCATGGAAGGAGTCATGGGCAGAGTTCTACGCGGACAACCGCCTGCGGACCATCGGGAGCCAGTGCGTCAAGTCCAACGGGAAGGACGGTGAATTCGAGAAGGCCGTGGAAACTGTCGCTGCAAAGGTTGTCCCAAGACTGATTGGGGACGATAGGGTGAAGGAAATCAAGCCAGTGGTGATCCACGGCGATCTATGGAGTGGAAACCATAGCCGGGGTGTCATCGCGGGTCAGGGAGGGACTGAGGAGGTTGTCTATGATCCTTCATCTGTCTACGGGCACTCAGAATACGAGCTCGGGGTCATGCGCATGTTTGGAGGGTTCAGCGGCTTCTGGAAGGAGTACGAGAAGTTGGTTCCCAAGGCAGAGCCTAAAGAGGAGTGGGAAGATCGGGTTGCGCTCTACGAGTTGTGAGTGACGCTTCTCCCTGATATGCTTTCTGCTTGTGGCTGACAACACTGCTGATGCAGATACCACCACCTCAACCACTTTGCCATTTTTGGTGGCGGGTACAGAGGCGGAGCCATGTCAATCATGAAGAAGCTCATCTCGAAGTATGGCTAGGTGACTTTACTCACAACACAGTGGTTGATTTGTACACTTTACAATTGAGATCATGTTCTCAAGGAAGTGCCCTCGGGTGCAAGTACCGAGCTTGGTTGTGCTTCGACCGGTCCTCATGCTCATTACACACTTAAAACCCAGCGCCCTCGGAGGAATTCAACCCAGACTGAGCCGATGTTTGGCTTTACAATTATCATATCCGGGAATGCCTGGACCGGGCTACTACGCCAGCAGAGATGCCATTGAGTCGACCTACTCTGGATGAACCTCAAATGGCGGAGGGCTCAACTTTACGGCTACGAGTAGCATTGTCTCCTTCGGCAGACGGCATCGCATCTACTTTACGAAACAGTGCACCACAAACATATCCACTGATCTTTTCTCAAAGAATTTATCCTGCCCTCAGTCTTCGCCACTGCACAAGACACCATCCCAGTCGCCGAGTGCTGACAACGGACAGCACATTCCCATGTGCTCAGAGGCCTGTGGACAAAAAACGAATGTGCTTGGGTTGTATGTGCAAAGTGCAAAAGCTATGCGCCAGCCCGGAGTCGAACCGGGGGCCCATCGATGGCAACGATGGATTTTACCGCTAAACCACTGGCGCTGTGATGATTGAATCGTGTTGTGGAAGTCGGGGCAGAATTGACGATCATGTTGCAGTGTTTGGCGTGGGAAAAAGTGCTCGATGGTGGTGGTGGGTACAGGCGGTGAGAAGTCAGGGGTCTGGGCGGCCGCCAGGGTTGCAGCTCTGGGAACGCTGAGGGACCAGAGTGCATGAGAGAATGACGGGCCGTGGCTTGCCGGCAAGAGGAGACAGGTTCGGGAGCCTCGGTGGGAATGTTGGATTGTTTGCTCATCTGCTGGAGAACACGGAGTTCGGGCCAACACAGCGAGGAAAGCTACATATGCCATTTGCAGCATCATCAGACGGGGGCTGCCTGCGGGTGTTGGCAAGTGGAACTGGGCTTGTTGGAACCAGGATCGCTACTGTGTACCTCAGTAGCTAGACTCAAAATATTCAATGCCGTGTGCATCAAGCAGCAAAACGTGCAAACGGAAATAAGCACATGCCAAACAGAACTCCCCTAAGAAAGAAGCAGTGATGAGTCTACAGCCCAGTCATATACTCAATCATGTCCTCCTGACAGCGGCTGTCAGGTGGCAAAGTCCAGTGTGTCCAGGTGAACAAACCGTACTGGTGCAGGGAGTCAGGCGACTCGACGGGGATCAAGCTGCCATCCGATAGGGGAACCGCCCCTGCCACCCTTGTAGTCTAGGTAGCGGCCCAGGACAGGCCAGCTTGACACTCGAGCTGCTGGGGAAAGCATGCCATTCACTGCATACGCGAACCACCTCGTCCAATTTCAGAGTCTGGCCTCGTTGTTCAACCTCGGTGGCACCCTCTTCTCCCACCCACTGCCGCCAACAAGCATGGCCAGAACCTGTCTCTAAACCTGTCTTGCTTCAAACCCTCGCCCTCCTCCAGCTACCAACCCCATCATGAACGGCCACTTCGCCGCTGTCGGCGATGCGCCGGCTGCTGAACAATACAACCATGGCGTCCAAGTCATCGACGAGGACAAGCAGTACAAGTACGTGCCTCCATTGTTCTCTGCAGCATCGATCCCTCTCGCCGCTGGCATATCTGACTCTGCTGCAGCACCAACCTGAACCAATACCTCGCCGGTACCCAGGTAGCCCAAGCTGGCTTCAACTATCACCTTATCTCCGTCTTTGGCTCCCAGTCCACCGGAAAGTCGACCTTGTTGAACAACTTATTTGGCACCGACTTCAGTGTCATGTCCGAGACGGAACGCCGTCAAACCACAAAAGGAATATGGATGTCTAAGAACAAGAAAGAAAGCACGGCCGATGGCTCCGTCAAGCTAGCGGACAACATCCTGGTCATGGACGTCGAGGGTACCGACGGCCGTGAGCGAGGCGAGGACCAGGATTTCGAGAGAAAGAGTGCCCTGTTCGCCCTGGCAACAAGTGAGGTCCTGATTGTCAACATCTGGGAGCATCAGGTCGGTCTGTACCAGGGCGCAAATATGGGCCTGCTGAAGACCGTTTTCGAGGTCAACCTGCAGCTTTTCCTGAAAGACAAGCAGTCAACACCCAGATCTTTGCTCTTCTTCGTCATCCGAGATCACCTGGGAACCACGCCCCTCGCGAACTTGCGCAACACGCTGATTCAGGATCTGACCAAGATCTGGACCTCCCTATCCAAGCCCCAGGGGCTCGAGGCATCCAAGATCGAGGATTACTTCGACTTCGCATTCGCGGCTCTACCGCACAAGATTCTTCAGCCCGACAAGTTCGTGGCCGAGGTTGATAATCTGGGGAAGAGGTTCGTGGCAGGACATCGCTCAACCAAGGATCAAGAGTTCGAGGGCGGTGTGTTCCTAGCCGAATACCACCGTAGGATTCCTGCCGACGGTTTCCCTGTGTATGCAGAGGGCATCTGGGACCAGATCGTCAACAACAAGGACCTCGATCTGCCGACCCAGCAGGAGCTTCTCGCGCAGTTCCGTTGCGACGAAATTGCTCGGGAGGTTTTGATTTCTTTTGATGCCGCAGTCACGCCTCTCGAAGAGAAGCAGGCAGAGGCAGTCCGTGCAGGCAAGCCGACAGTACTGCCAGACCTGGGAGCCACCGGTAAGTCTTCTCGTGAGAAGACTACCAAGGCGTTCGAGATACAAGCGAGCCGGTACCATAAAGGGGTCTACAAGAGAAAGCACATTGAGCTCGAGGAGAAGATTGATTCGCGCCTGAAGGCTCTCTTTCATGGCCAGCTCACGGCGGCACACAAGGCCGGCGTGGCTGCTTTCACCGAGGCCGTAACGAACGCTGTCAAGGCCGGCCAGAAGGCTGGTGGCCAATATGAATTTGCTGAGATCGTCGAAAAGCAAAAAAAGAAGACCCTGGACATCTACAAGAAAGAGGCGCAGAGCCTGGCCATCGAGGGCGTTCCATGGACCAACTTCAAGCCTCAATACTTGATGTTTGGGAAGGAGCTGGACGAGGTTGGCGCAAGGCTACGAAAAGAGGAGATGCGTCGTCTGGCTACTCGTGTCGAACGATGGGTCAAATCCCGTCTTGGAGACGCTGTGGGGCTGGAGTTCAACAAGATCGGTTCTGGACGTGGCGGCTCGGGCGCTCCAGAGGATGGGGAGAAACCAGCCTCTGAGAAGGATCTTTGGGACCGCATCTGGAGTGTCTTCGTCTCCATTGTTAATGAAGCACAAGATCGTTTCAGGGATCGAGCCAAGAACTTGGAGGCCACGGACGAAGAGGTCGAGATTGGGGTCTGGAGGCTGCGACGCAAGAGCTGGGTCGCACTGCGCGTAAAGGTCGAGGAGGAGGTGATGGAAGGCAATATTCTTCTCAAGCTCCGTGAGAACTTTGAGGACAAATTCCGTTATGATGAGTCAGGGGTCCCAAGGATCTGGCGCCCCAGCGACGATATCGAGGGTATTTACACTCGTGCACGCGAGTCGACCCTGGTCCTTATCCCGCTATTGTCGAGGTTCAGATTATCGGCGACCTATGGACCACCCGATCTGCCTGCGTTCATCGGCAACCAGCCTGCCGGGGTCGAACCTGGAGATGAAGAAGACCTCACCCCCATCGGTGGCGTCGACGAGGAAGAGGGCAAGAGCCTCGAAGAGGAAATGACGGTGCTCAGCGAGAGCAAGAGGCAGGATCTTGTAATCCGCTTCAAGAAGACGGCAGATGGTGTCTACGTTGAGGCGAAGCGCAGTGCTCTCGGTGGCATGACGCAGATACCTCTGTATTTCTACGTCGTCCTTCTGGTGCTTGGGTGGAACGAGATATGGATGGGTAAGTCTTGCTGTACTACGTCGCCTTTTACTTTCGGGGTTTTGCTGACTCTATCCAGTGCTGCGCAACCCAGTCTTGTTCATACTGCTGCTCCTCTCCGCGGGTGGCACGTATATTGCATACAACCTCAACCTTCTGGGGCCCATGATGCAGATGAGCAATGCTGCTACCAACCAGGCCGTCGAAATTGGAAAGCAGAAGCTTCGGGATTTTCTGGAAAATAATGAGACGGCAAGGTCGGCACTGGCCATGCCAGCCCGGAGGGACACTGACTCGATCAGCTTGGAAACACTCGACTCCAAGGGCAAGCGGCGGGACAAGGATGAGGACGAAGATGACATTTGATCATAACGGGACTGTTTATATATGTACTTTTGGGTTTATACCCATCACTACCCAAGCCGGCGCCAGATATCCTGTAGTTCCATAACCCCTTAGAAGCCTCGAGCACCTGAACTCCTAATGCCTAACAGAATCAAAGCCCCTTACTCCATTTCTTGTCAATAGATTTAAAATGCTTCCAGCCCAACAGGTGTTCCAAACCATGTGCCCAACTCGTCGGCGTCCTTATCCCGGCCCTCGCCCGCCATGAAAAAGTCGGTCAACCTGGCCGTCTCGCCGTCGTCCTCGACAGGCCACTCGACCTTGACACCGGCCCCCTTGGCCTCGATCATGTCTTTTGCTGTGCCCCAGCTGAACCTGCACTCAGGGCCCCACCCGAACAAGGGGTGCATGTTGGACTTCATCCAGCCGACACACCTGCCGTCGGATGGGTAGCCCGAGCCCCACGCCATCCCGGCGTCCTCACCCTGCCTCCCGTCACGGACAGCATGGCGTCTATACAGGACCTCCAGGGCGGCGTCCCTCGTCACCTTGGCGCACACACTCGCGGCGGACACGCACGGATAGAGAGAGTCGGCCTTCTTGGCGACGGTAATCTTGACGGCCGGGAAGATGCGCTCGAGCTTCTTCTGGTATGCGGCGGGCTGGCCGATGGTGTCGACGTAGATCTCCTTGACGTTGACGCCGCGCGAGAAGACGCCCTGGATCAGCGCCACGGTGGCGTCCATGGCCTGGGCGTTGAGGTTGTACGCGGCCGGCCGGAGCATGTTGGCGGAGATGTCGCGGGCCGACAGGGCGGTCGTCGCCCAGCCGCAGCGGGAGTACAGCTTGTTTTCGCCGTCATCGTCGGCGGCGCCCTTGCCCGTCGGCGTGCACAGCGCCTCCATCAGGGCGGAGCGCACGGCCGGCGTCAGCACCTTGGAGTCGTCGAAGTGGTGCTCCTCGCGCAGCAGCGGGTCGGACAGCTCGAGCGGCAGGTAGAAGACGCCGTAGACCATGGGGCCCAGGACGGGCCCGCGGCCGGCCTCGTCGACGCCCAGGCAGCAGGGGACGCCGTCGCCCGGCTCCGTGGACGGGGACGCGAGGGCGGGCGGCACGGGCGAGAAGTGCGAGTAGCTGTCGCCGGCGAGGAGCGGGCCGTCGTGAATCGAGGGCGGGATGAAGACGTCTGAGGCCGGGGTCTCGAGGGCCGTGTCGGCCTCGGTCATCTGCGTGTCTTCCATTCTTCCCTTTTTTTCCTTTTTTTTAGCGGAGGGCGGGCAGGGCGAGGTCCTGCTTTGTTCGAGGGCTGAGTATGAACCGAGGCGATGTTAGACGACGGCCCTGAGGCGGTTGTTTTGTTGACTTTGGATCCCTGAAGGGTAAAGCGCGGGCGCAATCAATAGCTGTTCATGCGCGTCTCATGCGCGTCAGGGTCGCGTCCTACCCAAAATTCACAGGTGCTATCAGGTACATGTACAGTACCTTTAGTGGTGGTGGCCCCAGCTCCCCTCCAGCCAGTGCTTCCAGGATAGAACCCCAGGACCACCCCCCACCCCTTTGCGCTCGACAACAAACACCAAAAATTGCCGCCAGATTGTCTCAGAGACACACATCGCATTGATTTGCATCCCATTGTCGCCTGTCTTTCACCCTGGCTGCCTACTATTTTTATTGTCATAAATAATCTGTCGCGTGAGCTGCGGGCCCGCTGTTTCTATTTCTCTAGCTGTCCTAACGTCCACCATCGCGCGACATGGCGCCGCGTCCGTCGGCGCAACGGCGCTCCATTGCGCAAAGCGAGGCTTTCCACGACCTGGGTGTCAGGGGCCGGTAAGACGATACAAAGCCACCCCGATGTGGTCGCGCAGTGCTGACTCGGCTTCTGCTCTGTAGGAAAACAGGCGTCTTCCTCAAGGATACCGGTGCACGCGACGAGCATGGCATGCAGCCACTGGACGACATCTTTTCCTCTCCTGAGAAAGACAGCCAGAACGGTGTTGAAGAAGACGAGGAAGAGGCGGAAGAGAGCGACGAAGAGCCCATGGATATTGACGAGAGTGAGCCTGAGCCTCCCTGGGACCGGGCCTCTGAGTCGTACAGCTTTTCCAGAGAGACAGACTAACGCGATGCCTTCGCCTTAGCCACCGGCCCAGCGCCTTCAGCATTCATGAACGGCAGTCGCTTCCCTCCAGCGCGCGCAAGGTCACCGCCCAAAACCAACATGCAGTCCCCAGCGAGGCGGAATCCCCACCTTGGCCACTCATCGTCACCCATCCGTGGGTCCGTCGTACGGCCCAGCGATGTATCGTCTTCTCCCAGACCAGCAAAGCCTCCTCAAAGGAAACTCGATTTCAAGAACAAGCCAAGCCTCGCGAAAACCAATGGTATCAATGGGAAGAGTAAGGCGGTTGCAACTACGAATGGGCACGTCTCGCCTGCTGAGGATGAATCAGAGGAAGAACCCCAGCTTGACGAAGAATCAATGGCGATTCTAGACGGAGGTGACGACGACGCCGGGGTTGACGGAGAGGGACCTGAGGATGATGATGATGCTACGGAGCCTGCAGATGCCGAGGAGGAAGAGGAGGAAGAAGAGGCGCCCCCGACGCCTCCTGCGGCCAAGCGCAAGGGTCGACCAAAGAAAGCGGCCCCCGTACAAGAACCAGAAGAGGCGTCCGAAGAGGCAGTCGAAGAGCAACTCGAGGAGGAACCAATCGTGCAATCCATCGAGGCTGACACAGAGCCGCCACACAGTGGCAAGAAGAGAGGAAGGCCCCCAAAGAACAAGGACGCCGAAGAGGAGACTACTGGGCAGCCATCAAAGAAAAAGGCAAAACGGGTATCCGACGTTGCTGAAAACGAGACCGGGGAATCATCCCAGCAGGCTAATGGACGGAAACGCGGTCGGCCTAAGGCTGTTAAGCCTACGGGGAACGACGACACTTCGAACTCAAAGAAGCCAGCCATACCAAAGCAAAAGCGAGCTCAGAAGCAGAGGATATCTACCGGTATTGGCGATACGTCTGTCGCAGAGGTGCCGCGCGGCCCACCACTACCGAAATCAAGAGGCTTAATAATCTCGCGACGCGAGGCCCCCGGCGGCCTGACGACGCGATCCGGGCGCACTTCTTACCAACCGCTTCAGTACTGGAAGAACGAGCACGTAGAATTGGATGACGATGAAATATTTGACGACGGCAAGCAACATTTCAAGCTCTCGCGCATCAAGGAGATCGTCCGCTACGACGACCCTGAACCTGAGCACAAGACAGGGTCTCGTCGCAAGGGCGGCAAGTCCGCAGCGGGGAGGAAGGCCAAGCGGCGAGACTACGACTCGGAAGAGGACGAGCTTGAGCCTTGGGAGGAAAACGCCGACTCCATCATGGGCGAAGTGGTCGTCTGGCAGCCTGAACACGAGCTGAACCCGCCCGGCCCAGACGAGCAGATCGAAGTGGCCGAGGAGCAGCTGGCCGTTTCCGCGGGTGCGATCATCACCAAGGAGATCCGCAACGCGACCTTCAAGTTCGCAAAGACGCTGAGCACGCCATTCTTCGGGGCCGGCGTGGTCGACCTTCCGCCACACTCGGAAAAGAAGCCCAAAAACTCCAGGAAAATGCACATGGCCTTTTTCGTGTTCTCGGGGCGGGTTCAGGTCACAGTGGCAGACACGACGTTTAGCATTGGGAAGGGGGGCATGTGGTTTGTGCCAAGAGGTAGGACACACCGCGTCCCGGATTTTGAAATGGAGCAATGACTAACATGGGCGCAGGCAACTATTACAGTATCGAGAACGGCCACGATCAGCCGGCGAGGATTATGTTTTCTCAGGGCTGTGAGGTGCTTAGCGGTGCTGCAGGCGAGGCCAGCATGGTTGCATAATGGTCAACATGGGTGGGAATACGCTTCTGTACCGAGAGACTGCGAGGGTTATCGTTATTTTGGTGCGAAGATACCGCTCCAGGAGGCAGCTTGTTGGGACTGTTCTATACCACGTTGCGAGCGGAGAATGTCAAATTCAAAGATATCCACTGAAGGGAGAAGAGTGACAATGCGATTTGAATGTGCTGTCGACCTAGTGTTCGAAATGACCTTACTACAGTACAAAAGCCCTGCTACCTAGTCTCAAGGAGCACGGTTATAGATATATACGCATGATGCCAACTTTGAATGTGGCTGAGAAGGGTGTGAGTACAATGCCGTCCCGATCTTTTTATGGCCTCCGCTCTCTTTTCCGCACGCTTGCTCATTCGTATGTCTACCATTCAAGCATCTTGTTCCAGTTACCCCCTCGCCTTCCCTCTCAACAATTGGTGCCCCTTTGACAGAACACTTTTGCCTTAGGCCTCCTGAGCCAGTACCTTCTTCAGAGCTGCCATGTCCTTCTCGAAACCAGCAATCTTACTGTGTGAAGTCTGCAATTTGTTAAGCAGGTAGTTGATTCGCTCGGTAGTCTCCCGAGGCTGTCGAGGAAGAGAACCCAGCAGGCTGAGTTCTGTTTCGACCTGTTGATACGTAAGCAGAGTTAGTCTCGTGAGTCTGCAGGAGGGTTTTCGCGAGGCATGGGCATGCACTATCACTGAACGGCGGCGGTCGCAGACAAAGAACACAACTTACCTTGTCGATAGTCTTTGTTTCGACCTTGGCTAACTCAGTCAAGACAGCCAAGTCCAACCTCGCCTTCAGCACCGGGTCATGAAGCAACGCAGAGAAGGCCGCTTGATACACCGGCTTGCCGGCCTGGATGGTCTGCGGGCGGCCGCGGTGGGACTTGACGGTGATCAGCTCCGCATTAGCAAGGGTCTCGAGGGCCAGCTCGCCGTTCTCGACGCCCGAGGTTGTCGACGAGGCAAACGTGTTGGACAGCAGGACCTCGTTATAGCGAAGCGACTCCTTCTTGGCGATCTCCTTGATCAGGAACCACGCCTGCTCCGTGGAGTACTTCCTGTCGCCCTTGTTGGGTAGCAGGTAGAGCTTGATGATCTCTGATGCGCTCTGCTCGATGATCTCCTGCACGGCCTGTCTTGGGCTCTGTCCTGTCTTCATACGCCTGGCAAGGAATTCCAAGTCGGTGAGGCGGCCACCGAGAACCTCGATTACCTCATCCAATTCCCTCAGGTCCTGTTTGTGCTCCGGCTGCGAGGTCTCCGCCTTCGGGTCTCCATTTTTGCCATGGTCTCTTGGCTTGGATTGGGGGAAGTGGCTCATGACGAACTTCTTTGCAACGTCGGGCGAGAGATCACCAAGCGCGATGGTACGGAAGACTCTGTCCGGCAGTGATTTGGATAGAGGTTTCGAGTACGACGTGTCGCTGGTCATGAAGACCACGTGGGCGATATTTGCCTGCACGAGCGCTGCTGACCACTCCGAGAGCTTGTCATATATGAGACTGGTCTCTTCGTTCTTGAGGAGAAAGTTGTCAATGACCACCACTGCTCTCCTCTCCGGGTGTGCATCGAGGAAAGCATCATCGCTCAAGTTCGCATCGCCAGAGTCCTTGTCACGACCCGACAAAGAGACCTCCTTCAGGGAAGCTGCCGTAATTTGAAGGATCTTGTTGAGCTGCGAGTCAAGTGTTTCTGAGAAGCCAGACTTGACGCCAGTAGTACTCTGAATAGCGAGATCAATGAGACTGCTCAGTTGGTTCGCCCAGGAAAAGATTGGGCGGTAACCAACGGCGCTGGCGAGCTTCTTGATTGTACCACTCTCGCCTCTGGCCTCGACAATCGGCTTGCAATCGATCACCAAGACGTCCTTCCGACCACCTAGCGCCTGGTCCAGAACCAGCTCTTCCTTGCCTGAGCCCCGTGGGCCTTGGACAACAATGAAGGTGTCTGCAGACTCCATCAACCATTTCTGAATTTGCTCAATGGCGTCTCGTCGATGAGTGAAGAGAGCAGTCAGACCAGCGTCTTCCGCCTTATTTTTCCTGAAGGCTAGAATGTCGTTGGTCTGGCGCTTGAACCATTGGAAGATCGTGTTGTCCGACAGACTAAAAGACTTTTGGATATGAGCCTTGATAAAGAACTCCCGTATCGGGTCGAAGATGACGACGGTGATTGCTGCAAGCAGTGCCGCAACGACTGGGATCACAATTCGAGGGTGGTTGCTTATCCAGTCCCAGAAACGATGACTTTTTGCGAAGCGCTCATACGAGAGCCGGAGTTTCGTGCCAGCTTTGCCGCCGCCGAGCTCTTCTGGAACCACAATTCCATGAAGGCAGTTCTTCGCCATGATAGCGTCTCTCACAAAACTGTAATCAACATACGCATACCTGGGGACCACCTTGGAGTCTGATGGCTGTGTCTGGATGTCCGCAATCTTGCCAAACTTGCGGAACTGGCTGAATACGGTCTCCTGAGACAGCTCCACGGCCTCGGCACCTGGTTCTTTTGCTATGAACTCGATCCTGACCCTGCCTCTCGGAAGGTTGGCAGCGAGGTCTTCGAGCCAGGGCACGCCTCTGACGAGGCCGACTTGAATGCCGCGGAAGGGGTTGAACCACGGCTTGATATTCTTCTCTTGCAAAAACTTTGACAGCTTCTCTTCGACCTGCTCTGGAGTCTAGATACTATGTTAGTGTCCAAAGTGACTTGAGAATACTTGATCGAGAATAATGGCTACGAGGGGATCATTTCTTTTGGGATTCGCACTAGCTCCTGTGACATATGGCCTTCCTGCTGGTTGTGACTCCATGCATGAAAGTCAGGCAAGTGAGCGTTGGTGGTACGATACCGCTGGGAGTTCTTGAAACATATTGAAGGGGTTCAGGAAGGAATCACGAAAATATTACCATTTCTGGTGGGTAGCTGAATTTGACGAAAGCTCCGCCATCCTTGAGTCGAGGGATGATTTCGGTCACTTTCTATAATTTTGCTGTCAGCAATTTCCTAGAAGACCATCCTCGAACAGTACGCTCATGGGAAGAGGGAAAAAGAGGAAGCTCTTACCAGTGAATCATCCTTTGGGATGCCACGTTTGACTAAGTTGATCGGATCGGCGATGCCTAGTGAGGACTTGTTGAACCTCTGGAGAAGATTCGACAGATCTTGGTCTGCTCCCCAAGGCCGCCCCACGAGGTAGCTCATCCACCCATAGCTCAGCTTCAAGGGAAAGAGGTTGTCGTAGAAGACGATGGCCTCATTAGGTCCGGCGTAAATATGGCCGGATTTCTCGTCGCCTGTGACCGTCGTCTCCCATCTCTTGAGGTGTCTGCCGAGATTGGATGGCTGGAGGGTAGGTCGTCCACGGTCAGAGATCCCAGACGGGGCATGCCCACGAGTAGTTATTGTACGAGTGGTCACTCCAAAAGCAGGCGCATTGGAGAGACGAGTAAGACACGAGTTGGTGAGCGGTCGACTGGCCAAGGCTTGCGCCCTGGCAGGGCCAAGAAAGAGCCGTCGCGGTATCATAGCTTCATCGTCGGACCAGAGGATAACTGTGATTTGAGTGTCTTCCTAGCCACCTGCTGGTAGGAGTGGTCAACTATTCGTGCCGTCCCGTTGTCCGGCGCAGAGATGTCTGACGTGAGGACTGTGGTATCCCTTGTACTGTCTTTTTGGTTGTAATTGTAAACTCTGCGTTGTCGATTGCTCCCAGCCAGCCGTCCTCGCCCAGTCAAGGCCTTCTAAAGACAGCCTCAGGCAGCTTCTGAGCATACCCAGGTGGGCACCGGGGGCCACACATGTGCAGCGTGAACCTCGCCCGACGCCAATGAGGTCATCCCTCGACGCGCTACACTGGATCCGAGGAACGGTCTTGCCATCGCGGGGACCCCCTGCATCCCCAGGGCTTCTGAGGGTTCGGGTACAGAAATTCCATTTTCGCCCGCATCCAAGATGCGACTTTGATGCACGAGAGTATGCCGTGCTACACATTCTACAACAGCACCTGAGATCAGTCTGTCTTGCTTTTGTCCCATCTTCCAAAGCTGCATTAACTCTTCGATCAGCTGTCTATTGAACCGAAACGACGCGCCACACAATGGGTTGGCTTTGGGGGAGTTCGGCTCCCGAGAAGCCTGCAACATCGCAGAGCTCAGAGCAAGCTCCCACGGCAGCGCAACCATCACCAACCTCAACGTCCTCTCCAGAGACAGACCCCGAGATCACAAAGTTCCTCGAGGAGCTGGCGGGAGAACTGAGGAACGCACGGAATGCAACAAACCAGACTGCTTCCTCGCAGCAGCCACATACACCGCAGCCTTCAGCGGAAGCATCAAGAACCCCACCAACCGCACCCAAGGCCTCATCGTCCTGGTCCTCGTGGTGGTCTGGTTCTGCGAGCTCGCCCCCGCCCTCAGAAGCAGACTCATCAAGCACAGCCCAATCAACACCACCAGGGACCCAAGAGCCAATAGCAACCACCACCGAACCCTCCGCTCCCGCCGAGCCGCGCCTCTCCCCGCTTGCCGAGTCCATCCTCCCGACGACGATGGACTGCGAGCAGGCCTTCAACCAGGCCTTCTACTGCCAGTCGCTGGGCGGGCAGTGGAACAACATCTACCGGTACGGCAGCGTGCGCTCCTGCAGCGAGAACTGGGACGACTTCTGGTTCTGCATGCGCGTCAAGGGCTACCAGGCCGGCCCCGTCAAGGACAACATGATCCGCGAACACTATAGGAAGAAACACCTCGCCAAGTACGGTGATGGGAAGCCGAACAGTGAGGACGTCTGGCGCGAGAGGCACGAGAGGGTGCCGCCTGGGTCCGCCTTCAGCGAGCAGGTCGAGGCGCCTACCGTGAGCGATGCTGAGTATCAGAAGTGGGAGATGGAACGGATGGAGAAGATCAGGGCTGGCACAACCTCATGAAATAGTATCGGGACCTCTTCTACAATGTCACATATACCCCCCAAGCATGCCAATATTAGCTCATAGGCAGGTTGTAATAGTACCGTTTCACAATGTCATATCACGACGCGAAAGAGCGCAGCAGAATTATTAGAAATTTCTTTTTGATTTTAATTCGATACTGGGAATCCATTAAGTACGCCCATGCACTTGTATGCCCACCCGAAAACTTTTGCCCTGTATCATTAAGTCATCATGAACAAAAAGGAAAACGTCTAAACCACCCCGAGCAAATCCATCGCCAAACAAGACAGATTGACCGCGCACTGCAAATTCAAAAGTCTCGCTGCGACCCAATTACTCATGAACCATTTAGTCGACCTCCTCGACAGTAGGGCCGTCATCGCCACCGGCGCCGGGGGCTCCGCCGGGAGCACCGGGGAAACCGCCGGGAGCGCCACCAGGGCCGCCAGGAGCACCGCCAGCACCGTAGAACTTCATCATGATGGGGTTGGCAACGCCCTCGAGCTCCTTCTGTTGGTCCTCGTACTCCTCGCGAGCAGCCTGCTGGTTCTCGTCGAGCCAGTTGACGACCTTGTCGATCTCGGTCTTGAGCTTCTCCTTGTCAGCGGCATCGAGCTTCTCGTCGACCTTGGAGTCGTTCAGGGTGTTGCGCAGAGAGTAGGCGTATGACTCGAGGCCGTTCTTGGCGGAGACACGGCGAGCCTCAGCCTCGTCCTCATCCTTGAACTTCTCGGCCTCAGCAAGCATACGCTCAATATCCTCCTTGGAGAGACGACCCTTGTCATTCGTAATGACGATCTTGTTGGTCTTTCCAGTACCCTTCTCGAGCGCAGAAACGTTGATGATACCGTTGGCGTCAACATCGAAGGTGACCTCGATTTGAGGAACACCACGAGGCGCAGGAGGAATGCCGGTCAGCTCGAACTTGCCGAGCAGGTTGTTGTCCTTGGTGCGTTGACGCTCACCCTCGTAGACCTGAATGAGCACACCGGGCTGGTTGTCGGAGAAGGTTGAGAAGACCTCGGACTTCTTGGTAGGAATGGTGGTGTTGCGGGGGATGAGCTTGGTCATCATGCCACCAGCGGTCTCGATACCAATGGAGAGCGGCGCGACATCGAGCAGCAGAATCTCGTTGGTGGACTTGGAGCTGGTGTCACCGGACAGAATGGCGGCCTGGACAGCGGCACCGTAGGCAACAGCCTCATCGGGGTTGATGGACTTGTTGGGCTCCTTGCCGTTGAAGTAGTCGGTGATCAGCTTCTGGATACGGGGGATACGGGTGGAACCTCCGACCAGGACAATCTCGTGGACCTGAGACTTGTCGATCTTGGCGTCGGTCAGGACACGGTCAACGGGCTGCAGAGTAGATCGGAACAGGTCCTGGCAGAGCTCCTCGAAACGAGCACGAGTGATGGAGGTGTAGAAGTCGATACCCTCGAACAGGGAGTCGATCTCGATGGAGGTCTGAGCGGAAGACGACAGAGTGCGCTTGGCTCGCTCGCAAGCAGTGCGGAGACGACGCAGAGCACGAGCGTTCGTGCTCAAGTCCTTTTTATGCTTGCGTTTGAACTCGTTAACGAAGTGGTTGACAAGACGGTTGTCAAAGTCCTCGCCACCCAAGTGAGTGTCACCGGCTGTAGACTTGACCTCGAAGATACCCTCCTCGATGGTAAGGAGAGAAACATCGAAGGTACCACCACCCAGATCGAAGATCAGGACGTTGCGCTCGCCCTCAACCTTCTTGTCAAGACCGTAGGCAATGGCAGCAGCCGTGGGCTCGTTGATGATACGCAGAACGTTCAGGCCAGCAATGAGACCGGCGTCCTTGGTGGCTTGACGCTGAGAGTCGTTGAAGTAGGCGGGAACAGTGATGACAGCGTTGTTGACGGTGCCGCCAAGGTAGGCCTCAGCAGTCTCGCGCATCTTGGTCAGGACCATGGAGGAAATCTCCTCAGGGGTGAAGGTCTTGGTCTCTCCCTTGAACTCAACCTCGATATTGGGCTTGCCACCCTTCTCGATGATCTTGAAGGGGAAGTGCTTCATGTCGGCCTGAACCTCAGAGTCCTGGAACTTGCGGCCAATCAACCGCTTTGCGTCGAAGACGGTGTTGTGGGGGTTCATGGCGACCTGGTTCTTGGCGGCATCTCCAATCAGACGCTCAGTGTCGGTGAATGCGACGAAGGAAGGTGTGGTCCGGTTTCCTTGGTCATTGGCAATACTGCAAGCGTGGTCAGTACAATTGTTTGTGGGGAACAGGTGGTTGGTGTTGGTAGAACCGAGCCAAATCGCAGAGGCGAGGCTGGGAGGTTTGGGGAAAGAGATAATACTCACATCTCAATGCGGTCATCACGGAACACGCCCACGCAAGAGTAGGTCGTGCCCAAATCAATACCAACAGCGGGAGCCATGGTGATTGTTTGTTGTGTAGGTAGGGTGTGGTGTAGGAGTGTGGATGACGGGTGAAGATGAAAAGTTGCGGATGTGGGGTATCACAGAATCGTAGTTTCGAGTGCAAGTCAACAGTTGCAAAACCTCGATGGAGAAAGGAAATAGAGGAGGAGATGTATTGATCTCACTTGATGCGTGATTGAAAGGGTTGATGTTGATAGAATGAAGTTGCAAGCCTGCTCGAGGGAGACGAAGTAGCTGGATTTTATCAAGTGGTTGCTGAGCTGCCTGGTGGGGCGTGCAGTCGAAGAATGTTCTAGATAGAAGTTCCTGCTGGACCTTTCTAGTGACTTCCAGCCCCCCCGCCGAAACCGCCAGAATCTGCTGGCATCGCCCCCTGTCGTCCAGGTAGCGACAGGGGGGCGGCAAGGTACCGCTACTGCATTCCATAGCTCCATTACACTTTTCTTTCCGCAAGCACCAACCTCCCAAGACAGCAAGATTGCGCCCCCGTCACCCCTACGCCCAAACCTGCCTTGTCGCCATCCGGCCCACAACAGAACCTTCGTGCACAAGATGGTTGTTTCCAGAGCACCCTTCCCAATTCCGCAGCCCTGTATTGTGCCTTGCCGTACCGTAGCCGTTTGCAAAATACTAATGTGGGCCTCGTTGGCCATGACCTCACTTGAGGGAAATATCACAGCGCCCACCCCACAGCGCTTTGGCAGCCTGGCAGCCCGGCCGTCGACCCTCAAATTCGATCAGTTGCGATCGCGGGGTACCAGTGATGTAATCCGTGGACGCCCCTAGAGCCGCAACGCTTACTAAGTCTGCAAATTTTGAACCCCTGCATGCACATGCAACCACCCAGCCAACGCCTTTCAACCTGCACTGCAGCCCGATGATGATCAACGTCCAACAGCAGCACCAGCATGTGTCAGAGACTGCCTCAATCATCTCACTGCAATTACCAAAGTCGCCAGGCATATGAGAGGATTCAAGAGACAGTTGTCTAGATAGCGTCTGACGGGTTATCCTACAATTTCTACAAGATACAAGAGGTTATCCCGTTGGGATTGTTCTGTGAAGATTGCACCATGGATGGCTATTCTATAGCAGCTGAAGTCACAACAGGTTTTCCCATGAGAAGCTATCCCACGGGAGGTTATCCAAGAGAAGGTTATCCTACTGGCGGTTATCCTATGGAAGATTACCCCACGGGAGGTTATCCTATGGAAGATTGTCCCACGGGAGGTTATTCTACAAAGAGATGATCATGTAGAGGTTATCCTACAGAAGATGATTCGGTAACAGATTATCCCACGGGAAGTGTAGACAAGATGGTCCGTGGGAGATGTGCTGCAGTACTCAGCCCACGAGCACTCATGTAATACAGCATATGCACCAAGAGCCCAGCACATCGGGACTCCCAAGAGCGACTTCCTGCCCTCGAGGCTCCGATGCTTCGACTCATTTAATCTGGCATCTATGGTCCCATCTGAAGAGAAGGCTTCAAATATACTCACCTTGCTGGTCACATAGTATGAAAGAGGTGAGGCTGTTGCTTATACCGCCACCCCCCGTTTGTCCTGCCCTCGGGCCGGTGTCGAGCATTAGCCATGAATGAACCTTCAAAGCCAGTAGCATGACATTAGAAGGTAGATCGCAAACTCATAAAATTTATGAGGAGGCATAGGTAGGAATGCAGATGTGGCCAGATGATATTTGTGCTTGCCCAGGGGACATTATCACGTACACAGGGGAAGTCTGGTGATGCCAAAGCAATGGTGTGACCCGCGAGGCTGTGAAAATAGCCTCCCAGTTGTGCTCAAAAGCGAATAGTCGCTCTCAGAATGGAAGCCTTGATACACAATAAAGGCACAGGAGAATCCAGCGCATGCAGTCACCATCTGCCGGGCATTCTTCTTTCGCATTCTCAACCGTGATAATCCATCCCATCCTTCGTAGTGCCGCCCCCATCCCCCCCCCCCCCGGACGGTATCATTTGCCTCGGCCTCACTCATTTCAAGACAGAAGGACAGAATGCTACTATAGTATGCTTGTGGCATCACAAAGCATACGATTCTTGAGCTCAATGTGCTAGTGGTCAGCGCTGCCAGCTCGAACATTCAAATCCATCTCAAACATATCATTGACAATGAAAGGAGCCGCGTAAACTCGGGATGGTGGCGCCGCACATCGTTCGGCAAGTCAATACGCATATCGTAAATCTTCGAATTCTTACGCAGCTTGAAACACCACCCATTTGTCGTTCTTTCCTTTGTAAAACAGTACATGGGTGTTGTGTTCACGGTCTCAGGAATAAGGACTTGATCTCGTAGCCTACCTGCCTCTATCTCTAGAGATGTTGTTGCTTGGCGTATTTGATTCTCGGCATTAATCGTGATTCGTGAGTCTGTCTAAACACTTCTGGCCAATGCCCCCAACGGCTCGCTCAGGTTCCTTGCATGAACAATCCGTCCTTCCAAGTGGGCAGTCACAAGTACACCATGTACAGATCTTCATCTGACTACACCTTTCAGTCCACCCATGGTTATTTCAAACTCAGCCGCTCCCTCCAGCCCTGGTCCCGTGGCAGCGACATGAGGTGCGAAGACGATCTTCATCCACCTCCTCCACGTCTTCACCGTGGGCATCACGGACCCACCGGCGTCGTCATCTATGGAATATCTTGACTTGCCGTATCGCGGCGCCTTGATCAAGGCAATTCGACAAGCTATCTGAGTTGCCCAGACCAGTCCCAGACTTGGCGTCTTTAGTGACTGTGTCGATGAGGGCCACGGCTCATCCCCCCACCCAGTAAACCATCTCTGCTGATGGTCGAAGTTGAGCGCGGGCGGCGCGGGCATCTGAACAATCTCGTCCATGGGCGGTGGTGGCGGCCGTGCCTGGGCAGGAGGCTCCTCCTCCCCGTTGTCACCGTACGGGATACTCGACGCCGGCAGCGCGTCAGCCATCGAGGACGTAGGCTCGACGTGTGGCAGAGGCGGCTGATCCGGATTCTTACTCCGTGCCGCCAAGGGCGAGCTCTCCTGATGTCTCCTTAAGCCACCCGCAGCGGCGGTCTTACCGTAGCCCGATGGTGGGTTCCTAGGCAACGCCGGGCTTCCAGCTCGATCGAACCGATCCGCAACCTGGTTCGACACTACCACGGCAATGTTGTGCTTCCTCGCCAGGTCCCGCAGGAGAGTTCCCAGCCGGACGAGCTCCGCACTTCGGGCGCCCATGTTCTGGCCGACGCTCTTGCCGCCCTCGCCCGCCGTGCCGAGCGCTCCCGAGTCGTGCCTGACTGAGCGGTCGAATTCGGCCCGGTAGTTGGCCGCCACGCTGTCGAGCACTATGAGGCCAATGTTGCGGCGCTCCACCTCCACTGGCACTTGATAGGTGAGGATGTGCTCCTGGGATTCGAGGTCTGGCGTGGTGGTGCTGATGATGTTGTCGAGCGAAGGTCTCTCACTAAAAGGAATGGAATGAGACGTAAAGACAGGATTGTTTCTCAGCATCTGTGTAAGACGCCGTGTTGACAGTGATGCCTCGGTCGAGATGTAGAGCGCATTACGCCCGATTCCATGGGGCGGCGGGAGCTGCACGGCGAGAAGCAAGGTGAGAAGGAACTGCGTCTTGCCAGCTCCAGCCTCACCGGTCAGCTCCGTGATGTGACCTGTCTGTATGCCGCCACCGAGTATTTCATCGATGACAGGGTCGAGTGTGCTGATTTTAGGCCACCGGGGTTGTTGTGGTGTCTCGTCCAGGGCCCCAAGGTCCTCGTCATTGCCTGCCCGTGATGCCGCGTCGGGCTGCCCATTTTCCACGCCCAGATCTGCATGCAGCGCGGCCAAAACGGCACTACATAGCCTCTTCACGTCTAATAGAGGCAGCTGCGTTCGCTTGCCAATGTCGGCTGCCTCGAGCGTCAGTAGCTCACTCGTCGTGACCTGGTGCTTCTCCAGGCTCGGTATGAGATTCGCATATTGACTGGCTGGGAAATGCGGCAGAATGCGTGCAAGATCCGTCATGGGTGAGGATTGGGAGGATCATGTAGCATCAGAAGGGCTTTTTGCCTCGGCTGGCTGTTTCGGGCTCTGGTCCTTCAACGCGTCACGATGTTAGGTTGACGCGGTTCCTGAAATGGCTGCTTGGCTTAGCAGCTCAGTTAGTGTCGCCGGAAGAAAATCATGGACCCCAGCAACAGCTGCACCATGAGGACTCGAATTTATTGTCACTTCACTTCAATGCAACACACAATTTATGAAGTGAAAATGCTAATATTGACTTCTCGTGGTGCGTGCAGATGATGTATTTGTTACAGAACATCGAAGATCTATACCTAAGTCCATGGGCACTTTCAACCCAAATATACTGCAGCCTTGTGCTTCCAACGTGCAGACCCTACTGCGAAGGTACATAGATAGTAAGTACGCAAGCAGCTCGTAAAATACTGCCTAGAGGGATATACAAGATAGTGGCAAGTTGTGTCCTCAAGTACGAGCTCTCGTAGAAATGCCATACAGATGTGTTGATGCAGCCACTGGCCTCCTACAAATTCATCTCAAAGCGGTGGTCAATTCCTTCGGGTAATCCTCTAACTTGCTACAAATGTATCGATACTCCCCTACGCCAGAATGCTATGCAAATTGTAAGGTCTTGGTTCGTCATTACCACCATAGCAGAACTCGTCCATACTACACACGAACCTTGGGCTACGTTGCCCCAACTTCTCCTGTGAGCCACGACTTCATCTCGGGTGAGGGAATTCATCCTCCATTTGCAGCCTCACGCCCACGTTCATTGATATAAGCTCCTGCACAAGCAGCTTCGCCGCGTACGGCATCGTCATTGCCGTCACTTCCCTCGTGCTCTTGCAGGTCTGGCAGTAGCCCTTGTACCCGAAGAGTCCGCACCTCTGGCAGATGTCCACACTCGTGCCATCGGAGCTGTGCATCAGTCTCTCCAACAGAAGCTGCGATGCGCCATATGCGATCAGACAGTCGCGCTCCATTTCTCCGAGACGCAGACCACCATCACGCGAACGACCCTCGGTAGGCTGCCTCGTCAAAATCGCACGGGGCCCCCTCGCTCGGGAGTGCATCTTGTCTTGCACCATGTGCTTCAGACGCTGATAGTAGATGGGACCGTTGAAGATGTACGCCTCAAGAGGCTCACCCGTGATTCCAGACGTGAAGTAGTCCTTGCCTTCCCAGGAGAAACCATGGTCAACAAGGACCTTGCTGACCTCCTCAACAGGGTGGGATCGGAAAGCGTCGCCGTAGCCGTACTTCTTTCGTCCGTGCACAATGGAAGCCTTGCCAGTAAGGCATTCGAGGAGCTTGCCGACAGTCATACGGGACGGGAAACCGTGGGGATTCATGATAATGTCTGGGACTAGACCTTTGTCGCTGAAGGGTAGGTCCTCCTGGTCAACGATGATGCCAACGACACCTTTTTGTCCGTGACGCGACGAGAACTTGTCACCAAGTTCAGGGCGACGGGTTTGTCTTGTCTGAACTTTTACCAACACAGTCTCCCTCTCCGTCTGTGTAACCATAACTTTGTCGATATAAGCTGGGTCTGGAATCCGGTAGGCCATGGAGGTGTCTCGGTAATCGTTGGAACTCTTGTCCCCGCCTATACTTGATCCAGTGTCCAGAGGAGTCTCCTTCTTGACCATAGTCTCGCCGTTATGGATTTGCCAGCCGACTCTGGCAAGGCCATCGTTGTCAAGAACCTCGTGTTTGGCAATCTTCTGCTTGGTAATGGGATCCGTTTCGGGCTGGCCTATCCTTTCAGACGCCCCATTAGGGTATCTTTGCAGCTCCGCAGCATATTTGCGGAAGACCTGACACCGTCCGAAACCTCTGTCGCACGATGCCTTGTTGAGGACCAACGCATCTTCAATATCATAGCCGGAATAGGACATGACGACCACCGTTGCATTATGGCCAGCCGGCAGCTTGTCATAACTGGTAAGCTCGATTGTCTTCGAGATGACCATGGGCCGCTGGGGATAGACTAAAGTGTAAAGTAGGGTGTCGATCCGGTTGAATTGATTGTAGGCAATAGCTCCAATAGCTTGTTTACCCATAGCACATTGATACGTATTTCGGGGTGACTGGTTGTGGTGGGGGAATGGAATGAGTCCGGCCACAGCGCCGAGGATGGTAAAAGGCTCAATTTCGACATGAGTTGTGATACGCGTGATGTCCGATTCATATAGGGCAATGAGAGCGTCGTTCTCCTCGTTCACGTCTAGGTACTCGACAACACCTTTCCGTAGAAAATCGTCGAAGCCTACTTTGCCCTGCTGCAACAACCTGAGATGTTCCGGCTGCAGCTTTGACACACCGTTCTTCACGATGATGTATGGGCGGCAAACACGTCCCTCGTCTGTCGCAATGAAAATTGTGTTGAAGTGAGAGTTGGTGTTGATGCTCACAAAGGGGTTTATCCATCCCCGACGGCGCATTGTCCTGAACTTGGAGGCAAATCGCTTGGGATAGTGTGTCAGGGCGAAGGGTGTTCCGTTGATTGATATGATGTACGCGCCAGCCTGGTGCATCTCTGAGCCAGAGAAGTTCCGGATAGGTTCCACATTCGAATCGACGGTGAGGATAAATTTCTTGACGGGCTTCTCGTCCACCTCAGTTGTGATGTGCGTCATCAATGCCAAATTCTTGACCAAACCGCAAGCCTCGCCTTCGGGAGTGTCTGACGTACACAACATTCCCCATTGCGAGGGCTGGAGCGCTCTGGGACCAGACACCTTGCGCGTCTTCTCAAACTGACTTGTGATTCGAGTCATCATTCCCAGCGCAGCAATGTAACTCAATCGACTCAGAACGTGAGTGACTCCCGCTCGGTTCATGTTGAAACGTTTAACACTCCAATTGCCAGACTGAATTGCCCGGTTCATGCCCTGAGTGATGTGACCACCCGTGCCGCTGATCGATGTCAAGGGGTCAAATGGGATAGCCTTGTTAGGCTTCTTAAGCACCTTATCGATGTTCATCCTAAGATTCGTGAGGAAGCTCTTGAAGAGATCTTCAAAGAGGAGTGAAAGCATTTGTCCAGCCAGCTCTAGCCGCTTGTTACCCACAAAGTCACGGTCGTCTACCAACTTCGGGTCATGAGAAGCCATCAGCACTCGTCGTGTCATCATCGCAATGTAGATAGCCTTAGGGTAGAAATCAAGACCCTCGATAGAGACATGCGCAAGGATGATGTTGGCTAGTGCGTCGAGACCCTCTTCGACGTTGTTGCGCCGAGGCGCAGGGCCGAACTGTGGCTTGCCTTTTGATCCCATCCTAACGCGAGCGCCGATATACTCGAGTGCTTGCTGCTGTGTGAAAACACCAACGCGGGTCGCCTCATCGAAGTTGAGGGCAAAATCATCCTGGTAGCGACCATCGGATCCGGCCACAAGCTGCATAACCTCGTAGTCCGAGAGACCGCCCAGTGCTTTTAGGATGATGGCGATTGGAATGTCCTCGACAAGCACATTGTGCCTTAGAATGATCCTATCTTTTTTCAATATGACATACGTCTTGGACTTCCTCTCGTGGGTCGAACTCGTAACTGATGCCTGGATAAGCTCCTTCTTCTCGTCCGCCTCGACAATCACTCGATTCTTGCTGAGCTGTTCTTGGATCAGAATGACCTTCTCCGTCCCGCCGATGATGAAATATCCGCCCGGATCCAAGGGGCACTCGTTCATGAGCTCCATCTTGTGGTTCGTTGCCCCGGCCAAGACACATTTCGAGCTCTTGAGCATGATTGGCATGCGGGCAAGGGGGACATTCCTTCGGATGATCTTCTTACGGTCTCGAATGTAGGCAATATCGATGATGATAGGGGCAGCGTATGTCATGTCCCTCAGTCGACATTCCATGGGGGTGACATGGTTCTTGGCTTTGAAGGATTGCCCGGCGTCTCCTCGGGTGGGCATGCCTACTCGGATGTCGAGGAACTCGAGGTAGAAACCGCTGTCGACCTCGCTGCGAATGATGCGATTCGCCTTGACAATCTCTTTGATATCATGGTCGATGAAGTAGTTGTACGAGTCGATGTGCTGTTTGACAAGGCCTGGAGGTGGGCATGAGCATGTTGAGCGGGTTGCGGAAGCTGGCGCGAGCCAGACGACGTACCTTTGACCTTCAAGAAGGCGGGCAGCAGTTGGTACTTGTCCTCCTTGGTGGAAATCGGGTCTGTGAGCTTCTTGCCATTGTAGAATGGCTCTAAAAGGGCCTCAAACCCATCGTCGTCGGTCATTGGCATTTTCGCGACACCGTCATGTTCTGCTGGGAAGGCTGTGTTGGGCTTGCGACGAATGTGTACGATTAGATCTGGGATCTTTTTTGACTTCCGCGGGGCAAAATCGCTAAAGAGTCACGCCGATAAGATAAGAGCTAAGTTGGGTCGGGGACGAGGTTCCTCTCATAAAAGAAATAGAGCCCCAGTGGCGCATGGACCTCGACTGACGTTCCTCTCTATACCTAGGTACGCTGGTCGAAATGCAATTGAAAACAATCAATTAAGTATTTCGATCATTGGTCCTCCAACATCCCAATCCTCAACTTCAATTCCAATCAATATGTTCAGAGGGCTTTAGGGTTCTACATTGTACCTCAAGTAGCTACGTATCTACGTAGTCCACAAAGATCAAACACTTAATGACCCTTGGGACAAATCCAATTAGTCAAAAACGTGGATCAACACGGCCCTTGTCCGTCCCACTAAGTGCGATGATGTGGGAAAAAGCAACGAGACGTGTGGCCTAGGCTGCCAAAGTGACGGATCGTCAAGCCGCAGGTCTCTCTCTAAAACCCCTCCCCCCGCTCACAAGACCTCAGACAGCTTTTATGTACCGCAATAGTCGGTGAAATGGCTGGCGCCCGGATCCCTGGTCGCCAGACATCCTGCAAGCACTTCCGCAAGGAGTCCACTATCGCAGATGAGGCAGTGATGCCATTTGCTAAGTCCCGACCTCGTCCATGATTTGATGTTGACCCGCGGCAAGAATGGGAAATCTGCAGATCCCTTGGCTGCAAAGGTCCCACAATGCGCTCGCTCCCCCTGGTTCAGCCCTGGAAGAGAGGGGCAGCAGGCTCAGCGTGTTAGTTCCTGTGTCGTCGAGGCTCGCTTCCAGCGCGCATTAAGTGTCAGACCGTGAGGAATTTTCAAGCAAATTCAATCGTTCATCAGGCCAGAAGCGGTATGAATCTTCTCACGATAGCGTGATCAAGGCACAGGTTCTCTTGGGCAGAAATTGTTGATAGCCGCGCTATGCCCCAGTATGCGCGGCCAAGTACCGTCAAAGCTACTGCGTGTTCAGACCAGGATGATGACATCCCGAAGAGGGGAGGTTTTCAGGCCTGCCTGTGGAGAATCTTGCGATCGGGTCAACACCCAAAAAACAGACCCGTGGGCATCTTTGGCCGGCCCGAATTTCTGTTGTGACCCCCAAGAGTCTCTTGAGGGCTTGACTGCAGGTCCGGCCGTAGCCTCGATCAGCCTTGGCCGATGGTGTGCAGCACAATGTACTTCGCCAACATAGTTGACTCTGGCTGTCCGGGCGATGGCCCTTGACCTGGCTCACGATGTTTACAAATCGAAGACTCCATATGTCTGTACCTCGTTGCAGAGCGATATCGACCGGGCAGGCCAGAAGTACTTAAAAGTCCTAGGTAGCATCGAAAAGGCCTAATGCCCAGTAGAAGGCCGTGCGACGATCGGAAGACAATCTGTGTCCGACCAGAATTGCAACCTCGCGCCGCAAATAATCCCCCATCAGCACTTGTTATTCCCTTCCGCGATAGCACACGACCGGATATAAAAGTTTCGTGGGGTTTCCACGGCTAGTTTCTTTTGGCCATAGGAGAGCACCCACACCAGTGAGTCCTCGGCCGGTTCAAGTCACCGCCTCTAATGCAGGTGGGCAGCTACTTCGATACATACATAGATGATGTTACACAGGGGCACTCGGGCTTTCAGGAACCCAAAAGCCCACATGCTGCAGGGCAGGCGCATCGTGGAGGGTGACAAGCGCTGCTGCAGGAGACGGGAACTGGGGAAGGATCGCTCACAAGAGGCCCATCCAATGCAGCTCAACCCCACCCCGCCCTGCGCCTGCGTGCGCCCACGCAGTCACTGGCGTCCGGCCGGAGCCTCGAGCGAAGGCTGCTTCGTCTGGTCTGTACCGTCCGCCATGCGCAGTGCGCGGTGGCAAAGCCGTCCAGATGACAACGAGTTTGTGCAGGCCATGAGTCGGCAGCGACATTATTTCAATCGCAAGCCTCGTCTGCCGGAACGCATCCACCAGCTCACCGTGAACTGTTGCAGGCGGCAGGCGCGTGCTCGCGTGGCCGCTCGGGACGCCAGAAGCAAAGGGATTGCGTGCAGGAGACCACACTACTGTGCTCCCGTCCATGCCTGTCTACACCGCCGTTGACGGTTGAGCAGCCGATCTTGGTGCTAGCATGACGAGGGCCGTCCGACTGCCTGCACAGCGAGCCGCTAGGGCATCGGGGCGAAAATGATTCGAAAGAGAGAAAAAAAAAGGTTGAGCCGAGCGTCGATGGTGAGGCTGGTGGGTTGGTGGATGAGGAACATCGGGGGGAGGTTCGCCGCTGCCCGGCGTCAATTCCACCGACACGACGCCTCGAAGTCGCTGCTGACAAAGGGGACAAGCAGATGTCGCAGCCAGGATTATACCAGCTGCCGACCTCCGTGTGGGCAGGGCAGATTTCCTGGTAGGATGGATAGATATCGTGTTAATAGAGTGGTTGCTATGGGAAATGCGTAAATGTTAGTGTTGGCTGGGTTTGGAGTGTGTCTGGATTATTGGTGTGCAGGGTCCAGGTTCAGGGGCGAACGCCATCGTTTTGCCGTCCACCCACTTGCACGCACACGCACACCCGCACAAGCAGACCAGACCACTGCAGACCAAGACAGGCCAGGCGGGCAGCCGGCCAGCCAGACTCCCACTCCAGCCCAGCCAGACAGGGCCCCTGAACCTGACCCTGACCCATCGAGCAGCGCAGCGGCGGCTGGGTGCCTCGTCGAGCCGACGCAGGCCTGCTTCAAGTAGCACTCTGTCCCCCTCCCTCGGGCGCAGAACCGCATCCTGTCCCTCCAACACACGCTCATTTTCAGGAATATTGCTTGACATTTGCCCACGTACCCCGTGTTTCCTATTTCTTGCTGCTCCTGGCTCTCCAGGGCGCAAGGTGTGCCATATTGTTGTGTCTAGTACAGTATCAATCCAGGTGAGTCGCATGCTTTTCGCACCTCCAAGCTCCCAAAGCCAAAGCCAAAAGCCTCGGACGGGGCAGGCCTCAAAGCTCTCTGTCTGCCACGCCATGCCTACGCCATGCCACCCACCTGCACACACTCTTGTCTTGCCAGCCGCCGCCATATGTGCCATCTCACCCAATCTTGGCCTGAGGCTGGGCATAAGTTGGCGATCCGACGCAGGTATTCAGTCAGTCAGGCTAGATGACGGTCCATGGCAAGCAGAGCGAGCAGATGAGCGAGTACAGCGCAAGTGCCGCCCCCAGGCCACGGCGAGGAGGCACAGTCTCCAATCTGAGCCAGCCCTTGTCGACCATGGGCGCCAGCCCAGGCATTTCCCCCGCCTTCTTCGATGAGAGATCAGCAAGAGTTCGCTACCAGACAGGCATGAATCGGCCCGGTCGAGGATTTGCTTTGCTAATGTGCGTGCCCGTCGATAAGCAGGTCGGGTCCTAGGCGCCGTCAGACGTTGTTGTAGTTGTGTAGGAAAGAGGAAGCGATATTGTCGAACATGGATCCGAACGAGATGCGATTCCGAACTCAGCAGTCTCCCCGAAGCGATGCCACCACCATGAACTCCCTCGTCTCGCCGCCACGGAACCGCCTCTCGCAGACCATGTCCTCCCAAGACCCCCGATCAACCCTCTCTCGCCGTTTCACCACTGACTCGGGCCGTGTACCAACATTGTCTTCATCTGCAGCCCCACGTGGCCAAGATCCCTCAGAATACCAGGTGAGTTGTTGTGGCCGCCACCTCTGTGGTTGTGGTTGTGGTGGTGGTGTCTGTGTGGTTGCGCGCTTGTCTGCGCTTCTCCAAAACTCAATGCGCGCCGGGAGCTTGGCCGTCGCCCGCATTATCCCAAGTGCCATTCCTGTCCTGCGAGCCATATGCTGACCTTGCTCTCGACGCAGACTATGCAACATCTTCAGCTGGTGCGTCTTGCCCTCGGATCCGACCCGACGTTCGAATCGGGCAGGAAAGCCTCCCGCGACGGAGCCCTGCTCGAGCCAGAGCGCTCGACCGGCCGGTGCCACCCTCACCTGAACAAGAAGTGTTGACGCCGCAGCAGATAGAAAAGAAGCGTATGGAGTATGAGAAGATCCGGGAGCAGAAGCGCCTCTTCGACGCCGAACTGGCCAAGCACGAAGTGGAGCTCGGCGCCATGCTTGAGGAGCACGGCAGGCTCTCCGGCCACCAGTCCGAGCCGACGACTCCTCCCGAGTATCGCGAGAACCCCTCTGGATTTCCTTCGGTCTTCTCCCGGCCGAATCGGTACTCCCTGTCCAGCCTGACATCTCCCCCGGGCTTGGCCAACCGCTCAGCGCGGTCCGGATCCGTTCTCGCGTCGCCTCAGTCGGGCATCCCGCTGTCCCGGTTCGCCTTCGACGACCAGCTGCCGTCCTGGTCCGTCCCGGGCTCGCGAAGGAACAGCGATGAAGACGAGAAGGAGGAGGCTGTCCGCCAGGACCCTACGTCCCATCGTTCGACCAATGCGTATGTTGAACCATTTTCTTTAGCTCCTGCACTTGATTTAAGATTATGTTTGCCGTGTCGTGTTTGTGTGTTGCCCCTTTCCATTCTGTTGGGCTGCTCAACGGGAGACTCAGGCCAATACAGTGATTGGTATGGGATTGTCGCCGTTAGGGACTACGCCTCAAGCTGGTGTATTGCTGGTATCGTCCGGACTCGAGGGGGTGGAAATCCCCACAAGCTGGCCGTCTCAATGATTCCCATTCTCTCATTGCGCTTCTATTGAGCACCTTGATATCCAAGTCAGCGTGTTCTCACTGGGTTACACTTACCCTTCCGTCTCGAAAAGTTCTTGAATTCTTCAACATCACAATAGAAAAGGTGCTGCGATCTACTGTCTCTCATTTGACCGCCTGCATTCTTCTCGAACTTCCAACATCACAACGAATCGTTAACTTGAATCCCTCTGTCTCCCTTGGACTCGAGATTCTTGGTCTACGAACTTTTCGTCTTATTGTCGTCCCATATAAGTGGTCGACCGCTTGCACTCTCTTTGCCCCAGATATTTAAAGCCCAAATTTCTTGAGTCCTCTCGCTACTTCCTTCTGTTCCCCTCCTCGGACCTACAAGACAGAAAGGAGACAGGAATACAAGCATCTTGTGGTTATTACCTGAAGCCATCTATCTTCCGCCTGTCACTACACTTACACCTCCAAACCTGATCCTCTTGCTGCGGTCTTCCCTTGGATTCGTCAAGTCAACTTCCAGCATCACTTCTGAACTATCTTCTTATTCCGTAACATCGTCTTACATGCCCGATACCTTTCTCTTTCTGCCATTCCTAGCTGCTGACAGGGAAACCGAGAACAGCGTAAACAGATACTCGATGCCCGTCACCAAGTCTCGTACCGCTTTCTACGATATCAACTTGGACCAGGCTAACACCACCGGTTTCCTTTTTGGAGACGACGATAACGTGATCGAGGGAAAACTCTACACCCAGGCGAGCAACGAAGACAACTTCCCTGTCCTTCGACGTGAACCCAATATGGTGAGTCAAGATCTAGCCTTCAGCACACCCTTTGCTACATCCTCACCTGCTTTTTGCCTGCGGCATCTCGACGCTGGCAAGGGTTGTTTCAGCTATCGGAAAGTTGCTTGAAAGCCGTTGCTGCCGTTTTGGCTGGCGGAGTCTTGTCTCCTGCTTGCACTCCCCTCGATTTTTGTACCTACACCTGTTCCATTGGAAACGCAGCGTTTTCTCACTATTTGGCTTACCTTGACCGCACCTCGAATTACCCTCTTTCTGCCCTTGACATTTATCTACAACACACCAGAAGCCTAAAATTCGCAAACCCTCACAAACATTGCATTTTGTTCTGTACAGTACATTTCCTGTATTGCTGTTGCAGCCACATCCAAGACGTTCATAGTTCGACCTGGGTGGCTCAGCGGTTGTTGTACCTGTTTTTCGTTTGTTGACTGTATTTCTTGTTCTAAGTCGCCCCCTTCGTCTGCTGGCATGAATCACGCGCGTGCGCCGTCCTACGATCAGAACGTTGGCACCGCACCCGACGGCTGGTCCCAACAGCACCGAGCTATTAGAAGCACGTCTGCGATCGGTGCTTCGCAGCCCAACAACGCGGCCAACATGACTGACGCGTCACAGTCGAACCCTTCTAGTGAGGCCACCATCATTGCTGCTCGCCCCGCGGCCTTCCGTCACTCCCTTGAGATGAAGTCGATGGATCAGAAGTACACTGACCCCGCGTCTGACGCGCCTACTCCTACCAACAACGGCAGCGTGCTCGCCACTCCTCCCAAGTTGCAGCCTTCTTTCTCTGCCAACGACATTCCTACCCTTAAGAGTGTGTCAGGATCCACCGTGGGCAGCACCCCCAACCAGGCTGCTCAGCAGCACCTGCACAACCACAACGCCAGCATGGGCCGTATCCCAGCTGGTGCCTTGCCAAGCCGTCACAGCCGCGAGCTCTCTGGTGATACTCGTGACAACATCGCAGCCGCTAACTACCAATCCATTGGCTCGTCTCTGCACGCCAACGCGCCCTCGTTCGGTCCAGCTCTGGGACAGTCCTCGGCCGTTCTCCAGGGTCCCGTCCTCTCCCAGCCCTCTCAGACTCCTGTGCCTCCTATCATGGCCCCGAGTCAAGCCATGACACCCTATAACAACAACAATGGTGGATATTACGCGCCCAATGGCTATGGCAACGTGGGTCCTGCCAATGGTGGTGCCAACTACCACGGAGTCCCTCTGCTTGCGCAGATGCAGGGCATGTCCCTGAACGGTGGTGGAAATACCTACTCTGCACAGAACTACACTGGCTATGCTCCTGTCTACGCCCCTCACCAGCCGCGCGATAGCCAGCAGCGCATTATGGCCAGTCGTCGCCAGCAAGACAACGAGGGTAAGTTAGCTCAACCCAGAAGCAAGTTCACCTCGCTAATTCGCACATAGCCATGAGTCGCTTCAATGGCACTACGCTTGAGTCCTACGGTGGTTCTATCTATGAGCTCTGTAAGGACCAGCACGGATGCCGTTTCCTGCAGAAGCAGCTCGAAAGCCGGAACCCTGACCACGTCCACATGATCTGGCTCGAGACATGCTCTCACGTTATTGAGCTGATGACAGACCCGTTTGGCAACTACCTGTGCCAGAAGCTATTCGAGTTCTGTAATGATGATGAGCGCACCGTCTTGGTTCAAAATGCTTCCAAGGACATGGTTCGCATCGCTCTCAACCAGCACGGCACACGAGCTCTGCAGAAGATGATCGAGCACCTGTCCAACAACGAGCAGGTCTCACTCATCACTGCCGCCTTGCGCGACCGTGTTGTCGAGCTCATCCAGGACCTCAATGGCAATCATGTCATTCAGAAGTGCCTGACGAAACTCAGCGCTCTGGATGCCCACTTCATCTTTGAGGCCGTCGGCACAAGCTGTGTCGAGGTAGGAACCCATCGCCATGGCTGCTGTGTTTTGCAGCGCTGCATTGATCATGCGTCGGGCGACCAAAAGCTTCTGCTCATTCAGCGCATCACTGAGCACGCCGTCACTCTGGTTCAAGATCCTTTCGGCAACTATGTTGTCCAGTACATCATTGACCTGAACGAGCCAATCTTCACAGAGCCTGTTGTGCAGAAGTTCCACGGCAGAATCTGTCAGCTGTCTCGCCACAAGTTCAGCTCCAATGTGATTGAGAAGTGTCTTCGCTGCGCCTCTGATGAGTCCAAGGATATGATCGTGGACGAGCTATTGGCACCCAGCGAGATGGACCGCCTCATTCGAGACTCTTATGCCAATTATGTGGTCCAGACGGCCTTGGAGCACGCTACTCATTACATGAAGCAGCGCCTGGTCGATATCATTCGTCCAATTCTCCCAACTGTTCGCCAGACTCCTTACGGACGCAAGATCCAAGCCAAGGTCTCAGCGTACGATTCGACCAATGGCCGCTCCAGCGGCCAGGTGACTCCTGCGGACTCTACCCAGGGCCAGATCCCGAATCGCCCAGCTCAGACCCGCGGCATGTCCAACACTACCTCCATTTTGACTCCAGGCGCTTTCCAGAACGGTGCCAACGGCTTGAACAACCGAGGCGCGCAGGTCTTTCCCACCAGCGCGAGTCTGACTGTGCCCCCTCCTCAGTCTCAGCACCCTCAACAATATGCGCCTCCTCAGTTCGGCAACCACATTGCCGGCACTGCTTTTGCCCAGGGACAGGGAGCTTCTGGCCCCGTCCATGGTGGCCCGGTCTACAATGGGGCTCTCAACCCGCCTATGGCTTCTGACAACGGCGAGCAGAACTTTTTCTAGACTGCGATTTGAGCTGATGTCCTTGTGGCTTTCGGGCTGTTCTTTATCTTCACGCTCTGTCATTTTACGGATTTCACGTTCTGGACACGAAACCTGACGACTTTTCCTTTTCTGACTGTCACATCAACGACATCACGACCCACCTCGTCTTCATCGCCATTCGAGCAAAAGCACTCTCTTGAGCGCTTTGTTGTACAATAGAGGCTCGATGGTGAACCAGAAGATCTTCTCAAGAAAGGCTTGCATCTTGGACGGCCCTCCCTGTAGGAGGACCAGCTATGACTAAGAGGCATGGCTCTTTCGCCTGTAACATCGACTGCATCGCGCGGACATGGGCAGCATAGATCTTTCCTTGGTCACCAAAACCAAAAAACGCGTTTCTTTCTCCTTGAAATTACGAACGGCGTTGGATTCTTTGGGTTTGATCGGATCACAATGACGCAAAGTCTTCATAGTCCTCATCGTCTCACCAGCAGACCGGAGACTATGATCACAAACGACGTCAACGACATGAGCATCGAGTTTTCTCTCTTTCGAAGCAGTCCATCTGAGAAGGATCTCAGACATAACTTTCTCGTCTTGCTACAGTTACCTGAGGGCTCAATTGAGATCTCACCCTTTGCGTACGTCTCAAGGATACAGAGCGATCAACTGCCTGGCAGCCTCTCGAGCTCTCGTGGTCTTTTCTTCGCGAGGGCCTTGGGTGTCAATGTGGGAGCCTCTTGCACTTGTGCTCATGGCATGCGGGTGAAAATTTTCTTTCTTTGCTTTCAATGGTGGAAGACTCCCGAGGCCTCTCTGGTAATGCACCCGTTCATACAACACCGGTGCTCGTACATTACTCTGTGCTTGGGCAGTCGCGTCACGGAATCTGGAAATGAACTGGCTTGGATTTGACACTTTGGTCTCATCTACCAATATTTCTTTCCTCTGGACGTCTCTCGGGCTTTCTTCAGCTCATCCACCAAATTGAGAGTTCTACTCCATGGCAAAATTTCGGGCGGGTCATACTCCATTCTTACAGCATTTATTAGTTATGACCTGTATGTAGGGCACCTCTTCTTTTTCCTTTCTACGCATCATTTGCCGACGGCTTCACACGGACGACTCCTTTGGAGGGAGCTTCGTGGTCTGTTTTGAGGAATAGATAGCTTTCGCGCAGAACAACGTCAGGATAGGGGTCCCCAATGAAATGTTAATACGATAGAAGGCTTTGACAATTCTTTTTGATTCTCGATCTCGTGATGTTTGCCTTCCTTGACTCGGTGTTTACAATGGTTAGCAATCTCAACAAAAGAGCCCATCTTACATCGTCATCCGTCTTCCCAAAGTGCTACCGGCAGACACGACCTGTGATTTATTCAATCACGAAACTCATTGGCCCCGTCACCAGGATTTGCCAGCTTTGAGAGCCGTCATTCATCCAATGAAGTCCCTGTCCTCCAAGAGAAATCATCACATCGACATTAATCAAGTCCAGGGTAAGCGAAGCACAAATATTATGGTGTCGACTCTGAGCAGGGAACTGACATCTTCCCGGCCCTTTCGACCTTCAGAGTCAAGATGCGGAAAGGCGTCATGACGAGAATCCCTGTTGTATGGTACGCAGCGCCCGTACGAACTGCAACCCCAAGGAGGACTGCGTCCTGGCCCGTAAGCCGCGCCCGAGATATCGGCCAATACCTCTCCAATCGTCATCACGTACAGCCAAAGCGATAGCCCTGCCCAGCCCACGAGAGGACCACCAGGGCGGCTGTGACTCAAGACATTCCCTGACCTGGCTCAGAGGCAGGCGGAGTGCGCCATGCCCTGTGTCCAGCTCGGCCGTGGCGACGATAGACCTGCGGCAAACCATACGATTCCGGACGTCTTTGGTTTGAATCTGACATAGCCAGCCACTCCTGTACCCGTGAATGGATGACAGACAAGCAGCCAGAGAGGGCGCAGGTAGGGTCGTCTCAAGCTGATTCATCCACGAACAGCAAGGTTACAAAAGACCGTTGTAGAATGGTGGAGCATAAGAGTAGTGACGGTTTTGGGAGGGAGAAAGGGGGAAGACTGAAAGCCGCAATAGAGGCCAGCCTGGAGAATGGACAGGATATGGATCAGGGCCCTGAAAAGTTTCCACGGGACAATAATCTGTCTTTGATTTCACGTTGCTGTGGACTTGAGAACATTTTCGAGCTGACAGCCCGCGTAGGACTGGGAGGCTGTCAAATTCGCAGAGCATACCAAAGGACCGGGCACAAGTTTCCGCGATCAACCAAGATCTCAGGATTAAATCAGATATTCGAAGGAAACGCATTCGGGTCGGGCAGCAAAATGCCATAATTCGTCGTATTTTGATTTGCTTTTGCTATCATGAACGCCCAAAATCTGCACATATGCAGTGCCCTTAAGAAACCGTGACCCATTTGGCAATGACCATTACCCTTGCCATGACCATGAAACACGAAAACATCGTGAAGCCACAACCACAACCCGATTCCCATATCCACGCGGTCACCCTCCGCAGGGGCGAGCCGCTTATCGGTAGCGCCACAGGGACAGGGTGTTGTTCTTCTTCCAGGTCTTTCTGCGGCCGGCCTTGGTCTTGGTGTAGCGGTGGCCCTTGTTGAGACCACGGGACTTCTTGCCAGTAGCAGTAAGGCCACGAGCCTCGCGGTGCTTGTGGACGGGGTTGACGATCCAGTTGATGCGGGGGTCGATGCGGATGGCCTTGTGCTGGGGGTCAACGAGGATGACCTCGTAGTACTTGTAGGTGGAGTCCTGGTTGATCCAGTAGGAGTTCAGGACGCGCAAGTTGGCGCAGCGACGGCCGACACGCTCCTCGGCGGTGGCCTTGAGGGAGCGCTGGTACTTGAGCTGGTTCACACCCTGGTTGGTGGGCTTGCCTGTTCGTAGAGAAATTCTGTCAGCCATGGACGATCTCTTCGACTCAAGAGATCTGTTTGATCCAGCGGGAAAGACGCACCGTAAGTGGCACCCTTGGGGACGGGTCGCTTGCGGCCACCGCGGCGGACACGGACACGGTAGATGACATAACCCTGCTTGGCCTTGTATCCGAGACGGCGAGCCTTGTCGGGGCGCGAGGGGCGCGAGGCACGGTGGATGACGTTCAATTGACGGAGCTATATTGATGCACTCTCAGCAAACGTTCAACGAGTGTATAGCACAGGCGGAGGGCGTCTCTGCTGGTCAGGGCCACCCATGATGGGTCGGGCCCTCGAAAAGCTGAGAACAGCGGCTCCGCCCACATGTATTTATTTTTTCGATCGAATGGTTCGGTTTCAACGTACTTCCCAGCAGCGGACTCGCAGGAGGAACTGCAGAACATCGCTCTGCTTCTTCTTCTGAAGCTCCTCAACGTCTGTAAGGCTTTCTCGTCAGTGGTTTGCTCGAAGGAGTCGGTCGGGTGATTTGGCGGAAAACTGGAATCGTGAGACGTACACTTAAGGGCACCCATGGTTGCTGTAAAGTCACAAGAAAATCCTGTCAGCAAACTCTCCTCGACAGTAATTGAGATGTGGAAATATTTTCGGAGGGCGGCGTACCAGACTTGGAAGTTGACGTTGACCTGGGCGTTGGTTGGGGGGGGTTAGTTGCAGTCGGGTGGTCGGAGAGGTTGAAAAGAAGATTTTCCCAGATGCACACTCCTGAATTTCGTGTGGGTTGAGCCGCCGAGCTCTGGTTGGTCCAAATTGAGCGGATGCCCCACTTGCAAGATCACGTGGACCTGAGCCGTGCGAACTGGGTACGTACCCCTGGTACCCCTGGACCTCTCCGGGAGACGGCTTGGCCTTGCCCAGGGTATTGATGCGCGAGCCTCCTCGACCGCAGCAAAATAGTCTGACCTATACAACAAGAACCATGTGAGTCCCTACGTGGAATGAATAGGGTCTCATATAATATTCCGGCACGGTGAGATTCAATCGGATATCCAGGCTGGCATACTGGACATGGTTGCTCGACACTCAGTGGCGCTCTCGATTGGCCGAAATACATTTGTAGTGACTGCTTCACGTTGATGCATTGATGAATATTGCAATGATCTTTTATTGATCTCAGAAATCTGCTACTGTTTCAAATAATCCTCTACTTGATCAAAGGAGGTCTTCAAAGCCATGCTGGTTGCAGCTTGTACGTGATCAGCAAATCCTCGTCGCATCTTGCACATCCAGGACCTCCCATTCTCTCACTTCCCGCTTTCAAACATCAGCCAGATCGTCCACAATCTTTCCAAAGGCGCCGGCCTGGCTCTTGGCCAACTCGCCCCATGTCGATCCGCTCTCATTAATGGCCTCGGTGCTCTTGCGGTACATGTCGACCGCCATCTTGCCCGTCTCGCTCAATCCCTGCTTGTCCGGCGTCAACAGGCGACTCTTCTCGTCGTTGCTGCTGGACGAGACAATGATACAGTCCATAATGTTCTCCCCATGCTGCCGGCCATAAAGCAAGAGTTGCTGCACGCTGGCAATGTCCTTCTTCCACAGCTCGCGTGGCAGGCCAAGCTCGGTGTTGTCTTGCGAGGCCTTGGAGTTGGCCCGATTATGGACGGTGATGAGCTCGTGGCAGCTTTGGAAAATTTCCTGACCAGCCTTGAACAGGGGATTTCCTTCACGGGAAGCGAATGTCTGTGGCTGGGGTTTGGTTTTGGAATTGGGTCTGTTGTCGCCGTAGGCTTCCTTGACCAGCTTGCTGTATTTCTCTCCCGCTGCGGCCCTGGAAATCATGGTCAGCATTTGTCTCAGCGATACATACCGTGGATTATACCCAGCTCACAATTCGTTGTTGCATGAAGTGATTAGATTTTGGATCTCAGCCTGCTTCGATTGGAGCTTCTTCGTGAACTCGTCCGCAAATTGGCGCTTTTCAGTCCTCTCCTTCTCGTTGAACCTGTTCTGCCAAGCAACCCAGCCCGAGAGCTGCCTTCTCGCGCACGCATGAGGGTCAGCCCCTGATGATCTCAGAAAAGGGATCGCAGTGATGGAGTACTCACTCCGTTGTCTGAGAGGAATGTCTGTCGCCGAGGTTATCGACATGGGTGGTTGACACTCGTGTCTTCTTTCTCGGTCGGTCCTCGGGAGATCCCCAAGGATCATTGTCGAGCAAACCTACAGCTGTGGCCAATTTAGTTTGAATTGGACTCAGGATTCGCAATTTGGTGATGAGAAAACTGTTGAACATACCATTGGCCTTCCTCTTTGTTGCTTTGGGTGGCATCTTTGGCGAACGGCTACTGAAAAGGGCTCAGCTCTGTGAACGAAGTCAAGCGGCTGACGTTCGCAGTGCAGACTTGAGTCTTGGACAGTTTGAAAACAGAGACCAAAATCATCAATGGGATTGCCAAAAGTTTGCTTGAACTTTGCTCCAGTACCGAGGTGGGCAGATGCCTACGGGTTGCCTGGCTCGTCAGTCACCTGCCAGTTGCCGTTCTTCCCCGGTTTAAGAAGTAACATCCTCCAGAGAGTAATGGCCACAAGAGGCAGGCGCGGAGAACCACCAAGACATTGCTGCTTTGGTGGGTATGAACCACCCATATTGTGTCACAATCGCAATTTGATCACCAATGAGGTTCATATTGAATGCATTTATGGTCACAAAGTCAACAGTCCGCAAGACGCACCCTGCCCACAGGGAGGACTCGCTGACGGTGGACTGCCTCAGAGTCTGGCATCACATCCTCGTCGCGTGGTTGAGTACCGGTGGCAACTTCATGTAGATAGCGCATGTTCTCTGGGGTATCGAACACCTATGGTTCCAATTTATTGCAAATAATCCACGACTAGCCAAATCATATTTATTCTTCCAACAATGGACAAAACCAACGCCACCGGCCGGGTGAGAGATGGGAGGGTGGGTGCTCGAACAATAGAGCGAGTGTACAAGATGCTTCTTCCCAGAGCCGAATACGTGCGTCCTGTCCGAGTCAAACCGAAAATAATCAGAAACGAAGAAAACAAAACCAGATATCCTTTTGGGAGTCGCCGGATTAAAAACTACGGTGCTCATGACAGCTCCTACCCCTCTGTCTATCAACCATCGCCCTTTTTTAACACATTTGTCTTTCCAGCCATGCCGAGAATATCCGTGAATGAAGAGCTTGCGAGAGATTAAATGTCAATCCCCTCCCGGTCTGTAAAATGAAAGGAAGAAAAAGAAACAACATCTTTCCTCTTCATGAAAAGCAGATGGCCCGCCAACGCCTAACGTGAATGACAACCCTCTCTAGACAGTCTGGCATGTCATTTTCTCGTCAAAAGAAGAGCAGCATCGCCTTTACTTGCCCTATTGTGTTTGTCTGAAACTCAAAATCCGTTGTTTGCAATCAAGTCTGAGATTGGTCCGCCTCTGGCAGTTGTGATGGGTCAGAGGCAGGGGGTGGGGGTTCTCGTCTTTCCGCTGGGGCTTGTCTCTCAGCGGCTGTTTCCTAACGGCTGTTGAGAGAGAGGCTCTGGAATGATCCGGCCCAGTCGTTTTGGGTGGTCAAAGGAGAAACCGGCTGGTCATGCTGCTGCGCCCCGCTCTGGGGTGGCGGGAATGCCCGAGAGCGCAGCTGATAGTCACCGCCGGGAAAGGTCGTGGGGTATGAATCCATTGAGGATGTAGCTGTGGGGGTATAGGAGGTCGGTCGAGGCACATTTGCGAAGGAGCTGTTGTAGTTGTACGGGTAGCTTGGTTGAGTGAAAGGAGCGGCGGCCCGTTCGTTCCCAAACGGTGAAGTTAGAGCTGGTTGAAAAGGTCGGCCCGAGGACGAGGAGCTGGGGAAAGTGGACTGATCCTGCTGCTGGTTCTGGCGACGATCAGAGGAGCCACCTCTGCCAACACCAACGGCCCCGGGGCCAATGCCGCTTGGGGTTTGCAGACCCAGGGAAGGGCTGGCGAAAGAAGCTGGGTTGATGGCGGACATCCAAATTCTAGTCTTGTAGATCTTGAAGAGGTCGGTCACAAGAGAGTTGAAATTGATGTAAGAGTCGGCGAAGTAGTAGAAGGTCAATTTCTTCCAGTCCCTGCATACATGTCAGTAGGCGGCCTTGTTGAAAAGACTTGAGAGATACTCACATTTGAAACTCGGCATCGAGAATCTCCATGTTCAGGCCGTGGTCCTTAACCTTCGACTGGCAAACACGCTTCGCCTTCGCCTCGCTACCCTCCTTATCTCGCAGAGCCTGGATCTCGTGGGGCTGAGCGTGGCGCTTAATGAGCTTGGGCTTGAGTTCACCGGCGTTCGGTTCTTGCATGTGATGCTGACTCGGTGGACCCATCCCTCCTACAGCGCCCCCATGCATGCCGTTAGAAGCTGCCATCAAGCCGGCGCCCGCTCCGTCTTGAGCCACTGCAGCGTTCTGGGAGAACATCATAAGCCACTTGTAATGCTCCTCGGCGTAGAGCTCCTTGAGCTCCTTGGCTGAGCCCCAATCGACATTGTCTCTCGCAACGGTGCCCAGGTCAGTCCCTCGGTCAGCCTCAACTATGACCAGGTCGCCCGGTTTCACTGTGAGACCAGTGCCCTCCTGTATGTAGAAGACATCCGCTCGATTACATTTGAAGAGAACAATGTGAAGCTTTTGAGCGTGTCGTGGCTGAGGCATGCCGTATAACGCTCGGTGTGGAGAAGGGGGCCTATTCGAAAACGGAGCCTGTAATCCATAAGGCGACGGGTACATGTTTGAATAGGCCGACTGCATAAGCGCCTGCTGGCTACTGTTGATTCCGGATGGACCAGTAAAGTAAGCACCTGGTACAATGTGTTAGCATATCGTGCTTGATCTTGACATGTGCGTTGCAGCTTACCGGCATTGCCCGCATTCAACAGAGAGTTCTCGTATTGTCCGACAGCAAAGTCCTGACCTTCCTGAGAACCTGGATCCTGCGCATGAACGTGATCGCCAATGGAACCAATGGATGGCTGCCGGGTTGGGATTTCAGCAAAAGAATGGCGTCTGCTCTGTGGAATGTCTGCCAAGCCACCGAACCCAAGAGAACTCGACCACAGAGCCTTCTTTACGTTCTCCAACGGGCGGTTCTCTAGAGAGAATGAAGACCGGAAAGGACCAGAGCCAAACTCGCTCATTCTCCGACCGAAAGCCCTCTTGCCTGCCAGGTCGGAAAGTTCTCCCGACTCGTCGAGGTCCACAGCATAGTCAGAGTTCTCCTCCGGTACTGGGTCGTGCAGACCATAGCCATTCCCAATACCACCAAACCCAGTCGATGCTCTGGGTCTCATGCGGTTGGCAGCGGCATGGTATTGTTGTTGACGCAACATTGCGTTCTCCCGCGTGAGCATCTCAATCGTTTTGGCCTCTGCCGATTGGGCTTGCCCTTGCGCTGCTTCTACACTCCCAGTTTCGTCATCCTCAACCTCTTTTACCTTCCCAAGCATTCCACCCTCATTCGACATCTCACTGAGCATGCTAGGCCTCGATGGTCGGTGCTGAAGGCCGGAATGAGGGATTCCCCGGTTGCGAGAACCCAAGATAGCGGAAGATCCCATCATGGCGTTTGGTGTTTCCGGGTCAAGCTGGCCGACAGAATATGACTGCGAGCGGTAGTTTTTCGGGGTCGGGTGGATGGGAATCGCGAATGGTATCTGAGAATTTGGTCCAGATTCCCTCGGCGCGGGAGATGTCTGGTGCGGCCCGCCGTCAGGGCCAAGTAATGAAGTACTAGTCGGAAGAGAGTTGGGTGATGGCAACACCTCAGCAAGGCGAGCCGGCGGTTCCTTCCTGTCGCTGTTCCAAATGCCTGTTCCCCAGGTGAATGTGTTGGAACCGATTTGGGGCCGTCCTATGCCTGTAGCTGAGGTTGGGTGGGGGCCCCAGGCCGCGGCACCAGACTCGGCAGAGGGGGTGCTCGGATGCGAAGCTGTGGGCGACATGGAGCTGCTCGCAAATGACCCCTTCCTCGGGCGAATTCCTGCCTGCGACGCTTCGGTCAACCAAGAAGTTCGGCGGACTGGTTTCTGTTGCTGGAAAGATGATAGGTGATCTTGACGATGTGCATCGGCTTCGTCGTCTGAACTGGCAACCGCTTCAGAGATTGAGTCAGGCGTTGCTCGGCGGACGTTGAGCTTGTCCAACAAGATGGCTTGACTGCTTGGAGCGACGCCTGGTGGCAGACTACCTTGACCAGGCTTGTTCTGCTGGCCAGACTTGGTGATGCTTGAGCTCATCGTCTATGGTTCAAAATATTAAAAATGAAGTAAAAGCGGCAAGAACCGAACATTGAACAGCGTGGAGGCGGATGGTGCACGCCAAATAGTTGGACCGCTCTAGTATGGCGACAGCCAATTGAGGGGTCCGGCGAAGCTCACGATGAGCGAGATGGGACCAGGAAGCTCAGATACACCCAGGGGCCGACTGAAAACCCAAGGGCCTGAGAACGGTGAAGATGAAGATGACCAGGCCGGCGGCAGCAGATGGCAGAACTGGAGTTGTTTCGTTAGCAAATTATTCGAGAACAAGGTACGTGGTATTTGAACGGGTTGTCGCATAGCTCTGCAGTCAGGAGCGGGGGGGTTGGGGTGATGGGTGCAGAGGCAACGAGGACACACGTACTGTCTGCGGCAGGATAAGAGCTACGGCGAGGGCGACAAATTCTGGATCTCTGGTCTAATGCCCCGAATGAGAAGTGGAAGAATCAATGATTAGGCTCATAGAATTGTTGTGACAGGTGTTGACTCGAGGCCAGACAATAGGAACCCGCCGGAGTCGGCCCACAATGCCAACCAGAGGGTGAAATGCGACGGGCGATGGCGACAGGTATGTAGTGAGAAAGACAGGAAGCGATCGTCGTGTCGAGGTGTCTAGGTGTAGGTGCAAAGTGCCGTTATGGGGGGAGGGGATGGGGCAGGGCTGCAGCTCTATCAGGGTGGGTTGTTTCTTCAGAAGATGCTCATCGAAAGTGAGTGGAGGGCGTTCGCATCTCGAATGACGATCCTCGCGCGGGTGTGTCTTTTTCCCAGGGGCCGATTTGCGACGATGATCTATGCGCCCATCTTTGAGGTCTTCCTTCCTTTGTGTCTTTGCCTTGGCGCGCCCAAAGGGTGGTTCAACTGGGTGATGCCCAAGCTCACTGCGTATGTCTTTTACTGCAGGGCTGGCGATCAGGTTGTCAGGTGGAAGGGAGGAGGAAGTTGGGAGCTGGGAGCTTCAGATTGCGAGTTGGGAGTTGAAGGAGGGAAGACGTGGATGGGGTGTGGATCGAGGACGGACAGGACGAGGATGAAAGATGTGTGAGTGAGTGTGTGTGTGCGCGTGTGTGTGTGGAAGTCAAGTCCAGTCCAGTCCAGTCGAGCTGCTTGGCCTGCACCTGCAACTGCGGAGGGACCTGCGGAGGAGAGCAAGGCATTCGGAAGGCAACCTTGGGAAAGGTTAAAAAGGCACCACCTCCAACCCAACCCAACCCGGACCTGAACCAACCTGAACCTGAACGTGCCCAGGTGAACCTGAGGCCCAGGTGCTTGCTCGCTGGTTCGCCCGCCCGCTAGAGTGTGCTCCAGTACCCCCCAAGTGCCTTGCCCGCCTTCCCCCCGCCTGCCCGTCTGCCCGTCTGCAGCGGCGCACAAGTGCAGAATTGGGCGGGGCTTTCGCTTCGTGTGAGTGAGGGGCCCCCTACTAGCCTAGCCGTTGCAGGCCGCGAGGTGACTGGTCAGGCTGGGCTGGTGGCCGGCAGGGGACTTGTGGAGAACTGGCGCGTGCCCTCGTCTGGACTTGAGAGCCCGCCAGCCCGCCCAGCCAGCCCGCCCAGGAGCCCCGGAGCCCCCCCTCTCAATGGATGGGTGTCAATGCTCCCCTGCAAGGGTCGCAAAGCTGGTTGGGAGATCCAAAACTAGCCATTTTTTGCCAGGCACGAAGCGCAGCTCACTCTAATAGTCTAGTCTCCTCTACTGTACTCCTATTCCATCTAATTCATGGACGGCAAGGAGACGCGAGACTCGGTACTTGTTGGAGGAAGCATCCTGCATCTTGCACACTTTTGCTTCTTGCACACACGAGGCACAAGACATAAGGAGACTGACTGTACATATGTCTATACGTACCTGGTGCATTTATTTGGTGAGAGCCATGTCGTGGTACGTGCTACACAGTATATTATTGTACATACATACATATATACATACATGCATACATACATACACACACACACACACACACACACACACATCATATCATGCCATGCCCATGCCCATGCCATCTGCGCCAAAATTGACGGAGCATGAGACGGGCTACCTTTCGGTTGAGGCTGAAATTGGTAAAAAGAAAGAGGAGCTCATCGCATGGGTGTCTGCCTCTCTTCTGCCGCAACGGGCGGCAGTCGATGCTGTGTCGGGGGTGCTATGGCTATGTCGTAGCATGCTTACTCCCTACTCCCTAGACCAGCCGCTCCTACGACAGCGTTCATCCTTCCATCCAGCGAAGGGAAAAAAATTGTCTTGGATATTGTCGCCGCCGACTTTGGGCCGTTGGCCGGTCGTCTGGTATCTACGGAGTACCGTGGCATCTGACGGCATCTGACCACAATCGACAGTGGGAAGACAGTAAGGTAGACTATGTCTATGTATCAAATGGCACTGGCACTGGCACTGGCACTGGCACTGGCCGGCACTACTGTACCATGTAGGACTCTCCCAGGGTGTCGCGGGCCAGTCCAGATGCTCCATTATGCATTGCATTGCATCGCATCGTCGCCTTCCTCCGCCTCTGCTACCCCGTTCCTCCACTCGGTCTGTTCTTCCTGCGGTCCATTGCAGTAGTGGCTGGTCTGGAGCTGCAGGTGCTCGTGCTTCTGCTCAAGGTCCTGCCCCTGCGGTCCCTCACCAGTCAGCCCATTTATTATTCAACAAACCCCCGGGCCCGCGACCAAATCTCCGCTGCGTCAGCCCTCGCAGCTCGCATCTCGTGTCTTCCTGGCATGAACTCGTTGCGTGCAAGACCAGCATAGATGCAGGCCCCCAAGCAGCAGCCGGGGCTCTGGTCGCCCTTCGGAGCGGAGCACAGCGCAGCACAGTGGGCGAGAGTACGGCACGGTACGATCCAATACGATACGATACAATACATTGCAATACAATACAATACTACACAGCGCAGCACCGCACAAAGCAAAGCAAAGGAGGCCAAGCTTCCAGGGCCCCCCTGGGACCAAGCTGAGAGACTCGGAATTGTGACCAGGGGCCTTGCATGCGCCCAATCACGCGCGGCTTCCCCGCAATTTACTTAGCATGATCCCGTCTAGCGGCGATCGTCGATCCAGCCTGCCACTGCCAGTCCCCAGCCAGCAGCAAGGGCAGCCACCAAAATCCCAACCGCTGCATGCCAATGGCCCGTGGCAGACGGTACAGTCGAATCGCCTCCTGCTACGCTGCTCTATCACAGCTCTCACCACTCACCACTCACCACCACCTCCTTTTCTTCCGTTCGCCGCATCAGCAGCAGTCGGACCCGAGAAGGCCGGGGTACCACATGCGGCCTATGCATAATGAAAACGACAGGAGACAAGCACCCACCGGTCCACTGACGCTTGGTAGACGCGTGGCGACGATCTCCAGTTCATTCTGACGATGGGTTGCGAGTAGACAGGCCTAGTCCACCGACCGACTGCCTTCCCGCCTTGCCTGCTTTGCCCCCTCCTCCTCCTCCTCACCTTGACCTCCTGCAGCATCAGACGACCAGGTACCTAGGTATGTGCGAGCCGCTTTTCTAGGTCGCCAGTCGGTCGGTCCTCTCTCACTCGCTCGCTCGCTCGCGTGCCACCTCCAGGCTCGTCTGAGCTCGGGAGCCAGGCGTGCCAGGGCACCGTTGAGCGTTGCGCATCGATAGGAGCCGCTCTGGACCTCGCCCTAGTCTCTGCGCTAGACACATGAGGCACTGGAAGCGCACATCCAGCCCAAGGGGTCTGGGTCGTTCTTGAAAACTCTTGTTTTGGCAAGTGGCATTGTCAGCTGAGAGGTGCTATGATTGACGCACAAGTGATGATCAGCGCAGCATATTACATCGGGGCCCGATGCAGCAGAGGTCCAGGATGGGTCCGGAAGCTCCAACTCAATCGCAAGCATGCTTGACGGGCCTCGAAGCGGGGTAGGGACCCTGGCGGAAAGTCAATCAATCCACGATGCCATCAGCTGGTTTCCCGCGGATGCCACTGTTGCCCTTGACCTTGGTCTTTTGTCCTAGGCATGCCGTGACATGGTACCTCTCCCTCAAAGAGCCGACGCCAGCCAGCTAAGCGAAGCGGAGCCACTTCTCGACGGACTCACTCAGCTCCAGCTCTTTGGCACTTATGGCAACGTTTTAGCTCACCGAACCTGCTCCAGAGGCGAACGCCAGATCTCTCAACACGCGTTTCCAAAACGCAGCACGGGCCGGCCACTGCGACCCGAGCTGAGAGACGGCTGCTGACGAGCCGGTTGCCTTTCATGCATAAGCTTGAGCCCTATGGACTGTGCCTAGCTGTGGCCCGAAACAAGGACTGCAGAGGCGCCCGCCGACGACGTTACCAGACTGTAGGAATCTGGCACAGGCATCGAACTACCGTTCCAGCTGGGATCCAAGTCCCACGATCCGTTCAAACCCCGGATTCGTCGCACAGACATGCTGGGGTCGGGCCTGCAATGAGGCCTTCGCTCTCCTGTCCCCGGTCCTGGGGGTTGACGCCCTAGGCTCGACCGGAGAGGGCTTGGCGTGATCAGCTGCAAAGCAAACTCCCCAACCATGACATCTCCTGTGCGCTTTTGACTGGCTCCGATACTGGGAGCATAGCATCGCGGCTCTCGCAGGGCCGATGTGGCTGTCGATCACGTACTATGCTATGAAACACACATACATGTACGGCGGCGGCATCGCTGTATGTAGGTCTTTGATGCCGGTCTAAATCACCCTGCGTAGGACGACAACGGTCGGAGTTTAGCACTGGCGCTGTTGCGCGCCCTGAGAGTGTATCACAAGACAGGGCCTTTGCTCTCGTCTGCTGGGCGGCGCCACCAGGCCAATCGCAAGTGGTGGTGATACAAGCCGTGTCACCCTATCCTGCGCGCCGGAGTAGACAGTAGATCAAACTACGACGCTTTCACGACGTGTCCCGTAGGAGACGGACAGAGCAATTGGAGCCTTACGAGCAGGAGATCATGAGACAGGGGGTTTGAGACCAAGAGTCCATCCTGGAAAAGATCACGAGAGGACCACGCCCATTCGCATCTTTCACGATGGGGGAACCTCAATTGTCGAGTTTAAGTTTCAATGCGATGGCAGACTCCTTGTTTCTGGCCTACATTATGAAACGCCAAAACCCCTTCACACAATTGTTTCCATCGGGCACCGGATCGTAGCCCAGACCAGCCAGTCGCACACAAAGCAGTCTATCATACAGGCCCGGCAGAGCAATCTGAACAAGTTTGCTGCGAGACGGATGACTGCTACGTGCTTTGGGGGTCGCATCGGTACAGTATCCTTCACAAAATCTAGACCAGCTGTCTTGGATGGAAGGTTAGCAGTCGTTCTGTGTGCGATACTGCCATCCAGAACACGTATTTGGTCACGCGGGAAAACCCGCAAGCCAGCGCCTGATGCGGCAGCCAGAAAACATTTTAAGGCTCGGAAAGACTGCCCAGTCTCGTCTATTACAGTCGCCAGTATTATATCTTGGTGTCATCTCGTGTTTCAGGGCCCATCCCAACAGCCCTACCTTAATTTTACAAGGGTACACATATAGGAGAGGCACAGGTAGAAAGCAAGAGAGATGGGCGAGCGTGCAGGCAAGGGTTCCAGCCTTTGGCGGTCTCAAGGAGCATGGTCGATGGACCCCGCGCCGGGTGACGTGGGAGGCACGGCGCCCTTCTGCTGCCGGAGCTTCTCCTCGAACTTTGCGAACTCCTTCGCGGCTATCTCCTCCTCCTCGTCCATGACCTGGGTGACGCCCTTGACCTCCTCAATCTAGAAGGGCAGTTAGCATGGTTGCCTGTGCGTAAAAATGGGGGAGGGGACAGCCCCCGGGGTACTACTGACATAGTGCATCAACATGCCCTCGATGCCGTTCTTGAGCGTGACCGTGCTCGAATCGCACGTCCGGCACGCGCCCCGCAGCTTCAGCAGGACGTGGCCATCCTCGAAGCCCCGGAACTCGATGTCGCCGCCGTCCTCCTGGATGGCCGGGCGGATCCGCGTCTCCAGGAGCTCCTTGATCATGCCAACGACCTCGTCGTCATTCTCGTCGTATGCGAGGCTGTCGACCTCGCCCTCGCCCGCGGCCTCCTGGCCGTCCTGCGCCGATTCCTTCTTCTCGACGATGTTGACGATGCTCTGGCCGCCCGTGATGGCCTCAGTTGTCAGCGCGAAGATCTCCGGCTTGATGTGCGCCCAGTTCGCGTCCTCCTCTTTGGTGACGGTGATGAAGTCGGCGCCGTAGAACACGGCCTTCACGCCGTCGACGTTCATGAGCTGGGCGGCCAGCGGGGAGGAGTAGGGCGGCGCGATGGTGCTGCGCGGGTTCAGGTACTCGATGAAGGGGGTGTTGATGTTTTCGGGGAGGATGCGTTGGTTTGGGAGGAACTTGAGGGCGTCCGGGTTCGGCGTGGGCTCGACCTGGATGAAAATGGTCCGCCGGCCGATGGTGGTCCGCACGCCGGGCAGTGAGGACCTCGCCGTTGGGAGCTGTGGGCGTTGTCCGGCGGCGAAGGGTGGATGTGTCGAGCCGATGCTGTGGAATCGCATCTGGGAGAGCCGGCCAATGCTCGGGCCAGAGCGAGTCTGTGACGGCCGTGCCGCTGATAATAGACGGCCTGACGGCCTGCTTATCCTCCTGAGAATCATCTTGAAAAAACTCTGGTTCGTAGGTGGGTTGAAAAATGTAGGAGAGTGGGAGCAGCAGCGGCTGCGAGAGTGATGTTTAAAAGCGTCACCGTGCTGACAAAATGCGCGAGAATTATTTGCCCCGAAGACCCTGCGTCATTGCTTGGCCCGGGCTGCCCGCGTTTTGGTGGGGCCTACAGCATTGGTAGCAAATCTGGGCGCTGCGATTTTCCGAGTTTCCCCAGATTTCTGAGTGCCCAGGTGCGTGGGCAGTGTGCAGGTACTTGTGGGGGGGAGGGGATCCCTGCTAAAAATGGCGGTCCTGCAAGTCAAATTTCAAGAGCAGCTGCGCCCCTCCGTCCTCATTGAGAACAAACGCCATCGAAAGACTCCCACTCGACCAACCTGCTCTTCACCTGCACACTGCCACCTGCAAACTACCGTCTGTGTTGCCGATCCTGCTTTTCAGTTGCAGTCGCAGCCATGTCAGTAGACGTCCAGGGACCCCCGAGCGACCCAGATGGCGACGCGCCTCCGAACGACAAGAGCGCGGAGCAGACTACGGTAGAACACGCGGAAGCTCAGCCCGACGCGACAACAGAGACAACAGAAAAAACAGAAACAACAGAAATAACAGAGGAATCACCACCGCCCAAGCCTCAGCCCAAGATCTGTGGGATTTGTGAGAAACAAGAAGCGAAATACAAGTGCCCTCGCTGTTCCATTCCTTAGTAAGGCCAGCCCATGAACGATCAACCCGACCTGCCCAGTCCTTGCTGCTAACCAGCCTCAAGCTGCTCGGTCGCCTGCTTCCGCCCCCACAAAGAGAACCACCCACCGGTCGAGCCTCAACCTGCACAAGCACCCTCCAAGCCGGCCCAACAGGACACCAACGAAGACAGCAGACCCAATAAACGCAAGACCCACCCCTTCAACATTCTGGACGATTCGCCCGAGCTGGCGCAGCTCTTCAAGAGATACCCAAGCCTCCCAGCGAAGCTGACCAACATCCACGTCGCGACGCTGCCGCCCCAGGAGGAGCAGCCAGGCCGCGGCGGGCTTCCCTGGAACCTGCAGCAGGCCCCTGGCTACCAGTCTAAGAAACCGAAGTGGACGCATGACCTAGGTCTGCGCCGTGGCAAGGAGGCTCTGCGCAAGGCGAGGACCGACCCCGGCGAGGACGGCGATGCTGTGAGGGAATATTGCGAGCTGGTCCTGCACCTGCTGTCCAAGCAGGAGGCTGTGGGCGGCGTCACGGACCTGGTGAGGGAGCAGGTCATGAAGCAAGATGTCCAGCTCATTGAGAAACTGATCGAGGCGGAGTCTAAATGGACTTGATTCGCAAAGTGCAAGACCTCGTGCTTCGACCGCCCAGTTCCATGCTTGATCAACATTGGTGAAGGTTTGGCGGAGACCGTCACGCGCTCAATGGATATCAAGAAGTTGACTACAGGCGTGGGGGTTCATTATTGTATGTGTATTATGCATCTCGCCACCCGCATACACCCCTTCTATTACATCCGCCAACTAATGCAGTAGTTTCGAGAAGACGCCGGATTTCCGATGATTCAACCCTACTGAGCTCCCGTTCAGCGCGACGTCGCAGCGAGCTCGGCCATTCTTCGTCACCTCGTCAGCCTCGGGAGGAGAATCGCCACCGAGTCTCAGTCTGAGCACAGAAAGCGGGCTCATCCGTTTCAACAACTGCAGCCTCCGTGGTTTTGGCTCCGTCGAATCTACCTGCGTCCAGTCTGGAGGACAACGCTCCTTAGCGTCACCCGATCGCACCCTCTCGGGCTCGCTGATACATTCCTCCAACACCATGGTGTATTTACCAGCTTGCTCCGGCCTGCCATGATTCTGCCTGACGCATTGCTGGCTCCGCGTCGCTCGAATGGTTGCAGTGCGCTGGGATGGCGCATTGGGTTGCCTGGGGACGTGGATATACGTGCCGCTGGAGTCCGTCGAGTCGTGGGGCGAGGAATCAGCAGCCGGCTTCGTCCGGAAGACCCATCTTGTTGATGTCTTTGGGCCTGCGAGCTGAGAGGATCTCTTGCCGCCCTGAGGTAGCGCGGTATTTTGGCTGCGCACGTCATGTGTGCGCCGAGCCTTGGACAAGTCGGAATCCGAGTCTTGTGGCCTCTTTCCCAGCTGCAAGTCTTCGAGTTGCCGCTCTGCTATGACGATGTTGAGGCGCCTGCTCAGATCGATTGGGTCGAGGGGTTGGGATTTCTTGTTTGGGGCTCTCTGGCCCTTCAACCTGGAGGCTCTCATGCCTGTTGGTCTAATTTGCGTATGTAACATGTCGCGTGTGGTTGTGTGCGAGTATGAGAGTGTGAGAGTGGGTCTGGTTATGCGTGCGTGCGTGCAAGAGAGAGAGAGAGAGGGAGAGGATATCTGTGCCCGTCAATGCTGTGCTGGGTTGGACGGCGTCGTTGACAGACGGCAGGTGGGCAGCACAAAGAAATGGGCAGAGCGTTCACATGCAACAACAGCTAATGACTACTGTGTGGGCGGGAAAGCAAGGAAACAAACAAGCCAATGCAGAAATGCCACGGGCGGGGGACTACTAGCTATTCAAAGGAAAACAGGATCGAAGCAAGGGATGCGGCTAAATGCGATCAGATGCCCGCGCATGCAAAAGGCGCGGGTCCGGTGACCTCGTCGAGTTTTGAAAAGAAGGGGGACCTCGGACTTGGGCATCTGGGGGGACTGGGGGGTAGGGGGGGAGGGGGAGGGGGGGTCAACACTACGGGACTTGCCAGAATGCAGTATGGCCTGGTGTGGGAATATGCTACCTACCCCATAGTTTGGCAGGTAGGCTCACGAATCGCAAAACAAACCGGCCGAATGCAGCCTTTGTGTGCGTTACCCGTACCACGGTATGGTATGCTAATGGTATGGTCATGGCATGCGGGAGGCGTCAGGCCCAGAGGGTGCCATCAACATCATGGGCAGCAATTGCTCTTGTTTTCCTGACCGCTTCGGTTCGTTGTTGCATGAGAAACCCTCTCCTCCCTTCCAATCTTCTGCTGCTGGCCCTGCTTCTGCACTGTTTCGGCATTGTCTAGTTCGGCTGGATGCGCGGTGATGTCGCGCTGCTTTGGCGAAAAGGCTCAATGGGGCACAAGTACGGGGTAAAAGACGGGGTGGGAATGGGTGCTTTGGGGCGGGCCCTCCTGCATCCCCAGGACCAGAACCCCATAACCCCCATCCGTGAGAGGCTCTGATCGACAACGGCTGGGGCATGGGGCGCCTGCAGGTTGCAGGGTTGCAAGCAGAGTGGCGTAATGGGGCATGCCACTCACACACTCGCTCTGCTCTTTGGTTGTCAGGTTGTCTGGTTGTCTGGGGGGTGGCCCTCCTCCCTCCCCAACCCGATCCAAATCCTGGATAGGATCGCCGCCAACACCTGTCAAACGGCTAGCCTAATTTGCCCACCTGGCTGACTGGCCACTGGCCTGGCAATGGCCGCTGACATGCACCTCACCCACCCCATCTGGTCTGATTTCCCTCGTGCCCCGCGTGACGGCGCTTGCTTTTTTCTTTTCTGGACGAGGGGAGGAGCCGCCCGTCTTTTGTGTAGCCAAGCCCAGCCGAGCCGGCACTCCAGCCCTGCTTCACCATGGGGTGTGGCACGCACGACAACCCGCAGTCCGATATTGCTGTCTCAGAGGGTGATGTGCTGCCCACGCCGGAAAGAGAGAAGGGGGGGAAAAACACGCGGAACGGCCTTTTCACGCCATCCTTTGTCCACCTATTGGGCGCGTCTTGGCGTTTCCCTCGTTTACGAGAACCCTCGAGCCCCCGTTGGCCCCTAGGAAATCTCTCCGGGCAAGGCTAGTGGTAAAGTGACCAGTCCGTTCGGGCCTCGACCTCGAGTGTCTTGCCCCGGACCCGGACCCAGCTTTCTCAACTGAGTCCTGCCTGTGCACTGTCAGACCAGCTCAATTCTTGGTGAGCTTCTCCGTCTTCACCTCCTGCCGTCCGATATGTGACTCCCCGGTAGTGTCTGGGAGCTCGACGACCCCGGGCATCAAAGTGTCTCGATGCCTTCCGAAACCGCCCTGAGCCTCAAACCATCCAGTGGTAGTGTCGTGGAGGGCAAGGTGGACACGCGGCAGGACCTGCAGAGGTACCCTGGACAGCACGAGGGCATCGCCGGATGGAGAGCCGGGCGACACCTGTCAACCTTGCCGAGAGCAGGACTGGAATCTTGACTATTGTGCATCGTGGTGCTGGTCTTCCCGTTCCTGGGACCACCCACCACCACGTGTGACTTGGCGCAGAGATCTTCGGACAGGTCTCTTGGACATGCCGGATCTATCGCCTCCCCTGACAGCCATCACTTGCCGTGACCGCGGTGCGAGGCAAGGGCCTCCGAGCCATTCATTGTTTTCAGCAGCAGGGCGTGAAGGACACACCTCCACGCCAGTTTGCAAGTTGACGCCGCGGTATCAGCCTCCTTCTTAGCTCTGTCGTTGCGCCCACAGAAAATGATTAGATCAAGAGAAGGGAACCGGACGTCAGTGGTTAGCACGGTGATGAGCTAGACAGGGCCCCCAAAGTTGAGCTCCGCTGATCTGCGGCACTTGGACGTGTTGTGCTCGTATTGAAGCCAGGCAAGCCCATAGCGGACAGTTTCACTTTGCTCTCATACCGCAGTCTAGCTGGAGGTACTCGGGGTCTGCGTGCCAGCAGAGCCATAGGACTGTCTGACTTGGTTAGGACGGGGGCTGAGAGACGGACGGGCACAAGGATGAATTGGACGCGCGTGAACGGCTGGGTATGAGTAGACGGAAACTTTTGATACTAATTATTTTGGACTTGAACATGTCTTGCATATTAATAAGTAAAATCCCAGTCACTTGTACGTAATCGGCTTGATCCTACGTGTCCATACGCTCTAGAGAAAAATAATATTCCAGCTGTATTTGCAATTGATATTCATGCAAATTTTTCTTTTTCAAGTCTCCATGATATGAAGTCCTCAATTCTAGTGATCTTGTGCCTTGCCGTCCACGTGCTACTTAAATTGCGAACAGCTGAGACATGGCACTGGTATCTGGTTTCAATATGGTATTACATATCGAGACATTACTAATATATACATCCATTCCCTCGTGCTCCGTCTACCTATCAATTTGCCCACCTGCGTACTAAGGTCGCATTCTTCTCGTTGCCCTGGATCCAGTCGTCCACGACAACCGCAATCTCCAGGTTGTTGAGCTCCAAGTGCATGAAGTGGCCGTTCCCATGGATGCCCCGATCAGCCAGCCGGATCCACTCCGGGTTGCCGCCGGTCTGCTTTAGGTACTGGATGGTGCAGTGATCGTAGGTGATGTGCACCGACGCCTCGCTGGTGATGAGCAGGTACTTGACGGCGCTGATCTTGGGCAGCTGGCGCGCGGGCTCGGCCTGGAGGTGGCACGAGCGGTGGGCCAGCGTGTCGTTCCCAACCTCGACCTGGACCAGCTCCGACGGGTCCGAAACGGCCGGCTCGTAGTCGATGGGCACGTCGGTGAGGCCCCAGGCGCGCGTGACGGTGCCGGACAGGGACCCGGTGCTGGGGAAGAAGAATGGGGTGGTGGATGACTCGAAGTTGATGTTGCCCGCCACGTAGTCCCCACAGTCGTTGGACATGAGAATCGGGTATATGGCCCCGGCGGAGTGGGAGATGAGGTAGGACGGCCCGATGATAGACAGGAGCTCGCAGCCCGACTCTCTCATGACGTTTTCCACCGAAGTGGAGTTCGTGGAATAAGGGAGCACGGCCCTCTGGAATTGCTCAAAGTAGGGGTCGCCTCGCAGGCCGGTACCGGGGAACTGAGTGTGCAGCACGGCCTGTGGGTAGAGGTCCGGGAAGTGCTGGGGGCCAGAAAAGGATTTCTCTGTGTTTTCGGCCGTCGTGCCGGCTGACATGGGGAAGCTGTCCAGGTCTGTCTGGGTGCTGCGCCCGACTGAGGCCTGGTCGACGATATAGACCTGATAGCCCTGCTCAACGAAGTACGAGGCTAATCATCCTGTCAGCATACAAGTCCATCCCCTGTCGTATGGCAGTCGCCAGAAGTCGTTCAAGCCGGCCTGCAAGTCTGCACCCCAAAATCTCAGCCTTTGAGCCCTGCACGATGCTCACAAAGACGGTATCTTGTGAGCAATAGACTCACAGGGCGACCCACTCGACTCCCCTAAGGAGCGCGCCAGATCGTGTCGATCCGGAAAAATCAGGAAAGTTATGAGATAGACGAACCAAGACCCTTCCTGTTGTCCGGCGTATTCAGCCAGGAAACTCCGCTCGTCCCACCGCCGTGGAAAAAGACCACCGGCTTCGGCTGAGTGACAGCATTCGGCGTCAGCTTTTCGACATACAGCTGACCTGTGGTGCGGTTTCCACTGGCATCCTGAATATATCGGCCGCCGACATAGAAAATATCCCTCGCGTAGGCAACCTGGTTCGAGCTGCACCTGGGGCTGAGGGCCAAGACGCCCGTGCAGTCGACTGTGGAGTTTTGCGAGCGAAAAGTGAGGCGAGAGTGCTGCTGCCCCGCGGCGGCTGCGAGCGAGCTTCCCAGGAGCAAGACCAGGGCCGAGCTGAGGAGAGAAACGAGAGAGTGGTGAGCCATGGCGATCGACTCTGGAGAGGTTGATGCCCCCAAGCCGCAGGTCTCAGGATGTTGAGCGTGCGAGAACCTGGGCGGCTGGGATTAGCGGCTGATGCAGCGAGTTTTGGCAGTTGGATCCCTGGGATCTGACGACGTCCTCATATTTGGGAGGACCCAGTCGCTGATAAGTCTAGGTGTGGCGATCCTGTTGGCGAACCCATCGTCCCCATCCGCCGCCGGTTTTGCCCCTATAGCGGTCCGCCCCCCTTCGATATTTTCGGAGATGAGCCGTGCTAGGCGCCCCCCGGGCAAAGCCTTGAAGTGGGGGTCCATCGGATCCGGCTCGGAGCAGGCAGCCGGACACGGCTCGCAGGCACAGTCTTCTGGGTGGCCCGATCCCTTGGTGAAAAGATTAGCCCATCCCCCAAGAACGAGGCACCGGTGTGTTGCTGGCCCTTGAGATCATCGCGAGTCTGCCAGAGACAAAAGATCAGGAAAAGCAGCTACCGACACTCGGAGATGCTGTCCGCGGGGAGTATCCACACTCGCCTCGGCTTGCTTTCCTCAAAGACCACGAGTCACCCACTTTTACCCGCGGCTGGACCACGCTGATGGGGGAGATTCAACACTCTCTCCTCGACGGTCGGCGACGTGGGAATCATGCTCCTTATTTAAAAGTACGTATGGGCAAAAGAAGTAGCAGAAGCCGGCGGTTCTGGCGTCAGCGGGTCGAAAAGGTCCGGGATCGACCTCAGCCTGGACTCGACCCTCGCGGTCGCCATGCGGCTTGTTCCAGCCTCTACCCAGCTGGCTGGCAGCCGAGCTCGCCGCTGTCAAGCACGGTTAAAATTGCAATCTCCACTGCCGGCCACTTCCCGGTCACTCTAAATGAGTCGACGGCAAAACACATACGCTTCCGCAGGGATTTTCCAAACGTCCGGGCGTGGAACTCTGCCCAGCGCACTACTGCACTACCGCACTACGCCACACCCGTCCCCGTGGCCTTGGGATGCAGTCTCGTGGGGTGACCTCCTGCAGGATATCATCCTGTGTCCCGTGGGATGATCTGGCTTAATGTTCGTCGGAGAGTTGTCTTGTTGTCACGACAACTACTCCGTGTGCGCGGGTGGATCGATCGTCCTCGATCGTCTTGTATCCACGCAAGGTCTCTTGATCTTCCTACGTAAAGTTTGACCACCCCTGCGAGCTGTATCGCAAGATTGCAAGGTCTGCCACCGTCTGGCCGCCCTACGATGAACCAGAAACCTGGCATTGTGGAGCCCCAAGGCTCGGAAGCTGGAGGCGCAATCCTCGACAGTCTCCAGTCCTGGTCCAACTATGATACTTTCCGGATATTGAGTTAGCAAGGCGACATACCGTTCTTTATGCGCCCATCGAGCCACCCAGGCGGATCTTGAAACGGGTTCATCTACTGCAAGCTAGAGAGGCAAAATGTTTGAGTTTCCTTCCCGTCGGGACATGTCCCATATGTGTCCAAGGTGTCCTCTCACACGAGAACGAACCCGAGGCTGACTACCTGCCGCAAACGACCCTGCTACCCAAGCCATCGGGCTCTGATCATAATAATAGACGTTGGGCGCTCCTCCGACAATAGAAATACTTAAAATCGTGGGCTCCCGAGAGATCCATCTTTCCCGCATTGTTCCCACCTTGGCACCCACCCTCCAAAAAGTCGACTGCTCAGATTTCGCCATGAGCAACAGCTCCGCCATACTGGGCAAACCACCGAACAATGAGGATGACTTCTTTATCGTTCGTGGTATTTTCCGGTCTGTCGGGCTCTTCAGTGCAAATGCTAGCAGGGGATGGATAACGGTACCGAGCGAGCCCGCGGGCTACCAGTACGAGACGAAGCAGCCGGGAATCATCGCGGGCATGGTCATCGTTATACTGCTCATATCCGTTGTGACGGCCACAAGACTCGCATTACGATATTACAGTACAAAAATGGTATTTGGCTCGGATGACTGGGTTATTTTAGTTGCCGCTGTAAGTCATGCCCAGAGTGCTACCCATTGTGTTACCTGGCTGTGGGCCGAGGACTATATGTGCATAAATATATTATCCTGCCTATGCTATCGTCCATGGAATGCCAGGAATAGGAACACAATGTCACGTCTGGCTAGGATGATGATAGGGAATAAGGCTGACCTCCCCTGGCTCGCAGTCCATCGCTGTCACGTACCCGATACTGCAGATACTCATGGTCGTTCAAGGCGGAGCAGGGCATCACGTGTGGGAGGTGACCTATGCAGAATACAACGTCTACGCATACTACGGGCGGATCTGCCAGATCCTTTTCTACATCGCCGTCGGCTTGATCAAGATCTCCATCACGCTCTTCATCCGGCGCATCGTCGACTGCATCTCGCGCTTCTGGACGATAGTGACCGACGTCTTCCTCGCCGTCGAGGTCGCCTACGTGCTGCTGGCCGTCTTCTGGCAGGTCCTCCTCTGCCGGCCCCCGCGTGCCAGCTGGGACAGGTGGTACAGCGGCAGCCTGGCGCAGCCGGCCTCGTGCCTCGACAACACGCTGTCGGTGCGGACGCTGCGCGTCACGCACCTCGCCCTCGGGGTGCTGCTCCTGCTGACGCCCGTCGTCATCCTGTGGAACGTGCGGATGCGCTGGCAGAAGAAGGCGCGCCTGTTCCTGATCTGGGCGGCCGGCGCCCTGAGCGTCATCGGCGGCCTGCTGCAGCAGCTGCAGTCCATCTCCAAGGACTCGACGTGGAGCTACACGGACATCCTGGTCTGGACCTGCATGGACCTCTGCATGGGCACCATCACCGCCTCGCTGCCCGTCATGGACGGGTGGCTGTTCGGCTCCTGGGGCGGCACCGTCGCCGACAGCAGCACCGCGGCCGCCCAGGCGAGCGGCGGCACCGCGGCGAGCAGCGCCTTCAGGAGGGCCGCCGTGTCCAGGACGGGCTCGGAGGAGGGCTTCATCCGTGTGGACCATGAAGTAGAGCTGACGTACACGCCGACCAAGGTCAGCAACCCCTTCGACAGCGACGCGGCGTTCTCGAAGCATGCCGGTCCCAACGCGGACACGGAGGCGTGGGATCGTCAGAACGCACCTCCTGCCCGCAGCTAGTGCAGGGCATCGGCTAGAGTCCTCACTCTTCCTCTTCCGCCTTATGCTGTGGGTCATCAATGTACATAAAATGGAATAGATATACAGCACACGATATATGATGTACGACACCTTCCGTGCTTTCGTTCTCCATAGTGACCTCGAACTTAATCCCTTGACGTGTTTCAAGGTGACGTAGATGTATAGAAGGAGCACACAGCGCTCGCAAGTGAACAATGTCTTTGGGCAAGTCTCGCGTGCGCGACTTGAGAACCGCTTCAGATCAAAGCAAATCCATAGATTGAAATAGCTCAGCATTGCAACAGGCGATGACTCTAGGTATCCAGCGGTATCAAAAACCAAAAATGATGCACGATGAGGCGACAAGAATGTATTAGCAAAGACCAGGGTGGGGAATTCTGAGCGCCCTCAGACAGACGCCTTTGACAAAAACCAGGAAAAGAAAACCCGTGACATTCCGCTACCCCATGATTTCCTCTATGTGCAATTCGGAACAAGCTATGTTTAGTTAGTGGAAGTCTCCAGCTTCCATGAGTGAAAGATATATTTCGGCGTAATTCAATCCATCGGCCGTCCGTCCCCTAGGCCTCAGACCCCTCCCCTTAAAAAACCCATCGTCTTCTTCTTTAGGTCGGCTGCACCACCCGCACCCCCAATGCCGGGTTCGACTTGCTTGCTGCGCTGGTAGAGGGCCTATGGCGGATGTTTGTCAGTGGTTGCGCGCACATGGGCTTGCAAAGGATTCTAAGTGGGGATGAGCAGACTCACATCCTCATCCAACTCCATCCGACAGTCGAGGATTAAGTCCCGGCTGACCTCGTGCTTCTTGAGGAGGTTCGGGTACGGCGCCCCTTGGCTCTTCATGATTGGTAACAATATTTCTCCAAGGATCTCAAACTTCTTCCAATTGATTCGGTCCCCATTGGGACCCACGAGTGTCTTGTTGCCCTCTTCGGCAAATGTCAAATCCTTACGGTGGAGCGCCATGTACGGTATTCGAGGGAGCGGGCTATTCTCCCACGCAAGACGGTATGCGAATGACGATTTCGTGTTCAGCATTAGTTTCTCCGCGCTCTGGTACTGCTTCCAGACCTCTTTGCTGACGAGGGCCTGCGTCGCGTGAAGGCGCGCTATGTTAGCGTTCTGCAGGCCGGCGACGACGGCGCCTAGGCCGTTGTAGTTGTTGAGCTTTCGCAGCTTGTGTGCGATGATCATGAACCTCTCAAGGCATGGGGCGCGGTGCTTTGCCTTGTCGCGGATCAGCACCATGTTCTGCACCCACTTAGCCACGTGATTAAAGTGTGCGATCAGGCGGTTCGCGTTTCTCAGCGACCGGCAACGCTCCTTCTCTGCGGCCGACAGGCTGACGTGCCGCACCCAGTCGCGGATACGCACGCTGCTGAACATGATCCAGTCGATGCGGGTGATCTCTTCGGCGATGTCTTCGGGATTTGTGTCCATGAAGATGTGATAACGGAATTTGTTCAGAGGCAGTGTAGCCTGAGGAACCATTCTTGCCGCCTCGCGCTCGTAGTCCACATATGTGTGATACTGGTAGTTCGTCTCTCCTGTCCCGTAGTCTCGCTCAACGTGTGATAGTTCGGAGCCTTGTGAGGGTCGCCGTTGATCAGCCGACAGCTGATCATCTACGCTTAAGGAGGCCATTGGCAATTCGAGATCCTGGGATTTGTGCGAGCTGGTCGTACTGGAATCCTCTGGCGGGTCATCCGCTTGCGCCCATGCCGTATCATCATCTTCTACCACATGAGTATCGAACTGAGCCCTCATCTGACCGGCGGCAGCACTGAAGGCCGGCTCGCTCGCCAGGTGGTTGATGAAGCGCTCAAGAACCTTCTTAGTTGTCGGCCTGGCAAAATCGCCAGGATAAAGAGATACCCACCTGGCCACTACCTCGATTATGCGCATCTGCGTGGCTTTCTTGTTTAGGTAGTGTGCCGACTTGTCCTCCTTCCCCCGTTCCAGCCTGGTGAGAATCGCGGCAAAGAGCTGCCCTGGGGCCGCAAACTTCCGGTACAGGCACAGGAAGATGTCCGCAAAGTTGTTGTCCGCCCTCGTCATCCTCGGCGCCAGAAGCCTATCCACAAGCTCATCGAATGCCACGCCAGTCACTTTGGGTTGACGGTCCATGAAACTCTCATCACTTCGCTGCAGTATCGGCATGTCGTCTGTCATCGAGGTGCGGAAGGACTCGACGTCCGATTCATCGACTTCGTAGAAAGGTTCCGGCCCAAGGTCTAATCGTACGCCCGTCTGCCGCAGCTGGCTTGAAACCGTCGGATTCATCACCTCGTCCGGCCCCAGCCCCTGGCCTGGATATGCTCGGGGCGAGCGTGCTGCCGACCCTCGGTAATAACTGTCCCTCTCGCCTGACTGCGAGAAGCCTCTCAGAAGTGACAGGTCGGAGCTGGCCCTGCTGTGTTTGCTATGTACCGAATCGGGTCGGCCGTTGTTGAGTGAATCCATCGTGGGTTCCAAGTTTGCGGCCGAGGCGGCACGCCGTCGTTGGCTGGCCGCGTCCGACTTATCACCTCCTAGCATAACATGGGCGTCAGTTCAGAAGTGATTGAGCTCAGCGTTGGGGCAGTGAAGCATGAGTCATGATCCTTGAGCACTTGGGCTTGGGAGGTCCATGAATAGAAGCAGCTCGGGGTCGCGGACACAAGGATGGGATGGGGTTTAGTACCTTTCCGGCCGGTCACAACTGCCCTCAATATGACCTGCAGGCAGTCTCTAGTGGTGTTCGGAGCTGCTGGGGAGGTGTTGAAGTTGGCTACCACGGAGGGATACGCCGCAGCGATGCTTGCCGTGTCGAGCTCCCTCAGCTCCTCGGGGTTGTCGCATTTTGTTGCGACGAGGACCACGGGATAATTGGACACGGAGAGGGAGGCTGTCCGGTGGCTTAGTAAATCACGGGAGCGGTAAAGAGCGAGCGAGGGGCGAGGGACGGCTCACATATGGTCTGGGGCAGTGAAACAATGCTGTCCTTGTTCATAACGTCGTAAAGGACCAAGGTGCCGTCGATGCGAGGGGCCAGCATCCCGTTTGCCTGTTTGGGCCAGCGAATGGGCTCATTCATACCCAGGTCAAAGGCCTCCAAATCAACCTCGAACATGTTGACTGTGTGCTGGGAGCCATCGGGCTCGGTCCAGTTGAAGGTGACGATGCCCTGATTGGCGGGCCTGGACAACTTCAGAGCCTGCTGCAGGAAGGCACTCTTGCCGACGCCATTGGCTCCAATGATGGCGATATTTATTGTGTCCATGATGGAGGGGGGAGGAGGACAAGATAATCTTGGCCTGAGCGAGCTGTCCCCTTTAAACCGGACGGCACGTCTCTGTTAGCTATGACCTAGCCTGCTGTGCCATGTATACCGGAAAGTGTCCACAGGGGATCTTGTGAGGACCGGGGACTGGGTGTAACTGTGTAATTGCGAAAGGCTGGCGTATGGGTACCGGATACCCCTGATGTTGTTGGCCCCTTCAGCGAGATTCTGCGAGGGTGCGACCAGGGCTGCGGCGCAGGCACAGGCACATTGTTGGGGCGCCCGGCCCGATTGAAATATGCCCGTTGATTCGGCGCACGCACCGGAGTGTCGGCGGGAGATGGCGGTCGGTGGAGGGAGAGGTAAGCGCGAGGGCGTGTTGGTGTTGACGACGGGCGGGAGTAGGGCGGAAGTCGTCGCCTGTGGGTCTTCGGGGCTGGCGACCGACGAAGGAGCGGATTCGGGGGCTGTCCGGGGCGTGGGGGGTGGGCGGGAGGCCGCAGAGCTACTGTAGGGCTAGGGCAGCCAGTGGAGGTCGGGCGAGAAGGCCTGTTGATGGGTGAGATGCTACCGTAAGCTTGCTGGTCCTTGAGAGCGAGGGGCGAGAGGCGATGGCGATGGCGAGGGGCGGGCTCGCAGAAAGCCTTCACATGCGAACAAGATCACGCACGCGCTGGGAGGGATCATGCCACCTCGTACAAAAACCACGGCATGACTCTCAGACGAGGGACAAGGGACGGAAGAGGGACGGGGAATGGAACTCACTGGCAGATCAGAGCCGCTGGCAGCAAAAGAGGACGTGCAATCGAGCGCACCTGCACACCGCACACTGGGCAATGGGCACTGGGCACTGGGCAGTTGGGTAGGGACGAGCTGGTCAGTCTGGGGCGTTAGGCGGGCGAGAAGTGTAGAGAGAGGTGTGATCCGTGCTTGCTTGCGCTGCAGTACGAGAAAGTGTGGTCGGTGGGTTCCAGGGTCGGCTGTGTGATGTACACACACACGCACACACAAACACAAACAGACTCACAGCACATGCAGGAAGAGCAGCGGTGCCTCTGGCAGACTTCGTTCCAACTTCGCACTTTGCTGCCCAGCCTACCCACAGTCTAGGTAGAGGAGGGACCCTGGGACCCTGCCTTGTCAGGTCAACGTATATGTGATATATATATAGATGGTATGTGCATGTGTGGACTGGTAGATAAGGTCGTACCGTAGTACAGTACTTCTCCCAAGATTGCTAGTAGCTAGCTGTACGAGGTGTTGAGGCCGTCACAGCTGGCAATGGTCGGCTGCAGCCACAGCCTGGGGCCCTGCCCTCGATTGGTGTCTGGAGACCGGGGCAATTTGAAGCTCATGCTGCCAATGCTGCCAAGGGCGGGTGAGGGATCCCAGCATGTGCAGGCCCAAGAGAGGCAAGCACCTGTACCACAGTACGGCACTATCCAACACGTCGAGGAAGGAAACCGAGAAGCCTCAACGTCAGTCCGTGTCTGCTCATGAACCTTTTCGGCTTCTGGCGCCGTGGACACGCGCACGCTGTCTTGCACTCAGCGTTCAACTGATCCAATGGAGGGGCCAAAGTGAGACTCTAGGTGGTTCGGCTTCGCACTACAAATGTTACTTCTTGCGCCAGTCAACCCCACTCTCTTCCTTCTCTGCATGCTCAGGGGCAACTGAGTCCACGCAAAAGCCGACGAGCTGAAATCTGAGCTTCATGTCGAGACATTCCACGTAAACACACCCCTGCCAACAATTTGGGCGGCTGACTTGGTCGCCGATTCGCATTCAACCACCCATTTCTGTCTTACTGCATTTCTTCACGCACCGCGCTACGCCACGGGCCGTCCCCATTCACCGGCCTAGAAAATTATTTCCCGTGTCGTCTGCGCCACCTGGTCCATTGTTGGCAAGCGTCGAGGCTCAGCCCTTGGTGATCTGCTGGTCTACTGGAGGCGATATCTGATCGGATGCTGCTCAAGACCCATCCAATGGTTCTCAGTGTCATTGTACGTGTAGTGTCTGGGCACCTGTCTCCAGTCCTCGAGCAAGTGTTCGCAAGAGCCCAGACCCACATCGCCTTCAGCTTCTTCCACCGGGCCATTGTGAAAGACATGCCGTCCTGCCACGTAGTTGGCACCATCCTCACTGTCGATATCATCCCCATTGATCAGATCAATGTGGCCATCATTCGCGATCAACAGGCCTCCCCGGCCGCGGTCATTGTCGGTTTGCCACACATCGATGTCGTCCTCGAGAAAGTTCATGCCATCATCGTCGTGATGTTGGTAAATGTTATCACCGATGATGAGGTCTTCTCCTTCGGGTTCCGAATAGTCGTTGCCAGGGTCTCCTCGAACCGCGCCGTCGAAGGTCCCGATGGCCTCATCTGGCCCGGCAGAGTAATACTCAAAAACCCGTGCCGTGGTCTGCACTTCTCCTTCGACGGTTGGCATCTCGTAGTAATGGCTGTAACTGCCACTTTCATGGTAGAAGTCGGCCTGGTTCATGAAGTATTCGCTCTGGACGTCGACAGGAGCGACGTATAGGTCGTGGTATTCTTCCTCATTGTATGGCAGGCTGAGATCCTCGTCCTCCGCGTAAGGTCCATTATGCTCAAGAGCAGGGTCATGAGAGTGCCATTCTGCTGTGCAAGCTACCGCATCATCATGCATCGACCCCACACTGTTCGTGTCGTTTTCGATGTCATCTCCTTCCGGTGCGGTTATAATTCCGCCGCTTTGGCCGTTGCTTGTCACATACGGCAAAAAGCAATATCTGCTCTCGGACTCCAAGTACTTTGGTTCATAATCAGACAGGTCTGTCATACACTCATGTGAATGCCCACGCACAAGCGATTGCGAGGCCCCTCTCACAGGATCTAGGCTGGCGTCTTCGCTGAGTTCGTTACACGTGGATTCGTTTGGTCCTGGATGGTCCTCTTCAGACAAGAGAAGACCAAGACCGTGGGCACTCCGATTTTCAACCCTCGGTATGCGAATTTTGGTCTTCTGATCCCGTGTCGCCTGCAAGAGCAAGACCAGAGTCCTTCTGTGGAGCTCGTCTGACACGGGCTCTGTTTCTGCGGCCGATTCTGGAAGAAGTGACACAATCTTCCGCCGAAGAACTGGCGACTGAGTACTCGTCAAGTTGGCTAACGCGGAGGAGATAGCTGGCACCAACTGCGCCCGAGTAACGACATTCTAAACTCCCTCGTTAGGCCGTGGTTATGGGATTTGTCACACTGGCTAACCTGAAAATATTGGGCATTCCAAACGCCTGGTGCAAGTTCAAGAAGCGCCGGTGGCTTGGTTCTTTTCAGGTACCGAATTCCCGGAGACCTCTTCTTCATACCCAGCACCAAGTTCAACGCGTGATGGGTGAGGTGCGTTACCCTCTCCGCCTGCACGTTAGGGGCAAGGCTCCAAAAGGCTGCGGTGGTCTCTGAGCGTGGCTTGCTAGGTGTTTCGGCGAGTTTTCGAAGACCGTAATGCGCATGGCTTCTGGATCGAGGCAACGACTCCTCGACATTCCCAGGCGCCGTGGACGTCCTGGCCGCGAATCTAAAGCTGCACGAAAACTCGGAAAGGTAGCCACAGGGAACGTCTCGCGGAACGAAGAGGCCCGACTGCTGTTGAGAATGTTGTATAGAGTATACCAAGGTCGTGGAAGAAGCCGAGTCCCCTTGAAGTACGCTGAGTTCCAAGCGAAGCTCAAGACCCAAATCGCACCAAACCTTGCCCTGGTTAGCAATACACACAGGGCAGAGCCAGCGAGTAAAGTTCAACACACCTGGAATGATTGAAATGCTTCGATGGCAATCTGCTTCCTTTGTGCGTGCCCGTGAACAAACATGTCGGCCGGATCCTCGAAGTGGACTGCCAAAGTGAGTCGGCAGGAGCCTGCTCGTGTGATCCACAGAGCTCCTGCTTGCACTTTGTCTCGCAAATCTGTTGCGGTTAGATTCTCTGGGAAATGTTCTGGAAGCGCTAAAGACATCGAAGTGGACACCGTGAGGGCGAAATTCATGTCGATGTTGCTCGCAATGCTGAAACTGCCTACGTCGACAATTTTATCTGAAGCCATATTGAGAGTGTAAGTTTGAACCAAATTGAAAAGGCAATGAAATTGCTGGCATATGCTGCAAGGTCACAGTTGAATATATTTCAAACGAGAGAAACTCATGCTTCAGAGTCCTGGTAGAGCGAATGGAGCCTCGATGTCTTGAAAGATGGAATGGCAGACGACCAAGGAGCATCTCTGCCAAACGGATACCTTAGATGATGACAACCGGCCGCCTCGCGGCTGCCCAGGGAGCCAGAAAGCCCCTTCCATCAAGAGAAGGGCAGTTGGGGTGGAGTCTCTCATGGTGCCTATGAAGAGGCTAGCAGCCCAAGTAAGGAAAGGCCACCTGCGCATGGCTTCCAAGTCGGTTGGAGGGTTCAGAAGCACCCAACTCGGGAACAAGACTTCAAGAGCTCTTTCCTGCCACAAAGACACATGCATGCCATACGAAAAGGGTTTTTTTTTGTCGGGGAAGGAGCGTCTCATGCCCACTAGGTGCCGACCAACTGCTGTGCAGACTCGTGGGTGGCCCGACTTGAGATTTCGGTGCGCCGCAGCTATTGTGGCGATGTCGGAGCATAGCAGATGGTGAGTGATGATGCAATTGCAAGTCGTCACATCGAGGAGCTTCCAAGTGAGGCAAACCAAAACCCACTGTCCTTTATTGGCGCTTTTGCTCCAGATAGACGCAACTCGTCTATGTTGGTCGACCTTGGTGTGGTTCCGAGACCGCCAGCAACAAGTCAGGAGTTGTTAAAGGGCATGACGCACTGCGTGGTTGTTGCTAAGCGAGGGAGAATACAATGGTAAGCAGTGCTGTTGAGTACGGAAAACTCCTTGGTCTCGAGATATGGTCCCAATACACACAAAGACCTCAACCACAATAGACCATTAATTGCACACTGACCGGGATCCACCTGGACCTCTGAACTACACAAACACATTCGTAGTCCTTAGTCGTCTTCTCCCGCAAACTGGGGCTGCACCCCGCCGTTCCCGAGATCCGCGTCAATCCAAACCCCAGCAATTCACCGCCCATACACATAAAGACTGTGCTGCTTCCCTCTCTACTTTGCAGACCCGGCCTCTCATTGAGACACCCAGTGCCACAGTCTATAGGAAACTACGCCATATCCTGCGAGTAGACTCGCTGCCCGTTTCGATATTAGCCCTCTGGGGCGCTCGCGCAAAGGCACACGGAAGAAGAGCAAAGGCGTAGCCCGATGATCATGACCCTGGCCGATCTATCCACAGCGGGCTTGGATTTGGTTGTTTTCTTGACCAGCTTGATCAATTTCCACGGTGCCTTGGGCTACGCGGACCCGGAAGTCGCCATCGTTTTGTACATCATCTCTAAACTTTTGCCGCGTTTTCAGGAACTATCGGACCCTGGAATATGACGCCTCGACCGTACTCTACCGGGCTTGGTTATGAGTCTCCGACCGAGCATACGGTCGACCGCACCGTGACGTCTGCCCTAGCCACGAACCATCTGTTCCACCGGTTGAGTGAGCTGCAGCAGACCCAGCGGGGACAGAATATTGCCTTGGACGACTTGGTTTCCAAAGTCGAGAAAACCAGAACACCGAAGGTCGTTGGAATCAAAGACAGAATTGCTTGCTTCCAGTGGACGTGGTTCACGTCTACCATGGCAACGGGAGGTGTCGCAAATGTCCTCGCATCCGGTAAACATTCACAGCAACAGGCACTTCTTTAGAGATTCTAGACGATGCTGAATTATTGACTGGTCTAGTTCCTTTTCGGTCTCAATGGCTTCAAATCATTGGAGTCATTTTCTTCATCTTCAATATCTGCCTGTTCTTTACGAACACTGCTCTTCTTCTTGCGAGGTTCCGTCTACGGCCAGGGAGTTTCAGGCACTCATTTACTGACAAGTTTGAGTCCCTCTTTATCCCAGCCTCTGTAAGTTGATGAGATCCAATGCAAGAGGACTAAACATGGAATCGCTGACACACATCGAGCTTGTCTCGTGAGTTGACAGTCCACAACGAGGAAATCACAGTCACTGACTTCAGCGAAGTATCGGCACCATACTTATCAATATCTGCCAGTATGGTGTCCCAAAGACCGGCCCCTGGCTCCTTGCCACTATGGAGGCCTTGTTTTGGGTATGGACAGTCGCAGCTATTCTTCTCAGTGCCGGGATGTACCTGATCCTTTGGTCGACACTGTAAGTATATCCTCAATACAACAGATCCCCTTTTTAGTCCTGTCCGAATTTGACATCAATATGCAGTATCTTTCCTATACACACTATGACCCCAGTTTGGGTGTTCCCTGCATACCCTCTCCTGCTGACAGCCCCTTTTGCGGGCAACCTCATCAACTCGTCTGTCAAGGTTGGGCACACAAGCACTCTTAACGCCTTACCGATAGCCATGGCCGCCGTTGCTGTGCAGGGAATGGGATTTTGCTTATCGTTTATGATCCTTGCCGCCTTCGTTTACAGGCTTATGACCCAAAAGCTGCCGCGGGATATGCAGCGGCCGGGTGTATTCATATCGATCGGACCTAGTGGCTTCACCACGGCGGGTCTTGGTAAGCCTTGATAATACCACGAATCTCCTCCCCTACGAATGTGCATGTTGAAGCTGACTGGCCTTCTTGGCAGTCCAACTTGGTGGTTTGGCGGGCGAGATCCTCCCAGAGGACTTCATGATGCCCGGTATGACAGGCCATGCTGTCTTTATTCTAAAACTATTATCTGCTATGATCGGACTGTGGTTATGGGGCCTCGCTATGTGGTCAGTGCTGCCTGGTTCACGTTGACTATTCGATCCCAGTGCTGATGGACTTGATTTAGGTTCTTCCTGGTATCCGTCGGTAGCTTCTGGAAATACGCCCGGCCAGAACACGAGGCCAAGATTGGCTTCCAGATGACTTTCTTCTCCTTTGTGTTCCCAAACACAGCACTGGTAACCGCAACGTACCAAATAGCAAATGCTTTCAGTTGCAGACCCCTCCAGATCGTTGGATGCGTCATGACTGGACTGCTGCTTCTTGTCTGGGCTATAATTTTCATCACGATGATTCGTTGCATCTGGAAACGCGAGCTCTTATGGCCTAAGGATGAATAATAGTGTCGAACATCACGAACGTGGAAACCGATGTCCGGATGACAGACACAATGCGGCCTGGGAACAGCCCAGGGCGTCAAACGTACGACCTTGCAGATGACTGTCCCAGTGCCTCGTACGATTCCAACGAATCGTTCATGCGAACCCAAAATGCGCCTCGGGGCATTTTGTCTGATCAATCTCCAGACGCCGGAGGCAGGAACTGATTTGTGAAGGGACGAGCGGCGGTTGCAACTTGGCATAGAGCAGAGCAATTTCTGACACATGGTAGCGAGTGATGATACCCATGAAATTTTAACTGCATAAAAACATGATAGACCAGTTTGAAGGAGCGCACCGCAAGTGCACCCACGCATTAGACCTTGGGTGATGATATGTGATAGCACACTTTCGACCATATATTCACGAGAAGCTTGATGCAGTGCAAGACTTTCCCACTTCTCCGTTCACACATTCACTCGCTGCAAGTGCGAAGGGCCGAGAGACAACATAGTCTATAGGGACCTGTTGCAGGCCGAGTCATTATATTCATAACGGTGTTTGCGCTTCTATTAATGCCGATTTATCGTCCGTTGCTAGTCCACAAGAGACCAGTAATACACAATCTCCCTGTGCCTTCCATATTGCACCGCCTGCTTCAAGCAAAACGTAGTCTTGGTACAACGCCTGTTGATCCACGTTCCTGAGGTCGATTGCCGTGGAGACCAGTTCCACCTGCTCGAGTTTCACGGAGGCAAGGACATTATCGTTTCCAGTCGAGGCTCCAGTACTGTCCGTGTGTCGATCCAGCCGTTGATGTCGGAATGGAGCTGTGACTACTTCTTTCCACCCTTGCCACCCTTTGGTTCCTTCTTCTTCTTCTGCTCGGGCTTCAGTGTGGCGAAGTGAATGTACCAGATGAAGACACCTTGAAGGATGAGAATGAGGAGCACGACGATGAGGATTGTGAACAGGTACGGTTGGTCGTTGAGGACGGCGACGGCTTGGGGCGTAGCGCCGATTTTGCTGAACCAGTCGAATTGACCCATGGTCGGTTGATTGTTGTTTGATTATGGAGAGATGTGACAGAAACGACTGTGCCTGCTTCGCTTGCTCTGCAAGACGGCGACGAATTGTTGGCCTTGATGAGAATAGAAAGGAATACACACAACTGGACCAGCAGATGACGAAAGAGGCTATTCGCAGAATTGAATAGAGGAAGGAAAAGTCGGAGGTGCAAACAGAAAGGAGATCCTCTGCACATGATACAAACCATCGGGCTGAGCCAGAGAGAGGGCCCGGTCCAAATCGTCTCACCCGGGGAGGGCTAGAGGCCGAATTAGGGGAGCCGACGAGGAGATCGAAACTCGACGGTTTCAGGATTGCGGCAGACTGAACTCATGGCGAGTGAACTAAGCGCGGCCCAATTGGCCGGCCACATCATCGTCCCATCCATCCACGGAGGGCGCCAAGACCCGGAACATGATCTCTGGGTAGGCTTTGAACGGTTGATCTCGTCGTCGGCCAGTCAGATATTGAATGACGACCGATATTGACACCCAGGTAGGTAGAGCTTGACGACTGATGTAGTGGACGTTGCCGTCCAGCCGCTTTGGTGGTTTGGTAGTGGGTCGATAGGGGCTGCCTGCCCCCTGGCCTGGGGGCGTTTGGGGTGCTAAGCACACCCGCACGTAAGAGCTTGGAGAGTGCTGCATACTCAGGTACCATGGTACCACGGCGTCCTTAGTCATCAAGACGAAGCCACCCCTGTCAAAAATTTGGTGACGGGTTCGTGAGCTACGGCCGAGCAAAAGAGCTCCTCTCCACGCCTTGACGCCTCCACGCCTCCACGGATCTCAACGATCAATGCGCCGTTCCGAGCTGCGTCGCATCTCGCCTCTTCGAAAGCCATGAGTGTGGCTACACCTGCTGCCAGGCGCCTGCTCTGCAGGTCTCTGGCAGCCAACTCCGCCAAAACATCCGCACGCGCCACCGCCGCCGCTCCGGGATCGCTATGCCAACAACGCGGCTTCAGCGCCTCGACGCCCGTGGCAGCGAGGAAGAGGTCGCAGTTCAAGAGCGTCAAGGCTGAGAACATGGGGCCCACTACCCCTGAGGAAATGAGGAAATTCAGAGACGAGCAGTTTCCCGATTACGATGAAACCGATCTCAAGTCACTCAAGAAGAAATATACCCCGGAGCAGCTCAGCGCAGTGCAGCTGGGCGAAGAGATCATCGATACGGATGATTTGGCGGCGCAGGGTAGGATACGGAACGACCCGTACAAATTCGAATACCTCGAAGACTTCTCGAAAGTGCGCCAAGTTGTCGACAAGCGCGTTAAGACCTACCGACCAGTCGATACTACCGCAAAGTTCATGACACCGGACGAGTTCGGCGACGACTTTGTCGAGTTTGTGCGCCAGTTGAACGAAAAGCGTGGTGTTTCGCACGACATAACCTACGAGCAGGCGCTCCACATGTACGAGGACATGCGATCCAAGATGCTGAACAGCAATCCCGAGGACGCCCTGTCGACGGTCGATCTTGCCCAAGCCTTGGACAGAGTAGTTGGGGAGACAGAGACAGCACGGGACGGTGCCCTGAAAGATCTGGCAGCAGGCAGAGACAGCAACGACCCAGAGGAGATTTCGGATTTGGAGGCATACAAATATCTTATGGAGCACAACTCGATGACCGGGTTCGACGGCGGCGACACCTCCCTGGCCCCCGACCTGCCATCCAAGGTCCCTGGTGTGGCGGGTAACTACAAGCAGCAGATGGACGAGTCTGACGAGAGTTTGGATCCCGAAGGCAGATACCAGGAGCTGAAGAAGAAGACGGGCATGAGCATCCGCGAGATCCTCGACATCTTCAGCAAACAGACAAAGATCCTAGTACGCAGGTTCGTTTCCAATCAGACGCGTCTGGGGAAGATCCGCAGCACCTACATCCTCGCGATGGCGGGCAACGGAAACGGGCGTCTGGGCATTGGCGAGGCGAAGTCTGTGGACCCAGAAATTTCTACCATGAAGGCGAAGCTATTGGCTATTCAAAACATGGTGCCCATCCGGAGATACGAGAACAGGACAATTTACGGCAACGTAGAGGCTAAGGTTGGAGGCACAATTGTTCAGATGTACACGCGGCCACCTGGTATGTTTGATTATCCTACCGAGTTTTCGCACCCTCACGCCCACCGGGAGTCTAGTGCTAACAACTCAAACAGGGTTTGGTCTCCGTGTCTCCCACCGCATGTTCGAGATTGCCCGTCTTGCGGGTATCTCGGACCTTTCCGTGAGGATGCCTCGCTCCCGCAACCCCATGAATTCTGTCAAGGCCTGCTTCCAGGCTCTGACGAACCAGCCCGACCCAGAACTTATTGCGCTTGGCAGAGGCAAGAAGCTGGTCGATGCGCGGAAGGTGTACTATGGTGGTGCTGTACATTAGACCGCGCTTCTGTGAATATATTTGTATAATGAAGCACCTTGAAGTCCCCATACCAATATTTGGACTCGGTGCCAACTCTTCGGGCTGATCTGCAAAAGCGCAAAACCGAAGCACATCGATTTGTGTCGTCCATCCGAACGTAGTGTCGCGCCAGTCGTATAACGAGATAACAATTGTAGGTGAGAAGCACGCTCGGCCTCAAGTATAACTTTGCGAGTCTTCCAATCTCATCCCGCTTCACTGCTGCGCCTGGTCGCCCCAGTCGATTTCCTGCTGCAAGACGATGCTGTAAACGCTTGCCTTGAGGAGCGTGAACACCAGACTCGTCTTTCGCTCGAGCTCACGGAGGCCGTCGAGTATTTCTGTTGTTGGCTGGGCGGCCATATTGTCGAGGATAGCGGCAAGCTACGCGGCAGAAAAGACGTGGTCAGAACTAGGCGTTCAGAATCGCGGGGGTGGTATCGCACGGCGTACATTCTTCATGTTGTCTGCCAATCTCTCATACTCGTCCAGAACCTCTTGCTCCAGCGGCGAGAGCTCTGGAGGGGAGAGCAGCGCGCTCGATGCTGGTCGGTCGTCCATCCTTCTGGCTAAGGTCGGGGCGCAGACAATAGTTGGTTGAGGGCTGTCCAGGCGTCGAGTGGTGGAAGTAAGAAACGCGTCAACGGTCGTGGAGATCTCGACGTGGGGTTGTTGTCGGACCCCAGATTCGGCCCCACTTGTGCCTGCGGCTCAACGCTGCTGGGCGGTGGTAGAGGTACTCCTGTTACCACCCAAGCAGTGCTGTGTGCCAGGTAACCAATACTACATCGAGACAGCTCACTCAACTCAACCTCACTCATCACAGGCCGACTCTCCTGCCTTGATCGAATCATTTCAAGGACCAATCTCGACGAACCAGTAGTTTCCTCACTCCAGGAAGCAGAAAAAATGTCATGGGACTCCAAATCCACGGCGACTCGCCGGAGACAAAATAGTAGCGCGGCATCCGGGCGCTCAAGAGGGCTCTCGATACACATGCGAAATGCAAGCAAGGCGGCGGCAGCGAGTTCAACACCGGTCAAGGTTGACCCCAAGTCTGCGCACACTTCAGACCCTTTCCTGCAAGGATTCCTGAACCCGGCATTCGACCCGGCAGACTACCTCAACCTGACCCTGCCACCCCTTCAGGGCTCATCGTCATCACTAAGGTCCTCGTCGACGGCGGGCAAGGGCGCCGTGCCCCTGGCCCAGCTCTCGAGCGAGGCCCAGGAGCTCCTGACGCAGCTCAACGCCCACACGACACGGCTCGCGACCACGCTCACGCAGCTGACGGACGACATAATCCGCAGCGGCAGCAGGCTGGCGTACGAGGTTGAGCTGCTCCGGGGCGAGACGCTGGGCCTGGCCGAGACGCTCACAGAGGGCCCATTGCGGGAGGATCTTGAAAGGTTCGTCCCGGCCGGCATCGAGAACACGGTTGCCTCCACCAGGCGGGCGTCGTTCGGGAGCTTAGCACCCCCCACGCCCTTCCCCGAGAAGGACAAGGACTCGCCTCCGCCCGCGACGCCCGCCGCGGTGGTGGAGAAGAAGGCTGCCGAGGCCGGCGAGGACGAGCCGGCGTACATATCACACCTGAGGACGCTGACGCTAGTTCGGTCACGTCTCGACTCCGTGATCAAGACGTTCGGAGATGCGATGGACTTTGTCTTCCCGCCGTCCGAGGTCTCCGTCAGCTCGGGCTTCCTCTCCGTGTCGGCGCCGGACTTCCCGGACATGCACACCGCGTCCAAGGAGCAGATCAGCACTGAGGAGAAGGGCCAAAAGACCCTCAGGAAACTGCGCGACGAGATCTCGGGCCTGCTGGCGAAGAACAACCCGGACCCGGTGAAGGGCGTTGAGGACGCTACCAAGAGGGTGGAGGAGCTCAAGGAGCTCACCACGGTATGGAAAGGCACGGCGGAGGAGAAGGGCAGGCAGAGGTTCGTGGAGAACCTGGCGCGGATGGTCGAGGATCGGCATAGGGAGTTGGTGAAGGAGGCGGAGATGCAGAGGGACCAGGGCTTGAGGGAGAGTCGAAGTAGGCAAGATGAGGACGCCTTGAAGCGAGAGCAGGCGAATACCTCAGATTCCGCCTCTTCGGAGGCTAGAGGGTCGATGGGCGGTTACGGGTTTATGACTCAGTGGCAGAAGCTGAGGAGTGGGCTTTGAGAAGGAGATGGCGCGCCAGACATCACGGTTTAAGACTTCGCTAAGGGTCTATCTATGCCATTATACCCGAGCTGCTCAATTTGATGGGACAGAATAAAGAACTGGTCGCTTCATAGCACAATTGCCCTCCCGATGTCCAATTCGGATGTGCTCAACCCATTGAACTCATGTTATGCGGCCATTGACCTTTGAAGCCGTTGTGTATACACATTAGATTCATATGATGCTGATGATCTTTCCCAAGCCCAGCATAAACTGGCTGTCCTGGACTGCCTTTGCCAATGTGTCGAAGAACTTCCACACGGGCACAAAGAAGGTTGCCCTTCGTCATCGTCATGTTCCAAAGCAGGCGAGATTCTCAGTTTATAACATGCATGCTACATATGACATAGTTTGGTTTTGGCACAATGCCACCTGTTGGCCCCTGCTCGGCTGGGGAGTAAGCCGTTTCGGGCTATCGTAAAGGCAATACTGACTCTTTGATAGAAGAAAAAGTCTCCTATTACAAATCACATTGGTCATTGTACTCCTGGTCAACCGGAAAAGAGGTACATCTTGCTGAGTTGGTACAGACACTTTTGAGTTCGCATACGCATCGTACTTGAGCAACACATCCTTAACCCCGGTTTGCGCATAAAGCGAGGGCATAATGTTTCGTTTGATTTTGTTCTGTTTCTGTTTCTGATCCTGATTCCTCGCAGATACTGGGATTGCCTCACCACTTTGTGCCCTGATACCAAGGTCACTGCCAGAACAGTCAAGGCCTCCCTTGGCCCTTGAAGTACAATTCATAAAATCTTAACCCGGCGTTTCCAGTTCTGTCCCAGCCAGCCAAACCTAACCTTGACAACTCCGTCCGTTCCGTATCGTCCTGCAAATGCATCAACTGCGGGTCTTAAACAGACCAATTCACACCGGCATGCAGCCCCCAACCTCAATCTTGCTCTTTGATGGCGTTAATTCGTTTCTTCAGAAACTCAAAGGAAGAGAAGAAAACCGCATTCACGGCGCAGGATCTGCCCATGGAAACACCAAGACCCCTGTACATATGCCTTCGGAAGAACTCAATCTTCACCGGGGGCACCGTCTGACCCCTGGAGTACATCAGACAATTACGCTGATATATGCTCTTCGCGGAATCGATTGGGTCTGTGACGATTTGTCAGATGGCCGTTCGAAGATGCGTGACGTTGTTCTATAGATACTCACAGATCATAGCCCAGGATACTATCCCGCATAGCCCACCCGCGACTAGGACCGCCAAAGGGTTCGAGTGGGTACCATCACCACCAAAAGTCGTCAAGAGCTGCTTGCTGCTCTCATACGTCATGAAGTAAATGCCAGTGCCCAGTGTGTCTCTCACTATATTACCAATTAGATCAAATATGTCGGACATTGGGCCACTGAATACGTACGTAAATGCAGATTGAACCCGGTGTAGAGTCCAAAAGGGCCACGGTGCCGGATGATATTTGCCATCGTCTTCAAAGTACCCTTGTTCTGATAACTGGCAGCGATTTTATGACTTTCGGGATGGGTGCAGTTCTTCTTGTCGGCTAGAAGCACCGATACCTGGGCACTCAGCTTCGTGAGTTCGAAAGGGCCTGCGGGGCGTCAGATGCATGGAACATTGCCGTTGTACACTTCCGGAGGAGCAGAAGCACTCACAGGCAATAAGTGTGATACATGAGCCAGCCGTTGCACCGGCGGCCCCAAAACAGGCGATAGAAGGTAGGTTTGGATATGTACCCTGTTTGTTCACATGGGCCAGTACATCGATGCCAAAGTTCTTCTTGAGCCAGTCCGAGTAGACGTATTTTGATCGTTGGTATATCGAAAACGAGACCGTTCGCACGAGAGTGATACTAGCCATAGGGGCAGTCACGCCTGGAGATATAGACATATATTAGCAATGGCAAATCCATCGTGGAGAAGTCCAGATGGTGCGTTACGAAGGGAGTGCTCACCCCGAAAAAATCCCCTCAATTGCTCGGTCTGGTACGTATGCTTCACACAGTCCAGGAAGCCGGAGTAGTTGTATGTCTGCATGCGTGTCTTGACGCTGTCGAGCGGGAAAGCCGTCAAGGTGGACAAGACACTGGACGCAGACGCGCTCACCTCGGTCCTGTACCGCTTGATGAACGGCGGCGTCTGCTCTTGCTGAGCCTTGTGCTTGCTGTCTCCCTTGCCGGCGGCCATGTCTGCTGCTCGCTTGTCGCCGCCCGTCGTCGTGATGTGACTGCCGCTGCTGCCTTTCGTAGGCGTGGTCGGAGGCTTGAGCTGAGGACCATTTTGGTTGAGGGATATGAGCTCAGCTGGCATGCTTCCTGGCAAATACAGGCCCTGAGCAGCCGCCTTTGGACAATGACCTCGATAAGTCGAGACCAGAGCCTTCAAAGCGGGCGCGTTGTGGGCAAGTGCCAGAAAACGAGGTCCATGAAGAACCCCGCGATGCGTGGGTTGTGATCAGTCGTTGTCGACGGCCTCAATGGTCGGCTTGGATGGGTGGTGGGGGGGTATTGATGGGGTGGAATGAGGTTGTAAGGGAGAGAAGGTTCCTGGACGGGCTCGAGCACGAGAAGCTAGAGAAGTAACCACCGAATTGATGTGCTAACGACTCTTATCGTCGTGCAACAGAAACTCATCTGCGGGAGCATTAGAGTAGTGATGGTGTGAAGTGTATTGGGGACCTGTAGAGAATTGCGGGGTCCTGTCCAATACCCACCCAAAGCTAGCTCAGCTCCGGGAGCTGGTTCGCCAGAGCGGTCACATCTTTCTCCACAGTGACGGTAGATCATTGATCTGAAGGCTAAGTATGGAGCACCTGGACGCTCCCGGGGGGTCGAAGCAAGAGACCCCACCCATGGACATCGATTTGTATCACAAGCTATGAACCCACACCACTCGCTTTTGTTCCTCTCCCTCCGTCCAGGTTGGGCCCTGTTGCAGGACTCACTAAATACATGTCTTGGACAGTGTGCTCGTACAGACTGACAGTATTTCCGACCGTGCTATACGACTCAGCAGAGACATGTGTGTGCGAGCCTCCAGACGTCACGGCGACACAGGGATCTGCCTCTCACCGAGTCAGGCCGCGTCGCACAATGCAGCAGGCCAGATTTGGAAGCGGAAGTTGTGTTTCGATGGTGTGCACGGCGGTTGAAACCGAATATATGCCCGCCTGGGCATCGGGCGTCGGGCCTGTCAGATTTATGTGCTGTACAGCTGTCATCGGGCGGGCAAAGCTCGAGGCTTGTCATGGCTGGCTCGTCATGGTTTTGACAAAGCGAAGCTCTACACCTTGCTGTAGACCAGTTCCGGTCAGCTCCAGCATGCAGGCAAGGCCTGGGATATCGTCCAATGCGGCTCCTACAGTGCTGCACGGCTCTCATGTTCCTGGCCCTTGCAGCGCTCCAAGCAGTAGCCAATAGAGACTCCTGCACAGCTTGGCCCACGCCTGGACCGGTGGCCGAGGGCAGAATCATCAGATGCTTGCGCAAGTACACCGAGGCAGCCCCCTGGGTCGTGAAGCAGCCGCTGAATCTTTCGCTCTGGACTCAGGAGACTTGCTTTGAGTCGAGTTACTGCAGCCAAGCAAAGCGGGCCGTTTCCTCCTCTAGACGGCGTCTCAGGACCATCTAATTCGGGGGCGGGGAGTGGCGGGGAAGGAGGTCCGCCCGGGTCTCTGCCGACTTGGCCGGCGTCTCACCGCCCAGCACGGGGGGCAACACGATCCGGCACCTCAGCGGAGAGGCAGACACAAGCCCATCGTCTTGTTAAGCATGGCAATGGTGTGCTCATAGTGGACATATGCTGTATCTTTGATCAAGTCCCTGCGCTTTCCCGTTAGCTCCGCAGGCCTTCTTCGTATGAAACCTGAAAAAGCTCAGAAGGGACACGCAACGCACTCTTTCTTCTTGTAGCTGGGATCCGTGATGTGCTTCCAGGGGAGGCGACGGTTCTTTTCCCTGCACCACTGAGTGAAGAGAAGGCTCTTGACGATCTTATGCTCCGTGCCTGTCTCCCTGGCCGCGTTGTTGAGGAACCATACGGTGCGACGAATGGTGCTTTTGTTGAAGGTTCTGGTTTTGTCACGAAAAGCTCGGCGTAGCTGATCTCGCGCCACGGTGCTTGCCGGCTGAGAAAAGCATACTGCTCTCAGGGCAGCTTGGTACAAGTGCCGATAGGCATGAATTACCTCTTCTGCAGCCATCTTGGCCAGAGAGCTGGTTGTGAAATGGGTTGTGATGATTCCTGGTTGTTCGGCCTCGAACTCAATTGAGATGCCGCCTGCCGTGTAAAGCTGAGATTGACCTTGGTGCACAGGCCACCTGCCCCTTCCAGCTCCCTGTGGCACAGAAGGTCGCTCAACTCGTGGCGAGGTTCTTCAGCAGCGACAGTGATTTGTAAATTGATCATGCGTGACGCTCATCGAAGCACTGTCCCAATCAGTCCGTAAGGGTACCAGCGATGCCCCCGCCAATTGAGGAGGATGAAGAGGTTGTCCATGCTCTTATCCATGTATCTTCGACCTCCGTAGAGCAATTTCTTGGCTGACTATCGCAGCAGGATTTAGATGGAGGAGCTCCTTCTGAGCAGTCAGCCAGTGATGATACTGTTCACAACAACGCAGACGCAGATAATACCATCTCATTATCACATGATGTTCAGAGCAGGACTTCTCCTGAACCTGTCGTCAGCGATATCCCTTTTGTCACCAGCGATATTCAACCACCCAACGAACCAGCTGCCCCTAAACCCGTATCTCAGGAGTTTGGAAAGCGAGAAACCAGTGTGAAACGCAAATCACCAGATAAGAGGTCCAATTATGGCGTAAGATATATATGCATGACAGGCAAGGACTGTACTGACCTGGATGTAGACGGAGGCGAAACGGAGGAGGGGCAACCCACGATCTGTGCCCTGCGTTCTTTGCGTCCGTCGCCTAGCAAATGACCCCAAATGGGCATGTCATGATGCAGTTGGTATGGAAGCGTAGTTTTTAAGTTGTGTTTTCCTTTCTCTTGAGCAATACGAACGGAAGCCGACTCTGAAGCCTGTTTGTTATGGAAACTCGCGGCTAATTAAGTCTTCAATATTTCAGCTTCTCAAGACGGAAATCCTGGGTATAACGGTAAGAGGTAAATCACTCCAATTATCACCTGTAACGGCTGAGGACATACTGACATTGATAATAATGGTTTTAGATGTAGTGAATGTATCGGATCACACGTATCCTGCAACCTCGTAAGTATTCACATTAAGGAATTCACACCATATATATTCTGCCGGGACATATCACTTATTCGCATGATGTAGATACCACCTAAGGCCGTGTAGCCGGTCAAGGCTCTCGTGAAAGCTGCTGAGGAGGTGAACCAACACAATGGCGTGAGTCACCTTAAGGAGGCCGGCCGAGCTGGGCCGTTACCCCCCTCCCCCCCATGGAATACATGCACGTCGATATCAGCTTACAATATTGCATTGTTCAGAGTCAAAACCTGGCCGTACTGGCTGCATACGAAGCGGCCATTGGCCCAGCGCTTCGGGCCTTGCTTAATATTGGTCTGCAAACCTCTGTAAGGGCTAATGAGCCGAAAACGAGGGGCGGGCTGCCGAAGAAGAAAAAGAATTCCAAGGATAATAGAGATCCTAGCAAAGGGAAGGTGGCAGCGACTAGGACATTGCCTCAAGTGTCTAGCCATAGACGTCGATCAAGAGACTCGTTTGCGCAGTCCACATCGGAGAATAGGAACGACTTCCAAGGCCAGAACTCGGACCCAGCAGTGCTTTCTACGCCTTTCCAACCTGAACAGAGACGTAATTCTCCTATACAAAATTCCGATGCCTTTGAAAGGATGGAAAGGCAAGCTCTTCGGAGGCGAAAAGTCGAGGCGCTCGAGTCTCTGGCCCACACAGCAGCGCTCTTCCTGGCAGAGTTCTTGGATTTCAGAAAGGCACAGCAGGTGCCGGCGGCGACCAGATCACCACCGGCGGGATCAGAGCAGCACCAAGTAGGCCCGGGAGCAGGAGTGGCATATGCCGCAGCCGCAGCAGGGATGGCTGCGAACGTCTTCCAGCCACTGAGCCAGGAGCTCGAGCGCAGCGGTTACAACAGCAGCGGAAGCGAAATGGCACAGCACAGCAGCAGCCATGATACCAGTGACGATGAGGATCTCCCGTTCAGGATCTCAATCGAGCCCAAAGTCGACGTGGACATGGACGATTCGGAAAGCGATGGGTCGTCCTCCGAGACATCTGCCAGCTTCAGGGATGGAGTAGAAGCGAATGACGACGAGCCTGAAGTCAAGGTTGAGGAGAAATGACCGGTGAGATACTGGCAGCCTAGTGCGGCCCGAAAAACATTATGGTAATCTGCACACGTTCTGGATGCTGGGGGCGTTGAAGGAATGAAGGGCAGAGACATAAGCAAGGATGAATCGGTTGTAATAGTCAGCCATGTGTCGACTTGAATTGTTACAGGTATATATCACTGCACACCTAATGCCATGCCATGCTAATCCAGGTGTCGTTGCCCATCTACGACTGGCTGAGCTGTAAGAATTATTTCTCTGACAAGGGACTCATCTCACTCTGCCAGATGACCACCTTCATATCTACTAGAATTAGAACGAATTTCTGACCTCGGTGCCTTTGTATCTACACTATGCCTTTCATGCCAGCAACTACCCGGCTTTAGAAATTCAAAAGCAACGCCTGCAAAGGATGCCGTCAAGCAGCAGGCGTCAAGAAATATGACCCGCGTGAGATGGAGAGGAAGCTAGGCAAACGCTTCGCTGGAGAAAAGCATGCGATGTGAATCGTCGTGAACGTTTATCTCGCACAAGACTATCCTCAGAACAGAAGTACCTGAAGGCCAGCTTTACTCAAGAACACCAGATTCCAATGCTGTCGACGGCCGATGCTTCCCGTAGTGCTGTGCATGAGCAAGTGTATCACATCCACATATATTGCCACGCCCCGAGAACCGATAAAGCGAACTACTGATACACATACTGCCCAAATTCCTGACAGCGCCATTCTTATATATCACCAAGAGCCCTTCTCTGGACGTAGGAAAAAAAATTCTGAATATTGACACTGCGTACAACGCTCTGCACAGCACGCGTGTGCCGTCTTTGTGCGCTGCGATCTCCCGATGGAAATCCCAGAAAAGGAAAAAAATAGCAAAACGTTCGTCGCAAGCCTGTCTCTGTTCCCTTCTAATATGCAAGATGTCTATGCCCACGACTCGTCGTCTTTCTGCCCGTATTCTGCAAGATTTATCCACCGGTTCCCCAGTATACATTGATGATATGTTGCCTAGGTATCTTCTCGCCTTCTTCATCAAAATGATATCCTTCCCCAACGCCCTAGTCATCCTGATTACCCAGTGGCTGATACCTTCCACTTCTGTTCGACACGCTACCCGACCGCGCGCGGGACTGTGACCGGCCAACAACCCTGGACAGCCAGCCAGCGACCCCGCCCTCCGCCTGTCCGGATTCGTACTGAGGCCGTCCGTTGACAAAGTTGACTGCCGGTGGGTCGACATCCAGCCCAGGGAACGTCGGCGCCTCGGCCAGGAGGGGCCGGCCGCGCATGTCGAGGGATGGCACGGGAGAGCCGGCGCGCACATGGGAGCCGTCGACCGGCCCGAATGCCGGTGTGCCCGCCGAGGCAGGCGTGCCGATCGTGGTCGTCGCGTCGCCGAAGATGGAGTTCATGTCCTCGAGGCGGACACCGCTGGTCTCGGGGTAGATGAAGTATACTGTATTGTTAAGTCAGCATTAAATTTTGGCGAGCCACGGGATATGTAGCAGGGTCCCTTACCAATGACAAAACTGGCGGCACAGAAGAACGCGTGCACGAGGTAGAGACGCCATTGGATCCACTCCTGCAAAACGGGAGTCATCTCTCCTACGAGCCAGTTGAACGCCCAGTTGGTCGCAGTCGAGAGCGATGCGCCCTTGGAACGGATGCTCAGCGGTAGAATCTCAGGCGGGTAGAGCCAGGGTATTGGGCCCCACGAATAGCCAAACGCAGCATTGTAGATCATGACAAAGATCACGACCAGGGTGGGCGTTGCTCTAATGTCAAGGAAGATGAAATACGAGATCAATGACAAAGATATCGTCATAGCAACCGCGCCTGAGAGCAAGATGACCCGACGACCCCACGTGTCGACAATGTACCACGGTGGGATCGTGGACAAAAAGTAGGTGATTCCGTTGATACCAGTCATCAGCACCGCATCGTGACCAATCCACCCGGCAGATTCAAACACATAGGGGGCGTAGTACGAGATGACGTTGATGCCGTTGAGCTGGGCAAGACCCTGCGCAGACATGGCGATGAAGACACGGGTCTTGTATCGGCGGAACATGTCACTATACGTCCTCTCGCCCTCCTGACGCTGGAGTAGGACGTTCATCTTGATCTCGCGGAATTCGTCACGGGCCTTGGGATTGTGAATGTCACCGCCCCCGTAGAGGTTGGCGATGACGACAATGCCCTCCTCGTCATGGTCGTTATCGAGAAGCCATCTGGATTACGTTAGCACGACGCAGGGCGTGGCTGGCGGTGTTTACTATACCTGGGGGATTCGACAATGACGAGACTACCAATGCCGAGTAGACCACCCATAATGCACTGCATGAACAGAGGCACCCGCCAGGAGGCGTCACTCTCTATGAAGCCACAGAAGTAATCTACCCACACGGACGTTGTGTACCCAATAATATTTCCCGAGAACTCAATGCAGGCCAGCTTTCCACGGTTGTGCGGCGGTGAGATCTCGGATTGGTAGACGGGGACGATGGTCGACAGCGAACCAACGCCCAGACCAGCAATGATTCTGCCTAGCATCATCATCGGCATGCCTGTCGCGAACGTCTGGAGAGCTCCGCCTATGAAGAATACTATCGAACCGTAGAGGATCGTCCGTCGACGGCCGATGATATCTCCGATCTTGCCCACGAGCAGGGACGATATCAGCGCACCAATCTCGAGAATGGCAACCATGGTCCCTATCTCGCCTCTCGAGGGCTGGTGGAAGTAATCACGGAAGTACGGGCCCCTGGGTGGAAGACACCAGTCAGCTACGAAGCTTTGGCCGGAACAGGGACGGGGGATTAAGTCCTACGTGATAATGCCCGACATCACACCTTGGTCATAGCCGAAAAGGAACACGCCTAATGACACGAATATACTCGTGAAGTAACTGGGAAGGGTTGTCTCATCAGCATCTGGGTCATAGCACGTCACGGCACACACACACACGCGGCAAGGCGTGGACCTACATCAGGGGCTTCCCCGTGAAGCCCTTTGAGCTAGGCATGATGGTAGCGATAAGGCGTTCCGCCCTGGATGGGTTGCGAGAGATCAGCTCGGGGATCTCAATTGCCTCCTTATTAACGACGCCAGGCTGCCCCGAGGAGTGGCGGTGGGAGCGGCGTTGGTGATCGGGGTCCTCGTGGATGCGGACGTGCTTCTTCTCTCTCCTGCTGCCGCCGCTGTTGGAGTGGTCGTGGTTCCGGGGTAGATGCTTCAGGCCGGCGAGAGCCGATTCATCGAGGGTATCGTTGAGCCTGGCGCGCAGAGGGTCCTCGGCGTCGATCTGCTCACCAATATCGCCGGTCGAGACCCAGCTCTCGGTGTCGTCGTCCGAGTCGGAGCCGGGCTTGTCAACGCTGTGGCCGGAATGGTGGGCTCCCAGGAATGACGTCGATTCGTCTTGGTGGTGTCGCGAAGAAGAGCCCGAGGACTCGGCGAGGTTGCGGAGGGGGATGTTAGACGACGGTCGGGTGTTTGGCCTGGAGGTTGAGAAAGGCATACGGCATGACCTTTTTTGTCAACAAAATAAAAACCGGCAGAAGGGGGGGTTGGGCGAGAGACGAGCGAACGAATGACACGACGTGGGAGGAGAGGCTAGCTCGGCGTGTCTGACTCTGGACTGGACCGACAGTAGTCGTATGTACTATGCTATCAGAACAGATCGGGTCAGGATCAGGAAAACTTGCAATCACAGTACGGAATCCTGAAAGACGGGGGGCGGGTGTGCATGGGCAAAGTACAATGCTATCGTTGCAGCGGGAAGCGCAGTTGCGGTTGCGGTGAACAATCAATCGTACGTAGCTTCTTCTCAGCTCTCCAAGATCCCCCCGATTGCCTTGACCACGGCCATTGAGGTCAAGGATGCTTGCCTAACGGGCCCATAATAGTGCATGGCCTCGCCGATCTCACAGCCATTGCGATAAAGAGGTACACTTGTCCACCGCCTAAGCTTGGTGCATGGCCAAGTATCTTTGATCATTTCCACTTCGCACACTCTATTTGCAGTAATTGAGACGAGACGCATTTCGCTCGCCCCCCTTTTCCTCGAGGGACCGAGACGGCCATGGAAGTTTACAGCTGTTTATAAAAAGAGACGAGACCTGGCCTGGGCCTGGATGGCCTGGTGTTTACTGTATTTCGCAGTAGGCGTTGGTCCTTGGAATTGATCCTTCTTCTACGGCGCATCCATCCAAACTTGGCCCACTTGTCCAGCTGTCGCGCCGTGTCCTAGAGCTGTGCGGTGCTGTCATTGCTCCACAGCCCTCTCCCATCTTATCTTTTGGGCCGAGGATTGGGGGAAGAATCCACCATCGTGGCGTCCTGCCAGCACAGGGGATCGTGCCATAGGCAGTCTACAGAGGCACTGAGCCCCAGTCCCGACTGAGAACAAAGTTTGCACCATCGTTCCTGTTTGTGCGGTACCTCGTCGGTTCCTTGCGGCGCTGCAGACGTACAACTGACTGACTGCTCATCGGGTTCGCTCACTGTGTGCTGCATGTGGAGTCTTGCAGTCCCAAGAGTCAGGCAGATGACCTCGAGTCCGGGGAAGTGTGTAAGAGCGGCTGCCCACGAGACCCTTTTTTTACTCCATCTCCCCTCTTTCTTGCCGGCAATGGGCCTGTTGCGTTCGAGATCACAAGTTGGCAGCACCGTTAACCCCAGACCCAATGACGCCACCCCGCATTCAAGTCCTCAGGGTCCCTGGCTGCTTCAGGCTCAATTCTCTTAAAAAAAAAATATGCCACCCCCATCTACCCACCCATCTTGCCGCCTTGCTGGGACATCACGCATCACGCATCGTATCGTCTCGCCAGAGGCATCGAAGGAACCAGAACAATCCTTCCGCCTTCCGCGGCTACGGCGCTGAAGCGGAAAAACCCCGTCCATAGGCTCACGGAACAGAGCTCGGGCTCGTGTAATATCTGCCACACTGCAGTGGTGATACGGGGCTCCGTTGCTCAGCTGAGGACCGACATAGTCTAGTAGGACAGGGCAAATCTTGCCGCAGCTGACCATGGAGCCTTGCGCCCCGCAGCTTGTGTGCACATACCACACCTGGCGATGAGATGAACTGTCGTGTGAGATCCAATGGGACGGACCATCTATATCTACCAGAACTCCGATCTTATTACTAAGACAGTGGACTCCCTCAAGTTTCACTCTCGCTCAGCTGTTCCTTTTGACCCAGTTGCACCTCCTGCTACTCGAATGTGTCAACCTCAACAACTGGTGCTGACAAGCTGTACTGCGCTGAAAACGATGGTGCCGGGGATTTGCTATTATTGTCGACACATTGACCGTTGGCGGATGCCAACATCGTTGCACCTGAAAAGCTCACAAATTGGAATGTGGCCTTGATACTCTACGTATGTTCAAGGCACGCACAGCACCAAAGCGACGCGTGCTTGCCCGAGGATAAACGAGCTGGACGTCCCGGCCCGGCTCGGGAAATCCGATGGGCGGGCGCGAACGTGTATGGCCACTGCCTCATGAAAGACCGCTTGCTGAACTCCCCGAGTTTTCTTGTGCGAGCCTTCGGTCATGCGCTGTGGTTGGGACGGTAGTATTTCAACACCTGCACGCCATCTCAGCCACATTTTTGTCGTCAGCACGCAAGACTGCGCGCGCAAAGACTGCCGTGCTAAATGTCTGTTCTGGCTTGTCACCAGCAGGAAGGCAGTCCGCAGTCCTTTCTTGCGTACATACAATGATGGACAGACAAACCAGCCACGAGATCGAAGCCCGTTGTATACTACAGCATCTTGGTAAAGGTCACCTGACAAAGTGCCGCCGTTGGGCCTCAAATATGTGCTCTGTTCAAAGCAGAGTTGCCTCGCGTTGGACGTCAAGCCTCGAGATTGCCAGGGCGGGATGGGAGTCCTCCGACGGCTGCCGCTAGGGACTCACACCGCCAGGGTTCGACCAATACGGCGAGCCTTATCTCGGCCGTTACATTGAAAGCAGAATAGCATGTGGGCAAACGGCTAGACCCGCCGCGTGTAATAACAGTGTGAGCAAGCAAGCTGGCGAGCCAGCGTTGTCTTCAGCTTGGACGGACTCTACTACCTACACCCGTGCAGTGATCAGCAGCCAGCAAGCCGACAAAAGGCAACGAGTGGTTGCGAAGGCACGGGGGCCATTGAGCCAAAACAGGATTCAGCGTCCAGTCCCAGAGAGAGGTGCGCGCCGTCGTGGCAGGCGTGGATGCGTGTGGCTGTGGCTGAAACGACACGGCGGCCCAGCGGCCCCAACTTCGGGCTGCAGGTTGGCAGGTTAGCTGCATGCCTTGCTATATTTGCCTGCGTGACTAGCGGGAGGATGAGATGCAGAAGAAGCTTGGAGGAAGGATTTGGCCCACGAACTGGCCTGACTTGTGCCTCCCGGGGCGACGGTTGGTGACGTGAAGGGAGATGCTATAATGGGCAGCGAGGTGTGACGGAAAGGCTAGGCAATAGCCTTGGGATAAATGTCCGACGTGGGACACAGCGTCTTGCTATTCTTTGCGAGTGCTTGGTGTGCGACAGTGATTCCAAGGAGGTGGGCCTCGACGAGAGCTTGGCGTTGTCGTCCCTTGCCTCTGGTAATTGAAATGAAGGAGAAGAGAGGGTGCTTCCGAGACAAGGTGAGGCCGAGCTGGGAATGCCGTGATCGACTCTTGATCGGGGGTAAGCAGCCCCCCACCCAGCTCCCTTAGCTGAGATTGGGCCATGGCGGAGGTCGAATGTGAGCATGGTGAGGCATTGAATGCTGTTACCTGCCTTCCCTTGCTGCCTCCGAATATGGTAACATCGGCGAGTGCAGGTGAGTACCGACAGGCAGGGGCCATTGAGTCCGGGGGATGGCAGGCCGGCAGGCTGGCAGGCGGGGAAGGATAGTCGTCGAGACTCGACGCAGTCAAAGATGTGCCCAGGGATGGTGTCGCGGGAGCGCAGGCGTCGTCCAGCCTCGAGGCCGTTCACCAGCTCATCATGCATGAAGATCAAATCAAATCAGAGGCCAAAGCTGCTGTCGGCCGCGGGACGCCTGGGACGGGTGAATTATGCTGCTCGCTGGGCATTATTATAGTTATAGTTAGATCGCCCACCCTGATTCAGGATGGACGGGCGCCCACCTGCAAAGTGTGCCCTCCGATCCCCATCGCATGGTTGTTCATATTAGCGCCGGCAGCACACAGCACATAGCACAGCACAGCGCAGCACAGCACAGCACGCCTCGTTCTGCTGGGCTCTTGGTGTTTCAAACTTGCTTATATCTGATGAGGTACCCACCCGCCCGGCCACCCGCTCCCTCACCACCCACCACGCCCTCTCCAGCCATCGTCGTCTGCATTCCAAGCCTGGCTGGCAGCCGTCAAAAACAAAACGCCCGTCCTCCCGCCGGTGCGCACTGATGTCAGTGTCACTTGCGACACAGATCGTCACCCATCACCCACACCATTGCCATTGCTGGGCGCCACAGATTGTTCAGAGACTTCCTAGGCCCAGCATAATCTTAAATTCTTATTTCCACAACCAAGGTAAATCCCCCGACGACGCTTGACTGCGTGCAACTGTCCGCCCCCGTCGGCCCTCGAGCGATCCAATCACGCCACCCAAAAAGCGCCCAGGTAACCTTGGAAGTGGGCCACTCCAAGCTCCTGCCACTAAAAACAACAACCTGCCCAGTAAAAAGAAGGACGGCGCCTCCTGCCGCAGGCTCCCAGGTTCCTAGGTTCCTTCCAGCCTTCCCGCGACCCACCCCCCATTGTCGGGCAAGGACATTCTCCCACCGCCTTGCTCGGGCCAAAACCACCATTATTCCACCCGGTTGTCCTGCAGTCAAGTTAAACATCAACTAGGAGGTCTGCCGTTATTCCAGTGGCGACAATCGGTTAGGAGGTAACCGATTATCCCATTGTCGACAACTGGTCAGGACGCGACTGGTTGTCCCACTATCTATCCACATTGGATTACGAGGTCACCTGTTCATCCTTCGCCATCGGCCAACCGACGACCGCGATATATTCCCGCGGTCGAGACAACATCCCATCCCAACGCCAACCGCCCTCTCGGCTGATCATCCTCGAGAACCGACGCCATGGGCTCAACACAATTTGGGAATTTCGGCAATTTTTGTCGTGATTCCACGCTCCCAGTGTGCAACTTGCTCACCAACAGCCACGACCAGAATGGAGGATGGGGCGGCTGCGCACTCACGGGCATCGCGCTGAGCGGTGGGAGGAGGCTGGGCAACCTGGGCTCGATATTACTATGCGGTGTCGCGATCGCTACGGCCATCTATCTGATTCTGCGCTCCGAGCGCAAAAAAGCGGCTGTCGGAAGGAGGTACGTTTGTTAGGACAGAAGCCCGGAGGTTGGTGGTAGAAGTGATGGGTGGAAACAGGAGACACCCTCCTACCTGCCGTCTTTCTGCACCCATACTGGCATTCTGGCTTCTCTCCTATTCCTCCCAGGTGTCCTCCCTGCAGACTCGATTCTCTAACATCCATTCTAGGGAAATGCAGTTGTTCCTCGTCGGTTATATCGTCATTTCGATTTGCGAGATTTTCACAGTCGGGGAGTTTCCCCTAAGCTCCACAGTTCGCATAGCGTTCACTGGCATCCACATCGGCTTCATCATTGCGACCACCTGGATGCTGATGCTGAATGCCGTCGTCGGGTACCAATTCATTGACGACGGCACACCAATGTCGCTCGGCCTAATTCTGGCATCTGCCATCGTGCTACTGGTCGGGACGGGCTACATCGCTCTTGACACCGGGTTCAACTGGACAGGCACGTTCGAATCGAGCTACGACGGCCCTAATTACCGAAACATCGCGCTGTATGTGCTGTACCAGCTGGCGCCGCTGATCTTCCTCGTTGCATTCTACGTCCTCGAGACCGTTCTAGTCTTGCGAGTGCTGGGCGAGACAAGGCCCATGGTCTATCTCACTCTGGCCGCCATCCTTTTTGCACTGGGCCAAATCTTCAACTACGCGATCAGCCCGCATATTTGCAACGGCACGAGCGGCAAGATTGACGGCGCATTGTTCGAGACGCTCTTTACCCTGCTCTCGGTTGTCATGGTCTGGGTTTTCTGGTCCTCTATCACGGAAGACGATTGGCCCATGCCTGTTGGGAACTATCCATAAACGAAGTGTCGTAATGCGGCCGACCTGGACACGTTCAGCGGAATCGGTCACGTAATAAACTAATGTCGAAATGAGTTCCTTTAGATAGCACATGACAGCAACATACCCATAATGAAATTTGGTAACAGCGCTTGGGATACCTCAGCTTCTCCATGATGACCTCCCTGTGAGATAACATTATATACTTGGAATAACTTACCCCGGAGCAACCCGCTACTAGAGTATCTACTAGGAATTCGTCTCTGGACCAACCTTCTAAACGACACAGTTGCTGGATTGAGACCTAGGATCTTCACCTTGCCCATTTTAACCGTATCCCACCCTGAACTCTAGTATCACCACCCACCCCATAGCGGCTAAAGGCCCTCAACGCCGAAATTATGGTTGTTTAGCCTCATGCCGCACAGGAGGCTGTAATGTCGTTGTGCTGTCTAATAGTGAGGTCCACGGAGAGGAAGGTGTCCAAGCAAATGCGTTCGAATTGTCGAAAATTGCAGACGAATCGAGCTTGGTATGAGATCGAGCGAGTTCTTGAGCAGAAGCAATGCCTGGGTCAACTGGACAGGCGCGGGATTGACGCACCAGATGGCTGCAAAGATTTCGCCCGTCTAACCCAGGGAGTCAGCTTTTTTTATATTGTAGCAAAGCTCACACTGCTTGCACATCTTCACAAGCGAGGTTATATTCTCCCTGGAGCGAACTAGAAGACAAAAGGTTGGGGGCCGTGCTTTCGGTGAGACGTCATTGGCCGCCGTCAGCTACCGTGCAGTACTGGGTACATCCCGCCCCACTGCAGCAGCAGCCCTGAGCTGGGGAATCGATCTTCTTGTGCCTGTTCATGTGCGCGCCCTTACATCCTTCCACATCGTCGGCGTCGTTCTTTTTAGCACTCTCCTTGATTTTCTGCTTTTGATTAGTAAGGCCGGAGTGTTCTGTAGTCGGTCATGGAAGATTCAGAGACGGTCTAGAAAACCGCCTCAGACCTTTAGCGGAAACCGCCTCCTCCTCTACCACATGCCCGACACAGGCCTCCTCGGCGCCGAACCCCCATACCCAGTGGCGACATGGCCGACGATAGTGACGGCGAGTACATCGAAGGCATTTCCGATGATGACTTTGCCGACCATCAAGTGACGAGCGGCCAAGGCCATGCCCACGCCGCTGGTCGCAGCGACGCCAAGAACGCCGCGACCGCCAGCAGCGGCCGCGGTCAACGATCGCGTGGAAATAAGAGCAAGCACAGCAAGCGCGCAGCTTGGGAGGAAGGGAAGTTCACCTGGGATGTTCCAGAGGATGCCGAGGGCAACGTTTCTCTCACGGCTCTCCTCGAGGCTGAGAAGCGACGCCGCCTGCTCCGCGACACGACACCCTTCCAGCGTGGAATCATCCGGCATATGGTCTTGGTGTTGGACATGTCTTTCGCCATGCTCGAGAAGGACCTGCTGCCCAACCGGTACCTACTCATGATGCACTATGCGGTGGACTTTGTCAGGGAGTACTTTGAGCAGAACCCCATCTCGCAGCTGGGTATCATTGCTATGCGCGATGGTGTCGCGGTGCATATCAGTGAGATGAGCGGCAATCCGGCGGACCACATCGACTGGCTGAGGCATTGGGAGAAAAAGTTCGAGCCTAGAGGGAATCCTAGCTTGCAGAATGCTCTGGAGATGTGTCGTGGTGATCTCTTGTACGTCCCACTTTCGTCATGCCTTGATCCTGAAGTTCCCAACTGACATGTTGTCTCTTTCCAGTCACGCGCCCTCCCATGGTACTCGCGAAGTCCTCATTGTCTACGGCGCTCTTCTCTCTAGCGACCCTGGTGATATACACGACACTATCGAAAACCTTATAGCAGACCAAATACGAGTTTCTATTGTTGGCCTTGCCGCGCAGGTGGCCGTCTGCGCCGATCTGTCCTCGAAGACCAATGGAGGAGATGCTAGTTGCTATTCAGTCGCGCTGCACGAGCAGCACTTTCGCGAATTATTCCTTGCCAGTACCACGCCTCCAGTAACCCGACAGACCGAGCGGAACAACGCCAGCTTGTTGATGATGGGATTCCCCTCGCGGACGAAAGCCGAATACGCTGCCAGCTCTGCCGACGCTACAAAGGCCAGTGGAGGCTTGAAAGACAAGGTGGACGCCGCTGGCCGAACCTCCAGCGAGAAAAAGGATGCGATCAGTCTGTGTGCCTGCCATAACAAGCCCTGCCGAGACGGATACCTCTGCACGCGGTGTTCCACAAAGGTGTGCCGTCTACCGGCTGAGTGTCCCGCGTGCGGCCTGACGCTGATTCTCTCGACCCATCTGGCACGATCCTACCACCATCTCTTCCCCCTTCGGAATTGGGTCGAAGTCCCGTGGAGCGAAGCCGATAAGTCCACCGCGTGCTATGCCTGCCTGACGCATTTCCCCGAAGCACCGAAATCGAAAGGCAAGGGCAGGGAGCTTGCAGAGAAGACAGCTGGTGACAAAGTAAAGGGTATCAGCGAGAGCGGCCGATACGCTTGTGAGGTGTGCGGCAACCACTTCTGCATTGATTGCGACGTCTTTGCGCACGAGATTGTCCACAATTGCCCTGGGTGCCAGAGTGACACCCGAGCAGCGGCTCAGCTGGAGGCAGAGATGGATGCGGCCGAGAATGGCGTCACGCATGCCAACGGAAACATGATCGTGGATTAGAATTCGAGGGGGAAAAAAAATAAGGGCTCCGAAAAGGCTTCTCAAGAAAGAGAATATTTGATACCAATTTTGTATGATACAGGTATAGGAGTCTGGTTTACATCTCTTGGCGTTCTAGGCGAAGCAAAACTTGACAGCTTCACGAGACACAGGATAGAGCTACATTTTAGGCTCCGGGTCGCGATGTAATCAAACACAAAGAGGGCAGGCCTAATGGATAGACAAATGGCAAGCTTGATAGGAGAGAAAACTGGACTTGGTCCGAGTTGAATCGAATGAACTATTAAAACGCTGATGTGTGCTTCAGTCTCACTGCTATGTTGGGGCTAACCCTACACGTCAATTACAAATTTCCCCTCTCGGCCTGCTCGCGCTCGATCGCCTCGAACAGGCTCTTGAAGTTGCCTGCTCCAAAGCCATCAAAAGAGTTGCGCTGGATGATCTCGATGAACACGGTAGGGCGGTCCATCAGCGGCTTTGTGAACAACTGCAGCAGGTACCCGCCCTCGTCGTAGTCGATCAGGATGTTCAGCTTCTGGATGGCGTCGAAGTCCTCCTGCAGCTGCCAGTTCCTCTTCTCTGTCTTGAGTCTCATGCGGACCGTCTCGTAGTACGTCGCGGGCACGTCGATGAACTGCACGCCGCGCGCCCTCAGGGCGGAGACGGTGGACAGGATGTCGGGCGTCTGGATGGCGATGTGCTGCACGCCAGCGCCCGAGTTGAAGATGACGTACTCCTCGATCTGCGACCGCTTCTTGCCGAAGGCGGGCTCGTTGATCGGCATCTTGACCACCTCGTTGGGGCTCGACATGACGATGCTCTTGAGCGCCGAGAACTCGGTGCAGATCTGGCTGTCGTCGACGGACCAGAACCGGTGGAAGCTCAAGCAGCGCTCGTAGAACTCGCACGCCTCCACCATGGCATCCCAGTCCTGGTTGCCAACGCAGTGGTCGATGCGTGCCATCTGCACGTCCGGAAGGGCGACCGTCGCGGTTGGCAGCTTAGCCTCGCGGAAGCCCGGGAGGAAGGGGCCCATGTAGTTGTTCCGGCTGAGGAGCGTGTGCGTCGTGTCGCCATACGTGCGGATCATGGCGGTGGTCACGGAGCCGGCGTCGCCCTTGTCGCTCAGGACAGTGGGGGCCTGGACGGAAACAGCACCTTGCGCCACGGCGCGGTTGTATACGCCCTCCACGGAGTCGACTTCGAAGGCAACATCCTTGACGGCATCGCCATGCCGCTCGAGATGGGCGTGCATTTCGACAAGGAGGGCCTTCTCAGCCTTAGAGATAGGCTCATCCTCGGGGAGGTGGGCGGCCGAGCGGATCGGGGACGTGAACACAAAGCGCACGTCACCGTTGCCCACGACGTGGGAGGTGAAATACCGACTGCCTGTCTCGAGGCCTCGGTAGGCCAGCGGCTTCATGCCGAAAAGGGATGAGTAGTATGCGGCAGCCTGTTTGGCGTTGCCTACCCACCAGGTCACATGGTCGTAGCCATTGAAGCTGGGAAGGGGATGGCGAACTGCAAAGTCCGCATCTGTGTGTGTTGACGTAGCGCTACCATTGGTATGGTAGGCTACCGAATTTCGTGGGCTGTCATTGATGGCAGACGGGCTCATTATCACTCAGAGTGGTTCTCTGAAATGTTCCGGATATCTACCAAGATTGATGTTGATAGTTCCAAAGTATTGGGAAGATTGACGAAAGAGGAGCTAAGCGAAGTCTTAGCTGCTAAGATGAACACTGGAAAAAGAAGAGACTTGTTGGTATAGAACAAAGACCCCAGATATCCGAGGCCAGACAACGGCTGACGAGGAGCACGTATATATTCCTGAGGAGGCATAAGCAAAGGGAGTTGGCGGCAGCCGTGAGCGCTCCTCCTCCGCGCTGGACATCATAAGCCGACGTTTCGAGTCCGTCTATCTCGGTATGCCCGCGAGTGGCATAGTCCAACGACTACAGCCCTGTAACAATGACGACTCAACGGCTTGCATTCAAACAAACTCTATCGAGTTGCTTGACTTGACGCCGTTCCGTTGCTGATACGGAGCGCGGAACTGGTCCGATAAGCGAGGGTGCCCTGCACCAGCCGTCGCAAAGCGAGCTATCCGACGGTTGCCGCGCCCGGAATGTCAATCGCCCCCTCCAACTCCAACGACTAGTTTGTCCGACTACTGCGGTGAGAGCAACGCGCGCCTCCAGGACGTGCCGGAACTTTAACGAGTAGTTAGCCCGTCTTGAATAAGTCCTGGAACAAGAAGAAGTGGAGAAAGTGTGTTGTCCAGATTAACATATCTGCAATTATTCGACAGTAAGGAAGCCAGAGATTCCACTCATTCGATGCTTCCAGTCATTGATCACAGCCATTATCGCATCGCCGCCACGATCTTGACCTTACCAGGCCTTCGGTACTGAGTCGAGCTTCAGAGATCGCCCCATTCAACGCGTGCTGCATAGTTTGGGCTATCGTTCGAGGTGTTGAGTATCTGTGCTCGATTCGGCAGCAGCCTGTTTTGCAAAAAGCCCAGGAGTAGAGCCTCGAACTAGCATCTGTTGGATTCCGCATACCACAATGGCTTCTGTATCCCTGAGCACTCGAGACCTCAACATCCTGTAAGCTGCGTGGGCCCTGCCACTGTTCAAGTCATATTGGTGACTGACCAGATTAAACTGCCAGGGAGAAGATCCAGGATCCCGAGTTTGACCCTTCGCAAGCGGTCCAGGTGGACGAGTCGTTGCCGAAAGATCCCAATGTCACAGATGTCACCGAGTACGACCGCATTGCGGGGGAAGAACGGCGGTTGGTATTGACAGTGCAGCAAGCAGAGATCCAGCTTGCTGGGCCGGGACCAAAGACCGGTCTCGATCCTCGGAAGACATATGAAGAATGCGTTGCAGGGTTGAGCGAGCTTGTCTCCACGAATCCCTCGTATGCCAGCGCCAGAAACAACCGAGCTCAGGCGACTCGGCGCCTATATGGTGATGGCATGCTTGTATCGGGTCTGGAACCATCCGACAGTCCGCTCATTGCTGTGGGCGATTCAGAGGAGAGGCGATCAGCAGCTAGACGAACGCTTTCGGACCTCGATGCCTGCATTTCGCTTCTCACCCCGACAGGTTCTTATCCACGCTTCTCTCGACAAGCCGCCAAAACCCTATCATCGGCACACACGCAAAGGGCGGCAATTTACCATCAGACCTCAAAGATGCTGGCCAAAGGTGGTGTCCTGGATGTCGACCCGGAAAGGACCGAGACTGGTTGGCAGAGAATAGATTTTGAAGAGGCCGCTTCGCGAGACTTCGCCTTGGGCGGAAGGTATGGCAATGAAGTGGCCAAGGGTCTCGCGGTCAGCACAAACCCAACGGCGAAGCTTTGCGGGCAGATGGTGCGGGAGGCGATGAAGAAAGAGTATGGTCCGGCCTTCAGTGGGTGAAGCACACAGCATCGTGGGCTTCCATGTGCACAATCCGTACTAGCTTCGCAAGCCTGTCTCGTAGAGGCTGCTCCGGAGACTCAAGTGCAATGAATCGAGATTGCTTTGCGGTGTGTTGGCGAGAAACGTGACGATTCCGCCTCGATAATTGGGCGGCTTATTTTGGCCATCTCATCTAGGATGTTCAAGTTCACATCAATCATGCGAGATTATCACTCCTGACTCATGAAAGGAATCGAGATGAGTCGATATCAGCTTTGGAGAGGCCTAGGAAGCTCGCTTGGATAGACCAGTCCTCCTACATAGAGTTAGAATATGACAGAACATGTAGAATCTTCCAGTATCTCGATGAGCCAGCCCAGCAGCCCGCTCATGAAACAGGAGCATGCATACCTCAAACCAGCATTGATTGTCTCGGACGTTGATCTGCCCTTCTCCTTCTCCTCGCGGTTGATCCTCATTGCTGCTGCGGACAGCCCAATGAAGAGGGCAAAGACCGGGTCAGCGACCTTGCTGATGATGTAGGTCGGCGCGGGCATTGTGAGAGATGCAGTCTTGAGAGTAATAAATGAGTGTTGTTGTGATGATTGACGTCCCTGGCAAATGCCCTCGAGAGAATACTGGTTGACTTTGCTTGTACTTGGGACACTGAGTGACTGCACTAGTAGAATAATGAGATCTTGCAGACAGCTTTGCAAGCAGGCATAACTGGGTGAGAGAACCCTTCGGTTTAGAAAGAGCCTCAGAGAGCTAGCTTCCCAGTGCCCAGCTCCAGGCCCAGCAGCTTGGCAGCAGTCGGCCACTGTCACCGAGTGCCCACTTTTCCTGACTAAGATATCACGGGACCTGGAGGGTCTTGGCGCACCTTCCAGCCCACAACCGCTGAATTTTCTTGCCTAGATCGAGAAGCGGCTTCAAGATCCCCTTATCGACGACCAGCAACCAACCACCCTTCATACCCGTTGACGACCCGACCGACGCCAAAATGAAGTTCCTCAAGGTTGGCCGTGTTGCCATCATCACCCGTGGCCGCTACGCCGGAAAGAAGGTGAGAAATTCGACCCCCCGATTTGTTTGGCGCGAAAACAAACGATGCGGAGCGACGAGATTTGGAAGGTCTGGTGGGGATTCGAGGACGTGGGAGCTGCGATGACCTCAGGAGCTTGGGACCGATGCAATTGGGATGCCAGACATGTGCAGCCTTGGATTGCAGAAGGCTGACTGGGTTCTTTTCTTTACCGCAATTCAGGTCGTGATCATCCAGCCCGTCGACACCGGTAACAAGGCGCACCCCTACGGCCACGCTCTGGTCGCCGGCATCGAGCGCTACCCCAGCAAGATCACCCGCCGCATGTCCAAGACACGACAGGAGAAGCGATCCAAGATCAAGCCCTTCGTCAAGGTCGTCAACTACAACCACCTGATGCCCACCCGTTACACCCTGGAGCTCGAGGGCCTCAAGGGCGCCATCACCTCCGACACCTTCAAGGAGGTCAGCCAGCGTGAGGACGCCAAGAAGACGGTCAAGAAGACTCTGGAGGAGCGGTACACGAGCGGAAAGAACAGGTGGTTCTTCACCCCTCTGAGTATGTCAAACCCACACCGAGGCCATACACCTGCGCAACATCCCTTGAACACCAGGGTGGGAGCGAGGATACCGCGTTATGATAAGGCACACGAAGGCAACGGGAACCATGATGCTAATGCGAACTTTCTCAACAGGATTCTAGATTATTTCTTCCTTGATTTCGGCTGGGCGGGGGCGAAATGGTATGGATGTAAACAGCATCAAATCAAAATTCGACGGCATTTGAAAAACTGCACTGCGCTTACGACCCGAATCTCATGACCACACGGAAAGCAAGGTCGACTTCATCCCTTTTTGGCGTTCTTCTTGTCGGGGGCACAGACAAGTGTGACGGCCCGTCATATCACAAAGGAGTGTGTTGATGGAAAGGTTGCCGTGGCTAGCCACAAGTCGTAGTCGAGAATAATACTACGGCGTCCTGGCTCATGACATGCATTGACCCGTTGCAAGCAAGGACGCACACAAGTGAAGGCAGCCACGAGAGCGGGAGTCCGGTCTGGGCTACGTCTGGCCCTGGTGACGGCCACCAAACCTACGAAGAGATCATGTGAAAATACGAATCTAAGCCCTCCTTGAGACCGCAGATCTCCCAAACACTGAACCCCGAGCGTGAATATCGACCGCGAATATCGACCGTGATTGAGCATTTTGGGCCCGAGGAGTGATCTTGAGACTCTCGCCAAAGTCCACCTGTCAGCCCATTAGCGGAAGAGTGCTTCCCTGCAGTGGATGTGTCAGGCTCTCGAGACTGTCAGATACACCAGAATGATCTGCTCTCTTGGAATGTATGCCCAGGTTATCTGAGCATGTCAATCTTCCTGGACTGTATCCATGATCTTCGATTTAACTTGCACGTCCGCTCTTTCCAACGGCTGAGTTCTGATTTGAGTATTATCTTTTCCATTAGGTCATATTGCTATGCTATTCATAGCTTCTATGGAATTCATGTGCTACGCCGGCGTCCAGAAAAAGACCGTGTCTGATGCATCACATGAATCAAACTTCTTTGTATGCGATAGATAGTCTACGACTGCCCCATTCCTTCAATCAAGTCCACCAAATCCGCCGAGGCGTGTGACATATCCGACCCTCCTTTGGACTCCCCCATCCGTGCATTGCCCCGGAGATGATGACATAAGGAATGAATGGCAAATATGTACGTGCGAAGCTTGGCTTCCGTCGAAAGGCCCGCAGGTAGACACCTGAGGCGCGAGTTGTTGAAGCGAGGATTAAAACTTGTAGGGTTGTACTCGCAAAGGATACCATTGAAGGCGCTGCGTGGGGTGCATTTAAGAACCCAGCGAGCTCACCTTGTTGGCAGCCGCACTCCAGAGCTCGTTCGCGCTGGGGACATCTGGGATGTAGCCAGGGGCGTACGTTGGGGCCAGGCCACCAAACAGCACGAAGATCAAAGACACAGCAGAGCCAATGACAATAAGCTTGCGAAGCACCGGTCGGCTGTTTCCGAACTCGGCCCACTGGCGGCCAGCCTCATCGGCATATCCCTTGAGCTGCTCGAATCCAAGCTTGTAGTAAACCATGCCGGCAAGAGCAATGCTGTAGCCGAAGAACTGGAGGCCAGTAACTTGGGTACCCCAGATCAAGATGGAAGCGGCCACGAGCAGAATATCCTTGAGGACACCGCAAAGGGTAAGGACCAAGGAGGAAGTCTTGCCAATCTAGACCAAATGTCAGCGAGCCGCGGGGAGAGTAAAGTGCGTAGTGCAAAGAGCTTACCAAGAACACAACGGAAACGTTGAGGAGGAATGCAACAAGTCCGTTCAGGAAGAACGTGAAGAGACCGACGTGGTAGACCTCCTCCATCGACACCTTGGGAACCTCCCAGAAAATGGCGACCAGGAAGTTCATGGTAGCGCAGACAGGAGCAAAGTAGTACAGCGAGACGAGGGGGTCCATCTTGTACTCAGCAGAGCTCAGGAGCCGCTGGACCATGGTGAGACGGATGGCCTCGAAGGCAATTCCTGCAATCTGGATCAAGAAGCCAAACATGACGAACTTGATCTCGCCGATTGAGGCAATGATGACACCAACGACGATGGCGGACACGTTCAGGAAGACCTTCAAGCTGGGCTGGCTGATACCCATGGACCAACTGCTGAGCAGGACCGCGACGGGGGTGGTCGCCTTGAGCATCTGAATGAAGGCGACTGACAAGTAGAGGTAGGCCAAGTTGCCGCAGATCAAGCTCAAACTGAACATCAACCCGATCGGCACGATTGCCCTCAGGTAAACCCGGCCCGTCATCTTGACAGTCTTGCGGCCATCGAGAAGCGAGGTGTACCTAGCCAGGATCTGCGTCATCAACGTCGCGAAGGTCAAGTGGTAGGTCGTGAGGATCACGGGATAGTCTAAACGATCGCGGAGTCAGCCATGCGGCTCGAAGCGGACACCTAGGTTGATGTCAAGGCGTGACCTACGGAACTGCAAAGTATCCAGAATCCATTTGTTGAAGAGGATGACCGAGGAGCTCAAGCTGATCCAGACACTGCATGTATTTGTCCGTCAGCGATGCCAATCGAGCAGGCGACTGTAGCAATGGTTCAACCTACATAACGTAGAGCGCTGGATGAACAGCGGCCTTGGCCGGCTCCGACTTTTGCGCATCGGGGTTGACGGTCGGCAGGACGGGAGAGTCTTGCTCTCGCGTCACCTCGCCAGAGACGCGCGTCTTCTCGTCGGCACCCATCTTGGTGTTGTATCGACCTTGGGACCAGGACTGTACAGAAAGAGATGTCTGGAGTATGTGCGCTGTCGCTGCTGTAAAGAAACGGCGTCACAGTGCAAGCCCGAGACAGGAAGAAAAGAAGTTGTGTAACGAGGGGACTGGTTGCTCAAATGTGAGACCGGGAATGGAAACAGTCGAGCTAAGAGACAAAGTGGACGGAAGATAAACTTCACCAGCCGGGTACGGAGCCGTGCAAGGTCAATGCGCTCGCGACTTCCACTGGGTCAGGCTGCTGAAATGAAGACCTCGAAATAGGAGGACGGGGATGTGGATGTGGATGTGGACGTGGAAGTGGGCGTAAGAAGAACAAGTTCGCTGGCCGTAGGTGCAGGGTGAGGGCGAAGGATGATACCGATAAGGCTCGTCCACTTTAGCCTAGGGCCTCTCCAATCTAGTTGGCGGACGCGGAGGGTTGCAGCACCATAATAAGCTGCCAAGAGGATTGAATCTTGCGGCGATCTGGCAACGCGGCCAACCTGGGAAAGGCAAAAGGCAAAAAAAAAAAGGGTGGGAAAAAGGGGCTGGCCGCAACAGGGATGGCTCCGCTTCGCACCACGGTGCCCCGTGGTAAACTTGACTGGCCCCGGAGATGGCAGCCAATGCGATGCAGCGGTCTGCATATTCCCACTCTGCTCTCTATTACAGGCGCACGTCCACTCACCCTCACACACATGCACACGTACACACTAGCAAACGAGCAAACGAGCAAATTGCTTGCCATATGCGGCTTGTTGGGGCCTCAGGGGGACACGAGCCGGGGCACAAGGGCCTTTCCTCTGCTCTACAACCAGCCCCCCGCCAACGACGGAAATGTACTGCGTGGCCATGCTGACAGTATCTAGGAAGACCAGAAATAGCTACCCAGGAGACCTGGAGGGAGCACCGACCTGCCTGCCCTCGTATCGTGATGCTGTACCATTACCGGCATGTGCCCAGATCCGGACTGTCCAGCCAGGCCAGCCCACATTATACTACAGCATTCCAAGGTTGAGGCGACGACGTCCCGATCAAAAGCTCGGATTCCCGTTGCCAAGGGCATCATCATGATGATGTGGGTAGACTGACACCTGCTGACCGTGTAGCGATCTGTGCTGAGCCTGTGTCTAAGCTCTGTGAGCATGGGCAGTGACCACCCATCGGCTCCGACGGCTGCGTGCACGGAGGGCGCCTTGGGAACCGCAGCCGAAGCTTCTCTGCTTCGTGATGACCAGCCTGCTCACGATGGCGGCGGGCGCCTGAACGGGAGACGCCAAGGTTCGGGAAGACCCTGACCTCGGCGCCGGGCCGTGATGTGTTACCGCCGCAAACAGCAAGCTGGATTCCTGCCCACACCCGTGTCTGGCCACTAGGCCGGCCTCGCGACAAGTCTTGCGCCTCGTATTATATTCTTGTTTTCCTGGTGGCTGCCACTCCCAGCCTTCCAGGCCTTCTCGGCCGGACCCAACGAGATAGTACTCTACGTCAGCACTCTGTAGCGCAGCGCCTCGGCGAAGCACAGACTGTTTCTGTTCCCAGACATCAAATAGGTCGACCGTGACAGGCCGCCCTGCATGCAAGACGCATGATCCGCCCACGTTTTGTCCGGATTTAGATGTTCCACGGTAAATTAGGAATTTCCTATACTCGACACCAGCATGGCTGTCAGACTATGCAGTCAGGCAGTATGGCACACACAAACACACACAATTCGGAAGCAAAAGGGTGCCATCGCCTGGGTGTGTTGCAGCATATAATTAGCACTCTCGAACCAATACCGGCTGAGTCGTACCTGGCCTTAATTGTCCGAGTCATGGACCGAGATGGCCAAGTTCCAACTTCACCACGAATCATTACTTCGGGTGTGGCAAGCAGCTTTGTTGCCGCCGTCATTAGGTGCAGTGCCATGACCAGGATAAGTATTCATCACGTCCGTATTGCCATCTTGAGGACAGACTGGATACGAGAGCCATCGCCACTGCCATTGCCACTGCGATGAACAAAAAGAGGCAGTCCGTGACTGAGCGACCGTGTGAGCCCAGGTGAGGAAGCATGCTTCTTCGCCACCGGATCCCGGAGCTGTGCGAGGTAGATGAGGCTGTCTTTGCCTTTTCCATCTTTCATCTCCTGCCCGCCTGTCAGGCCAAGGCGGGTGATTACCATGAACGGCCTACGCTCATTTACTCTTATCTGGACCCGGCACTACTATTATAGCGAGCCCTGCTGGCCCTGCCCGTCCCGCGCAATGCTGTTCCAATATGGAATTCCGCATTGCCCACGAGCTCGCTGATCGTCGATGGTGAAACGAGATCAGCAAAGTGACTCGCCCCGGCTCCAGGGATCCCCATTTGCAATTGGTAAGGGAAAAATTAATGAGCGCTTCATTGCAACCCACAGCTTCCCTTCCTGCCGTCCTACCATGTGGTGCATGCTGGGCCATGTACTTTGTGTGATACAGACAGCACAGCATGTAGACGATGTACCTGTCGAGAAATCCCATCAACCGGCAGCCGCCCTGCCGCCCTGCGACAAGCTTGCCAAGAACACGTTGCACTTCATGGGGATCGTTGTTTCCAGCGCCACAAATCGAACTGTGCTCGATGCGTGTATGTCTGCTGTGGGCCATGCCGTCCGGCGACACAACCGAAAGCCAGGCCGGCCGGCGCTGCCGTGTGTCTGACTTTGAGTTGCTTGTGACACGTTCATCCCATCTGATCTTCCCGGTCAAATTGTGCTCGACCTTCCAAGTCTGCAGGGCTCATTTCGTCGAGGAAATTGGACAGGCGGGAGATATCACCATAGGTTACACTTAGTAGATTTGCGGGTGGACGAACCCAATCGCTGCGTGCTAGCTGGCTTGATTGAGGAAATTAAAAATTGGGTCCCGTAGCCACGTTGACTATCGCCATCGATCCTACTCGACGTGCGTGCTTGACTATTATTATTAGCATTATTGTTGTTGTCGTCGTCGTCGTTAGTGGTGGCGTTCTTATCACCCGCGAGAGACTTGAGCAGTGTTTGTTTGCGACGACTCGCATCCAAACATGTCTTGTGTCGGAATACTTGGCCCCAGCTGCGATGCCTGCAGGAGGGGTGCGGCCTTGAGTCTCTGAGCCTCTCAGCCTCTGAACCTCCTTCTCGCCAGTGTCGGCTATCCGGGGCCCCTGTGGAGGGACCATGAACAGATGGCATGCACGGCACTGCAGACAGAGTATCACAAGCGTGCTACGGCAGCCAATCCAGGATAACACAGTAGCGGACCACGGAGGCGGTGTCGAGGACGCATCAAATGCAAAGTTCAAGATCATCGCTGCCGAGCCAGATGGATGGAGCCGCCGTGGGCCTCGAGCCCGGCAAGCTCTCTGCAGCAATTGGCCTTCCGCGGCCGTCTCCAGGGACTGGGGCCAAGGGGGAGAGCCCCCCATCCCGACAGCAATGCCAAGTTGCAGGCCCATGGCCCCCGGTCTCTGCAGCTGCTCGGGGAGGGGGGCCCAGGCACAAATTAGCGTCGTCAAAAGATGGTGGGGACCCCAATCCCTGCCCCATTCATTTTACCGACGTGCAGCACGTAGCCAGGCCTGCCAGGTAGCTCGCCTTCACCCCTCCAGCCCGCCATAGCACCACAGGTACCTGGGTACCCAGCTAGAGACAAAAAAAAAAAGGGGACCTGTTCTTGGTGGTCTGGAAAGGGGGGTAGCCGTCATTTACCAGAAGAAAACTGTCCAGTTCCCAAGAAAGATTTCTTGCGCGTCGCCAGCTACTAGACTCCGACCTTGACCTTCACTGCCTTTCGCTGTCTCCGTCTACAACGCCATTGACTTCCACGCCTGCTTCGCATTGCACTTTCAGCTGCGAGCAGAATCAACGAGCCATCCTCCTCTCCAACTAATACTCAGAGCCTCTATCCAGCTTTCACAATGGCTGACGTGTATGTTTTCCTACCTGACCCCTCCTCCCAGCTTCCTGGCAGGTCTCAATGACCCGGAGACGGCTACATACTGACAGCACGCCTGCAGCAACGTTGATGTTCTCGTCATTGGCATGGGCCCAACGGGTCTGGGTGCTGCCAAGCGTCTCAACCACATCGTACGCTCCCTCTCTCCTTGCCCTGCTTCCCCAAGCTCGAGTGACCGTCAACTGACCAGCGATGAATAGAACGGCCCCTCTTGGTTGATTGTCGACTCTGGTGAGAAGGCAGGTGGTCTCGCTGCTACAGACGTCACTCCTGAAGGCTTCGTAAGTGCTCCGTGAACCTTATCCCGCAACAAGACGCTTGGGCTAACGGCAATACACCAGCTGTACGATGTGGGCGGCCACGTCATTTTCTCCCACTACAAGTACTTCGATGACTGCATCGAGGAGGCCCTTCCCAAGGAGGACGACTGGTTCGACCACCAGCGTATCTCCTACGTCCGCTACAAGGGCCTTTGGGTCCCATACCCCTTCCAGAACAACATCTCCATGCTACCCAAGGAGGACCAAGTCGCTGCCCTCGATGGTCTCATCGATGCTGCCATGGAGGGCGCTGTCACAAAGTCGAAGCCCAAGAACTTTGACGAGTGGATTGTGCGACAGATGGGTGACCACATTGCCAACATCTTCATGCGCCCCTACAACTACAAGGTCTGGGCCGTCCCCACCAAGGATGTAAGTCACAATTCTGCCTCGTGCATCTTCCCCAGGTCAAGAATAAAGGCTAATTGCATGATCAGATGGGAAGCGAGTGGCTCGGTGAGCGTGTGGCCGCCCCCAACGTCAAGCTCGTTGCCAAGAACGTCATCCTGAACAAGACTGCTGGTAACTGGGGCCCCAACGCCACTTTCCGTTTCCCAGCCCGTGATGGCACTGGTGGTATCTGGATCGCCGTCGCCAACACACTGCCCGATGAGAAGAAGCGCTTCGGAAAGAAGGGTGAGGTCACCAAGGTCGACGCTGACAGCAAGGTCGTCCACATGGGCGATGGCTCCAAGATCGGCTACAAGAAGCTCATCACCACCATGAACGTTGACCAACTCGTCGAGAAGATGGGCAACCAGGAGCTTGTTAGCATCTCCAAGGGTCTCTACTACTCCTCGACACATGTCATCGGTGTTGGTCTCCGAGGAGGTCGCCCCGACCGCATTGGCGACAAGTGCTGGGTAAGCTAAATCGTATACACCCCCAACAGAGCTCTGCTAATATTCGTTCCTAGTTGTACTTCCCCGAGGACAACTGCCCCTTCTACCGGGCCACCATCTTCTCCAACTACTCCCCTTACAACCAACCTCAGAAGGATGTCAAGCTGCCGACCCTGTACAAGGCCGATGGCAGCAAGGCGGACTCTAGCGAGGCCAAGGAGGGTCCTTACTGGTCCATCATGCTCGAGGTGTCCCAGTCCACCAAGAAGCCTGTTGACGAGGCAAACATTCTGAAGGACTGCATCCAGGGCTTGATCAACACTGAGATGATCCTGCCTGAGGACGAGATCGTGTCCACCTACCACCGCAAGTTCAACCACGGATACCCCACACCCGCCCTGGAGCGTGACGGTGTCCTGAAGGAGCTTCTGCCCAAGCTGCAGGCCAAGGACATCTACTCCCGTGGCCGATTCGGCAGCTGGAAGTACGAGGTCGGCAACCAGGACCACTCGTTCATGTTGGGTGTCGAGGCCGCTGACCACATCGTCAACGGCGCCGTTGAGCTGACGCTCAACTACCCTGACTTCGTCAACAGCCGTGCCAACACTGAGCGCCGCCTGGAGCAGTCATACGCCTTCTTCCAGCCCCCCAACTGAGCCTGCGTCCCCCCCAAGTAAGAGGAAGGGCGTGAGTGCGCGCGCATGTATTACGAAACATATGGGCGGTTTTTGCTAGATTCAGGCTAGGAGTTGCATGGAAATTACAAGACGGATACTTGGTTGACATTGCGATGGGATTTCTAGTAAGATGTGATTCCGGGTAGACGGTGTGGAAAAGACTACTCCGCGGCATGCGTCCTCGTCACCCTCGAAATGCGAGGCGGTGAGAGGAGCAAGGGCCGGATAGAAGACACGCAGGGAACCTGACCCTGCCTTTGGTACATGGGGCTCCTATGATTCGATAGACATAGAGATTCTACACCATCCAAACCACTTTGCCCTAGTGGCATTTGCCTTCTAAAGCCTCCCCTCTATCTTGACATATTCTGACAAGAAACCCCGCAGCCCACCAGCACGTTTAATGAGGGCTCACAAAGCTATTTCCTGATTCCGTGCGACTACTCCACAAGTCATCTTAATCGGTTCTTCACTTTTCAAAATGCCGCAGACTACTAGCGCGTGACGTCATCGCGATCAAGAGCTGGCACATGCGATAGCTTTTAGATCTTCAGTCTTCTGAGTCGAGAACTCCAGTGGGCCCACAGTCGTCGGCCCTCCCCGGTGAGCTTAGGGGGGCGGTGACCGCACGCAGGCCCAAGCTGCTGTGTCGCACGGCCATGGGAAAGCAGATGTCGTCGAGTCAGGCAGACTGATTATCGCAGTCTTGTCAGCCTATATCGACGTCGAGCCTGTTGACATGTTCGTTCCTAGATCTAGGTCCCGGTCCCGACCACGGCTCTGCTACAGCTCTCACGTCCACCTGGATTGTATATCATGTCATGTCAAGCAGCGCGAAGAAAGGCCGTGGTTCTAGTTCATCTGTTGATAAACATGATCTGTCCGTCCGTCGCTCTCTCTCCTGCCTGATCCTCCACTCAGGAAACAAATAGGACCCTGCCGCCCCAACACGCTGCGAGGCCCAACAAAGATGGAGCGATGCATACCGCACATACGTAGCAATCAATGCAAGAGCTGTCCGCTCAAAGTCTCAATCCCCGCCCCCCACCCCTGCTCTTTCTGTGTAGAAAACACCTTCAAACGCTTGTCGTGGGTAATAATGAGAAAGAAGATGTTGACAGTAATACGTGCCTTGAAACCCATCCCCCTCCCCCACCGGACTGCACCCTTTTCGCTTTTCACGTAAATAAGGAATCCCCCTTGCCTGTAGACCTTCTACCTCCTTTCCCTGGATCGTTGAAATCATGTCGCTCTGCTGCTTCATTGCTGCTCCTTCGGGTCAACGCCTATACTGTCCTTCCTGTCTTGCGGGTTCTTCTTCTTCAGCACCGCCTTGGGTTTCTCTTTCTCTTTCCCCTTGCCATCAGCCGCCCCAATTGAGTCTTGGCTCAGTCGATTCTTCGTCAACTTGTTCCGAACCTTCCCTGCGGCACTTTCTATTGAGCCAGCGTCAGACAGTCGGTTGTCGCTCGAGGTTCTACTAGGAGGACCGGGTGGGTCTTGAGTGCTCTGGTGGTGACTGCCAGCGCTGGATAAAAGCTGTCTATTCTCTTTCACAGAAACCAAAGAGCCGTTGTGTTCGAGCAAAGATGGAGGCGGGCTTGTCGCGGTAGCTGACTGAACACTAGCCACGGATACATCGCTAACCTTGCGGTCGGGAGGTGCCTGCTATGAACTTGTATTAGTCCAACATCATGAAGTAAACGTGCCAAGGTAGCCAATACATACCTGACCACCGATATAAGTGTCCAGTTTCTTTTTGAGCACATCGGATCTAACAGGCTTCGCCAAGTAGTCATTCATGCCAGCAGCCAGGCACTTTTCCCTGTCGCCCTGTATTGCACTTGCCGTCATTGCAATCACAAGGATCTTGCGGACCGCCTCAAGGGAGTCCTTCCGGAGTAGCCTAGTCGCATCGTAGCCATCCATGACCGGCATTTGCACGTCCATGAGGATCACATGGTAAGGTTGCCCTTCTAGCGCCTTCTGTCGCAGGCCTTCGACTGCTTTCAGTCCGTTGTCGTAAGCATCCACATGCTTGTACCCTAGCCTTTGGATGTACTGGATGGCAATTTTCTGGTTGATGGCGTTGTCTTCGGCTATACAGACGCGAAGTGAGTCCTTCGGTACCTGTGTGAGATCGAGGTAAGGATTGGGCGATGGCTCCCGATTGACGTTATCCGAGGATCTTCGCGAGAATGTTTCGGGCAGGGCGCGAGGGTCGCCTGCAGTGACATCGGGATTGGCTTTGTCAAATGTGACCGTGAACCACGCGGTGGTCCCGACATTCTGCTGGCTTTCCAGCTCGATCTTGCCTTTCATCATTGTTTCGATCAGGCTTCTACAGATGGACAAACCCAAACCACTGCCGCCATATTTTCGAGCCGTACTCGTGTCGGCCTGGCTGAAGGGCTGAAAGAGCTTGGCTTTTTGCTCTGCCGAGATCCCGATGCCGGTGTCTTTGACCCAGAATGTCAACGTTGCCCTCTCCTTGGTCTCGGAATCCAGACGGGCCCCAATGGTCACAGACCCGTCCTCCGTAAACTTCAAGCTGTTCGAGATCAAGTTACCGAGCACCTGGTGGAGACGGATCGGATCGCCGTAGATGAGCATGGGCGGCAGGTTAATGTCCTTGATTATCCTGACGTTCTGTCGCGTTGTCTTCTCTCGGTTGCTGTAGGACTGGGCACGTACGACTTCGCGCACCATCTCCTCCGGGTTGAAGGCTGTAATATAAAGCTTCATCTTGTCGGCCTCCATCTTTGAAAAATCCAGGATGTCATTGATGACGGTAAGAAGCAGATCCGCAGATACCCTGATCGAATCGGCCATCTCGAGCTGTTCCTTGGACAGATTCGAGTCTTTCAAGAGCTCTGAGTTGCCGATGACACCATTGAGTGGTGTTCGAAGCTCGTGAGAGACGTTGGCAAGGAAAATCGACTTCGCCTTCGCTGCCTCCTCCGCTCGCTTCTCGTTGCGTCTGGCCTCTGCTTCGGCGGCCTTGGCCTTCGTCTCGGCCTCCTGGGCCTTCAACAAGGCACGCTTCTGCGACTCGATCATGCTAGCATTCTCGCTCGAGACTTTCTCGATAGCCTTCAGTGACAAGGCATTCGAAAAGCTGATGCCGATTTGGTTAACGAGGAGTTGCAGGACGGTAACATTCCGATCTGTGAATGCGTTTGGATTGCCCTCGAGGTAGAGGACGCCTAGGAGAGGATTCGATCCATGGGATATGGGATAGGCCATGATGGCTCTGCCTTGGGGGTTCTTCTGAAGCCACTGCTCACTGACGCCGAATCTTTCATCACTGATGATATCAGCACTGAATACCGCCTCCCTGAATCGAGTACAGTATAGTACCACATTCTCAGCAACCAGATGCTGGGAAGCGCTTAAGGGTATCCCGGGCTTGTGAGCCTGCGCGCCCCTTTCTGGGTCCCCACTGGCGGCAACGCACCACTGATCCTTCTCATCCACGATGATGGCAGCTAAAGTGGCAGTACCCCCACAGGTCTGTAGGACCACATCGGCCATGACCTTTAGAAGCTCTTGGACGTCCAGGATTGATGAGATTACCTGCGATGACACCAGGATGGCATGCAGATCGATCATGTCCAAGGCGGGAAGGCCAGCACCGTCCTCAGGCTGGTGCATGGAGCCTCGCCAGGCCCCTATCCTGTTCTCTTTCAGCTCGCCCATGCCGACTTGGGTTGGTTGGCCGGGTTCCTCCGCCTCCACGTCGACAGCGTGGAATTGCACTGGTGCTGCATCACCCGCGAAGTCAGTCTGGGCAGAGGCTTCGGCCGTCCGAGGATTGCGGGTAGGGCCGTGAAGCAGGAGACTGTGTTCCTCTTCAATCCGATCGGCTAGACCCGTGGCTCCCATCAATCGGAAGAGGCCTACAGCGTCCCTGAGCGCGGATCTGGCTGATCTCCGCGCGCCTCTTCTGATAAAAACGCCCGCCATCAGATAATTCCCGAGAGCCTCCTCAAAGACCAAGTTCTGTTCAGATGCATGATCTAAGGCAACCTCATATGCGCGAATAGCTGAGCCGTGTTCGGCTCTGAGCTCGTGTATCTGCGCCTGGAGGAAAGTGGACCAGGGCAGATAATTGACATCGGACACGACCTCCCAGTCAGTGATTTTCCTCCGCAACATTTCCAGCGTCTCAACGGTCGCCTCGATTTGCTCATCGATATCGGTGTCCTGGGTGCGTGGGTCCTCGATCTTGCGGAAAAGAAGGCCCGCGAGTGACAAGCCATAGAATAGCATGGCAGACCTGGTGTTCCGGGCAGACCAAATGATGTGTTCGTTGGCAACGCAGTGCTTGCCTAATTGCGCCGCTCTCTCGTAGTGGGAGAACAGAAAAAGGGGTATTATTTCCATGGTCTCGTACCATATTAATGATCGGCCGCCGTTTCTCGCGTTCGCGTCTAGCCATGCCTTGTATGATGCAGAATTGTGACTGGTTTGGGTATCATTCATAACCTCATCAGCAATCGTATTGCGCGTCTTGCCTTGCAAAGCTCGAGCTACTTGTCGAACTGCAATGAGCAAAGTCCCACCTCTTGTATCCTGATGCCAATTTGGGACGTCTTCGCAGCCGTATTGACAGAAGGCTTCGAGGTCGGCACAGTTTTCACTGGCGAAGAACTTAAGTTGGGCCAAAAGTCCAAAGCTCATGATTGTCGACGTCCGGTCACCAGCCACAGTTGCGTATTCAACAGCACCTTCGACTTGATTGACTGCAACGCTTAGGGGATAATGAATATGTCCAACGAAATTGGCATAAAGCATATATCCACGAGCCATGGAAAAGGCATCACGATACTTGTCTAATAAGTCCAGACAGATTGAGCCAAGGTCGAGTGACAACTCTGTCAAACTGTGTCTGCTGAGAGCGACCATAGAGATGTGGAGGAATGCCATCCCGGAACTCGGGAATGCCCCACGAGTCAAATGGATATTTGCCATCACTAGTGAGAGATGGTAAAACATAAGACAGTTGCTCCACCAGGCTGAACTGATGGCATCGGCAAGCACGGCGCCTATGGAAGCCAAGTTTGGGTCGACTGGGTGGTGCGGATTGATGATCTCACTGCGGTCCATTGAACGGATCTTCTCTGCCAATTTCCGGAAATCCTCGTCGCACTTCTCATATGTTGGGTTGTCGTCAAAGGGCACCTCGAGTTCCCTGAGAGATTGTATCAGACACGCAAGTGCCTCCTCCGCGTCACCCGCCTGCGCGAATATCCTTGATCGCAGCACAGAGGCAGGTGCTTTGTCAAATGCTGACCGAGCTGATAGGAAGATTGTTCCAAGAAGTGCGTTAGCAGCACCATGATTTCCCATGTAGAGGTAGCATTCTGCTGCCCGGAGGTATAGCTGATTGGTCTCTTCGTACGACACATCGTCGGCATCGTCATTCCACGGGTCGGGTTGCAGTAGAGCAACAGCATTGGTGTAGAACTTTGCAGCAGTCGGTCGAGCACCCCGTTCTGTGCTTAGCTTTGCACAATCGAACAGTAGCTGGCGATACGGTCGCCTTATTTGAACCCGTTGTCTGATGATGTCCACAGACTCGCAGATATGGGAGGCTATGTTATCTTTTGACTTTCCGTCTTCCGCATAGTATTTCTAACGCTCACAAGTAAGCATTCGTCTACGCTGCACGGATTCTTGGTCACATACCATCAGGACTTGAGCAACTGTGAAGTGCATCGCACGAGCCTCACATATTTTCAACTGCCTGGAGGCCTGGGCTAGATGATCATGAGCTGTCCCGTCTGTCAGTATATAGTCATGGATACACATTTCCAGGCTGTGGAGGGGAGTATAATACCAAATCGGAATCGATCATCTTCCTCGCCCGGAACGATGATGTATGCTTGTATAGCAGCCTGCAATCCCGCCACGGCCTCCTCCTGCGTATATGTCTTGTGAATGTGCTCTGCAGGTGACTGCCCGCAGGCATCTTGGCATTCGCCGCTGAGTAGATGACAGATGAGCTCGAACGAGAAGGAGTGACCTAGCAAGGCCGCCCAAGCCAGAAGACACTTCGAAGCCTCGGGCATCTCGTTAAGCCGTCGCGTGATAAAGTCTTTGATGCTTCGAGTCAGCGAATCCATACCAGGTATGTTTGGGTTTTGCATCTCATTCGAATAACACATGAGCCTTGAGGCTCCGTTTCCAACTATCGGACAACCATGCGGACAAGTTCATGAAACAAAAAATGCAATGATGAGCTACTTACTGGTGTCCAGAACATCGTAATTCTGTTTGCCCTGAAATTCCTCAAAGAGCTGGTCTAGAGAAAATTCCCACTGATTTATCTTGTAGTCGTACCTGCGCAATCGAGTCAGTCAACCCTTTCAAGATGTCACCGGAGTCTTGAAGTGAACAACGAGGCGGAATCGCATTTCCCGTAGTCGGTTCAACGATTGACCTCAAATCCGCTTTTCAGGCTGCCCCGTGGCGCAAAGGAAGCTGCTATCCTCAGAGCAACCACGCCCCAATACTCAATTTGGAAGAGAAAGGGACCGCGGATTACACAAATATTCAACATACCAGATGCATCGTTTCCTGTGGCATTCAGATAGCATTTCCCGCATGTAGAACGGATTTCCGCCAGATTTAGACTGGATCACAAGGGCGAGGGGCAGTATCTCTTCCTTGGGTTTGCATAGTGTGGTAGAAACATATTGGACAATTTCTTCTTCTCCCAAAGGTGACAAAGGTATTCGTGTGATGATTGGTAATCCGAATTTCGGTAAGTCCTCAAAATCAGGTGGCGATATAATGTTGTTGACCTTGTCTGGGGTCAACTCGTCGGAACGGTAGGTTATGACAATGACGAGTCTGAGCCTCGCGCTGATGATCTGTGTGATGAGCTCTATCGACTCATCGTCGGCGAAATGTAGGTCCTCCAGCACAAAGCAGATGAACTTGTGTTGGGCAAACATCCGTAGGACGTCAAGGAAGGTGTTCATAAGCCGAAGGCTTTTCGTCGAAGCCCCAGTTCGCAGGAAGTCCTGAGAGCCTGACGTGGACATAATCGACCCTCGGTAAGAAGATCTCGGAGGAGTTGAAGTACCTCCCGGGGACGAACCTCGTCGCCTGAGAGCACCGGGGGCCCGATTCCTCTGCATCGTCGCGCCAGAAGAATTCGACATCGACCTAGAAACTGTCGCATCGACAGGCCCGATCAGAAATTCGGGTAGACTAAGCAACTTGTGCAGCATGGGCCAAACTGGGCGTATGTACGTCTTCAGAGCCTGATGGAACTGGGTTTCAGTATTCCGCTCGCCCCAGACCTGGCGGAAGAGCGAGGATAGCAGCTTGAGCAAAGGCCCGAATGCAGTCCTCCTAGCCGTGTCAAATTTGGCCGTTGCACAATACCCGCTCCGCCTGACATCCGCAAGAACGGAGTGCACGAGACAACTTTTCCCAAGCCCACCGGCCCCCTCAATGGTGACAATTTCACATTGCCCTCGCCTTCGAAACTTGGCCGAACCCAGTTGTTTGGAGAGACTCGAGGAAGATTCGGGAGTTGGTCGCTCTTCTAAACTGTTCACCAGACTCCTCGTTTCGAAGGGAATAGACTGGTGCCTTTCCCAAGCTCTTGACGCTGTGCGATTCTGGGGGGTAGAGTTCCCTAAAGACAAGGCGTCCCCGCCAGGCAGGGGTTGAGATTCAGTCGAATAGAACGAAGGAATCACACTGCTCCGAGACTTGGGATCTGTCATCGTAGTATAAGATCCGCTCTGCCTGTTTCCACCTTCTGAGCTGGCACCCTCGCTGGATAGATCCCCTCCATCAAGAATGTCGTTTGACCAGCTTGATCCGTCTGAGAATCGGCTTGTTCCCTTCTGGCTCATTGCATGCGATTTCGCCACGCGATCTATGACCTTCAAGAGCTCCGCCCGTTCCTTTTGCCGCCCGATCATCATGGATGGCAGCATGAAAAATGAGCTGACATCTCGGGACGCTATACGCCACTCTTTGAGCGACAACCAGTCATTGTCGTACAAGAACCCCTGCACCTTGACCAGATCGTGACGGAGGCCGCTCGCCGAGTGATACCGGTCTCCCACATTCTTGGCCGTGCACTTCTGGATGATTCGCCCCAGTACATCAGGCACGTCAAGTCGAATGGTGGAAACGTTGGGAACTCTCTTGCCGAGCACGCCTTGTACGATGTCCAGGGGGCTGTCACCATCAAAAACAGGGCTCTGGGTCAGTAACATCCAGAAAAGGACGCCCAGGGAGTAGATATCAGTTCGCGTGTCTGGCTCCGCGGGCATGCGACCCGTCTGCTCGGGGCTGATATGAAGGAGCTTGTGTTTGGCTCCGAGTTCCTTCGAAAGGCTCGACCATCCCGTGCTTGTCAGACCATGCTCGAACGACCGCAGTCCCGAGCCGAAGGTGATGAGCTTTACTTTGTTCGTTTCTTCATTGTAATGGAAAGAGTCGCCCCGAAGTTCGCCGTGTATGATCCCAAGACCGTGATGAATCATCTCTAGGCACTGTGTAGCGCCAATTGCAAAATCGAGGAACAGGTTCAGACTGATTGGCGGGCCCAATTGGTGATTGTCCTGTGTGCTTGCCACCCACCGGTCCTCGACCTTCCGACACGTATAGAATGCAGGACCCAGGTCCATTATCCTGGGCAACAGACTCGGTCCTGGTGACTGGTATATCGAGACTATAATCTGGCCCCGGTCTCCAGGCTGGGGCGCAAGCCTGATCAAATCGAGGGGCATGATAGTGTGGTCCTGATTCGGATCTGCGGTCTGGATCAAGTTCTTCATCATGTGGAACGCGCGCTCCTCCCGGAGAACATGATAAGAGACCCTGGCAACAACGGCCTCCTCGACCACTGCCCCCGCCGCAGATTCATCGGTGACGCTGGCTTCGCTAAGTGGCCCATTGGAGGCCGATGAGGGCGGCTCGCCCGGGGATACGCGGCTCGAAGTCGAAGGAGGGCTCCTGGCAAAGGATGTCGGGCTCGTAGCGTGATGACTGGAATACTTTGGGGCGAAACGAACACCGAATACGTGCCTGGTAATTGTAGCACGAGTTAGCCTTCCAGCAGCGGGCACGACGGCTTCCAATCCAATGCGACAAAGTTTCACCTACCAGTTGTCATAGCTCGAATGTGTGAGTGCGGCAGACTCGTCCCAGGTATACCCGGCGATGTGGGAGAGGCGCTCGAAGATGCGGACCGGAGGATCGAGAGTCGAGTCGAGCTGCTCATCTTGGATTGCCGACCCCTCCATGATGGTGGAGGGCGGAGCCGGCGAAGCTTGAGTGGGTCGAGAGACACAGGTCTCAGGTTTTTGATCTCGGTCTCAGCCTACTTGGACACATGGCTTGGTGGTGGTACCGAGTGGTGAAGTTATCAGAATATTGGTTGGCCGGTCGATCGGTGGCTCGTTTTGTCCGCTGCACTCTTGGTGGTGGTGGTTGGCGGCGGCAGCGCACGCGTGTATTTGGTGATAGACGACGTATGTGGTAGGGATGATGCTGTCACCGCCGAGAACGCTTGCTCCTTGGGCGCCTGGCTAGCTCCCTTGCAAACGAGCGGCGCGGGTAAAGAGCGTGGGTGCTGCCACAACCTGGCGTGGGATGTAGCTGTGTGTGTATGTGTGGGTGTGTGTGTGTTACCGACGGGAGATAAATATTTAGGGCGCTAGGCCGTGTCTTGCTTTGCGCCGTGACAGTTTCTCTGGTCACTGCTGTTATCAGTCTTCCAGTAGTACAGTACGGTGCAGTAAGTTGTTTGTCGGCCTGCTCAGATGCGCCTTGCGGCTCCCAGGCAAAAAGAAGCAGCTAGATTAGATGCACACGCGGACTACAGACGGGAGAGGAGTGGAGAGAGATTTGTCACTGGAAGATCCGGTAGACTAGATGCATACTGTATGGTAAAAACAGGACAGAGACGGCCTTGGAACTGCCTGGGCCAGGATCTCGAATGGCTGGCTTTTGACGATTCCAAGGTTGTTGAAGCAACCCTTGTTGGGCCTAGTGCAACCAGGTGCACACCCGTGGAATCCTGGCATCTTTTTCGCTCTGCAGGGCGGGTTTTATTTTTCATGGACATCCGTGGAAGCCGTTTTGTTACAGTACAGTCGTGTGCAAGGGGGCGCGACTCCATAATTTGTCGTCATGAGAGTCGACCGCAAGGCGCGAGGGGTTTCTGAATCGGCCGAGCAGGAGCAGGACCAGGAGCAGGAGCAAGAGCTTCTTCTCTGGCGCCTTCTGGGTGCTCGCCCAGAGGTCCCCAGAGGTACCACAGTAGACTACGTAGACATACAGCAGACTTAGACACAGGCAGGTGGGCAAGCGGGCCAAAACGGAGTCTTCAGTGTTCTGGACGTGCAAAAAGACTGCAGCGCATCCCTGCGGCATTGGCAACAAGGAGCTTGATGACACACGCCCACATCGACCAGGATGGATATCAGCCCACAACAATACAGCCTGCATGGGACAGTCCAGCCGGCCGCCAGTCCAACACTGGTGGAGCGCAACAGATAAACTACCTAGGGGTCCCAAGGGGCAGCTGGGGAGTCTGTTGGCAATGACAATGGTTGTCCCGCTCTGTGGCATAGCCTACCGCATCTCGAGGCTAGATACTCTGCAAGCCTTAGCTGAGTCTCAGAGATATATTTTGTCACATAGCACCTAGGTAGAGCGCCGCAGTAAATAGTGATCTTGGTCTCCCTGGACCTGGAAATATGACCGGAGCTCTGGGCGTTATATACATGGACTATTACCTACCTAGCCTGCTAGCCTACCTGGCCTAAATGTTGGCCGTACGTCACCCTGCTGACAGGCTGCCCGTGTGGTCCGTGCAGCCCCGCCGTCAAAGTGCTCCTGGGCAGTGCAGTGCGACAGGGGGGCGGTCGAGGTGGACAGGGGAGTAGAGACCACCTACTATAGGAGGTACCGAAGGCTAGATATTCCAACGCCGTGACAGCGCTCCTTAACCCACCACGATACCCCCCGACAACCTGCTCCTACAGCTGCACTGGGAACACCAACAAGGCTCTCCAACATCCTCTAAAGCAATGACCTGATGCTCCAACCAAGCAAGAGATAGGAGGCACTCTCAAATTCGTCATCGGACATCCCGGACGACCCCGCCACCACCCGTGGGCAACGAGACACCCGATCCGAGATGGACTTCGAGCCTTCGACTGGCGGGCCTCGCAGTCCTTTTGAAGACGATGGCTCCGGCGGCGGCAACGAGCGGCCAAAGGTCCTGCCCGCCGATCTGCCCACATCCCTCGATGATAGACGCATGCCCAGGGAGCCCGTCACCGAGACAGAGATGTACGATGGTTGGCAAGGTTGGCGGCACCTCCCTCCTTCGCTCGGCTGTCCTGGGGGCTTTGATCGCTGACAATTAGCACTTTGAAGGACAATCCCAATTCCTGACATCCCCGGTCGTTGCGAAACCTCTCAAATTCAGCGACCTCTCCCTAGACGACAAGAACTACGACGAAGACCTCACGAGGGGCATGGCTGACAGTGACACGCGGCTGATGGAGATGCTGGCAGCTCAAGCGGCGCACTCATCCGGCCCCGGCTTCGAAGACGAGACCGCCATTGCGACAAACGAGAAGCTCTCTGAAGACGAGAAGAAGAAGATGCTGCAGAAGGCCTTGCACATGGCAGCAAGTAATGGCAATGTTAATCAGGTCAACCGGATATTGGCAGGGAAAGCCAAGGACTACGTGGACATCAACGCTCCAGACGAGGACGGCACACCCCCGCTGATATACGCCAGCTGTTTTGTACGTCTACTCACTGCAACTTTGTTATTATTATCATGGGGCTGATGCGATTTCAGGGTCATGAAGCTGTAGTAGAGGCTCTGATCGCGGCTGGAGTCGACATTGACAAGCAAGACCGCAACCGATGGAGCGCTCTTATGTGGGCCATGACAAATCGCCACAAGCAGATCGCAAAGATCCTCCTGGACAATGGAGCGTCCTCGGACGCGAAGACTACGTCTGGCCGGACCGCTGCCGACTTCGTTGCACCTGATAGTGATATGTCCTTCTATCTGCACAGTAATGGGTACAATATCGGCAGTGCTGGCATAGGCGACGACGACTTCTACAAGCCCGGCTTTTCGCAGGACAAATTCGAGGAGGAATTGATGGAAAGCGAACTGCGCAGGCGCATGATGATGGAAAGTGCACGAGATTTGGAGGTAGACCTGGGTAATGTGGGAATGGACGATCAACCAGAGGTGTGACCCTTGATCATCTTGTTATGCTTCCATTGCAACATGCTAACTTGTCTAGGCCGACGATGAATTCGACGAAGAGCAGCAGGAGTTTGACTGGGCAAGATGCCTCCACGACCAAATGTTTGTTTTCCAAGAGGGCGATCTGGACCGCATTCTGGATATTATCGTCACCAACATGACGCCGCAGAGATCAGCGGCCCAAAAGCCTGTCCCGGCCAACATGATTTTCTTGAGCGCGAGATATGCCCACTATCATGCAAGCTCCGATCTCTTGGCAAAGTTACTCATTAAGGCCATGGATAGGATAAATGAGGTCGTCGAGGAACACCAGTGGGACATGACCATTCTGGCATTCTGGGCCTCGAACGCCACTTTGCTGCTCCATTATTTGAAGAAAGACGCCGGGCTGGTGGAGGCCACTGTTAACTTTCAGGCTCAGCTTGCTGAACTCGTCAACGAGATCTTCATCCTCATCGTCCGTGACGCAGAGAGGCGGCTGGACAAGGTCCTCGATGCAGCAATGCTAGACCATGAGACGATACCGGGTTTTGAGGGCATCACTTTCCAGAATGAATGGAAGATTTTCAAGACCAAAAAGAAGGTCAAGGAAGAACCACCAGAGCGGAAATATCGACCACCATCTCCCAAGCAGAGGGCCAAGCCGGCACCCAGAAACGTCACCTCTCTCCTCTCCTCGACACTTTTCGTACTCGACCTATACGATGTGCACTCCGTCATAACCGCACAGATCATCGCACAACTTCTATATTGGCTGGGTGCCGAACTCTTTAATCGGATAATGTCCAACAGGAAATACCTAGCTCGTACAAAAGCAATGCAAATACGTATGAACGTTTCGGTGCTAGAGGACTGGGCACGCACCAACAACAGGCAGCCTGAGCACTACGAGCACGGCGACATGCAGGCTCATGGCGACAACACCATAGAGTCAGCCAGGAGACACTTGGGCCCCGTCATTCAACTTCTTCAGTGGCTGCAATGCTTCTCATCGCTGGGGGCGGACGATCTGGAGGCGCTGATTGACACTTTACAGCAACTCAAGTCTCTCACCCCGCAGCAGCTCATCCATGCTGCAAACCACTACCGCGCCGAGGTCGGCGAAAAGGGCCTCCCCAAGAGCGCAATGAAGTACCTCGCGGCGATACAAAAGGAGACCGAGGTACGGAGGGAGAAGGAAAAGAGCAATCGCCGCAGTGTGGCCGCGTCGCTCTCGTCCCCGACACGCAGCTCAGCCCCGAGTAGCGCGCCGGCGACGCCCCAGCGGAACGCCAAGAAACCGGCCAACGGCGGAGCAGAGCCGACCACGCCCGGGGACGACGACGAGGAGGAGGACGCGCCTGAGAACCTGTTGTTGGACCCGGCTTACATGCTGCCGTTCACCCTGCCTTCGGTCACGGACATGCTGGTATGCTTCGGGGCGGGCTTCGGCGGCGTCAACCGCGAGCGGGAGAGGAAGTACATACCCACGGTGCCTCCTGAGTTTTTGGCAAAGCTTGAGGTCCTCGGGGGCGGGAGTAGCAACGCCAGGCGACCGATGTACGGCGAGCAAGACTGGGAGAACGAGGACGAATAGGGGACACTCGTTCACCGTAAATTGTGCTGATGGTGAGCAACAAGGAGACGAGCGAGACTCGTGGGGCCGTCTGTGACTGCCACTTTTGGAGATTTGGTATGTACATTTTGACAGGGGCATTAGCATCACTTTTCATTGGTGAGCGTTGTACCACATTTAATATCGTCTTCAATGCCTTGGGTCGGTCACTGTGCAGCTGCCGGCATGTATTAGCATTCGACGGGCAGAGGTCCCCGTCGTCTATAACCGACAGACCTGTAAGCATCAAGGTGGCCGCAGCTACGGGTGGCACCCGATCGTATATCTGCGTCACTGGGTGACTGGGCGATGCGGTGAGACCAGGACTCCTTTGAAGCACGTAGACATCCTCCTCTTGTCCTCGTCCTCCCTCTGGCCCTATCCCGGCGCGGGCGCACAACCCGTGTCCGGCAGGTGTGGTCCTCGGTACTTGAGGAACCCAAGGGGCTCTCTTCTTGCGTGCCCGGCCTGTCTAACTCAGACCGGCCGACCTCCGGACGCTAGCGGAGGAGGACTTCCGTGGTGGGGTGACGCGCATCGGCTGGTGATAGGGCCAGCCGGGCACCATGCTGGGAATTTTGTTTCCGGAGGTTTGTGGGGTGGGGCTCACTTCAACTTCGACTGCCTGAGAATCGACGAACTTTTTGGAGGTCGTCGGATGGACACCGCAAACTACTCTTGGCTCTTCCAGTACAGGATGTCAATGGCTCGGGATTGCTTTGCCTGTTTTCGTTGACTAACATGACAACAACGCCTTGCGTTTTCGTCGTGCGGTCCAATTACCGGCCTTTGGCACAATGATATTTCTGGTTTCGAATCTGCCGTTCTCGGGACATGCTGTGTATTCGACTTTGTGCAGTTTCGAGCGACTAAGCTGCTGCGCACCGACGCAAGGGAGGGGAGAGACGCCGCAGTTGTTCTAGAAGCTTGTCTATGAGGAACCTCAGACTACTCTGGCACAGCAGACGCGTCCTGTGACACATAATTGATAGGTTCTCAGAGGATCGGGTAAAGTCAGACAGAAAGCTAGTCACAAAAACTTCACCACCCCGGGGACATGCGATGGTGTTCGGCAGTCCCCAAAATGGAACAAGAGAAGCAAGCATGTTCCACAATGGAAGAAAGTCTGGAAACGAAAACGCACAGCCAGACAGATTTGGCGACGAATAATACGCATCCTTGCTCACAGGGCACGAAGGGTAGGTGGGGGTGGTGGGTGTCGACCAGGGAAGACCCTTTGAGGATGTTTCCTTGGCCCTTGCCCGAAGCGGGAGGCGGAGGATGTCGCATCCAGCTCGACCAGGCCCCGGTCCCTCGGATCAAACAGGCGAGAGCGGAATGGCAAGCCAAGAGATCTTGACGGCCACAACTGCCACCGACGAGACCCCTCCAATCGGGACGCTCCGACAAAGTTGCTGCTCGGGAATCCATCCTCCGTCGCCCCAAGGTCACGCACCCACGAGCGACAGCGACAGCGCTGATCGCGGCGCGGCGCATCTCTTCCTTTCCGCCAGGAGCATAGCATGAGAGGTGAACTGCAGGTTGCTGCCATGCAGTTGCTGCCATGCAGAACGTGCAGAGTGGCGTTTGACGTGCCAGGTGGGAGAACGGACCGGGCTCTCGAGTCACGCTGGGCCTGTGGGCGAGGTGAAGGTGTCATGCACCATGGAAAGACGGCCGGCTGTTGGCAGCCCTCGATGTGACCAGAGTCAAGAGGCGAGCGTCTGCAGGAGATGCTGGCCGGTAAGGCTGGCAGCAGGAGGCCACGTCAGTGCCTGTGGCAGTTTTCCCATTATGGGTTCAGCCAATATCTGATTCCATCTATCTCGAGCTGTGTTGCGTTGCTTCTTTGGGCCAGTGCTTTTTGTCGAGTGGTGTGTCTCGGAGCACAGATGACGTTCCAAGGTCGGGCCAGTCACAACGGCATGTCTGCCACCAAAGGTTGAGACCGTGTCTCTGCGCCCTCGAATGTGAGGCTGAGGACAGATCAGCCGTTTTCCACCTGTCTCGAACGGCAAAGATCAAGGGCCTAAGAGGGAGAGGGTTGTGTGTGGCGGGGCTCTGGGCCCTAGGCCCGGGACGAAAGAAGGAGGAGGAGGAGGAGGGAGGTGTGCAGAAGGTTCGATTGTACCTAGCAAGACGGTCATGTCAAAAGCAGAACTCAAGCTTGCCAAGTACCGGCACGCTGAATCGTAGCCAACCTTTTTGTGTCATTTGTATTGCGTAGCACCGACTCTCTCTCTCTCTCGCCTCGGGGCAGCCCCCGCCCCGCGCCAGGGAAAAAAGTGTGTTTAGTATCTCTGGCAGGACGGGACAAGTGCTCGGGATATGTAATGAAGGCCATTTCCGTGCTTCCATTTTCTCTTCCCCCGGTTTCTTGGTTTCCCTTTTCTGAACGGGTCTCGAACAGATTAGGCTTGTCGTTGAGCCTGTACCACCCTCGTCGAACTCGGGCGAAGTGAGCTGAGGTGAACTCATATCATCTCGTCACCACTTCATAACCTCACGCATACTCACTTATACACATTGCTGCCGTGTCTCAGTCCTCCCTCTCTTCACCAGAGCAAGAAGGGGGTCATACAGTACACACAACACATGCACACCACACACACTCAAAAACACAGCGGAAAACCCGTCCACCTGTCGCTCCTAAATTCTGCCTGCCTCCTGATTCTCCCTTGCAGCACACAACAGCTCTGCTTCGAAAGACTCGCTGCTGGTCGGAAACAAGCAAAGGTGCCAAGCACTCAGCCAGCACCTGGATGTCGCACAGCCAGGGCCGCGCACTAGATTGAGGTGTCTGACTGGTGGTCCAATTATTACTGGGCAGATAGAACGAGGTAGGACAGGGCGAGAATGGCACCACAGAGATTTGCCAGCCTGCGGTCTGGTAATAGTAGGAAGCCAAGGAGCGAGACTATGATCGGGCCGCAGCACATTCCACACTCACTCTCTGACCTTGAGCCTGCAAATGCAAATGCAATTGCGATTGCGACTGCAACTGCACCTCCGGCTGCACCTCCAGCTGCGCCTGCACTACCTGCCCTGATTGCCCTGCCCTACGAGCAGACGGCCCAGGCCCAGCCCCCGATCATCCTTCCTCCGCCTCGCAACCCCCTTCGAACCAGCCGCCGCCGCCCTGCCACCTCTGCCCAGCTCCCTTCCTCGCCAGCAGAGGTCACCACCACCGCCGCCACCACCACAAACACCGCAGAGGCCGTCGTTGTGCCCCCGCCTGTCCCTCCTCGGGATTATTATCACAATCAGGATCAGGATCAGGATCAGACACAGCACCCGCGCCTACGCTTGCATCTCCATTTGCCTGTGCACCCTGCTGTTCGCCGCCAATACCAGAGCAATCACTCACCTGCATCCTCAACCTCAACCGCAGCCTCAACACCAGCATCATCAACCTGTGCTGACTGGAGACGGGACTCGGCCTTGGGCACCTTGTCCTCTGCCTCGGCCACTCTACACGAAGAGGATGAGGAAGACGATGACGAGGACGACGCTGACGCTTTTCGCTACGACTACAACCACGGCAAGCTTGATGTAGAAGACACTCCCTCCATTTACTCCACCGACGAGCCCACCCCGGCCCTGTCGTCTGATGGGCCCTGCACCGCCCATCACAACCCTCGCCCCTCGTTCCAAAGCCGCTGGTCTGTCACCGATTCCGACGTATCGGAAATCGCATCCATTGACAACGACAATTGCAACAATAACAAGGACACAGCAACAAAGAGACTCGTCAAGGGTCTCAGCCTCAAGCTGCCCCCACCCCCCATGAAGCGACTGAGGAAGAAGAGCTTGAACGACGGTGCCGTCGCATCCACTCCTCCGCACTCCCCCCAGTCTCACCACTCAGGCCTGTCCCAGCCATCTCCAGCGCCCCATTTATCCCCCTCGCCTAAAGGCCCCGATTCGATTGGTGACAGCCGCCAAGAGATCCATCAATTTGACAGCCACATGCAATCTCCAAATCCGAGCGGCCCCAGACCCCTATCTGAGTACTCCCAGGCGCCGCAAAATGATTTCCACCCCATCAACACAAGCATCCCCGAGGGTCGCTTCCTCGATGACATCGACAGCCTCAACTTCTCCAAGAGGGGAAGCATCTTATTCGGAGGCAAGCGCGCCGTAAGCTCCCCGAGCCCTGCACTTGGCCCCTCCCCAATGCAGATGACTGCGACGATGACTGCGACGCGCCCGGCGCCACCCGCGCCAGCGGCCTCCACCGCCGACGGCGCGACAGAGTCCAAGCCCGCCGCGGTCAACCAACAACCAACACCGAGGGACTCTGCGAGGAAGCTGTCGTTGCCCAACATACGAGTCATGTCGGTAGATACAGAGAGGGAGTCACAAAAGGTGAGATCGCTCTATGAATCTGGCGACTTCGTCACTTGGCAAGATGGGGCTCCAGGGTCACCTTCTGGTGAGCCCACCGAATCTGGGGACCAGCTTCCAGCCGATGGAGAAGATATTGTCGCGTATGGTTTTCCTTCGGTACTCCGTTCTATACATGTCCAATGTGTCCGCTAACGCTCAATGCCAATCCTCGCAGAGAAAGAAAAAGACGGCAAAGCGTCCGAGCTTTGTACCTCTGTCCCACTACTCCGCTGTCGGCCACTTCGCTGCCATCGCAACAAGATAACTCACGCCGGAGCGAATACGAGCTTGCTGGCGGCATTGAGGACTGGGAAAACGTCCAGGTGGACGACGTCGATCGCTATGGGTTCATACAAGTCCAAAGACCAATCTCGCGACGGAGCATTCCGGCAGAGACACACTCGTTACATTCAACAGTTGGGAGGCGCAACGGCCGAAACGTCTTGACTAAGAGGCATGACGGGCCGTCCTCGCCCCTCGGGCTGAGCCGGATACCTAGCAGGAAGGTGTCGGCCCGGTCGCTGAACACACAAACCTCAGGGGTCTCGACATCGTCGAGGTTTACTGTCAGATCGGGAATTCGGACTGCGGCGAATCTGCTTCCGCACAACCGAGACAGAAAGGTCATTGATGAGGCGGGTGGGATGCTTGGGCTCCCGCTTGGCTTGGTGGACATCGAAGAGGAACAGAAGAGCGAGCAGGCCATCAAAGACGCCCACGAAAGAGAGGTCAAAAGAACCGAAAAGTGGAGGAGGATGGCCAAGACCGTCACCAAGGGCAGAGATGGCAAGGGTGTGATGTTCGCCGTGGAGGACATAGCTAAGATCAAGAGGAGCAAGGACAGCGAACAACATTTCGAAATTCAAGGCACGGTGATCGAGTTTGATGTCAAAAGCCCAAAACTGATTGAAAGGACATGGAAAGGTATACCGGACTGCTGGCGCGGAGCGGCTTGGTACTCTTTCCTCTCTACAAGCGCCCATAACTCGAAATCAGAAACGACAGAACAGCAACTCTTCGCCGAATTCCACCGCCTCCAAGACACAAGCTCCCCGGACGACACACAGATCGACCTGGATGTGCCTAGGACCATCAACAAGCACATAATGTTTCGCAAGCGATATCGAGGTGGGCAGCGGCTGCTTTTCCGCGTGCTGCACGCAATGTCCCTTTACTTCCCTGAAACAGGCTACGTCCAAGGCATGGCCGGTCTTGCAGCCACAATGCTATGCTATTACGACGAGGAGAGATGTTTTGTGATGTTGGTCCGGCTATGGCAATACCGAGGCTTGGAGAGACTATACCAACCCGGCTTCGCTGGCCTCATGTTGGCATTGCAGGACCTCGAGAAGCACTGGCTCCATGGCAAGGCGGCTGCAGAAAAGCTGGTAAGTCAACGGCAGCCCGCGTCAGACGCCGAGTCGCAGCTAACACAACTCACCAGAATGAGATGGGTATTGATGCCACGGCATATGGAACGCGGTGGTATCTGACGCTGTTCAACTTATCAATCCCTTTCGCAGCACAGCTGCGGGTGTGGGACGTCTTTATGCTGCTCGGTGGCTCATCGCCATCCCCAGACCCAAGCTCGGCGAAGGAGAAGGAGGCCGAAGCGACATTTAACGGGCTGGAAATACTTCACGCGACCAGCGCTGCACTGATTGATGGGCAAAAGGAGCTCATCATTGATGCAGACTTCGAGAACGTGATGAAGGCCTTGACATCAGCCCAGCCGGTCAAGGATGAAGACAAGTTTATGAACGTGGTGCGGGCTGAGTGGAACACACACCGGAAAAAAAGGAGAGGCTAGGGGCCATCATCCTTGGCTCTCGACGGCCTGTGGGAGGGAGAGGATGACACTCTGTTGTCGGTTGAAACTGGCTCTACAGCTATGGGAAGTGGTGCGTCACGGAGCTGGACCGGGCAGCGTTAGAGACAGCGAGGCGGCAACGGGCCTAACAACCGCTGCCTGTCGCTGCCCTGCCAACTAGGTGTGACGCCGTCAGCTTTCTTTTGTCATGAGCAATCGTTGCCTCGATTGAGGCGCGACAGCAGGGAGAGCGTTGGCTACTTGGGGTGCATTTGAGCAAGACTATTCGTTATATACCCGCTTTGGCGAACCTACGCGACCGACCTGTATTCGGCGGTGGACGGACATTGGTTTCTCTATTCTCGTTTTCCATATTCAGCAGGGCACGATACGCAGTGTCAAGTACACACAAAAGTAATACAAATCCTAATGACAAGAGAGACTCCCCCTCATCAAAAACACACGCATGCTTATTTTGTGCTCTGTCTCTCTGGTTTCACTGTGTGCATGATGTGTGTGTGTGTCTGTGTGTGTGTGTGTCCATGCCCAATGTCAGTCTGAGGCAGATGCTAAAGACGGGATGGCAGGAAATGGTCGGACGAAAAGACGCCACTCGCCGGGCTGACGCTCGCAGGTCGGGCCGTCCGAAGTCTTGCGACGGTACCCAGTGGGGTCCATGCGCCCCGAGACAAGACCACAAACTGTGGCTGAGGAGAAGAACCACATGGCGGACTAAGACTGTTTTTTTTTTTTTTCTCTGGTCGGTGCTAGGCTCCTTTCAGGCTGTGTGTGTGGTGTGGTGGTGGTGGTCATGCTGCCTTGCCCTCCCCACGGGATGGCGCCTGCGCCCTGATCCTGCCTGATCTGGCCCTGCCTGATCTGGAGGCGTCAGGCCAATCAGGGAACGAAAAGGGGCACCGGCCTCCCCGGCTCGGCGCGTTGCGGACCGGCCCGCTCCCCTGTCTCGGTGCCCGTTCTCGTTTACCGGCTCGAGCTCGACCGAGGCCGGGCTCGTGTCATGAGTCTGGGGCCGTTCCCGTCTTTGATCCATTTGGCTTGGTGGACTCGGTCACTCTTGGCACATTGGGCCGACAAGGTTTTTCTTTCCTTCCGGGGGGGAGGCTCAGTGTTCTTGCATGCTAGCTCGTGTCATCTGAGAGCGCCGTGGCACCCCAAGAGAGGCGCGCATGGGATGATTATGCTATGACCATCGAGAGAAGTCCAGCGCACGGCCTGTGCCCAAGTGAGTCAATAGCAAGGCCATGCAAGATTGAGAAGGGGGAAGGGAGGGGGGGTGGTTCCAGATCTAGGGATGGTCGCACCCGTGCGGTTATCTCTCTCTCTCTGGCTCTGTCTCTCTCTGTTTCCCACTGCCTATCACGCTCGGACGACGTGTTCGCGCTGATCCCCGGCGATGAGGACCAAAAGGGGCAACACATGGCCGAGCCGCACCGCGACGGTGAGCGGGCCGCCCTCCAAGGTCTTCACCCACAAACCGTCTTTCCACGTCACCTCGGCCCTCGTTATTCGGCAGCGCCTGTATGCGGAGCCGCACAAGATCAGAATTGTAGCTCTCTCTAGGTTTTCGGTATCGCGAAAAAGAGGAAAGAAAGTTTTTTTAAAAAAAAGTTTCGTCTGTGATATGTCACTGAGAAAGCATATACACGCCGGGCGGGCTCCATGTTGCCTCCATCCATCCATCCATCTATTCACGTCGCGGCAGGCTGCCCACGGTCCCTGCCCGGCCGGGAGGGCAGCGCACGATGGTCCGGGGCGGGCACGTTGTGGGCATTCCTGTTCTAGCCCATGCACAGTGGGAGGGACAAGAAATTAAAAAAGTACCTGCCGGGCGTTGAAACGGGCACAGACATTGCCGCACGGGGCAACGGGTTGATTTTCATGCAAGTCTTTTTTTTTTCCTCCTCCCCTCTCGGGATATTATCGTCACATGAGGAGCCCGGGCTGCAAAGTCGCCGAACAATGTGTTAATTATCCACCCATCATCAATCGAAAACAATCCCGTCCGGGGGGGCGGCGCGTCCCCCGGGGGGGCATTGGGCCGCACGGATGTGTCCCTCTCCGCCTTATTTTTGCGCCGGTACAAGGCGTGCTTCTGCTTTGGGCACTGACGGGGCTCGCCCGAATGACATGACTGATGGCTGACTTGTAATTCAAAAAAAGACCACATTGGACGAGAAGGTTTTTTGGGGGCCGAAGATCTCTGCACGTTTAAGTTTTTTCCTGGAGGGAGGGAGGGGGGGCGCCGTGCGATCATTGTTCATGTACGTAATTCTCCCAGGGCGCGCGAACTTTTTCAAGGGTCGCAGTGCATGGGTGGGAGCTTGTCAAGCTTTCGGCGCACGGAACTGGACGCGACGAGGAACAAGCAAGAGGGCCGACGATGCCGAAAAAGAAAGCGAGGAACCCACGAGGCCAGTGCATCCTAGGCACCGGGGCGTGATTGGCTCTGGTCGAAACAAAGCTTCGTCGTGCCCAGCAACGGTAATGAGCTGCTTGCCAGATCCGGAACTCAACCAGAGCAGAGATGCATATTGTTGTCACCCATCAGCTAATTGAACCGATGCTTATTGTTGGCCTGCGCACATGGCCGCCATAGAAAGCTTACATCAGCAAAAAAGAGCAGCTCACACAAATATCTCCACAGTGTCATAGTTTTCAAGGATCACAACAGAAAGGCGACGCCGTGGCCGTGTCACATTATTTCCGCTGGTCTATCCATGTCTCGGGAGGAATGTCACGACAGCAATTGCCGACGTCTTGACGGTATATTGTGCAAAAAAAAGCTTGAGCTTTGTGGTAGGCGTAGCCGCTGGTTTGTGATACACAATTCACTCCACGCCTGTGGGGTATCTTAGGTACATAAGTACACAAGAAGAGCTTCTCTGCATCAAGAGGGAGCTTGCTCCATGTTTCAGTCCATGACCACCGAATGCCCGGAGCTTCGAGTGGACATCTGCCCGGCCTCTTGCTCGTCCGCGCCAAGACAGTCTGGCTCGACTCTCTGTTCCCCGTTGTTTTCGTCCTTTTCGTTTTCATTTTGCCTCCGTGTGCAATTCTTTCGTAGCATCCTTGCTTTTCCCATGTATGCCTCCGCTTTCTGTATGTACAAGTAGAAGAGAAGTTGGTACAAAACAAACTTGCTCGGTCCCCAGCGCGGTAACCAAGTGTCGCTGAGTGAGAAGAAAGCGGGGAATTGAACCAAAGTTTACCGTCCCTATGCCTCGCCATTCATGGCCCGAAGTGAAGTTCCCTAAAAATGAAGAATGAAGAATGAAGAATGAAGAATGAAGAATGAAGAGTGAAGAGTGAAGAAGAAGGGCGAAGAATGAAGAATGAAGACGAAGGATGATGTCGAAGAAGAAGATAAAGCTGCTCTTGTCCCTAGGGATGCGACGCTCACATGGCGCGCAGAAGAATTCGAATATGAAGAAAGCCGGAGTGGCCGAAGGAAGATTCCGCATAACAAGCTAGCGGTAATGTTGGCTTCTCCGCAAAAAGTGTCGCTCAGCTGGCGGGCAGGGGTTCGATGAAGATCGTCGGTAGCGCATTCTCAAATAGTCCTGGAGAAATGAAGCCCCAGTCCTTCTAGCTGAGAAAGGCTTCGCAGGACACATCCACCTTTGCCTTTTCAAAATTCGCGCGGAATATGCCATCGACTGGATCTGTTCCGAGTAGCAGCATCGCTGCATTACTCGAGTCACCCATCGAAATCCAGGGCGCAAACCTCTGGTCAACCCCCTAAAGAAAATCAAATTTCGTTCATTGTCTCGTTCCCGCGGAGCCGTGGATCCTGCGCCTCCGACTTTGAGCGTCCCTCTGACGAGTGCGGGGAGTTCTGTCGTGAGCCCTCTTTGCGTGGCTGACCTCTCGTTTCTGCCACTTGGGCAGTTGGATAATGGGCCGCTTGCGGCAGATGGTCATCTGAAGAAAGTAGGGACGAAACTGAATGCGTTGCGATACGCGTCTGCGTCGCTTGCGGCTGCGAATGTGAAGATGGCTCTGCCGATCCAGCACCTCTGTCTCTTGCTGTACCAGGGCCCGAGACGGCCATCGGCGACATCCCACGTGTCGATCCAATGGTCTCGGCGCGGCCGCGTGCTCTGTATGTCGATGCGTCGCTCCTCTGGCGCGAGTGGCCCCTTCTACGTCCTGGCGGAGGGTTTGAGAGTGTCGAGCCAGTGCTGTGGGAAAACGGAGGAGATCTGAATCTCTGTTGCGTATTCGGTGGTGGTGCAGCTGGCTGTGGCCCTGTCGCTTTCCGCTTACGTGGCGATTCCCCTACTGCTTGTTGCAAGCCACGTTAGTCCCCCGACTTTCTCTTTCCCCTTGTTAAGACCGATGTTTGGATTTGGACGCACCGGAAGGTGTTGCCGGCTGATTGGAGCCGGACTGGCCGCCCTGGCTCGTCGGGGGTTGCCACATATGAAAGTAGATTGACGGGGATTGCTGCGGTTCCTGCTGCTGCTGCTGCTGCTGCTGCGCTGAGGCGACGCCTGGGTGTGTCTGCGCTGCAGATGCGCCACCTGTGCTTGGGAGCACGCTCGTGTTCAGGCTAGAGAGACCGGGTCCCCCTCCAAGAGGACGGCTGCCAGAGCTTGGCATGCTATAGCCTCGAGCTCGCGGTGAAGAGTTTGGGTGCGTCCCAACGAAGCTGCCGTGAGCACCCTGGGCAGATCCAGGAGTGGACGGTACGCCACCAGAGCCCGAGTAGTGCCCATAGACTTGTGCTTGAGAGTCACGACGGTACTCTGGCGAAGCTGGGCCGGGCAGAAGGTGTTGCGGGGGCCCGCCTTGCGACTGTGAGTACATGAACTGCTGGGCCCATTCCAGCGCTGCTGGCGGCAGGTTACCACCTCCCATACCCGCAAAAACCACAGGCACCAGAGGCGGTGGGACCCCACCCTGTAACGACGCTCGCAGAATGTCGTACTCAGTTCGTCGTTGCTCGAGGCGCAGCCGTTCCTGGCTGGTCCTCTCCTCTTCTTGCTTCCTCTTGTCCTCCTCCGCTTTCGCATGCAGCCATGCTCGCATGGAGTCTTCCGAGCCCTGCCACCCTGGTGGCGGCGGGGGTAGTTGGCCCAGTGGCTGCCCCAGACCTTGCTGCTGACTTTGAGATGGCGGTGGCGGAGGTGGAGGTGGACCCTGCCCGAGTGAAGACCCATGGGTTGGAGGAGGATGAGATGCAACTCCGGAAGGCAACGGCTGGCCGAGTCCCATCGCCGATGGAGGGGGCAAGCCACGATGAGAGCCAGACATGAGTCGATCCGGCGGGCTATGGCTTCGAGGAACAGCGGGTATGGCTCTGTATGAAGAATCCTGGTGTGTCAACGGAGGTGAGGGTCGGGATGTGCTGGGCGGCGTCGGTAAATCATGGATCGACCTGTAGCCGTAGTGAACTGGCTGCTTGATGGTGAGCATCGTCGTCTACATGCGAGCGACCGAGCTAGTTACAGTGTGGACGCAAGACAGGGACTATGCCCGAGTACGAGAAGAAAACGATGGAACGGAAAACCTCAAGAGGAGGTAAGAGGGCCGAGAAGGAAAACAAAAAAGAAATGGGACACCCAAAGCCAATGGCGAGGTGAGGATGTGTGGATGGGTAGAAGGAGAAGAAGGAAGTAGAATTAACCTTTTTGCAAGGAAGCTGGGAGTGGCGGCCAGCCTGGTAAAGAATGGTAAGGACGCAGGCGGGGCGTGTGGTGATGAAACGTCGAAATGAGCCAGCCCAGCCTCATTTGGACATTGCAACCGGGTGAGATATACTGCGTAGTAAGTACTGTTTACGGAAGGGAAATGGTCGACCCAGTCGCCTGTTATTTTTTTCCCAGAAGCCCAACGGGCCCAGACCCGTGCAAGGTGGAGTGAAGCCGCGTGTGGAGGACGGGGGAGGGGGGCCGACCCTTGTCGAGATCTGCTGCCTTGCTCGCTCCAGAAGAGGAGATTTGATGAGTCTCGAAGTGACTGGGCTGACAGGGTAGGCTACGGGAGGTAATGGCAGCGGATACTATTAGCCAAGGGTAAGGTGAGGAAATTAGACGTGGATCCGATGAACGAAGGACGGCTTAGATTCGTTCCTGGCCAGTTTAGGCAAGTAACGGAGGGGAAGAGCACAGCCGGTGGAGCAGACGGGACCTTTTGTTATTTCTTGTGGAAACAGTCTGTATCAGAAGAGATTGACGCCAGGGTTGGGTGAAGATCAAGCCTTGGAAGGCGATATCAACCTGGGAAGTATCAGGGTTCTTGCGAATGAGACGAATTTAGCCTTGACCCGCAGGTGCAGGGCAGCAAAGCACTGGACCACGCGACATTGGATGGTCTAGTACATGTAGTGATGAACGGGCCTTTAGACGACAAGTGACAGGGTCGATGCCACGGCAGAGTAAGTGTAAAAGTGAATGCGGCTTGCGTGCGAGTATTGCCTAGAGTGGCGGTATGCGCTGCCAGACCCTGACAGCCACGCCAATGTGGAGTACAAAAATATTCCTAGCCATGCTGGAGGGGAGGGGGGGGCAACGGGGGAATGTGAGCAGACGCGTGCTGACACCCAGCACGAAGACAACAAGCAGTTTGCATGAGACGACGACCGACGGGCAATGGATAGGGGAGGGGACTTAGTGCGAGCTGCGGGAGCCGAGTAGAGCAGGAGAAGGAGCAGGGTCACAGCTGTGGCGCGTGAGTTGCCTAAAAGAGTTAAGGTTTCCCTTCCGACAGCTCGCAGAGAAACATCAATCTGTGCGAGATAGGTTCTCCCTGGCCCAGAACGCCTGCGCGTTGTGCTAGCTGTCGAGACGGACTTAAAGCAGTGCTTTGGCAACCCGAAATTGTCCAGAATCCCTGGGCGGTTCTTGGGGTCCCCTGCGAGACATTTCCTGATTCTGGTGCTGTTTCCATTATCGCTTCCCCCTTCGTCCAATTCCCGGCAGGGAGATGAGGGAGGGCGGGGCCACACGCTGGAGTGGGTTCCCTAGACGCAGGGTAGATCCCTAGACAAGCGAACGGCGAAATGGACCAATGTCGGTGAATGAACCAGCGTGAGGGCGTCTGGACAGTATCCATATGTGCATTCGTGCTGTCTTCTGGTCGCGGCCAGATCAAACCCCTCTGGTGTGTACCACGTGTACAGTACGGTACAGCACTGCACGGTACTGCGCGGTACGCATCAGCGTGCTATTTGCGAAGCGGGGCCGGCCTGACATCAGCTTCGTACCCGAGAGCCAAAGCTTAGCTGGCAGTCGATGATGCTAGGTCGATATCCTGCCAGGAGGATGTGACTCTGGAGGTACATTCTCGAATCGGAAACAAGCAAGGGCCAGACGGCATCATCTCAAAAGATGTCGATCGCCTGCGAGAAGCTCGGATCAAGAATGGCTGGCCCAGACCAATGTCATCCTGGCAGCCTCGAAGAGAGCCAGTGCTGCTGTTGCTTTGCATGCTTTGCCAGTGGGCGGGGTCCTGAGTTAGACTTTCCGCCAAGCGCAGTGAGCTCCGTGGCGTCACATCCGCCAGGGTGGAGTGGGTGAAGGGCACAGCTCTAGATTGTGCTTGATCTGGCGCGTCAGTCTTATTATGAGCTGAGAGGGAGGGGAAGGAGTGGTTGTGGGTAGTTGGCGCATGGCCGACAAGCTGTTGTGTACACATGTACGGAATACCTTCCCGGCAGAATTTGGTGCGGCGCAGTACGTAACGCGGTAATGAGAAGTGGGCCTAGGTCGGTGGCAGTACGTTTATTCCTGCATGTGATGAAGACGACCAGTCAGGGTGTACATGGTACGCGACTATCAGGGAAGAAGACAGCCCAGACTGGCTGGCTGCATCGCTGAAGCGGCTGGCGGGCTGGCGGGCTGGCTCGCTGGCTGGCTCGCTGGCTGGCTGACTTGGTACTATTTCCACCGATAGAGCGATATGTGGTGTGTGTGGCCTTTCCCGAAGCCTTCATCGTCGGCAGAGGACTATAGACCACGGCGCGTGGTGGGGCCATTGGCCAAGCACGATCTCGAGATCAGTCCGAAGTCGAGATGAATGTTTGCTCCGCGCCCCGACAAGGTGAGGTCCAGGTCTGGGTCCAGGTCTGGATCTGGCCGCAGGCGCTATCCAACCTGGGCCGGCTAGCCAGGTGCCAGGGAGGTGTGTGTTGTGCTCGCGTGCGGGAGGAGGAGCGTAGCAGTGCGGCTAGGCCAGGAAGGGGCTGATTCTGAAACAACGGATCGCGGTGGCAGACCCAACCAGAGCTGATGCCGTCTGTACTGGGGGCTCAGGGTCAGGCGTCATCAAAAGTGCAGCTCTGTGGAGGTGGGTGTGGCTGAGGAACCCGCGACATCTCCCAGATGCAGTATAGCACTGCGAGCCCACTGGCAGCTGTGCCCAGGTCGAAGAAGTGATGAAATCAGGGTCGCTGTAACAGCATGCGACAGCCACAAGGAGATGAGGGCCGTCAACGCGACATTACAGTACGTGACATGACATGAAATGCGGTGCCATGCCCTGCCATGCTGTACCATGACCCCGGGGGCTTTTTGCCATCACTCTGACGAAGCAGTCCTGTGTGATGGTGGTCGGATGCGGTCGGTGTCGGTGGCAGCTGGGAGCTGGCAGCTGGCAGGCAAGGTGGATGACAGAGTGCCGATGCAGGCGAGATTGCATATGGCGCAGTTATTAATTGCCTCTGCTGCGTGCCATGCAAGCGGGCTGGCAGGCAAAGTAGGCAGGGCAGGCTGGCAGGCTGGCCGTCAGAGCACAGCAGGACGCTTCCACGATGGCAGGACACTGCGAGGAACCGCCAAACCTCAACAGCCCACACCGCGCCAAAGTAGCAGGCCAGGGAAGTCAGTGACTGTGCTGATTGATGGGATTGATAGATATCCACGGAACGAAGCTGGGCTGGGCTGCTCGGGGCAGGAAGGTCAGCCAGGGCAGGAAGTGTCCACTGTCAGCTCACGTCGCGTAGCCCAGCAGGGTATTCGGCACCGACGCAGGCTTGCCCTTGCCCACCTTGCCCACCTTGCCCAGGCACGCAGTGGCACGCTCCTGCTGTGCACAGGTAACCATGGTGGTGGACTAATCGAGAAGGAGCGGTCGGGGTGGACTTGGGAGCATGGAAGGTGCAGAGTGCAGCACAGTGAAGCACAAACAAGGGGGCCCCTTCCAGCAGCTCCTGCCATTTTTGGCCCCACATCACATGGGTATCATGGTACGTACTGGTATCTGCTTAGATACGCTGGTACGGTACTGTGGTACTGTGGTATTGCGGTATTGCGGTACTGTACCTCTGCTCCTGCAGGTGGGCACAGGCTCACCAGAGTCCCCAGCCAGGCCCGCTGTTCACTAAACTTACACAGCCCATTGAGGCCGAACCCCACGGGCATGAGTCTCGACGAGATAAGGCCATCTCCGATTCTCTCCCATGCCTATGCTATGCTATGCCATGCCATGCCCACGCCACGCCATGCCATGCCGCGTCCCGTCCAGAACAACAGCTGGTACACCGCACTGCAGCTTGCCAGTGCAAGTGCCAGCGCCAGTACCAGTACCACTGCCCTTACTGGCCCAGCGTCAATGTTCACTACACTATTGTGTACTATGGAACCGCCTAGGGCTGAGGACACCTCGCACCGCACGGTCCAGCAGAACCGCAGCGTGGGTAACTCGGGTGGGTCCGCTCGCTGATGATCCAGGCTGACGACTGAAACCTTGTACGGCTTCTTGACTGTACACGCCCCAAGTACGGACGGACCGTGTGCGTGTGCGGAGTATTCCAGCCTCGCTACCGTGGACCGCCGCCCATGACTGTATCAGACAACAGACAGCCGACGACCAACCTTGCCAATCACACCAGCTCCCTGCCGCCACCAGCCTCTGCGCCTCATCAGTCTTCACGACCAATTTTCTTACCGCATGGCTCTTGCTGGGGCTGGGGAAGGACCACTGCTACCGCATCTGTGACTGTGACTGCGACTGTGACTGCAGCCTGCGGCCGCGACTGCGAGGGGCGAGGCCGAGGGCGACGAGGGCGGTGGCCAGGCCTGAGTCTGCCGTGCCGCGCTTCTGCAAGTCACGACCCCACAGGCGCATACATACCACATAATCTAATGTGCGTACACGCGCATCGGACGTTGCTTGCTTGGCTTTTGACAGGTCCGCTGAGATCCGATCATGATCCACAGCACAAGGACGTCACGCTTCCACTTTTGCCTGGTCAGCCTGTCCAGAATGAACCGCTCTTGCTGCGCCCACGATGATGATGAGGCCGTCCGAGGGCTCCTTACGCGGTGAGACATCGTACTGCGACGACGCACTCATGGGCTAGGTCGCCCGTTGCAGCTTGCCAGGCCAGACGCCAGATACCAGGCACGCCAGAGACACTAGACGCCAGCCAATCATCAGTCCAGCATGGGTGCGGGTCGTCCCTGGCGCCGCGTGGCGCCGTCGACTGCTTTGGCTGTCTGCCCGCATGTGGCTCCAGAGTGTTGGCTCGCTTTGGCGCTTTGCGACCGAATCGACCCAGCGTCGAGTCCGCGAGTCTGTGTCCCTCGAGATGTGGCTTGCTCGCGGCCGCCCTCCCGCATTCTCCCAGGGACGGCCTTGGCCTTGGCTGTGGCTTCGTTGCACTCTGGGAGCTGGATCGAACCACAAGCTGAGCGACCCCTGTTCCCGGCTGACTAACCCTCCCTGGACTATATTTGAAACAAGATCCCATTTCTCGCGATGCTACCCTGCAGGGCACGCACGCATCCGTCCCTTATTTCGAAGTCGAGCATCCAATCCCACAGCTAATAACAAGCAAAATGAGCCGGCCCCTTCTCAGCTGACCGGGGGACATATCCCCAATACTGACTCCTCCCGGAACCTACAGCCAACCGAGGTGTCGGCTTCACTGGGAGAATGGCAGGGCAGGCAAACCTGCCTTTTCCCCGGGCAACACACCACGGTCACCCGCAGGCCGACCCATCTCCCCGCTGCTGACTTTTATTTCCGAGGCTGAGCGACCCATCAACCTGGCAACAGCTATATTTCATCATTGCGTGGACGCGTGGACGCCCTTGGGCCAGGGCTTTTACGCTGGAGGTATTGCGCATGACCAAAGCTTGTACCCCAGGTTCAGGGACAAAGGAGCTGGCTTGTAAACGTGTCGGTTTTTCAGGATGACTAAGCTTGCGGCTGTCAAGTACAGTAGTCATGACCCTCTCATCAAAGCTCGCGGCTCTCGCCGTGTTGTTGCAGGCTTCAAGATGAGCCGGCGACCACTCACGCATCCAGTCCTCGGACTCGTCGTTGGAGTGGTTCAATTTCCGTTGAAACGCACCAGAGTACCTGGGCATACCCAATCCAAGATGTCAGCAGCTGCCACAGGTGCGCTAATTTAGGCGGCGCTTCCAATTTCAGACGTCGTCACTCATCAAACCCACCGGAGCCGGTCAGCCCGGGAGTAGCAAGGGACTCGTTGAGAAAAGTAACCAAGGATGGATCCCCGACTAATACAGCTGGTTAGTGTATCCACGCGCCGCATTTCATGGTCGCCCCAGTTCGTCTCTCAGACTAGTCGGCCCTGGATGTCACTTGTCAGACAATCTTTCTTTCAGGCTAAGCGCCCCGAACCGTTGATCAACGCGCCTCATCCTGCCGCAAGCGACTTGGCGGATCTGTCGAGTATGACTTGATGGCATGCGGATGGACATGGCTTTGGCGCTCATCACCGATGACCCTCCCCTGGCATCACGGTGATGAGTAAAGGCACAGTATGCGCTTCAAATCTCATCGACAGCCTTCTACTTCGTGGGGCAAATTGGTCGGAGCTCCGGGCATCAAAATCACTGCCCTCGCCTTGCCTGGGTCGCGCCAGCATTGCGGGCGTAGACGTATGCTGTGCAAGAGCAAGAACAAGCAGATGTGGAACTTGGCTTGCAAGCCACAATAAAATCGCCCGCAAAGAGGTCCATGAATATGACCTGGTCAGACGGCACCGCGGTCAGACGGCACCGTGTTCAAGATACGGACCCATTTGTCGTGAATCAAGTTGCCCAAGGCCCGATGGACGGGCACACGAGGAAGCGGCTTCAACCGTGAATTAGTTTTGTTTGTTTATAGGCTCGGCGCTCCATTGACGGACATGCATGTCGTGGATGACGCTTGTGCGTAGCTCGGCCGGACGTCCTGTAAGTATACCAAAGTTCCGGCTTACGTGCAGAAGTCCTGCAGTTGAGCCTGCAGGACCTGCACTTCTCAGTGGCTGAGTGAAAATGTTGGCTCATGTCGGTCCAGTGGCTGGAGTGTGACCGCACTTTGCACGTAGGTTGAGACTCTGCAGGCAGCACTAGCAACCTCGTTGACCCCGGTTTCATCTGCTAAGCCTGTGCCACTGTTACACAGCGACGAGAAGCGAGCCCTATGGGTCAACACCACACAGGTGCTAAGTGCATGGTTCTGCAGTCATTCTCGGGGGTGAATCCGCTGGGGAAGCCAAATCGAGCTGCTTTGGGTGTCACAACAGTCTGGGTCTTGGGTCGGACTTTTGGCTGCTTCCCCTTGAAAGACATCCTCACTGATTGGGGCTTCTACAATCATTGTTGTTGGGCCAGATAGTGTCAAGCCATTCGTATTGCCTCTCTAAATTGCTGTCAGAGACTGACAGCCGAAATAAGCAGCATTTATCGAGCCCTTCTTCATGGCCTCACCCTTGAACATAGTGAGCGCAATCTGCGTAAGATTCCTGCTTGCCATCAAGATCGCCCCTATTTCAGAAATTCGAACCTTCGTAAAGCAGAGGTCACACAGACACGGAATTTCAGCCCGGGATATTCTTTGGCCCCAACAAGACGGTAGAGGCTCTTTGCTTGTCCCCAGCCACGTCGTCCTGATCACCAACGCAGACGAGACTCATTGGATCATCTCGCCGAGCAAATGGGTGGTTCTCGGCCGTCCGTCTTGACGCATCGGGGTTCTCTGTCGACCCTCCCTCCCTGTATGGTCTTTTGCCTCGTGGCCCGCGTGGCCCAAAAGCAGCTTGTGGACTGCCTGCAGGTATAGTCATGTCTCAAAATTTCTCACTCGGAATTCCTTTTTTGGGCCCTTTTTTATTTTGGAACCAAAGCCCACCCCATAGTTAGCAATGGCATTAGTGCCACTATTTCCAGCTCTTTTGCTTTTTTTGCTGCGTGTTGGTGGATGACGATATCCCCATTTTGCACGGCGGACTGAACTTGAAACGAGGCCCGCGTCGAAGACCTCCAGCCAAGAAGTGACTTTGCTTCCAATCGTTCCAGAAAGCGCCTCCATGGGGTTTGCATAGACTAGCCATGGTGCTATGCCTGTTTGACTTACCAAAAAGGACCATGTTCGGGTACTCAACTACCTCCGTTCCGTGACATTCGACGTTGAGGAACCTTGGCTTGCCGGTCCTCATCACGAGGTCTCGTACCTCGGTTCTTCCTGCCACAGGTCTAGACTCGGAGAAATTCTTGTGACCTTGAGCATGTCCTGGTCCATTCTCGTCAAGTGGCTCGTGATGCAGCTCCAGGCGCGCATTCAAACTCACCTAGAGTGTTTAAGAGAACGCGCAGGGTCTTTGCTGCCCTCAACGGCATATTTGATAGTTGAAACGCACGCGCAGATCATCACAATTGGCGGTGCAATTTGTCCTGGTCCGTCAGGTAGACTCACCGCTGGCTTTCGGGATCCAGGATGCTGAGCGGAAAAGATGAGGCTGAGATAAAATGCCATCAGACTTAGGTTCCCAGGTTCTGGCCAGACCGTTCGTCCGATCAAGCGATTACAATTTCGCCGCGGCGGTGTGTTCCTGCAACATAGCCCAATAGCCTCGAGTCCAGCGACATGGCCAATGAAAGGTTGCTATTTGCATGTCCACGCGCGAATCGTGACTTGTCTACATGTGAAATGTGAGCCTTGATGGTTGGTTTTCATGGGTTTTTGCGGATTTAAGCTACATAGGGCCCTTTCATACCACTAGACTGAACGCTTAGCAAACACTCGGATCCTCTTCACTCCTCCGTCGGGTATCATGGTCAACTTGACATGTGTAAAAGGCTGGTCCTGAATCTTGGAGGCATACTCGTGCTCCTGATCCGGCCCGGTCTTGCTAGCTTCCACAACCTCCTGCCATGCCTCGGCCGCCGCCGGGGGCTCTCCGGCGTCTTTCCACTCAATGGCGTCCACCTTCACCTTTTGCGGGAAGTTGCCCCTGAAGAAAGCCGTGTCCACGACAAGACGCTGGATAAGTGCCGGCGCGCCGAGGCGGATGACTGCCCAGTCGACATGGGCCTTCCCACGGGAGCGCTTCGTCTCCCAGCCGTCGCCCATGTCCTTGCCCCGGCCCGGCAGGATGAGGTTGTCCTTGGTGCCAAAGTGCTGGTCGCTGCAGGACACGGCGACGCCGCCGTTCTGGGCGGCGGCGAGGTCGAGGATGGCGTCCCTGTCGTCGGGGAAGACGGGCACGGCGTGGCCGAAGAGGCGGAAGCGGGCGATGCCGCCGTCCGGGTACATGTTGAGGCGGACGTGCGTGTAGCGCTTCGCGGTGGGCTTGCTCAGCTTCCAGGCGAAGCGCTGCGAGGGACCGCACTCGCGGATGCCGAGGATGGGCTCCCAGCCGCCGCGCGAGCCCTTCCACGAGAGGACCTCGGCGTCGTCGAGGCTGAAGCAGCCCTCGACCGAGATGAAGGGCGCGTGGTTGCCGGAGAAGAAGGCGGTGTCGACCTCGATGCCGTCGACGGTGCCCGAGGCGACGCCCAGCCGGATCACGACCCAGTCGAAGGCCTCCGTGTTGTGCCGGCGTGTCTCCCAGCCGTCGTACCAGGCGCCTGTGAACACCATCTTGCCCGGCTGACTGATGGGTGGCGTGGGCGTGAGGAGGTTCGCAGCCTCGGCGAACCACTCGTCAGAGAAGCCGAGGACCTTCCCGCCCAGGGCGGCGGAGATGAGGTCTGCATCGTGGTTAGCCTCTTATTCCATTTGGTTTGAGGTCGTCAACGCAGATTTACAGCCTCGACATGTGCTCTATTGGCCGGTCTTTCATACCTATGCTGGATGAGCGGAACGTCTGATCGATGTCGCCCGAGGCTACAGACGTAGCCTCGACATTGTCGAGCTTGTACTCGATCTCATCCGCCATTGTTGCCTTGGGAGATCTGGGTCGACTATTTTGTGAAGGGGGAGGGTTAGGTCGTAGAGGAAGTGTGGTCATCCACAGAAGTGAATGTGGGCTTGAGATGTGCTGTATATCGGAGCCGAGGACATTATGCGATAGGCGACGAGGTCTAATGACAATAGGCTATCGAGTAATGGGCTCCGGCCCCGGCCCGGATTGATTCGGCAGCGGCCGACACCGCTTGTGTGGAGCCCCGGTCTCCTGTCTCGTCAGCCTCGGTCGGACATGCAGACAGTGTTTGTTCTGTGCTCAATGCTTTGTTTGCTTGAAATGTACCAGCCACTTCTCGTGCATCCCCGGATCCAAAGTGCCGTCGCAAGCAGCGCCGTACGCCCGAAGCACCATAGAACACACGCCAGCACACTGTGGTCTGAATCCGGAGCCGAGTTCATGTGGCACGTTAATGTTGATTTGCCCGCGTTTAGCGGGTTGGCTACGATTATCTCGATAATCCGACCTCTCCCCAAGCTTGGTGCTAGCCGCTACCTGGGTCTGCCTGGGTCTGCCCCGCGCCCCAGTGGTCCCATGCAATGCGTCCAGGCTGGGTGGAGGGTGGGGGACAGTAATGCGGCAGCTCTCATAGGCCAATGGGCCCATCCCATAGAGTGCTCTCATCATCGACTTGTATGGCATCAACACAATTGTCACAACCGTTGCCCTGCTCGCAACGCATTGCTGTCACTCTCTTGCCTACTTGGGGCAAAGGCAACGAGCCCACGCGCCATGGATCGCACTGGATTGCACTGGATTGCAAGGCTAGGTTAGCTGGGTGCTCCTAAACTTCATCAGGTGCCCGCTTCTGGTGCAAGGTAGGTGTGCATGTCCGAACTCTTAATTCTTTCGAGGTACTTAAGCCGCAAGCTCGTCTGGGATCAACCCCTCAAGCTTCGCCCGTACTACCTTTCCTAGGTAACCAGCCTCCAACGTCAGTGTCAACGTCAGCCCCAGCCGGCATATCCATCGCCGAGTTGTCTTGACGACCTTTTGTCTCTGCATCTATGTAACAACATCAAATTCCTTTCAAGAAACGGCCGTAGAAACAGATTCCGCTCCCACAGACGCACGCTTCCTTCCAGGATGGCTTCAGCAACAGGCATTCCGGAGCACCCTCCGGAGAACAACCATGAAGCGAGAGAGTCCGAACCTCTTCTCGGCCAGCCCGGAGATGTCCTGCAGAAACCAGAAGAATCAATATTCCACAATCTCTACAGAGGTGCGCACTCCCCGGAAGACTCGCTCGCCCCACGACCCGTAATTGACACTTTCTGACTGACGAATCCCCCAATCACTAGGCACCGGCTGGCTGGCTCAAGGCGGCGCCGTCCTGCTCGTCGCCCTCGTCTGGTCCTCCGTCTTTGAGCACCCGCCCTTCATTCCGCTCTTCAGCCCGCACCCGCTCCTCCAGAGCGTCGGCGTGCTCGTCCTGGCAGAGGCCATCCTCATCCTCCAACCGACGTGGACCGCTGGCGAGAAGATCATTGGCGCCCGCGCCCACGCTTCGCTCAACCTTCTATCCTTTATCATTTTCGCGGCCGGTGTGCTGATTATCGAGGCGAACAAAAGTAAGCACTGTCAGCAGGGGCGTTCGTTTCCTACATGGATAGTTTTGGGGGCGGTGGTTATCCAGGAAACAGGCTCTAAAGACCATCACCAAGCCACAATAACTTCCAATACCTTGTTCTTCAAAGCCGTTTGTAATTCCAATTACTGACAAATCCGCAGTCAAGCAAGGTCCCGACAGCCACTTCCACTCCGTGCACGGCTACCTGGGCGTCCTCACCAGCGTGGTGCTGCTGGTTCAATACGTGTTCGGGTTCCTGATGTGGGGAGTTCCGGGCGTGTTCGGCGGCGTCGACAACGCGAAGGCGCTGTGGAAGTACCACCGCATCAGCGGGTACCTCCTGTTCCTGCTGATACTGGCCACCGTCATCAGCGCCGTGTGGACAGACTTCAACGTCAACGTGCTCAACATCCGGGCGTGGACTGTCGTGGTCGCCGTTGCGCTCATCGTCCTCGGGGTGTACCCTAGGCTCCACCCGAGGAAGCTCGGGTTCAACATTGGTCGCCACCACTGATGTGTGCGAATGGGACCGTGAATTCAGGAGCCTCGGTGCTGTTTTGTTGGGGATCAGGACGCGGGTCGTTTGTGTAAAGCCACCTGGCACTTGGTATTTGACGGGTTCTGTGCATTGCGAATCTTTACTTCAAACACGGTTCTGGGCGTGCGCTGCGAGATTTGAACGGCTCACAAGCTTTCCCATGCTGGCATTACGCTTCCGGTGGAAGGCTGATAGAGGGTATATTGGGCAAGCTCTTTGCTTTGGATTCGATAGCGACACAGGTACATTTTAAAACTATTGATCAGCAACGCTTGAGTGCTAAAATAGTTTCGAACTTTTCGTTGCTTGTTCCATGCCATGAAGGGGAGAACTGAGTGCCTTGAGCAGTGCTTTGGCAGATGGGAAGAAGTACCCAGCTATCATTTCGTATTGCTCCCCGCCAGCTCGAGTAAAGACGCTTTTGGCAGCGATCTACATGTGAATCAGATGGTAAGTTTAAACAGATAGGGAGTAGCTCATGTACTGTGATGTATTCTTGGTGAAGGTGAACAGTAACTTCGCTTATGGAAATTTATGACCCGACGCTCAAAACGATGTGTTCCTCGGGAGAAAGGCGAAGCGGCATTGCATGTCAAAGCAGTGCTCTGGTGGGAGGATAGCGAACATCTTACGGCAAGCACTTCTTGCCATGCGAATTCCCATTCTGTATTATGACGTGGGTTGTCTCGGCCTCACTGCCATCGATTGCTCTTTGATTCCTGGCCGTGTGCTGTTGTCTGTTTGCAGCTGCGTGTATATGGCCGGGTACCTGGGAAGGGGAAGATGAAGGGTGCGACAGACTGGACCCCTAAACTTGAGCAGACACCCCGGCGGGAACGCACGCAGAGCACGATTCTCTACATAGCGGCCGCCTTAGCACAGATCCCGTATGATATAGACGGGGACACGTCGGTATGTGTGCGAGCTACCTTGAAGCCGGACTGTCCGTCCATGCGAGCAAGGTTGCCATCTATCTGATGCTAGATCGATCCGAAGATCGACGAGTGTGCATATATCCCTTTTGAATGTAGACACATCTTCAGTATTGAGGTGCACGGCGCTCACGCTTGCATACTGGCTACTCAGATGCGGAAGTTCTTCGGGGAGAAAAGCTGCACTCTACCCAGTATCTCTCGTTTCTCAGACACACACTCTCCGATTTTGACTCGAGATATATGCGTCTTGGGCCCAAACCCAAATCAATATCCTTCGTACGTCGGCTGCCAAGTCGTTCCTATGAAAGACGGGCCGCTGAATCGAAGTGCGACCCGTCAACATTCACATAGTGCATGAAACGAGACAGCGCGTTTTGACTACGGCTATGTTGGATGCGGGCCTGGGAGCAGAGCTGCTCTCACCTCTCATGTGAGTACGGAACGAAAAACATCTTGTGTTGCGTTCATCTATTGATGCTTCCATGACCTGTTGAGACGGACGCTCTCACAAAGGTGACTCATGTGTAGTCTGTGAATCATTTTCGAGAAGACCGATTTTAGGATTGGGTTGTCCATCATATGGGCATAAAGAGGACGAGCAGACTCCAGAGACTGGTGGGAAGGCCGATGCTGAAGACGTGAGCCTTGACAGAGAGAGAGATCGACACTAAGTCGTCGTCGTCTCTAAGGTACCTCAGCGGACACATGGCTCAACATGTTGATTTGACACCGGTTTGAATATTTCCGACCACCATCGTCAGCACATGCCATTCACCTCTCACCAACCTTACCAGCCGTCCGAGCGCCGCACATTGTTGTGTCCTGGTCAGTACCTACATTAGCATGCCAGGCAGCGGGAACCTTGTTCAGACGATGCCTGATCTCGTCATCCTGGGAGCTTTTCGACAATGTTGCACGTAGGCGCTCGCCCTCCTGCCAGGTTTTGGCCACACCTACCACTTGAGCCCCCGAGTTTCTTGGTCATCTGTCGAGGGTCTGTCCGCTGAACTTCCGACGGATCACCCGGGGAAAGTTCGCTGAGACTTGTTGGCATTGACCAGGGTGTCTTCCCAGTTATTGTTGGACATGTATATCTTGGTACAATATTGGGTCACAGCATGGAGGCGATAGTCAGGCACGCAACCTCAGATATGAAACCTTCGATGTTCGCTAGGCGAGTGACTGTCTGTTGGGGACGTCGACGAGGGCTGAATAAAGATGCGCTAGACGACGTGATGGTTGCAAGGACTCGAGTCTTTAGAGGTACATGCAAGACTCATTAGACGTTTTATGCAAATGCAACCACACCGCAAGGGCGGGTCGTAGACTCAACGCAGTTATACTCGAGCAAGCTTCCCAGGGTACCGATTACCTGAAAGGCCATCGGTCAAGCTGTCTCTAACCACACACACTTGCATGCGAAGGAGAAACCCCGGCACTTGAAGACACAACTGAGTTCCCAAAATACACTGAACTTTCAGGCCGCATGGGAGGCAATGTAAAGACGACCGATTGCTCGAATGTTCGCGAATCGTCCTTCGTCGATAGTGGGGCCAGAGGTGAGGACGAGTGACTATGTAGATGTGTGCCCCTGCCCCACGAATGCAATCGTTGACGTTGTCGTATTAAATTCGACATATGCAAAACACAGGAGACAAAGCGCCTGCCCCATCCAGAAAAATCGTGGGGTTTGCGACCCACGTTGAAGCTCCCTGCCCTGGCGAAAGGCCTGCTTGTACCTGATTCTGCCGCATCCCGGCCATAGCAGTAGAAAGAGAGGCCCGTCTCCGATTTGTGTGACCGGGGCTCTCGAACAGAAATCGACACAGGTCGCGGTAGGTGGGGGTAATTTTAGGGGTTCATCTCCGATATGATCTTTGGATATCGGACATGTGCCCCTCCAGATCGCATTGGGACCACGACGACGTACCGCAGAAGGTGACCCTGAGCAACCTCGTGTCCCCACACTGGGCAGCCTGCTTACCTCCTGTTTACCTCCTGCGACGCTGCGTAGGATTGCACTCGCATCCCTCCAGCTCCGTCAGACGAGAAAACAACAGCCAGCCAAGGGCTATGGGCAGGGAATATACGGAGCCGCGTGCGGTTCCGTGAGAAGGACGTCTTTGTCTGAAGACCCCTGATGGGGCCAGAAGTTGGCCGAATGGAAGATGCAGTGCGTTGCGGCAAAGGGTTGCAGAGGCCGAGACGTCAGACCACGTTCATTTGCGCAAACAGGAAACTGTGTCGTAGTGGGGCCCGGGAGGATCGGTCTGTCGGGAAGGCTGCTCGAGCTTTTCGCAGACGGCCTTGGGGAAACGAGGCTGTCACAGAACATGGCTCCCCGCCGAGAGCAGAGGATTCCCGGCCAACCTTGGATTGGTGAGCCCTGGGCCAGTGAAGGGACATTGGACAGGGTAGGGGTGTTTCATGCACCATACCATCATCGCCTCTCTGTCGCGTCTGCAGCACCGCACCGCAGCGCACAGTGGCAGCAGCAGTAGCAGCAGCAGCAGAAGTGATTGAGTGACGAGGTATTGGATTGTGTTGATCGAGCGGCTCTTCCCCCCGATATCTGTCCAGCAGCTGAGCTGACTCGGATCCACCTGGGATTTCTCACCCGGCAGGTATGGAGGAGGTACATTCCCACCAGGGTACATCGTCCATGTCGACGGCGCAGGTGCGCAGACACAGTGAGGCGTACCCATTTCCGCGGGTGGGCTCCATGTCATCTAGCTCCCTCCAGTACGTACAGATGCTCCGACCAATACTGTGGCCGGGTGTATCCCAGTGACGTTGACCCTACGTCATCCCTGAAGTTTCTCCATATTCGGCAGGGACTGCCGCCAGGGACCCCTTTTTTACATGGTTCGGTTCAGTACACAGAGAATGTACTTCGCGTCGACGACCGTTGTGCAACCACGGCTTCGGTCCCACAGCATCGGCGACAACAACCCACCCCCTGGTTGGCCTTTTTTTTTCTCTTTCTTTCTAACATCGCTGCTTGCCTGATTGCCTGCTTGCTTGCCTCCTGTCCTTCCCCAGCGTACCCACCACCTCGCGACTTGACCTGGGATCGACAGCAACATGGTTTGCCGGCGAAACGTTCAACGAAAAGTCCGAAAGCCTACACTGCCCATCTTCTTGTGTGGCATAGTCATCGTCAAGTCGTGCTCGATGTGTTGTTGGTTGTTTGTCCATCCCCCAGCTTGATCTCGATGGAACGGCGAGTCAGGCTCGTCCCGATGCTCAATGCGCTTGAGGGAATGCCTGCACGGCACCTTTTCGGATGCCGCACGTAAAGACTGTCCGTTGGTGCGAGGTGGTCCTATAGTACTAGTTTACATCAAGTCTGGAGAGCCATGGACAGAGCCAATCTTATTGTTCCCACGTGTGCTTCCCGTGACCTGGACTACAGCATGGTCCTGCCATCGTATAAAGGGTTCGCATGGCCGGTGCTCTTGATCTCGGCTTGGACGATGATTTAGAGCCACTCGGCCAATAAAGAAAGAGTCTCGTCGAGGTCCTCTCAGGTCATGAGCAGATAGGGTTTGACCGTGACGAGAATGATTGTTAATAGTGACACCACGGCATCAGTGGGAGACGGGATACCACAATGTAGTGTAGTTAGGTTCCCTGTGGTTCTTGGGTCCGTCCTCGACGATCATCCTGCGCGCTGGCACGAGTGCCGGCACCCACACCCGTCCAGAAGCTGTCTGCAAGCTCGGGGACGAAAGCTCAGTCGAGACGACGGGAGTCCACAATGGAGGCATGGCTCTCCTGTGATAAAGTTCGACGGCCTAGGCGAAGGAAGGGACATCTGTATCGACTTGGGGCGGACACCAGCACCCTCCCTGTTTGGTGCTGTAAGCACCCTAGGAAATGTCGCTACTGTGCCTAGTAGGTAAAGCAGGGAAAGGAAGCGTCAGAAACCTGGATGGGACGGCAGAGACCCACAGCCGCGAAAACCTCCAGCACCAGCACCAACACCGGCACCAGCACCACCAGCCCTTGGCGACCTACTGTAGACTAGTCTGCCGACACTGGTACGGTGGTTGGTTTGGGACTTGTTGTTCCAATTTTCGAAGAACATGCCGCCCGCACCAGGCCACCAAGAACAACAGGCGGCGCGGTGAGTTCCTCGACAGCCCGGATCACAGAGACGTCCAGCCAGCCACCAAAACCCCCCTCCAACCAGTAACAGTAAACCAACCAGCCAGACGGCCAGACGGCCAGACCAGTACTGTACTGTACTCCAGTCGCCTCTCTCTCAAGCGAGAGCACCTGCCCTGGTGGTCTCGGTTCTGGTGGCGGTTGCCTCCTCCAGCCGCCCGTGCTGCCCCGGCCTTGCCCTGTGCTGCGCTTTCCTTCTTATTTTTAACAGAGCAGCCGCACACCTACGTCATACCGACCACACCCAAAACCACCTGCGCTGGCTGCTGCCCGTCCAGACAGGTCGACCCTGCACCTGTTTTCCGCCTCCCAGCTGCAATTGCAGTATTGCAAGGCCTGGCCTACCTGCCCACCTAACTCGTCCAGTTTCCGTTCGTTCGTACCTCGCCTGCCTCTCAGAAAATCCGACAAAGCCAGACCTCAAATTCCACTTTTGCGGCCTTCGTCAGCTGCCCTTGCCTCTGCCTCTGTCCTTGTCTTTCAAGGTTGTCCTCGCCTCGCCTCGCCCCGCCCCGCCCTGGGTGCCCTCGCCTTGCCTCGTCTCGCCCTGCTCTGACTTGCCTCTAAACCCGTCTTTGACTTCTACTCCCTCCTGCTCATTCTCGCGACCCCGTGTCGCCCAGTTTTGCCAGGCGCAATTCCGCTGTGTGAACCTTCCTCGGCCTTGTTCCAACGAGCTCTACATACATGCTGTAAAGCGACCACGACCATCCAATTGCCACGATCACGCGGCCACGCCCGTCACTCCAGACTGTCCTCGACGCCCTCTCCATGGAACAGCACCTATGAGGCATGCCAAGGTCGATTCAAAGCGCTGAGGACCAGGACGACCTGTTCGATACGCGCCGCTCATCCAAACCTCCGCCGGCACCTTCACCCGAGCCTCAGGGGATCCAGCCTGGACACTCAGATGCGTCGCCGACGTCGCAAGGAAATGAGCGAGCAGTGATGTCAGATCGCTCCAAAGCCGCAGGAGAGGGCAAGCAGCCCCTGCAGGACCCGAGAATTCTGGCCGTCAGCAGGAGCATTCCAAGCTCTGCTGTTGGCAGTGGGAAACCAGCGGGAGGCCTTGCATCCCATGCCCGGGACCAGTCGAGCAGCGCGTCCGAGACTGCGCGCAGCAGTGGTGATGATGAAGCGAGCCCGCCGGGGCCCAACTCCCCCAGGTCTCCCAAGGACTCCGCCAGTCAGCTCAGCCAGTATCGCGAGAAGCTGACTAGAGAAATTGCACGGCAAGGGCTCGGCGCAAGACCCGGCCAAGCTCCGGCCCAACAGCCAAACAGAGTCTCGCCTATTCTCGAAGACGCCGCTGCCGCTGTGACAAACACGCCCAGCCCGGTGGTGTCGTCCGGGCCGTCTACTGGATCAACTAATGCCTCGACAGAATCTAACCAAACGATTAAGGGTGGCGTCACTCCCGGCTTCGTCGCCAAGACACCATCCTACCCATTTCCCCGTATGGCTAGCAACCCTGGATATATTCCTTCTTCTCTGCATAGGCCTTTCACGACTCTATCACCAACGGGAACAGGATATGATATGTCCTCCATGTCCGCCGCGGGGACGCCCAATCAGGGCACCTCTCGACCGCATGATAGGATTTTGTCCAACCCTTCAACGCCTGCATCCACCGTGACCTTCCAGCCCCCTGGTGCAGCCCAGCCAGGGGATGATCCGGACTTTCCCACGCCGAATCTTTACGACCTGTCCTTGATGCTGTCGGCCGAGCCCGGAATGGAAGCCTGGTGGAAGACGGTTGTCTATATTATGACCGTTTGCTTCAAAGCTGAAAGGCTGACACTGTCTGTACCCGCTGACTCGACTGACCTGGAAAACGTTCCATGGGGTCAGAAAGCAACCTACAATGCACGGCCAGAAGATAGCTTAAGCATGGAGTACATGGCCAGGGGTAGTAGTCTCGTGGCAAGCAGCCTGGGTGACGTCTCCGAAGTACTTTCCCCAGGCGGCGATGATACTATTCGTCTGCAAGGTTTTTCACGTCCTCACATATATACTCGCCACTCTTTCACGGCGTTTGAAGAAGAGAAACAAAAAGACGAATCATCAGCGAAGCCGCGGCCCTTCTTCAAGAGACCAGGCGTGTTGGCCCGAAGCAGGAGCACTTATCCTGAGACGCCAACACCACACGTGGGACTGAATCAACAAGCACTGGAGGAACACGATGCCGAGGCGCCAGGACTGACTGGTGGGTGGGATGCGCCGGCGCCGGAGAAGGAGAACCAGGGGAGAGTCTTTGAACTGCTGCAAGCTCTGGATTACGAGGCTGATCCGCTGATCGATCACCATGGCGTGGCAAAGGTACTAGAACGCGGGCGCGTGATTGCATTGACACGAAGCTATCCATACCTCGAGGACACTACCCAGGTCAAACCTGTGGATAGTAAAGCACCTGCCCGTGCCCACTCGCCGGAAGGTCTCAAGAAGAAGGGCAGGTGGATGCGGCACGACTCTTCCACAAAACTGTCCAACATCCTAAACTCGGCTCATCCGATTAGGACTCACCCCCATGAACGGAGGGCTGCGCAAAATATTGACAAGATGATCTCTGAAGGAGAGCCCCGACGACCACCGACTCCAAAATATGAGGAGTACGAGCAGACACCACCCTCTCCTTGGTCACAGTCGCCAGCGCCCTCGCCTGCAATTCGAGCCGATCCGAAAGACAATCCTTTTTTTACCGATGCCGTTGTGGACGAATCATCATTCGATCCTACGCTGACGACTCCGGACTACGCAGCAATAGGACCACAAGAAGCCATCGGGGTAGACAATGCTTGGACTGTCCTGCATATTCCCCTGAGGCACCCACTCTTCTCGAAGCCGTCCAATGGGTTCAAACTGGATACTACCCTCATGGAGCAGAAGTCGTCGCGTCGTGGGAAAGAGAACGCCCCAGAGTCCGAGAAACATCTTGATTCGGACGCGTTTAGGAGAGAAAAACAGACCCCCGTGGCCATTCTGTCTATTCTCAGTCCTACTATCCCTTATCCGTCCAATCTTCGCTACTCACTTGAGCATTTGTCACCTCACCTCGCGACATCATTCGCCCTGTGCCGCCATTATAGCAATCTGGAAGCCGAGGTCAGCAGAATGCATCATCGGAGACCACGAGTTGCAGGATTCGGCGCTGTGGACCCCGAAGGCCGGCCCATCACAGATCCAGCAATCATTAATTACGCAGCCCCTGAAGAGGCTGCAGACAATTCGCTGGCAGGAAGCATGACAAGTCCGAGTGAGTACTCTACACAGTCACGAAGCGTGACGGGCACTCCCGGAGGCACACCAGGCTGGGAATCTACAGGCTTCGGAACCATGATGGACAAACGACCTCCGGTCTCAAGTCCCGCTCCTGCGGGCGGTGACAGTTACTTCACAACGAAGTCCAAAACGACCAGCAAGCCCGAGTTCCCTTCTACTATGCAGCAGCGGGTCAGACGTAATTCCAGAAGCAGCACCACGTCGGAGAAGCGCTCCTCCCTACGACTGTCTGGCGGAATGTCACTGGAGTCTGGTCGCTTGAGCCCCGACGTCAATGAAGAAGACCTGCCTGCAGAGACTGCAGGAAAGGTAGCAGAAGATTCTGCCCCACTGGCAACCACAAAGCGAGTGACGACCAAGGAGCTATCAGCAGAAGGGAAAGAAGACAAACCTTTCGAGTCCAAGGGCGGCAGAGCGGCAGCTCAGACACCCCACCGCCACGTCAAGCTCCATTCCTATGGGGGAGATTTTGCAACGACGTTCCAATCGTTACCTCCAGGCTCGACTATTCCCACAAGGGGTGCTCCGTCTCGAGCCGACACCATGCCCACCAACACATCTGAAATGGCTCTACCAACAGACAAACTCAAAGATCTCATACTCGACTCGATCCCAGCGCAGCTCTTTGTGACTCTGCCCAGGACTGGTGAGATCGTGTGGGTGAATAGTCGTTATCTTGCCTACCGTGGTCAGTCTCTGGCAGAACTTCATGCAGATCCTCACGCAAGCTTTCATCCCGATGACCGTGAGACCTATCTCAAAGCGTGGGGACGTGCAGTCAAAACAAGCACAGATTTCCAGATGAATGTGCGGATTCGCCGCTTCGATGGTGCTTTTCGCTGTTTCTCGGCAAGGGTTGTTGCGTGCAAAAATAAGCGCAACGAAATCGTGTATCACCTGGGCTCGTACACGGACATCCATGAACAGACCATGGCAGAGCTCAAGGTCGTCCGGCAGCAGGAGATCGAGGCTTCTGAAGCAAAGTACAGATTCCTCGCCAACCTGATCCCACAAATCATCTTTACGGCCACTGAGGACGAGGGAATAACCTTCGCCAATGAGCAGTGGCTTGCTTACACTGGGCAGAGCGAAGGCGATGCTCTGGGCTTAGGATTCATGGACTACGTACACCCTGACGATTTAGCCAAATGTCGGATACCCTCAGGTCAGCAATCTGCAACGCCACCCCTCAGTCGAGTCAGGATGGGAAAGAAAAGCCATGCAGAACCTTCAAAGGGCAACAAATCGTCCGACCACTCAACCCACAAGAGCACAACCCATGTCGAGAGTAACATACGAGGCGTGCACCATCCACTTTCTCGACAGAACAGCTCCAGTAGCGACTCCGTCTACGAACTTCCTTCTGCGAATCTGACTGAGTTGGCCAAGGACGGCGTCGTCAAGGTTGGAACGGACAGCAACGGCAGGTTGTCATACTCTACAGAAATCCGGCTTCGTACAAAGACAGGTGAATATCGATGGCACTTGGTACGTTGCGTCGAGATTGACAACATTGGCAACGACAACAGCTCCTACTTTGGGTCGGCAACCGACATCAATGACCACAAGTTACTCGAGGCGAAGTTGAAGGAGGCCATGGAATCAAAGAGCCGCTTCTTGAGCAACATGTCGCATGAGATCCGAACCCCACTCATTGGTATCTCGGGCATGGTCAGCTTCCTTCAGGACACTACCCTGAACGAAGAGCAGCGAGATTACACCAACACTATTCAAACCAGCGCTAACAGCCTGCTCATGATCATCAACGATATCCTTGATCTTTCGAAGGTTGACGCCGGCATGATGAAGCTGAATCATGAGTGGTTCCATACACGTGCTTTGATAGAAGACGTGAATGAGCTGGTCTCAGCTATGGCTATTGCCAGGAGACTCGAACTGAATTACATTGTTGAGGAGGATGTGCCCACGTGGGTCAAGGGCGATAGGGTGAGAATTCGACAAGTTCTTCTGAATGTGATCGGCAACGCGATCAAGTTCACCGAGGCCGGCGAAGTTTTCAGCCGGTGCAGAGTCAGGGCTGGCGCATCAGGACTAGGTGAACAACAGGTCATGCTCGAGTTCGCTGTGATCGACACCGGAAGAGGCTTCACAGAGGAAGAGTCGAAGCTCATATTCAAACCGTTCAGTCAGATTGATGGCAGCAGTACAAGAGCTCATGGTGGCAGCGGCCTCGGCCTCGTCATTTCACGACAGCTTGTGGAACTGCACGGCGGAAAGATGGACGGCACGGCCGTGCCGGGACGAGGAGCGACCTTCACTTTTACGGCCAAATTTGGCTTGCCAACTGCAGAGGACCACCCGGACGTGCCCGCCAGCCCACAGTTGCCAAACACACCTGCCGTTCTCGAGGATATTCCCACCCAACCTTTCAGGCAGTTCACCATCACAAAGCACCGCTCCTCCGCCGCTGCTAGCCCCAGTCACACTGAGCAGGAATCTTCACCAGCGGTCGTTTCAAGCGGCAGCTCGAACCCGTCTGTGACATCGACCGGAACGCGTGTCACAGGCAGATCGTCAATCTCGTCCGTGAACGTCGGCCTAGCTCGGTTCAGTGAAGCTGCTAGGGCCAGTGGCCAGGATTTGACACAGATGAAATTGGAAATGCCATCAGGCCGATCTTCACCTGGACAGACGCCGACTCCTGAGCACCCGGATAAGGCTGTGCCTGCCAACGAGTTCCGCCCGCCGATGTTTTCTATTCTGGTGATCTGCCCTCAAAAGTATAGTCGAGAGGCCACCACACAACACATCGAGATGACTTTGCCGAAAGACGTCCCTCATCAGATCACAGCACTTGCGAGTGCCCAAGAAGCCAAGCAGCTCATCAGCCGCGATGATCCGGTCATCTTCACGCACATTCTTATCAACCTTGCGTCTTCCGAGGAGGTTTTGGCGTTGATGAGTGAGATCAGCAGCTCGACTCTGCTAAGTAAGACGAAGGTTGTCTTGTTGTCTGACTCCATCCAGCGACAAGCCTTGACCAAGCTCGTCGAGGGCAGCAGCCTTTCGAATGTGATCTCTGATAGCAGGGTCACGTATGTATATAAGCCGGTGAAGCCATCACGCCTGGCTGTTGTCTTTGATCCAGCCAATGAAGGCGATCTTAGTGTCGACCGCAATCGGTCTACTGCTCAACAGATAGTCGAGACTCAGAAGAAGAGCTATCAAGAGGTCGAGAAGCGAATGGGCAACAAGGGCTACAAGGTGCTCCTTGTGGAGGACAACCCCGTGAACCAGAAGGTTCTGAAGAAGTACCTGATCAAGGTTGGGTTGGAGGTCGAATTAGCCGCAGACGGTGAGGAGTGCACAACAAAGGTCTTCGGCCATGATCATGGCTTCTACTCCTTGATACTGGTAGGTCGCAAACCCCACTATCGGCTTCACGAAAAACTAACAGCATATTAGTGCGATCTTCATATGCCTCGGAAGGACGGCTACCAGGCCTGTCGCGAAATCAGGCTCTGGGAAGCCAAGAACAAGCACCCCCAATTGCCAATTATCGCGCTTTCTGCGAATGTCATGTCTGACGTGCAGGAGAAGTGCGTAGAGGCGGGATTCAGTGACTACGTTACGAAACCAGTGGACTTCATCGACTTGTCGACGGCCTTGTCCAAGTTCTTTTGAGTCTGAAGCTGCGTCGGCACGACAGTCACCACCAAACCTGAGACAGAAGCAACGATAAGGGAGACACAGTAAACGAATAGATGTCGCTTGCATACTATTGGCGTTACCATTGCGGTAGTTCTATCTACCAGACAGCATCATACGCTTGTGGCCAAGGAGTTTACGCAGCGAGGCAGCATTTTTCTTTCCATAATTCTTTTGTATAAACTCCCCTGATACCAATTCACGAAAAATACCATTCTCTTTTCCCCTATTTACGAAGTCAGATACCAAGCGAACAGACTTTGCTAAAGATGGGAGCACATTGTTTTGCTTTTGGGTTTTGGGGGCGGGGTGGAGGGACGGCCAGCATAAAGGAGAGGAGGCAGAACACATATCGGCATCCAAGTCAATTCTGCTTTCAGGCATTTCGATGTACATCCGTGGGGTTTATGAAGTCATGTTACGAAGTTGGGGACCGCCTACCATCATGATGCCTCATTTCTTCTCCCGCTGTCAACGTTCAGGGTCCAAGGTCGATCATCATCCTGCTTACCGGTGCTACTACTGCTAGGATACAGGGGCGCTTGTCATATCAGCACGCTCCTATGCAAGCATAATTGATGATCTCGTCTGAGTTTGGATCAGCTGACGCGGCTGGGCATTCCATTCCCACGGTATTTTTTTTATCGGTACATTATAGGATTCTCGATGGGAGGGGATATCGGAGTTCCGGGAGAAAGGAGGGGGCCGGCGCCTGAAGGAAAGGGAAAGAAAGAAGGGGTCGCGGGTGGATGTACAGCGATAGGGACAAAAAAATAATGATTCGGTTCCGTCTAATTTCCCTCTGTGCCGACCTTGTTCTTCTGTACCTGATTGGCAACTTTCCACGTTCAGGATCAGAATCGTAGCATGTATTGTCGCCGTGCATCGAAAGGGTCATCCGATGTTGTTGTTCCATTTTAGATGAATGGCGACATGAACGCGAAAGCTCCGGGGCGGGTCCGTCCGTTGGGTTGGGTTGTGGGACAAGAGTCCAGCCAAACATATGTGCAACCTTGACCGGTCAGTTAGGAAGTCATTACTTGTGAATATGCACGGAAGGGCCTCAGCAGAGTCGCATATGCGGCTAACGCCCGTTAATACTGGTTCTCATCTCGTCGAATCGTAAATAGTACGTAGCATGGCTCAAAGAACAAACTCGGTTCCAGTATTCATGATCTCATTGTATTTGTGACTCGTTCTGCTCATCCTGTCCCGTGTGCGTTTGAATGTATAGACAAGATGCCCCGTGGTCCATGGATATTCGCGCCAACGGGTAATGATCAATCTGATGGTATCTCCTCCACGAACATGCAGACATCCATCCCATCCCGAAACGCCGCATATCCAATCCTTTGATCCCATTGTGTAGACGTACCGTTCGTTGCTCGACGAGTAATCAGCTGAGAAATGTACAGGCAACGGGAGATGATATAGACAACAAGAGCCTAATAAACGCTTCCCTTGATGCTACGGTCCTCCCTCTCCGCTCTGTCGATGTCGGCATCAGACATGTCATCCTCGTCATCGGCGTTTCCTTTCTCCCGCTCGTCGTCCGCGTGCTCGTTCTCATTGTTTTGCTCATCATGCTGATGATGATGCTCCTCGCAGCAGCCCGAGCTACTGCTCACAGGCGAGTCGCCCAGCCGGTTTGCCATGGTTCCCCGTCCCATGCCTGACTGGTCCCGCTTACCACTGCCGGGAGCGCCATCTCCATCGCCGCTGAGGCTCACCTCGGCGACACGTGACGTGACAACCTTCAGCCCCAGACTGCTCGATTTTCGCTGCCTGGCCCGGTCATCCTCGGACGAGTCGACGTCGCTGCCTGCGCGGGACGTCTGCCCGCTGTGTGTGCCGCCAAAATCCCGCCCTCTCGCCGACAGGAGCGGTAATATGGCTAGCGGGGTCTTGCCGTTGGCCGGCGGGCTCTTCATGTCCTGTGCGCGAAGGCGGTCATCCACGGAGATGAAGCTGGGTGTCCCGTCTGGGCTGGAGACCGTCTCCTCACGGGCTTTAACCACGTCTATCTGCGGTGTGCGATTACGCTCTCCGTCGGAAGAGAAATCATCTTCTGACTGGAAGCGCCTTGCTGCCGGGCGTCGGTTGCCGAGATTAGAAGATGGTGTGGATGTGCCGTTTGTTGTCGGAGGCGTGGCGAAGCCGAGGGCATTGAGGGACGAACTGTTGCTAGCAGTTGTCGTGACTGGCGAGGCTGCGGCGGAGAGGTTGGGATGGACAGAGGTGCCGTCACGGTGCACCAGCTCGGCGAGGGCGGAGCGGAGTCTGAATGACTTGTCGTGGGAACAGCCGTTAGGACAGCCACCCCATCTTCGCGGCGCCTTTACAGGTGAGTCTGCGGATAAGGCCTTGTCGAGCTTGGACGTGTCCTTGGCGCCTGGAGTACCAGTGTCAGATTTCTCCTTCTCCTTCTCTTTTCCTTTCTTCAGCGCCCGTTCCTTGCGCAGCTCCGACCATGTCCGCAGGTTGTTCTCTAGCACGTATTTGCCACTGTCTTGTTTGTTCATGATGAGGAGCTCGCAGTGGTTGATGTTTCGCAAATCTTCGAAGTACTCAACGCTGAAGTGGTACCACTTCATGAGGAAGACCCGCGACATCAGACCGTGAGTGACTGTTTGAGTTGTGGTCAGTACCTCACTTTATATAGTAGGCGGGTGTAAGTGTGACTTGTGACAGGTGGGCATACCTAGAACACACACGCTGGCGAAGTCGTCCTCGCCAAACTGCCTCCAGAGACTTTCGTTGAAGCCGCTGATGCGGTCGTAGGCATCCGCGGCGCTCTCGCCGTTGGGTATCCTGTAGAAGAAGTGACCATAGTCGGCACGCTCCTGCCACATCCGCTCCATCTCGGCGGAACATGGCTGGAAGTTGCCAAAGTCTTGCTCGCGGAGCCGGGGCTCTTCGTAGACCTTGATGTTGTTTCGCTTGAAGGGCGAGGGCTCGACCTCGTCCGAGGTCAGCGTGGCCAGGATTCCCTCGGTGGTCTCTCTTGTTCGGCGGTAAGGAGATGTAAAGAAGTGCAGTGTGTCATCGGCGCGAAGCATCTTGCGCAGGCGTCTGCCGGCATCGTAGGCTTGTTGCCAGCCATCTTGGGTCAACTTGACGCGGTGGTCAGGTATGGTCTGGTGGATCTCGCGGTTCTCTGAGGAGTGCAGGTGGCCGGGTCAGCGGCCTGTACTTATAGGCAAGAACAAGTAGGGGCCGGGTGGAATAAGGTGTCTGGGTCTCGGACTTACTATTCCCTTCGGACTGGGCATGCCTGATCAGGATGATGAGCCGAGGCTTCGCCATGGTCAGCTTGCTTCCCTAGCCTGGAAGTTTGGCCAAGTAGTGGGCAAGGTAAGGCGAGGCAATACAAGGCGGGGTTTTTTTTAAGGCAGAAAGCAGACAGGCAGCAGATGTAGGTGGATATCTGGCGGAGCGAGGAAGAGAGGTATATGATATGGTATATACTGTTCAGCGGCAAAAGTCGAGGCTGGGTGAGGTGTAGTGCAGTGAACAATATGACACAAAGGCAGTGCCGTGGCAAGGTAGGGCAAGGTCGAGGTAGTGTAGTGTGGGGGGAGGGAAGGGTCGTTGTTGAACAAAGGGTAGGAGGGACGTGTGTCCGGGGCAGAGAGAGAGGAGGGACGAGATGGTTGGGCTAGTAGGTTAGAGGAGTGGTAGGTTCAACGGTTGATTTGCATGGAATGTGTGTACCCCTTTGCGCTGCGGACGGACAGAAGACATCCGACCGAGTCTATATGAGCCCAAGGATGGTTCTGTTTGGGCGAAAGAAAAAGTGTTGGGGCGGATGAGACGTGATGGTGGCAGTCCTGTCTATGGGTGGACGAAGTCTATTGATGGGATGACAGAGAACGACAGATCTGGGCCGGTTGGACGGATGGCGTGGTCTGAGACGGGGGATCGTCGTGCTGCTAGCAGAAGCAATGGGCTGAGGGAGCGAGACAGGAAGTTCAGAAGCAGAGACAGGAGTGCTAGCAGAATGCAGACAGAGTGCAGAGTGCAGTTGGTGGTGAGGACGAGGAGAGGCAAATGATTTGCGACAGGGCAGCACGGCATTAGCAAGCAGTAGTGGAGTACGGAGTACCCAGCGTGCCCAGGTAGTCTATACGGTACTGGGCATACATAGTACGGGGGCACACGAGGGGCACACGGGGGGGGGGGCATACTGGGGCCCTTGGTGCGACTCTGGGCTTCTTGTCATGCGGGAGTGGGAGTGGGTAGCGTAAACTAGGGGTAGCGGGCCCTTGTCCTTGGGCCTTGCCAGTTTGCCGCCGTCCGGAGTTGCCCCTGGCCAGGTTTCGATTTCCAACTTTATTGTTGGCGTCGTTGGGCTAGTCGCAACCCAGCACACCTGGGCATCTTGTGTCTGCTGCGCGCAGTGACAGAGGCCAGCAGGGCCAAGCACAACACATGGCCTGGGCACCGACCTGTTGGTGTTAACCTGTTGACCTGTTGACCCACGAACCATCAAAACTATGTCCCTCTCTGCCGGCCCAATGGCACGATGGCCAGCCGCCCCCGACCGTTCTCTGATGATGGGTATGGTGCCATGGCCCCAGGTGCATCTTGCTATGATCGCCGAAGTCCGGAGGAGCGGATCGCATCATTTTTCGGCAGCAATAATAACCTCGCTAATATAAGGCTGAAGGCTGAAAGGAGCCGGCAAATCGGGTAGGCTATCGCTCCACAGACCCTCACACCCTCAACCCGCTTGCTTGGTTTGTTTCAATCTCTGTTTCGTTTTGTCATGCTGTGCTGGCCCCATGTCCACGTCCATGTCCATGCCCATGTCCATCTCAGCCGTCATCGGGGTACTATGATCAGGTCAGTCGCCAGACTCGAGACATCAATGTCAGTCTGTTTGCGCTTCGCCCTGCCACTCGAGTGGGGGCCCGCTGCTGGCACATGGAAGAGGAGTCAGAGTAACACAAGATAGAGAGAGAGAGTTACAAGGTGGTATCGTAGATGCGGGGGTGGTGCGCGGCTATCTGTCGCCCTCGACCGCAATAAGCGCCAACACCCGCATGTTACCTACCGTGTCACCGTGTATGCACGCACAGGCATAGGGCACAGGCACAGGCAGATGCCACATGCAGATCTAGACCGATGTGGCAGTTTTGTGGGCAGACAACTGAACTTGCAGGATACAGCTGGTTCGTCCGCCGTTGGGCCGGCAGAATGTGACAGATAAGATGGTAATCTGAGCACATAACATAATCTGGATAATCTACCCAAGTCTACCTAGTCTAAGTAGTCTACTTGCTTGGCTTGGGACGACCTGCCGTGCTGAAGTTCACCTCGATGATCCAGTTATCTCCAGAATATATACCTTCCAAGGCTGTTGTTATCTTGGAGACATGATATTTCAAAGGTCCAAGCCTAGACTGTGCGTTGTGTTTGTGCGTCCCGAGGGGCTGCAGGTGCTTAGGCCTAGGTAGCTGCGTAGGTAGGTACAATGGTACTTGCTCCGTCAGCCCCATGTCAAGTCAACGGGCTGTTGGTCACTTAGCTTTCCACCAGGCGCGGGCCGAGGCGCGCAATATTCTTACCGCACCCAGCCAGCAATCCAACGTCGGTGTTACCTACCTTCACTACCTGTCGTACAAAAAGCCCACCACAACACATCACCACATCGCAGCGCATCGCATCGCATCGCATCGCATTGCATTGCAACGCAAGTCAACTGACCTTACATCTATGGCCCAACACGACAGAGCCCAGCCCTCCTGACCACAACCACAACCACAACCACAACCACCCGCCCCAACCATGTCAGGCACAGGCCCGGACTCGATGCCCACCTCCGCGGACCCCCGCTCCAAGCGTCCCGTCAAGAAGCGCGCCCTCAGCCCGGCCTCGGCCCAGGCCAGCCAGCTGGACGCGCTGTTCGCCCGGCCCGACCAGGAGATCCGCGTGCCCACGGGGGGCGCCGACCCGGCCCGCCGCCTGCCGCTGCCGCCCGAGATCGTCACCAACGTCCAGGGCTCATCCGCCGGCGCCGGGTCCGGCGAGTTCCACGTCTACAAGGCCGCCCGCCGCCGCGAGTACGAGCGCCTGCGCGTCATGGACGACGAGGTCCGCCGCGAGGCCGACGCCCGCGACTTCGCCGCCAAGAAGGCCGACGCCGAGCGCAAGGACGACGACAAGACGCGCCGGAACCGCGAGAAGAGGGAGAAGATGAAGGCCCGCAAGGAGAAGGCCAAGACGGCCGCCCAGAAGAAAGGCCCCGGCGCCGACGCTGCTGCTGCTGCTACTGGTGGCGGCGGTGGAGGTGGTGGTCTCAAGCCCAGGGTGGATGGTGCAAGCAAGCAGGGCGAGGAGGGCCAGGACGGCAAGGCGGCAGAGCACGACAGCACCAACGCGGGTTCCGGGGCCGGCGAAGCCAACGGGGTTACCGCCACCAGCGCTCCGGGTCTGGTAATACACGATGATGAATGAGCGACAGCGCGCACGCATGCCGTTAACAATCACGAGCCACACAGGCAGCACCAACATCACAGGTCGATATTTATATATAGGGAAGAGGCATCTCAGCTCAGAGTGCTTGCGATTATGTCTTTTCCTCTACCTGGACCGACGTCTATGGGGGGTTTAATACACAGGGTATGATTTTGCAGATACACCATCTCCACCTCATTATGAAAGGCGCCAGGTCTAATCTCACAATTCTTCCTCAGCAAGCTCAGTCATCGCCTCCGCCGGTACCGACACCTTGTGGCGCCTTCTTGGCAGAGCAGATGTCGTCGACACGCAGCAGGAGACAGGCGGCCTATCAAAGATTGTCAGCTTGGCCAGGGATCGGAAGGGTTGGTGTTGGGGGGGGGGGGGTAATGTAGGTAGCTCTTCTCAGGTCGCCTAGCAGTACATACCTCGATAGCTGTCTTCAAACTCTGCAGCTTGATAGCCTGCGGCTCCCACACACCGTACTCCTTCATGTCAGCCAGCGAGCCCGTGTCGCCGTTGATGCCCCAAGAGCTCTTGCCCTCGGCGTGCTTGGCCCGGAGGTCCGTCAGCACGCGCACGGGGCTTGCGCCCGCGTTCTGGATCAGCGTCCGGGGGATCACCTCCAGCGCATCAGCCACAGCCTTGTACGGCCACTGTTGCACACCCTCAATGCTCTTCGCCTTCTGGCTCAGCCTGACCGAAACAGCCATCTCGGTCGCACCACCGCCCGGTGACAGGCGAGGGTGGAACATGACGTTGCGTGCCACGCCCATGGCATCCTGCAGGTTCCGCTCAATCTCGTTGAGGACGTCCTTAGACGGTCCTCGGAGGAGGACGGTGCAGGCTTTGGGGTCCTGGCACTTGGTGAGGAAGGAGAAGTACTCGTCACCGATCTTCTCGATCTCGAAGAGGCCACACTTGGTGCCGACATCAGACTCTTGGAGGTCTTCTACCCGGTTGACGATGGTGGCGCCCGTGGCACGCGCGATTCTGTTGTTGTCTGTCTTTCGCACACGACGCAGGGCGGTTATGTTTGCCTTCATGAAGTAGTGCTGTGCCAGATCTGGCGGCAGATTGTCATTAGTAGCTCGTGACTCGGAATCATTTCGGAATGTCAGCACTTACCAGACACACCCTTCTCGGTGATAACGAGATCGGGCTTGACTGCCAAGATCGCGTCGCACATGGCCTTGACCTGCTCCTCTTCGATCTGCAGTACTTGTTGCCAGTCCTCCTCCTTTGAAATCTCGATCTGTGTCTGCGACTCGCCCTTCTTGTACTCCAGGGGGCAGTCGAGTAGGACGATTCTTGGGTTCTCAATCTTCCTCCGCATTTTTGGGTGTGTGATGTCCTTGTTAAGCATGACACCGTCCAGAACCCTGCTGTCCTCGATCTCTCCGCCGGGCACCTTTTCCACACGAGCATATCTCTTGATGTCAACCTCGGTCTTGCCGGTGCCAACCTCCCACGACACCGTCCGCACGGCCTTCAGAGCAAGACCGCACATGAGCTCTGACCACCTCGAAACGAACTTGGTGCCAATGGATGAGGAGATGAGGCCGTACATGGCCTTGTCATCATTAATGTCAATCGGTAGGGAGATCTCTTCGATGATCTGGAGGGCGTCGGACAGGGCGCGCTTGAAGGCGGAGATGATGACGACGGGGTGGATGTTTCGCTCGAGTTGTGGCATTGCCTGTGCCAGTATCTCACCAGCTTTGCATGGGGTCAGCGATGCTCCATATTTGATGGCGTGAATTGAAGCGCTTCAACCTCACCTAGAATGATGACCGTCGTAGTTCCATCCCCGACCTCCTCGTCTTGGGTCCTGCTGAGCTCGATCATGCTCTTGGCGGCGGGGTGGGACACCTCGATCTCTCGTAGGATGGCATGGCCGTCGTTGGTGAGCACGATACCTCCCATAGGGTCCAGAAGCATCTTCAGCATGGCCTTGGGACCAAGACATGATCGAATAATATCGGCGACACTGCAAGGCGAAGCGGTTAACAACTGCGTCTCTGATGCGAATATGTGTATGATCGTGTGAGGCGGGATACTCACGTCTTAGCGGCATGGATGTTGGACAGCTGGGCTTTCCTTCCGGTCTGCCTCTCGCCGGCGGCGGTGTCTGCAAAGCGCCACGGTATCAGTCTCTGTTCGATTCGTTGATCTGTCAAGCTCCTATTGAGCTTCGTGGCGGGGCCGACGTACTCATAACCACTACTGGAGCCTGCATCTTGACTCTTTTCTGGGGGTTATTGGTCGGGATTCAAGTATGCGACACAAGGCCAGGGTAGTCGGATGTCGTAGGAGTTCGAGATGCCGAATCCAAAGTAAAGACCGACTTTGGCACTGCTGTTTACTTCTAAGGCGTTGGACCCCTCGAAAAAAGCTCCTTTGAGCAGCTAACCGATAGGCGATAGCTGGCACTGGGTTAGGTAAGCAGGGGGTGCGGGCCTGTAGATGAGCTAGAGTCAGACGCGGCAGCTGCGCGTTCATTTCTAGTCCTCGTCAGTGTCGTGTCACTTTTAATAGCTGTGTATTAATGCAGTACCGTGACTGTGATCGCTACGACTTCAATGTCTATTTTATCGCATATCAGATATCCGTCTACTGGATCAAGGCCGATGCTTAGTCCTATTTTCTTGACCATCGCCTCTGGCATGCTCGGCGAAAGCATCACCAGCCCAGGGGGAATGCCCCAAAGTCCAGCATCGAATGATGTCGATTTCTGGCAATCGCACTTCATTTCCGGCGGCTGCAACGGTGTCTTGATTCTTACAAAGCATCCGACTAACATGTCTACATAGAAGTCTGTGTCTGTGTCAGCGATATTATGAGTAAGGCCGGTCTCACAGCGCTGGCTTCACTTGACGGGGCACGAGAAGTCTCGTCTACGTTCGCAAGGTAGCCGCGTTCGAAATTTGGCTTCGTAGATAACAATCGTTTCTTTGTCTTCTGCTGGGAGACCTAGGCACCAGACAATTTGCCACAGATCAAGTCTGCCTACACCGCAACTAACTGACCATGCTTGTACATCCTGGTGGGAGTTGGTCCATCAAGGTCCTCGAGGAGTGCAACACTTGTAAGGTTTTGCCCAGGGACATAAAGTTGGAGCCTCCAAGGGGCAGCTCTCTTATCTCCTTATGGATCATCTTGGGAAGGAGCCTTGCGAAGATAGCATGGACTGGGTAGTATAGGTTATCATATCCTCGACCTCGTCCCTCCCCGCCTCCCCTTCCCCTCGTTCCGGAAAATCAGAGCACGAATTTCAGCTCCATTTCCTCCTGTCAAACATATGGATGACATCCAGCACCTTGCACTCGTCGTCATACCAAGGCAAAAATCCTGTTGTCAAGCCGTTCTCAGCAAGCCAACCGGCTGTTCTCGGTCGCCGGCCCGGAATCTAGGACCGGACCGGCGAATGGTGCGTTCTTGGCGCGGGTCCAAGTCGGGCAAAGGTCTTCACTGATAGCGGGACCGCCGTTGAATCGCCCTCTTATACCGGGTAGCGTCTCTCTCACGGCATATGTGCCCTCTTCACATCAAAAACAACCAGCGCAGAAGAACAATCAGCTCAACTTAACTTGGCTTCTTTTGCTTCCAGAATCCTCTAACCAAGCGCACGTGTCAAATCAACCACAAGACAAAATGGCACCATCAGCAGTATCGGAAACCGCTCCATCGTCACCCCTTGCCGTCACCAAATCACAGCCGGTCGAGAAAAATGAGAAAGAAGTGACTCCTCTTGAGGCCATCTCGCACGGAGATGTCTTGCCTGGTGGGTGATAATCTTGGGGCTCTCAGCAACGGCATGGTTCTTGAAAGTGGTTAACATCCATTAGACATTCCTACCTTCCCAAGCTACACAGCAGAGCGAAGGCACATCCTCATTCACATGGCAGCCGTCTTCAGAAACTGGTCTCGGATGGGCTATGCTGAGGGGCAGTCGGGGCACATCTCCGTCCGCGACCCTGAGTTCCCCCAGATAATGTGGATGAACCCTCTCTCCCGCCACTACGGCACCCTGACGGCCGGCGACATGATCCCGCTCGAGATCGCCACAGGACGCGTCGTTGGAGGAAACCCAAACCCCGCAACCGGCAAAATCACTTGCAACAAAGCCGGTTACTACATCCACAGCGCCGTGCACAAGCGACGTCCAGATATCCACGCCATATGTCATGCTCACACACACGCTGGGCGGGCGTGGTCCGTCTTTGCCAAGCCCCTTGAGATGATCACACAGGACGTTTGCAGTCTTTACAACTGCCACGCCGTCTACGCAGACTACGGTGGAATCGTGTTCGCCTCCGACGAGGGCGAGCGAATCGCAGATGCGCTCGGGCAGCACAACAAGGGCGCCATTCTCATGAATCACGGCCTGCTGAGTGTGGGATATACCGTGGACGAGGCCGGCTTCATCTTCGGCCTGATGGAGCGCAGCTGTGCCATACAGCTGCAGGTCGAGGCTGCCTGCGCGAACGGACTGAAAAAGAAATACATTAGCGACGAGGAGGCGGCTTACAACTGCAAGATGGCGAGCGAGAAGCACGCAATGTACCGCGAGATGCAGCCAGACATAGAGCTGGAGCTCGAGGCCGCCGGTGGAGAGGAGGTGCTAGCGAAGGGGTTTGACAGCTTGAACGCGAGCATTTCGTTGCCGTAGTCATGATTCCGCGGTGTCACACTATACCCTTCACTTCAAAGCGAACAGAATACATTCATACGCCCCTTGATACATTTGATTGGGGGTGGGCCTTGCCACCCGGAGCTTTTGGACGCCAAATTAGATGCATTTGCGCTGCAAGATATTTCAGAGAGCCTCATCTGTGTGATTCGTGATTGTCAAGCGCCCGACCTGAAGCCTCATTCTCCGTGACTTGCCATGGCCGACTAGTTTTCATCGATGTTCACTTCAATTTCCACGCCTGCGCCTGCCCGTCTTGCTCGGTGCGTTGGCTTGCCTTTTGTTTGGCTCAAATCTGTGGATTTTCTTGAGCCCCTTCCCGATGTCAAAAGACTGCAGGACTGCTGCATTTCCCTACTGAATTCCTCGCACAGATGGGAATCTTTTCTTGGGCCGACCACTAACTGTCTATTGAGAGCTCTGAGCGCTACATACTAGCAGCAGGATAACCGATCAACTTACAGAACCATGTTCTGTCTTTGAAAACCAGTGTTAATAAAACAAGAATACTCGACGGCGACACTTTCCATCCTCTGTGTGAGCTTTTGCAGGAAATTACGCTGGAACAGTGACTTCCTTCTTGATCTCTGCCAACATATGCTTGAATAAGGCTTGGATTGGGCAAGTCCAGCTGATGAACAGCCGTCTTGTGCGCACCTCCCCAACACCAATATTAGCAAAAAGCCCACTCACTCGTATCCTCGGTCGATCGGGTGGAGACTTCGCAGTGTCAAGACCATAATTTAATACCAAGCCCCAGTCGGGCGAAAACATAGTATGCGTGGTCAAGAACCAGCGAGGAGCTGATGGCTCGCTAAAGTACTTCTGTGTGTGCCAGGGTGGGATAATACAGTAGCAATATCCGAGCAGTCTAGTTGGCAAGCTGTGCAAAGCTCTCTCTCTCCGACGATGCCCGAGATATTGAATAGTTCAGAAATCCTCGTCACGACCTCCTGGCATGATCGTTAGCAACTTGACGGTCTCTTGCTCGTCTTTCTATACTGCGACTCAACGACTGTTTCCCGAAGTTGCTGCTTCTTGACGCTTGATATGTGATCATGCTGTCTTGGAACACGTGCAACTCAACTTGCTGTTCAGGTCCATATGTACCGGACCCAATAAGCCACGTTCTCGGGCGGCTTTCAGTACCGCTACAATTCTCATCGCAACACCTCGGTCGGCAGGCATCAGGTAGGTAAAAGAACAGCAGAAGAGCTGTCTAGATCCAATATCGATTGCATCTTGTGGATGGGTCTCAGTCAAAATTACAACATTTGCTTGTAGCATTCAAAATATCTCATAAGGAGGTCGAGCAGCGAAGCCAAGTTAGTATCATATCTTGGGCCGAGTCTAATGCCCAGGAGGCCGTTTACGAACAACTGCAGTCCACCAGAGCCTGCAGTTTGCATATGGCGGTATGACGAGTACACTGGTTTATCGGCACATGCCTATGACCCCGTTTAGTGTCCATCAAATGGAGGCAAAACTGGCCATGCAAGTGTTGAGACTATTAACGTCGTCCGACAGTCGTGCATGATGTACGTTGTGAAGTGACCAACCACCGGTTGCAAGGGCCTCTCTCTCAACATCAGACAGTCTCAGAAGTCAGCCCAGCTGGCAAGACACAACGGCGTCAAATGGCCGAGCCTTGAAGCTTGTCAAGCACCACGACTGGCCTCTTGCTGGTCAACACTCGTCGACGCCTCACGACTTATGGAAGAGCTGATATTGCCCAACAAGCCCCGTCAACTGGAGACGCCCACGTGGAAACTGTCCACAAATGGGACCGCCGCACCCAACAAGTCCATGCCTACAACACGTCGCCATGTACGACGTCCAAGGCCTGCTCAAGGAATGGCCACTGGTAAACGACGAGTTGCGCCTGACCAGTCCATCCATTTTCACGACTTGACCCGCTTCCATGTCCCACGCACTGATCCGCGGTCATGCCCAAATTGGGGGGCCCTCGAGCGGCTCCCTAGCACCAGCCAAACGGAAGCCGCCAGCAAAGAGATGGGCGTGTCGGTCGCTGCAGCCGTGCCCAGCCGGTATCCACTCCTGTGCAGCCCTTTTCGCGAGGCTCGCCAATCTCGACGGCTTCCCGAGACCACTGCCCAAAGGTGGACGGGAAAGGGGAATTGCATCCTGCTCGCTGTCTGAGGCCAGACAGGCTTGTTGTTGTGCCTGACCTGGCGTTCGCTGGGCGCCACACCCCCTCCCCCGACCCCTGGCGTCGCCTTTTATTGGTATTAGACACTGTGCACCGTCGCACAGATCGAGATAGGGTTGCGCCTTGATTGCAAGAGGTTCTAGATCGCGTCGCACCCGCGCAACGACGGCCGACATCCAACGAAAGCTGTCTGGCTCGCTGACGCCGGCCCCCAAAATCTGCTAGGCCCGATCATTGTCTTGTCTGCCGTGCGAGGCTGGCGTGAGACTTCTTTCCAGGGTGCAGTAACGAGAGCAGGGGAGAGAGGTGCTTGCGAGCGCAACGGCGTGTGTCTATGAGGAGTAGGCAATCGAGACTTCACCCCGGCGCCAGCGATGCACAAACAACACAGAGGCAAAGACTTGATGCTTTGGTGGAGAAGGGTACCCATGGCACCCGTGAGAAGTCAAAGTTCGGTAAATGGAAAGGAGAGGTTTGAAAGCTGCAAGGGGGGGCCACCGGGAGCACCGAAGAGGCGTTCATCAACCGCCCCATCGAGGAGAATAGGCGAGCGCTCGCCTCTTCCCGCGAGCGACTACACCGCATTTGCCTTGCCCTGTCGCGCAATGGACCGCGTCTGAACACATGGTGGCTGACCGCACGTTTCCGCAGGCCGGGGATGACAAGTGGCTTTCCCAGGAGCGACCGTGGCGCTGACCTCACTCAACATCAAGCCCCCGGTCTTGGGCTCGTCCCCCCTCAGCGAGACACATGGGCCTTGCGTCTTTTGTCTCTGCTCTCCTGGGAGTATGAGACCCAGCCACGTCAACTGGCAAAAAATCTGCCGACTTGACAGGTACCCACACGCCCAGGGGGGAAACATGGGGAAGGTGGCTTTCGGCGCGTACACCCGCGGTGGAGCGAAGATGGGCCCATGCCCACTCGAGCAGCAACAGGCTCCAAGGACCTCCCGGTCGGGGAGAAAAACAAAAGAGTGGGAAACTGGGCTGACAATCCGGGAGCGGTCCCCACGGTACGGGGCGACGCTGGAGTCCGGCGACGTCCCCCCGGATTGCCTAGGGAGGCGTGGGTAGGTGCGAGACGGCGCTGACCCACCTCGTCGCAGGAAGACTGAAGACGAGAGTCATCAAGCGAGACTTTTTTTTCCCTCCAAGGGATGTGGGAAGAAAGTTTTCAGCCCGTGGTGGATCCGGTTCCTGCGCATTCGTACAAACCGGAAACGGGGCCGGGGCCTGTTGAATCGTGCCTGTCAAAGCTTCACTGTGGGTCGTCTTGTTTTGTCAACTATGGGCACTATACTGTACGGCAGGTATATTCGCCCACAGTGGGAAGTGGGAAAAAAAAAATACCATGTTGAAACACGTTTTATTGCTGGGAGTTGTTTACAACAGCGGGTGTCGCCTTAGCAGCCGTGGTCCAGCCCCGATCTCGATGTTGCAGACCTTGTCTTTAGTATACAGATCAGGGACATGGATCCTATTTGGAGGAAAACTGTGAAGTGTCAGGCTCAAAGGCCAGACAAGCGAGGCATCGTGTCATCAGAACGTCAAAGAGCATTCCATATTATGTAATTGGATTTTTGGTTGCAGGCACGCCCGCCTTCCTTGCACATAGCAGATATTAATATCTTGAAAGGATTCTTACCGACTGCAAGAGACGCCCCTACAGGTACGGGCGGTACGTACCGTACCGGACAGAATGAGCTCTAATACACCGACAATGCTGATGGAGACTGCTCAAGTGCCGCGAACCCTGATGAGCGATGCAATCCCAGCCCTGTCAGACTTTGTGTTTCGTTGAAGAACTCATCCACCAGCGTCCAGACCATACTCCAGGGCCTGTGGGTACTAATCTACTCCCGGAGCTCGTGTGGGTTCGACAGACACATGGTCTGCAGGTGCGAGAACGATGCTCGGGCTGTCGGGCTGACGGGCTGTCGCTCACCCTTTCCCCCATCTCAACCGTCGACGGAGCTTGGCGACAGTCACCATGGTGTGTGAGAGCTTAGCTAGCTTTGCCTCTCTCTTGCATGGGCCCTGGAGCTGTCTCCCCTGGTCGTCGTCCGGTCTAACACGGTACTATTGTTAGGTAGGTGTCCGTCACGACTGGCTGGCCCTGCAGACGGCGACCGGCCAGCCGAAAGGCCGAGATCTGGACCCAGCGCCAGTGAGAGATGGTGTCGAGGGGCCGATCCCACCCCGTCGTTACCAAAGGCGGCAGAACCCCTCGCTCTCGGACTCGAGGTCTGTGACTAACACAACGTGCCAGAACGGCGTCATTGTTTCCGCTAGGGAGTGACTCGCCCTGAAGCTACGCAGGGCCCGTCCAGAGCGCCTGCAGGGACCGGTTGGGGGGTGAGCCTTGTAGGCCGTCCCGACCTGACCCAAGTGACGGATTTATGGGGACGGGATCGACCATGTTGACGGGAGTGGGCACCACTGCGTAGCTTGCAGGTGTGAAACGGGAGTGAGTCTGTTGAAAGAAGCTCGACAGTCTAGGCTGCCTGTCCGGTAATAAGCTCTCGGCAGAGCTGGGAGCTTGGCCATTTGGAGGGATGGTTCCAGTATTTTCGCTTCTTTGCTCACTCTGTGTGACGCCCAGAAGGGCTGAGAGGAACAGCCCGGCACAGAAACAGACGCCAGGAACAGCCAGAAGCAGAGTAGTCAATCTCGCGATCCCCCTCCTTGGACGAGGCACGGCCGGCGGGCACCCATGTGATTGCCTATAGGAACACATAGTAGATGACGGCGTGTTTGGTCGTTGATTGGGTCTTTGTCTTCTTCCAACTTCCAGAGTTGTCGGAGGGCCATGCGATGGAACCAAACCTTGCTTGAGCTGGGCCAGCGCACACAGTAGAGTGCTGTTCCTGGTCAGCCTGTGTCTCAGACCCCAAATGGCGCAATGCATCACCGGGCCAGTGAGGCGCGCAGCCTGTACGTAATGATGCACGGGAAAAGCTGGACGGCGGAGGGGAAGCTCTGTCAGCCCAGGATTTCTGAAGAAAAGTCCTCTCGAGACTTGGCTTCCATCACAGAGGATGATGCCCGTCCACGGCGCAGGTGTTGTACTGTGCTATGCTGAGTGTTCCAAAAGGTTGAGCTCGGTGGCTGAGCATCCATGCGCTCACGTAACAAGTACCTCTACGGCTTCTCTCGCTGCAAGGATGTACTTCTGGAGCACCTCACGCCCGCGTTGCCGTCGTGGTGTACTCCCTCCAAAAGGCCGCCAAGGTTTGCATATGCTGCAGGCACAGTAAACGATAGAGCTGCCCAGAACCTTAGGCCGCTGGTTGACTGTACTCGCTAGCCATACTAGCTCAGCATTTGCACTGAAACAATAGGCCGCTGGTTTACATGTCCCTTAACTAGTAGGCGAGCGAGTCTTTGTGCGAGCAGTTGAACCAAGACGAAGTCAAATCCCAAAGTTTTGTCTGGTTCCACTTAGACAGAGCTAGTAGCCTGTACGTGTGACGAGGCTGCGAGAATGCAAGGGCAGGAAAAAGAAAGTGAACTCGAGCTAGTTTACCGAGTGAAAAAATGATGTGTAGTAAGCTTGTCCAAACGGGATTCGTACCCGGGCAAAAAGCAGAGGTAGAAAAAGGAAAAATCGTGGGTCGATGAATCACTTCATCGCACGTGGGGACGGACAGGACAAGACACCCAGCAGTCATCTTTTCCGTACTATAGGCTGTACACGTTGTGAAGTAAAGACGGTGGGAGGAATGATAAAGCTGTGGGTAAGGATATGGACACGGAAACGGCACTAGAGTCACAGTTGGAATGCGTCGACGTGGACTAAGCTGTGGGAAGCTGAAACTGATCTTATTGTAAGACAGTAAGCCATGTTGTTGGTGACTGCTAATCACTCTCGAGTGTTCAGTCAAACCATTCCCGTCAGCCCTGTGGACCAACAACTGGTGTCCCCGACACCTCTCAAGTTTCTCTCTACCCAGTGTAGACATTGAGGAGAACCCCTTCCATGACCCAGCGCAAGTCCCTTAGCGCCGGCCCGAATGATCCATTGCGACAACCTCCACGGTATTTGTCTCCCTCCAGTTGCTCAAAGAAATCCCAGCTTGTGCCTTGGTACAACAACAGTGTCATTGCTGGAACTCCAAGAGAAGACGCCCGATATCCTGCTGGACCAGACAAATAAAAGTAGTAAATAACCTGTCCCAACCCCTGTGTAAACCCATAACTTTTGTAGTAATGCTGTGCTCCGGTTGATGCTTTTTGTGGTACATAAATGACAGAAAGGCCAGAAGCCCGCCGATGATCGGAGGGCGACAAAAAAGATGAGACCACGCTCGACCGCCCGAAGTCATCGTTGAAGAGGTGATGCGTATTCCCGAGAAATTCCAAGGTCCGAAAATGTTTAAGTGGGGGTATCTAGGAAACGAAGTGGTGCCAAGGGATGGCATCATCCACAGTGGATTCCACCGAAGACTCATCAATGTTTAGTGCGACTGCCTCCGTGATGATCGTGCATTCTCGAAAGAGCTCGCGTAGGCGAGCAGCTCTTTCCTGGCCGCGTCTGATAGTTGCATGGCGGCTTCGGTGCTGGCAGAGGAGTTGCTCTTCATCGAACACAGGCTGGCGTGTGAGCTCGACGGTGACAGGACCCGCTGCGGTAAGGCTAGTGAGCCACGACGCTGTGAGGACTGGGCCGCTTGGTGACTGAAGTCACAAGCTGGTGTCAGATAGAGCTTGTTCACAGCCGTCGCTGGTTTTGAGTATGCCCACGGGTAGCTGGGACCGCTGAAGGCAGGGGAACTTGGCCCGGTGCTGGGGTTCGATGACTGCTCGTATTCTGCCAACCTGCAAGACTCAGAGCAGTACGTTGTGCTGTCTGTCTGCTTGTCGCAGGTGAGGCAGTAAGAGTGTGTCCAGTCGGAAGACATAGTGGAGTATTTGGAAGGTTGGTGGTCGTTGATGACGGTTGAAGTGGGCTCGCCGGTTGATGACGATCTGGCTGTTGGCGATGCTACAGGATCTCGAGTAGCTGGGATTCGTGTGGTTGTTGAGGCTGCTGGAGCTTGTTCAAAACTTGGTATTTCCTTCCAAGTCGACCTGTGTCTCTTTACAAGTTCTCACGGCGATGGCTTCGAATGATGGTATAGCTGGGTGACAGTGACGAGTCCGGCGAGCGAGAGTGCGAGATGGAATGCCTGGGATTGTTGTTGGTTGGTCGGTCTAGTAGAAGCCACGGTGTGTACAGGGAGACAGGGACAGAGTTGGAAATGTCAATAGAAAGGCGAAGATCGAATTGAAGTGAAGTTGTGGTGTGAGCAATCCTCTTGACGGGTGAAGCTTGGGAGGGGAGGAGCAGCTTTTCTACTCTTGACCCAGACACAGCCAAAACGACGAGTGCCCTGCCCGGTCTTGGGACTTCCCCAAGGCCTCATGGCCGGGGAGGCCTTGTTCTGCAAAAGCGACCATCCCACATTAGACCTAGCGCTAGCGCATCTGGGATCCTGGCCAGGGTGCAGGGGTGGAAGGGTACGTGTGTACATGCAGGCCTGCTGCACTGTGGTGGGTGTGGGTGGTGTGGTGTGTGGTGTGGTGTGGTGTGGGTGGGCAGAGGGCGTGTGATGTGTAGAGCAGAGACCAAAACAGACAGGGTGCCCGGGTGTCTCTGAAAAATTTTCAAGGCAGCCTAGACACCCACTGACACCACCCACGGGCAGCACGGGGGAGGAGGTGCAGAGGACAGGTGGGCTGCACATTCCTTGCCACCCGCCAGCTGAGCCTGCCTGCCTGCCTGACTGACTTGGCCAGCTGCATTATAGGGGTGGGCCTAGAGCTGAGGAGCCCACTGACCATGCCCAGGTGGACTCTTTTGTCTCCAACAACGCTCGCACCCACCCAAGCCCACAGCCCCCTGGTGCAGCAAAGTGCAGCAAAAGTGCAGCAGGCATACCTTACCCTGCACATTATAACCTGCTCATCATCAGGGTGCTGTGCAACGAGAACGAGGCAGTGGATATGGGGGGCGTGGCCACAACAAAGTGGAGTCGGCCGCGAGTGAAGCTCTTAGCTCTTTTGCTCTCTGCTCCTTGTCCTTTGCCCTTTGCGTGCTTTGCTGTTTCTGTTCTGTGCTGTGCTGTTACTGTTGATGTTGCCGTCGACGATGCTGGCCCTGGCCCTGGCCCTTGCCCTTGCCCTTGTCCTGCTGCATTGCGGGAGGTGGAGCCATCCGCACGCAACTGGGCATTAACATTAGATCACTAACATCCTGTGGACCTCACTGTGAAGATGAAGGTCGACTGACAGGCCGGCAGACAGACAGACCAACCGAACGGTTCCGTGCAAGTTGTGTGCTTGGCCGCACCGTCCACGTCCAGCGCTGGATGGTGGTCGATTGCTGGCTGGTTTGATTAACTTTGCCGCTCACGCAACCGACGTGTGAGGGAGTAACTCTCTCTCATTGAGCAGCTCCGGTTGGGGGTCTGGCCTGGCCCTTTTTGGCTTTTCAAATCTGGTTGCACAGTAGGACGGAATTAGGCACTCTGGCCTGCAGCAGCATGCTGCGACCTGGGCGTTGAGTTTTCGATGCAAAAGTAAAAGATAGTAAATGGTGGGGAATAAGCTCTCGCCAATTGTCTGCCGGTTCTCGCTCTCCCTCTCGACTCACCAGCCTCGGTGCTTCTGGGCAGTCCAAGCAATCCAGCAGTCTCTGCCCTGTATATCCTGGCCATGGTATCTGCAACAACAAAGAGAAACCTGGATTGCGGATGGATGAATAGGTGGGTGAATGGGTGGATGGACGGCTCCATTGCGACCAGTTTCAGCAGACCATCCCGTCTCCTACAATACAGTATGAGTTACGAGCAAACAAGCAAGATAATGCCTCGCCCATCTGGGACTTGTACTGTACTGTACAGTATCTGGGCGACCACGCAGTCGTCGTACGTGTAGTTATCTTGCCAGGGCTCTCGCTCAGAGATAAGATGTTGCGATCTGCAACCCCCAAAGGCTGGCTGTTGAAGGTTGAGACTGATGGGCAATGGCTAATCTTGACGGCACCGAACTTGGGCGTGGGGGTCGCGATGCATTTCCATCTTCAGTAGCCAGCCCCCGGGCCAGCGTTACTCTGGGAGTGGGCTCGGTCGCCCTCAAGGCAAATCCCGTCTCCCGTTTCCCCCTATCTTTGCAAGGTTGAGATGATCTCGAGAAGCTTCAAAGCACGAGCTCGACCCGCGGTTTCGGTAATAGCGCTCGTGCAATCCGTCGCCCGGATTGAGATAGAGAAATTGCTCAGTACAAAGGAGGGCACGGCGAGGCCAAGCTGTAAGCGCCGTCGAGGGCGCCAGGCCCAGATCAACCAAGCTCAGAGGTCAAGCGCGAGGAGAAATGAGCCTGGACCTGGACTTGGACCTGGACGGACGGTTGGATTGGATTGGACCTGGACGGTTGGACCTGGACCATCTGAGGGCCGTAGGCGCTCGTCGCACCTGCGCCCTCACCAGAAAATTGATGGATGGCCTGGGGGTCGCACGGTGCTGTAAACACGGCACTGGAAATGCCCGTACATTCAGTCAGTCCATCATGCGATTTTGCGCAGCTTGCCATGCTGCCCATGCAGCATTCCAGTGACGCGACTCTCCCCTCTTGGCTGCATGCCCTCTTTCATCATCGCCATAACCACCACATATATCTGGGCGCCGTCGGCGGCAGCCACGTTGCACAGCGGCCATGTTGACACATCACGGCCGTGGGCTATCAAACTTAATCGTTTTGGATTTCGCCTCCATGATGGCCGTCGTCTCAGAGCAGTGCAACCTGGCGTCCATTTCCGTCCGGCCTGGTCGTTCACGCTCTGGGATCGGCGGCGTGCCCATATCTCTCCCACCTCTCCCCAGCACCCAGTGCAACCTGGTGCATCTAAGAGCGGCGCTACTGTCCTGCATAGCTCTGCAGAGCCCGTGATGGCTGCCACCTTTTCCCCCTTCCCCCCATCCCCTCACACCCTCCATCAAGGCACATGCAGGACAAGCCACGACGCTGCAAGCGGCATGGATCGTGGAGATCTTGCGCAGGTGACCCAATGGCCGATGACCAGCCCGGAGGCGAGCCCTTGGACTGCCTGCCGCCCACCTCGTCCCCTCTTTTCGCAGCCAAGCAGAGGAAACCATCGCTATCAACGTGGGCAATTCCCTGGGCGCTATGCCTTGACTGGTCACATATGCATGAGCTCTTGCGGAGCCTGCAGCGGGCTTGTTACAAACTGGCTTGGGGTTTGGGATCCTGCATGACGGCAACTACTGCTCCAGAGTCTGTCTTTCCAACAACCTTGGTTATCAAACCAGCCTGCCCAACTAATCATCTTTGAGCTCCATCGACCCGTTTCGTCCAGCGACAGACCAGCTCCTGGGGCCACTATCGGCTGCCTGTGGCCTGACGTTGGCCTCCGAGGTTCTCCTGTGTTCTCCTACAGTAGAGAATTCATTTCCATTTGTACGTGAATGGTGATTGGTCTGACGCCCTCACTGAGCCGCCGACTTTCTAAATGCTTGATTTCGAGCCCTTCCACCGTCGTGGACAGGGCCATTGTCTTTGGGACGTTGGGCGCACGATCTCCATCGGACTCAGCTTGGTTTTGGCTCAGCCAGACCTGCACTTGGCATATTGGCCGAATTTATGAACAGAAACAGTCGTAAGACTGTGAGCGGGTACTATTGTGTAATCACGGCCAATGGCGCGGCAAGGCTGATTGACGTTCGGTCCTCTCACGACTATCATTACCAGAATGACGAGATCGTCGCCACGAGGCTGCCAGTATCGCCCACCCATCACCACATAGAGCACAGTAGCCCGCTACACAGTTCAAGGTCAAGTAAAGCAGTGACTGACTGAATCGAGAGCCGCGCTAGACGTGGCCAATCGTTCGTCCCTAATACCTTTACGACGCTCGCACGCATGATGCACTGCGAGAACGACTTGGTCAGTAAGGGTGTGGATTGCACACCATCCACACACACAAAGACGTCAAGTTCCACCTCCACACTTTTCTCGGGATGAGGTGCGGAGATTAGTGGATCTCCCGCCGAGTACTCCGTCACGAAAGTACCAGAGTGGGCCTATGAACGACGACATCAATCACCGGACTAGCCAAGCGATTCGTGCACGACAGTGGGGTGCGGCCTTGAGCATCTTTAATTGGTTGGTCTGCCTCCTCGCAGCTCGGGTTGGCTATCTCGGCTCCAGGAACCAGGGTTCACAATATGCTGCCGACTTCAGGTTTCAAGCTGGAACTCGCGTCGCTTTGGGCCCATCGTCTTTTCATTGCCATTCCTCTCTTTCTGCCATACCACATCGTGATTTCGATTCCGGCACATGACGAGTTGATGGTGTGTACCCGTGTCCCACGATTGGCAGCCCGATGAGTCGCCAAGGATGGCTTTACTGTCACAATCTATGCTCTATCGCACCTCTGCCGTCACGGTCCGTACTGCAGCGTTCTAACGGTAGCCGTGTGTATGGGGACATGCAGCCGCCTACGCATAGGCGTGGCTAGGAGGGGGTAAGCTGGAATGCCTATACACGTACTACACTGACGACGAGAGCACCATTACTGCGTCATAGCATGCATAGCACTAAGACGTCAAGCATAACTACACGAGTGCTCCGGACCTCCACGGCTGCGTGCACCCAAATCCACCTTTAGGTACCGAGGAATGCATGCTTGGTCTCAACCCCCACGGGACCTGGTGGGTCGGTTGTTTCGTACACAATATACAGGTCACTCGATTGCTTCATGGCATCATCTGGCCAAGCCCCCGTTTCAACCCCGCCATGGAAGGCGCCGTGAGCGTGTGTTAGATCGTCACGGTCACTTTCTAGCATCGTGACATGCTTTCAGCACAGTGTCACTCGGCAGCCTTGCGGGGAAGGATGCAAT